ACCGATGGTGCGAGCTGAACTTCCAGATATCAACCTTCTGCTCAGAGAGCTCAGTCGACTCGAAATGCATAATAACATACTATACCGTACACGCCAAGATGGAGGAAGTGTTACGTACCAGTTAGTCTTACCTGAACAGCTCCGCGATTCTGTTTTTAAAAGTTTACATGGTGATATGGAACATCTAGGCATTGAACGCACTTTAGATCTTGCCAGGACAAGATTCTATTGGCCTCGCATGGCAGCTGAGATTGAAAACAGGGTTAAAACATGCAATCGCTGTGTCAGACGGAAAACTTCTCCAGAGAAAGCAGCTCCACTTGTCAATATCAAGTCTACTCGTCCGCTCGAGTTAGTCTGTATGGACTTTCTGTCCATTGAGCCTGATCGATGTGGAAAAAAGGATGTGCTGGTATTAACCGATCACTTCACCAAGTATGCTGTAGCCGTCCCTACCTGCAATCAAAAAGCCCCAACTGTTGCAAAAGCACTTTGGGACAATTTCATAGTCCACTACGGGATACCCGAACGACTACATAGTGATCAGGGCCCCGATTTTGAGTCCTGCCTCATACAAGAGCTTTGTAAACTTATTGGTACTAGAAAAATACGGACGACTCCTTATCACCCCAGAGGGAACCCAGTTGAACGTTTCAATCGAACGTTATTGAGTATGCTAGGTACCCTGGAAGAGAAAGACAAGACTCAGTGGCACAACTATGTTAAACCACTTGTACACGCGTACAACTGTACCAGAAATGACACCACTGGTTTTGCTCCATACGAGCTAATGTTTGGCCGACAGCCCAGACTACCAGTTGATTTAGCATTCGGACTTCCCCTTCACTGTAAAAATTTCCAGTCACACTCTGACTATATAGAAAAACTCAAAGCAACGTTACAAGAAAGCTACAAGTTAGCAACCAAAAATGCTCAAAAGATGGCAGAAAAGAACAAAATACGATACGACACCCGAATAAAACCCTCTAGGTTAGGACCAGGTGACAGAGTCCTGGTTCGAGCAGTTCGTCTCAGAGGTAAGCACAAACTAGCCGACAGGTGGGAGGCTGACATTTATGTGGTGCTGCACCAAGCAGGTGACTTGCCTGTTTACACTATAAAGCCTGAAGCTAAAGAAGGCCCAGTTCGTACTGTCCACCGCGATCTCTTACTCCCTTGTGGGTTTCTTGCCCCTGTCAAGGAAGACCTTGTTCGACCCAGTTGCATTGGCAAACCAAGAACCAGGCAGTCCCGTAGTTTACCTGCTGACAGTGAGAACTTAGAATCAGAGGGTGAGGATGTCTACTGGTTCAGAAAGGAACCTGACCAAGAGCCCATAACTTTTACTGAGGTTCTAGAGATTCCTTGGCCAAGTAAGTGCCTGGAACGGCAGAATTTGGTAGAATCCCAAATAACTGAACAAAACTTACCTGAATGCGAAATGCGTACTCACCCTGGTAATTTACCAGCAAGGGAAATGAGTACTGAACCTGGCGATTTACCTGATTGTCAAATGAAAACTCAACCTGAAAACTTACCTGAATGTGGAGCCATAACGGATGAAGGAAGCCTAGAAGGAAGCAAAACAGATGTGGAATCTGTAAATGATGAACTTAAGACGAAAACCAAAAATAACTTACCTGAAGGACCTACCTGCAGTGAACCTGAAGGAGGAGGAGGACTAGATGATGAAATAGGAAATCGGTTAGATACTGCGAGCGAAACCCCAAAGACTTTGAGACGCTCAGAAAGAGCAACAACTCAACCTAATAGGCTACAATACAGTAGATTGGGAAGCCCTCTTGTATCTATCGCACAGTCCTTGTTTCAAGGATTGAACTTAGCTTTCACAAGTGCATTAACTGAAGCAAATTCAAGCATTACACCTTCAAACACTAGCACACCGATAATTGAGGTCTAGCGATTCTATGCAAAGGGACTTGCATAATTCTAGAGGGGACAGTGTAACCCGGTGTAAAACCCAGATTACAATAGAAACATCATTACATAATTAGAATGAATAATGAAATATAAATGGAAATTTACAAAACAGTTAAAACAGGATAAAAGACCAAATAAGATAAATAGAAATCTAAGCATTCATACATTCATAGTTTAAAAAAAAGAAAGAAAAGAAAATACAAACTTGTTGAAAATAGTCAAATAAGAAAAGCTAAAATCGAGTAAATAGAAAGTTCCAGTAAAATTCAGGTAGCAACTGACTAACCAATCACGTGGCTAGCCAGCTATTGCATCAGCCAATAGAATTTAGCACTTTCTGCTGCTCGCTACGCAGCTTTCACTTGCCTTCAGACGCGCTGAGACGCTGACGAGGAAGCACTTGCCGTGAAGAGCAAACTAGGATGCACTAGCAGCCGTTACTTGAAAAACAATTACTCCAAGTTCGAGATACAGAGGTCCGAAGACCGTGATTTGCCGTTACCCTTGGGAAACCCCGTGTAAACCAAGCTGACCTTTCTTGGTCAGGTTTTTTTTTATTTTGGATTGATTCACCTCGGTGAATTGAAGATTCTTGTTCCAGTTCTGGATGGCGAGCCCCAGCCCAACCGAACCATCAAGCCGGTGATTAACTGGTCTGTCACTCACCTGAACTCGACTTCAACCAAGATCTGACTGACAAGGATTTCATGAACATTTGTCAAGCTGACTGACTGACTGAACAAACACAGACTGGTGACATTTCATTTTACTATTTTATTTTATTTCACAAAGCGCTTTGTTATATATTAAGTGGGTTATAAATGCTGGTAATAAACCATTGTTATATTTACCTTGCTTTTCCATGTTGTCACTCCACCACTTGCTCCTCAGAGTCTAGAATCTTTTGATCTGGTCCACTCGGTGTTAAACCACAAAGATTTTCATGTGAACCACCTCTAGTAAAATCTACGTAAGGTTACACAAAGGTTGGGTCTTGGGCGCAGTTGGGTGTTCCAACAGGACAATGACCCCAAACACACATCAACAGTGGTAAAGGAATGGCTAAATCAGGCTAGAATAAGGGTTTTAGAATGGCCTTCCCAAAGTCCTGACTTAAACCCCATTGAAAACATGTGGACAGTGCTGAAGAAACAAGTCCATGTCAGAAAGCCATCAAATTTAACTGAACTTCACCAATTCTGTCAAGAGGAGTGGTCAAAGATTCAACCAGAAGCTTGCCAGAAGCTTGTGGATGGCTACCAAAAGCGCCTAATTGAAGTGAAAATGGCTAAGGGACATGTAACCAAATATTAGCACTGCTGTATGTATATTTGTGACCCAGCAAATGTGATCACTTTTCTCTGTTAACCCATAATAAAGACATTAAAGAACCGAACTTCATGAATGTTTTTTGTGACAAAGAAGTATCTGTTCCAATCACTCTATCAGAGAAAAATCAGAGTTTTAGAAAAAACGGGACACTCAGTAGAGCCATTATGTTATATTTTTTACAAGTGTATGTAAACTTCTGACCACAACTGTATGTTTGAGGAGTTTTTTGCATAGCAAAGCTACCCCGTCAGGAGTTAACTCAAAAATGCCCCCCCCATTTATCCTCGTATCTAACTGAAATGAGCACCTTGAAGGGCAGCTCTTGTGGTCTGTCTGTATCCGTTTTGTTCTATATATTTTGTGTGTATAACCTTGGTCAGGCTGTACTGTGGAGTAAAATTTCTGTGCTTTGGGATGCTGGGGCAATGACAACAAAGCTGATTTTGAAAAGTGTACATTTTTGTTGGAGCTCAAAATGGAGCCATGAGAAATGGTGTAATACACCCCCATAGTAAACTCCTACAATAAAAAGACTGGTTTGCCTCATCCACTCAACAAGACATGAATATTAAATGAGCTGTGTGCTGATTGGCTAGTTTACCCCAGTGGCTCTATGACATTGCCCTGAAGCTAGAACCTCTGTGTATAGCCAAGTACGGTAATCAGATAACTCATAAGGCAAGATATGGATCTATCTGGCATCCATTCAAGGTCTGGATATTCACAGGAAATCCTGGAATGTTACATATGAGCTCCTACATTCTTTGTTGTTTTCCTCTGGTCCAACAAGGAAGTTAGCACTAGCTAGGGCTTAGGACTAGGCGATATGGCCTAAAATCAATATCACGATATATTGAGGAGTTTGCCTCGATAACAATAAATGGACAATAACTACATGCAGGCGCAAAAACAAAAGTTGTCCACTATTTGGGGCTGTCGCATGTATTACATTGAGTCATGTTGTCATGTGACTCAAGGTGGTACAGCCTCTTAAAGGGACTTGAATGTCACCAACACACACATATCTTTCCATTTTTTTTATTACCGAAGTTATTAACATGGGTACAATGATATCGGTTAGTCAGAAATTTCGATAACGATAAATTTAGAGGCTAGAGTTGTTCTCTACTTCGCGTTACTGCCACAATTATTTATACACTTCCAATGATGTAGTGGGTTGGGACAAGCAAATTTAAGGGGATGGGTCTACGCCTATGATCTGTTATACTAGCTTTTCTCAAAACAAAAGTTTCTCACTGGCCAACAAAAAAGTACTAATTTGTACAGGAAAACATGTCGAAGATCGCACAGACCTCTTGGTCGAGTACATTTTAAACCATAAGCTGTCTATATTTAACAACATCAAGATAAATGTGGTTTAGAATTCTAGAACTCCTTTAAAGATACTTTGTAACTGACCTCATTGTGAATCGTATAAAACTAATCTCTGTTTCTCCAAACTGAGGCTGTTTGAAGAGGCTTGTGCAGCAGGTAAGATATTAGCTGTTCATTAACTTTACATAGAAACTAAGTTTCACGCAAAACACGTTTCTATTTAGATACTATCTTGTTTAACAGGACTCAGTTAAAGGTAGATTACATTTAAATGCACCCATATATTGAAGCCAAACCACCCAAAAACCCTAAGTGAGAAAGGTTACCTACAGTTAACTTTAGTAACTTAATTGGATGAGTTATTTAGTATATTTGGCTAACGCTAGCTGCATTCCCAGTCCACGCCTGCAGGAAGGAATGTCCCGTGACAAGTCATCTGTGTTTTTAGTGGACTACCTTTCCTATTGACATAGTTGTGGGTGTTGCCTGACAAGACGAGCTGGAAGAGTCGGTGCTGCTCCTCAGAAGTATGCCTACTCAGCGCGAGGCTTCTTGAGGAGGCTACATTAACGGTCAGATCACAAGTTCTCCTTTCTCTTCAGGTTTGCCTCACTCTTGAGTTTCCTGCCTCCCGATGGCTTCCTTTTTCTCGTCCTGGATTTGGAGCGAGAGGTTTTGGCTTCCCGAAAATGTGTCGTGGTCCGACCTGGAGCACCCACCGCCCGGGGTGGAGTACCCCAGGCTGGAGCACCTCCTGCTCGCCTTTCCCCTGGCTGTGGGGGTCCTGCTTCTCCGGCTGCTGTTTGAGAGGTGAGTTTGGGAGTTTCTCCTCCATCAGGGCTCGCTGAGCAGCTGTGCTGAAACAAAACTCACAGCTTACTTCCGTTATCCGGATTTAAAAAGTAACTCAGTGAGGAGAAACTTTTTAAAACCACTCAAAGTAACGCCAACATCTGTTCATTTTTATTCGGATCAAGTTTAAACAATTCAACACTCCACTGTCTCAATCTCAGCTTCCCCATGAACTTGCTCTGCTGTTCTTCTATTTTTAGAAATTGTTTGAAATGTGCTTTTTTTTTCTATGTGACTACAGGAAGTGGTGCTTATGAGCTGGGAACACATGTGCCCAGAAAACTAGTCAACTCTGAAGCGGTTGACTTTCTGTTTCGGTTGTAAAACCCCATGCTGTTGCTGCAGAAACTTAAAAAAGAGCAAACATTTGTTGTAAAAGGCTTGGCAGTGCCAAACGATCCTGTGATGCACATTAGTGTTTGAGCCAGTGGTTCCTCACAAAATCTGTCACATGACACATCATCACCCTTTGTTTAGACTCTAGGTGCAACATTCTCCACAGCGTTTTACTGTCCCTGCCTTTAGATTCAATTGTGATACTTCTGATGGAAACTGTAAATTACTGTGACATCAGACTCCTCTCTTTGCCTGTTCAAATGCACCCTAACTTGTTTCATCCCTCATGTCTTTGTGTGTGCGCAGGCTGATTGCCAAGCCCTGCTCCCGCATACTTCAGATTCAAGCGGGAGTGCCACGACAAGCTCAGCCTAACACCATCCTGGAGAGGCTCTATCAGTCCAAATCGGTACATAAAAGCTTGCGTTTGCTCTGGTTCATTACCCAATCTTGTACACACCACCACTGCGTGTTGGTGGTGTGGTTTTACAAGCAGTTATGGTGGGACAGAAAGTTGTGTAATATTTGTTTTGTCCTTGTTAGTTTCCAGATGAAAGGCAGCTGGCAGGGCTATCAAAGCAGCTGGACTGGGATGAGCGGAAAATAGAACGATGGTTCCGTGTCCGTCGGAACCAGGACAAGCCCGGCCTGCAGAGGAAGTTCTGTGAGAGCATGTAGGTTACTGTAGAACTTCTGCTACACCTTTCTGCCAGTTGCATTTAAAAGGGAACCATCAAAACCGTGAATGCAAATGCTTTTACACTCGGGAAACTGAAGGCTTTGCTTTTAGATCGATCTTTTGGGTTGTTTTTATTTAGTCTACAGTCACACCACGAACTGAGGTCAGACTTGTGCTGTTGTATGTTTCATTCACTCTGCAGATCAAACAAAATATTGTCAAATTGGTTTTGACAAAACCGGCATTTCTTATGGCCTAGGGCCAACCTTGCTGTAATCTTATCACACCGCGGTGATGTCACATCTTCATAATTCCTGTCAAGTGTTGACAGATTGTGATACTATCTGTTTACATCAATCCTCAGAAATTTACAAGCTGCAACGGCTAGATGCATTCATCAGATAGAGTTTTTAGAAGACACTGCAGTAAATAAACAATAACTGGAGCAACGTTTTAAATATTACCGTCGGTCCGAGAGAATTTTTAAAATAATGGTCCAGCACAACAATTATGTGTCGGTCCTGTACCCCAGAAATGCAGTTCTAGATTGTGCTGGTTACACATTGTCATTTTAAAAAGATGAACTTTTATAAAAGTACTGTTTAGGTTTAAGGTGGGGAGAAAGCTCCTTTCTGGTGTAGCTCATTCCGAGCTAGCATTCCTCATTTTCCTGGTTCTTTTATTTCCAGGGGAGGAAGATCGGTCACATCTAAATCTATCCTGATACACTCAAAAATGACCATTATTATGTAGGTCTGTGTGGATCACAAACCCAGTCTTATACACGAACAAGATGCAAAACCATGGTTTGACTGTGGAAAGAACAAATCCTTCTGGTCTACTTAACGCTGCACAGGCCTAGGTCAAGTCTCAAGAGAGAAAACACATTATCCAAACAGTACCTAGTTACAAATGATATCAATGTCTGAAAATAAAGAAGAGTAGTTTTTGTTGGCAAGTACTGCCACCTAATCGGGCAGCACGTTCCCACTTTGAAACCTGATGCAATCGAAGTGTTGCGTCAACATTTTCTGCAATCACAAGACTACATTCTTGTCTGTAAATTACAATAATAAAAAACATAAGGTCACAATCAGAAATGATGATCCTTAAAAGTTTTATCCTTTTAGCTCAAAGAGAGACATGGAAATGTCTCATTGTGAAAGTTTCAGCCACACTTAGCATATGCTAACATGCTAGCATGGAAAGAATGCTCCGCTCATACTGAAAGAGTTGTAGATAAGCTTGAGAAATGATATGAAATCAGTTATTTGATCTATAATTGTCCCGTGTTCCAGCACAGCTATATTTTTTTCTTTACTCCTGCCTGCCTGTTTCAAGATGGCTACCACCGCTAGTCAAACGTAGCCTGCACAGAAATAGCTACGACTCGCTCAGTTTTGGAGACACTGAGGTCATATTTGCTTTCATCGTAGCTTAGATTCTCTTCCAACACCTGCTTTGGATGATTTTGGTTTAAAACCGTCGCCTGATCGCAGCAGGTGATATGAGTTACTTCAAGGAATGTTGGGGCCTTTTAATTAGTAGTTGTGTGCATCCTGTAGCAAAAGCTGTCATCACCTGTTTTCTCATTCCATAACCATTACGTCACAGTTTTCCAGTCAGCACAGTTGCTGCTTGGGTTGTGTTTGCCATAGTGTGATGCTCTTCATGGAAAAACCTGCAAACATTCTGATTCTTTGTAATTCTTTCAATGCAGGTGGCGATTCACCTTTTATCTGGTGATTTGTATTTATGCCATGAACCATTTGTGGGTGGTGAGTTCAACTACTGACCTATTTTTTGTTTTTCTAAATGTTCTTATGGTGCTTGTTCTTGATATGAGCACATATTAAACCTCTATCAGTGTGATGTGCGTTCTTATTAAAGCGTGATCTTTCTGTTAGTCACCTTGGATGTGGGATCTCAGAAAGTGTTGGCACAACTACCCGTTTCAGGTTGGTTCCTTTCACTTTTCTTTTTAATAACTGCAGGACAATCGTCTGCAGCAAATATTCTGATGTGAGCCCAGTATTGTGATGCTGGTGGATCTGTATGGTAACATATTTGTCTAAGGCGTATTTGTTTTCTCCTCACACAAAGCCTCTGAGTCCCCAGCAATACAATTATTATGTTGCTGAGCTGGCTTTCTATTGGTCCCTGATGGTTTCCCAGTTTACAGATGTTAAACGAAAGGTGAGTCAACAACATTGCACCTGACACACCGTCATGCTTCTTCTCATCAATCACACTGAACATATAAATCAGAAGCCTTTTCACCTGTTTCTGGTATTGATCTATATCCCCCTTCTTTTGGTCTAGCTTTAGTTGATATTGTTTAAGGTTTTATAGGATCAGCTGTTGGTGTATTTGTGCAGGAAGATAAGTGATCCCTCTTTAAACCCTGCCTGCAGTCCCAGTGATATTTTTGCATGAAGGCACAAGAAAAATTTGCCTCCTGAGACGTGACGGAAATGGTTTTTTTATTGACCTCCTGTCACTTTGAGATCCTTGGAAAACTTTGCATACTAAATTCCCTTAGTTTTAAGATGTTTCCTGCAATTCCTTCCTTGGTTTATTGCTTTCAGTCGTAACGAAATCCCCAGTTAGCCATTTTCTATATTTCTTCTTTAAGTCACGTCTTGTCTTCTTGCTTCATTCAGGATTACATCATGATGTTTGTCCACCACCTGGCCACCATACTGCTCATCACGTTCTCTTATACCAACAACATGCTAAGGGCTGGTACTCTGGTCATGTGCGTGCACGATGCATCTGACATCTTCCTTGAGGTGAATCTGTGTGTTTAAAACTTTCTTTTCCCAGAAAGGAAACATATCTAACAAATCTAAATGTATGATAACTTCTCATTGTCTGCTTTCATTTTTGTAAAGTGAGATTTTTGGTTTGAGTTGAACCATTTCTGTTATGTTTTCCCCTAAAGGCAGCTAAGCTGGCAAACTATGCCAAGTACCAGAGGCTATGTGATGGCCTGTTCGTGTTGTTCAGCTTCAGCTTTTTCCTCACGCGCCTCGTCATCTTCCCTTTCTGGTGAGAGTTCTTTACCCATCATGCTTCATCTGAGTATTAGAAGCCACTTTCACAGTCTCCTAAGCTGTGGTGTTTGTTGCAGGATTGTTTACAGCGTGCTGTTTGACAGCTGGGAGATTATGGGGCCATATCGGGCGTGGTGGCTGCTAAATGGGCTGCTGCTGGTACTGCAGACGCTTCACATCATCTGGTTCTACCTAATCAGCCGCATTGCAGTCAAAGCCATCTTCAAGGGAAAGGTTTGTTTACTTACTTTATTTCAAATCAATTCAAAAATACTTTATTAATCCCAGAGGGAAATTGATTGCTGTAGTAGCTCAGAATAATAATAATCATAATAATAAAGTCATCAAAGAGTTATTGTATATTACAATGGCTGTTGGCAGGAAGGATCTCAAGTAGCGGTCAGTGTTGCAGCGAAACTGAAGAAGCCTCTGACTGAAGACACTCTTCTGTTGTCGGACAGTCTTGTGAAGAGAAAACTCAGGGTTGTCCATAATTATCTTGATTCTCTGGAGAATCCTTCTTTGCATTATCTCCTCCAGCGGTTCCGAAACTCTGGCCAAGTCCTTGAAAGGGCTTGGAGTTCCTCCATCTTGTTGGCCAATGATCTCACGTTGCCCATTATGATAGACAGAAGAGATGGTTTGAATTTCCTCTTTCTCTGTCTCCGTTTTGCTCCCGCTCTTCATCCACGCTTCTTGCGTTTTAGCTCATTTGGGTTTTGTGGCTTCAGTTGAAGTATTATTTCAGCCTTTCCAATGTTAATCAGCTGCTCCCGATTGTAAACCAGCTTGTTGCCATGGTTATGCATCATAACAAATGCTCAAAAAGTGAAAAAAGCTAAAAAATAGCAGTAAAAATCCTCCAAGCTTCACAGCACCAGAAACAGAAAAGTGTCCAAAAAATACAGTTTTTCTTGAGAAACTAGAAGAAAAAATGCCCAAGAAAAGGCAAAACTTACATATGGTCAATTTTCACATGGAGTGGGATTTTGGGCTCACATTCCAGCTGGTATCTTGTTTAGATCAGCTGATAAAGTATCAGATGCATGCCTAAACAACAAGACCGTTCATGACTTTTGTAACTTTGTCGCTTCTGTTTCTGCCATATTTCAATGGGTTAAAACACCCAGCTTGAGTTGTGTGGCAGTTGGGAGAACGTTTGTCTGATGTATGTGGTACAGTTTCAGAAATCATCAGTGATTTAAAAAAGATCCATTTAGAAATGAATGAGTTCAGTGTTCGTAGCCAGGGTGGGAAACGGCTGCTTTAACCAGAAAAACTGGCCTCAGATTTACCTCTGTTAGAATCATTTTACGTTAAGAAATGTCATGTTTCTCACAGTGTAGCTCTTCAAACTCACAGACTGACCACGCTTTTTCCAAAGAGGCTTCAGATTACAGGAAAACACTCTGATGACTCATAGACTCCAATTAGCTCACTTTCGTGTTGGCTTATTTTAAACCTAGAAACCCAAAAGTTTCATGGAATTCCTGCGGGTGCTCCTTTGTAAAAGTAGCATAAAGTCAGGTTTGTTCAGACGTTTTTGTGATTCTGTTGCACTCAGATGCATTGTTGTTCCTCACATCACCATGACAACTAAAACTGACAGCTGATGGATATTTCATAACCATTTATTCACATAATCGCCAATGACCAGAGCCATTCATAAGTGCCTTTTCTTTATTTAGCAAAAACCTACAAACAAATGTGACTTAACCCTCCCACTGTCCTAATGGGTGGGACCCTGTGAGGAAAGTTGACCATTGAGCAGGGTTGATGGTTTATACCTTGGGTCCATGTGGCAGGGGTGAGGTGGCAGGGGTGAGGAGTGAGCACCACCTCACCCCTGCCACGTGGACCTCAAGGGATAAACCACCAATCCTGCTCAATGGTCAACTTTCCTCACGGGGTCACCCATAAAGACAGTGGGAGGGTTAAATGAGCAGCTAATATATATTTTTTGTATGATGGCACAATTAGCCTTGCAGAACTTGCATAGATGAAGCTCTTTTTCATATTTTTAATCATTTTCTTGAGCCAATGTTTGCTAAAACAACCCTTTACAGGGTTAATGAAGTGTCACTCAGACCCGTATAGCCTTCTGTGGCCAGAATACCACATTTACAACTGCAGAGTGGCGGGCCGCCACCTTTTAGACTTAGAAAAATTGTTCTGAAGCCTGCTTCCAGCATGTTTCCTGCATGTTTTAGATTATGAACACAGCTGATTTGTTTAATTTAGTTCTGAATCACTCCTGTAGACACCAGTGAAGGCTGGGAGACATTTGAACTTTTAGATAAGGTGTTAAAAAGACGAACGCACAGCGAGGGGGGAGGTTTCATGTTCGGTGGACACTAGGGGGTGCTAAAGGCAAGCAAAACTGCCAAGTGTGACTTTAATTCTTAAACCACCTTTTGTTTTTGTTTGTTTCACAGGTGGAAAAAGATGATCGAAGCGACATAGAAAGCAGCTCAGAGGAGGAGATTTGCTCCAGCAACGGCAAAAGCCCCAACCAGACTTCCAAACCGATGAACAGTCAGAGCAGTGACCTCAACGGGGAAGCTCATGACCACTGAATGGGGAAAGTAGAAATCCTTCACCGACGTGCCTGAGACACTCGTCTTTTCTTAAGTGACCTCAAACGTGTCGCGCTCCACTTGGAGCTGCATAAGTAGTTGCGTTTTTCTTTGTTTACATCTGCTGTATAATTTCTCAAATGTACAGATTGTTTTGTGGAACAGCGCTTCTGCTCACGCGTGTACATAAAGAAACAGATATTGTTTCACTGCTGTAAAAACAAACCAGTGTTTCTGGTTTAAACGTAATTTATTCTAAACATCCCAAAGATTTTTGATAACATGCTGTAATAAATGACCGAAACCAGCACTGCAAACAAGTTTTTTATTGTTTCATTTGACAACCGCTTCATCTTTTGGATGAAGTGGATGGCGGCCATCTTTAAATGGCTCTGATTTCAAAGTACTTAATCCAATGTTATTTTATAAATATTTGCTACAGCCATCAGTTAAGCATCACATGGTTATTTATAAGGTAAATCTCACCAGCAGCAGCACATCTACCACTTTCAGGTGCATCCATGAGTCAGGGGGTGGGTCAGGAAGAATTTCTGACACGAAACCTCTGGATGTCTTTTCTTCTAGGAGGCACATCATTGAGGTCTTGTTTATTAGCGCAGCTTCTGTAGAACTGAACTGTGATCTGCTCATAAAAATCTTCTATAATAAGCCAGTTTGCACAGTTTTGCTGTTTCCATGGGAAGGAAAGAAGCATCCACTTGCGTGCTTTTCTCATGGTTTCCCAGCAGAAAACCACATTAATGGAGTTTTCTGTAGGTTTTAATGTGGCTGAATGTATTAGATGATTATGAAGTAGCCTGTGAAGTGGATTTTACCTTTGACCTTTTTCAGAATTAGATATTGCACTCCTTCAACACTGCAGAGACATCTTCACTGAAGTCATTGTACTCGAGGCTGAAAGAGGAGAAAGTAAATCCATTCATTTCAAAGCTTAAAAACAACTAAATTAACTAATTAGGTTAATCAGACTTACGCCATCTCCATGATGGGTTTGTACCGCATCACTTGAACAAGTGGCGGGATGGAAGCATTGGTCTGGGAGTTGTTACTCAGCTCCAGGACCTTCAGGGTTTAATTGAATCCCACAGTGGTGCACAAGTCTTCAACACAGGCATCTGTCAGTCCTGTTGAGCAAACACGTTTAAATGAGAGCGCTCAATCAGAAGTGATTGAGACAGTCTGAGAAAATGTCAACTCACTTCAGTTCCTCTAACAAGCAGCTGGGATGTGCAACAGCACCCCAGAGAAGTTTAACTCCAGGGATTTTATTTGACAAGTCCCACTTTTCAGAAGAAGCTCCGCTCCTCAAAGACTGCTGAGGTTAAGTCGCATTGTCCCAAGCTGCGGGGTTTTAGGCAAAATGGTTTCATTTTAGTGTCTGAGAGGTGGTAGCTTGTTGGCAACCAGATAAATGTGTTTTTACCTGCAAGATTCCATTGGACTACCTGGTCGACTCGGGCCTTGATCGAGCTTTAGCGCCCCCTCCTGTCCCAACTCATTCAGTGACAAGTCGAGCTCCGACAGAGCAGTGCTCAGATTTCAAGGCCTCCTTAAAATGGGACCAGCAAGCATTTGTTAACTGCAATGAAATATACAATATGAAATAAAAGCAGGACATAAGGGTTGCCGATTAGGATTACTACAAAAAGTCTAAGGAGCTTTGAAAGAAAAGCGTTTGGACTTCTTTGAGTTGCTTGAAGATGTTTCACCTCTCATCCGAGAGGCTTCTTCAGTTCTAAGGTCAAATGGTGGAGAGTCCCGGATTTAAACCCAGTGGGAGTTTCCCCCCGAAGAGGGAACAAAAGACCCCCTGACGATCTTCTACATAAACACATGAGCCAAGGTGTGAGGGTGGCCAGAGTTTCGGGTGAGCTCATTGTGAAGCCTGGCCCCACCCTATCATGTGAATTCCTGAGGTCAGATGGCCCAGGATATGTGTGGGTGTTGAGGCATCTGGGAAGGGATCTCAAAACTGGATTATAGATGGCAGACAGTTGGTGTCGTAAACCACCGCCTCTGTTCAAAGATGGTTGCTCTTTGAGAACCTTCACAGACATTGCTACAAAAGGAATGAGATGATTTTGGTTTTTATCACTTTGAAGCAGGCTCACATGAAACTCTGCAGCTTGCAAAATGGATGCTGCAGGGCTTTGCATGTAGCTTTCACTCCACGGTCTTTTATGCAATCATTTATCAGATTCACGTTTCTATACTGTGACTGACCGGAACACAGAACTGCTGCAAAAGCCTCCATGGACGCTGCAGTCAACTCACTATCTTGCATCCTTTCAATAAAAAAATAAAAATCCACAGAATGGCACACTTTTTAAAGATTTGAATGGAGCTTTCACAATTACTGACAATTTAAATACATATTGAAGTTCCTGTAGCCGGCAGCGAGGACTGCGCATTGCTTTGCACCATTTAGTGAAGCCCGGATCCCTGAGCTGAGAAATTTATGAGGTCAACAAGGACACCAGGTCACCACAGCAGGCTGCCGTCATTCCACAGTGAAGACTTAAAACACAACCCTAAAAATAGATGCATAGCTGTAACGCTTTTGTCCTAAAAATACATTAGTCCAGAAAATGGTTTATTCTTACTACAGCCTGCTAAGCTTGCTGCCTTTACGTCCGGCACAGAGGACTTTAAACTGCTCATCACCAAGGTTAGTCGAGACATTCAGGTTCTGGGTGACTCTGGTGCTGACAGATGAAGCCAGAAGAGAAACAGCCTCTATTTGCCAGATGTGGTGTGACAAGCTGAGCACAGAAGACACGCTTAGATATGATGCTGAACAGGTGAAGGGAAAGTGCTTGACTGATGTGATGCTTACATTACCGTCTGAGACAGACTCAGCTGGATAGGACTTCCATCATCTCTTTCTGTTCTCAAGTCAGACAGACTGAATGTCTCACTTTGGCCGAGGCACAAGATGACATAAGTCAGAGCCACGCAGTCCTGCAGCCTCCAGTATGAGTGGTCAGGGGCGTTGGACTGGGGGGGGGGGGGGGGGGGGGGGTACCGTTTACCCAGGGCCCACTGCAGGGAGGGGCCCTGAGACAGCTTTGAATAAAAATGTTTTATTGTTGTTGTTTTTTCCTCCCAACTTACTTAATGTCTTAATAAACTTCCCTTTACCTGGATAAAGAGGTTAAGAAACAGAATTTCGCCTTAAAAATAATAACTGAAAAATCTCTGAGGCATCTGTCACCCCTTAAAAATGTGCAAAGTGGTTTAGTCCACACCAGCGGCCAGGGGCTGCACGGCCGCATGTACAGCTAATGAGACATAGCAGATGCCGACAGCCAGAGCTGGAGGCAGGAGAGTCAGTCATGTCTTTTCCCAAGAAAGGGAAATCTGGCTTCCAGAAAAGAAAAGAAAAGAAAAGAAAAGAAAAGAAGGAGGAAAAGTTAATTGAACAGAAGCAAATAGAAGGACGGTGAGCAGCAGAACACAGTTTTAGCTGATATAATATCAGCTAATAGCTAGCTCTCAGAAGCTGCATTCATGTTAGGTGTTGATTGTTAAACGCCTTTAGTTTCACCATCAAGATCAAATATAAATTAATTAATGTTATCAGTGAAAACACTAATTAATATATATATATATTAATCAGAATTATTATCGCGGGCGGCCGCCGCCAATTAATTCGCAGACCTCGCAGTAAAAACAGGTTCACTCTGTGTGGATATTTCAGCTCCAGTCATGGACCAGGACAAACTTGGTATCGATGGATTCGTGGTAATCTCAGGAATGTGAAGCTGCCACTGTTTTTCGTATAGCATGATGACACTGGTGTTAGAGGATTGTTATTGACTTGGTTAGATATTTTAAGCCTATTTTAAATTTCTTTATATTTGATCTTGAAAACGGACAATCTTATAATTTGGCTGATAATGCAGGGATTATAATATTTAGAGTACATTACATTCACAGAGAGAACCTGGTTTATTTCATGTCATATGTATTTAATATATCAATATATATCAGTATTAGCAAAGCTTAACATCATGAACATGACAGACATGACTGAAGAGCAGATGAAGATATCATGCCAGGCACTGATGAGAAAATATTACAAGGATCTCACAGCTGAATTTGAGAATGAGATGCTACACCTGAGAACAATATATGGTGCCACATTTCCACACATTCGGTCTCCTCTTGAGCTGCTTAATGCCATCTAGGATGCAATTACAGAGCATTTTTGGAGAAGTTTGTATTGGACTGAGGATATTTTGCACACTACCTGTGACTGTTGCTGGGGGGTGAACGGGCTTTTAGCAAACTGAAACTGGTGAAAAATTATTTGAGATCAACAATGTCCCAGGATAGACTGAACAGCCTAGCTCTTCTTTCTATTGAAAGCCAATTAGCCAAAGGATTGGACTTTAAAGATTTCATAAGTGATTTTGCTAACATGAATACCCGTCAGTGGGCATTTACTGGAAAATAAATTCCAGGATTTTTGTTTGAACACATTGTTGGCAAATAAAAATAATTATATGTGAAGTCTGGGCATTTCACTTTTATTATGCTGGCATTTGTATTTGCTCAATATAGAGGTTAAACTAAGATCATATTTATTATCTTGTCTTATAGCATGACAAAAAATGTGTAAGAGAGATATTAAGTAATTGAGCATGGGGGCCCACCTAGAAGACTTGTACCTAGGGCCCAGAATTTGGTGCTACACCCCTGTGAGTGGTAGATGCATGGACGTGATAGGAGAGTGCTCATCTCCTTCACCGAACTTTCATTCTGAGCTTGATGAAGCAGATCAAAGCGTCAGTATTTCTCTCTGAGAAATTATTTAGTGTTGTTTACAGCAGAGATGTGAACCGTGGCATCAACAAGTCAACTCCATGCCGTGATTTTGTTCTGCTGCAGCAACTGAACAAGGTTCATTCACTGTGCTGATTGAAATCTTCTGGTTTAGTTGCTGAACTGAAGAAAAGCGCAGCATGGTTTATAGCATCTAAAAAAATTACAGGTCTGCCGATATTTGAGGAAGTCCTCATTGCTATCGAGCCTATAAAGCCTGAAACTGGTTGGGAAAGGAAGCTGCCACTCTTCCCAGGATGCACTCAAATGGATTAAATGATCCACATGTTGCTATAGTCAGACACTGGTTTGCAATGACAGTCACAAGGACGTTTTACCAGGACCTGTTCTTATCAGTAGCACGCTGCAAACATTCTCATTTTTCCTTAAAGTCAGTTTTCATGACTGTAATAAAAACATATACACTCCCTGGCTACATGGTGGCACCTCAGTGCATTTAGGCATGTTGACATGGTCAAGGTGCTCCGCTGCAGTTCAAACCGAGGTTCAAAATGGGGGAGAAAGGTGATTTAAGTGACTTTGAATATGGCAGGGTTGTTGATGCCAGATGGGCTGATCTGAGTTTTTCAGAAACTGCTGATTTTCTGGGATTGTCACACACAACCATCTCTAGGGTTTACAGAGAATGGTCGGAAAAAGGGAAAACATCCGGTGAGTGGCAGTTCTGTAGGAGAAAAGGCCTTGTTGATGCCAGAGGTCAGAGGAGAATGGCCAGACTGGTTCAAGCTGATAGAAAGGCAACAGTAACTCAAATAATCACTGGTTACAACCAAAGAATGCCGCAGAGAATCTCTGAACCCACAACTCATCAAACCTTGAGGCAGATGGTCTACAGCAGCAGAAGACCACACCAGGTGCCGCTCCTGTCAGCTAAGAACAGGAAACTGAGGCTGCAATTCACACAGGCTCACCAACATTGGACAATAGAAGATTGGAAAAATGTTGCCTGCTCTGATGAGTCTCAATTTCTGCTGCAACATTCGGATGGAAGGGACAGAATTTGGCATCAACAACATGAAAGCATGGATCCATCCTGCCTTGTATCAATGGCTCAGGCTGGTGGTCATTTTCTTGGCACACGTTGGGCTCCCTAGTACTAAATTGATCATTGTTGCAACACCACAGCCTACCTGAGTATTGTTGCCGACCATGTACATCCCTTTATGACCCAGTGAACCTGTCTTCTGATGGCTACTTCCAGCAGGACAGTGCGCCATGTCATAAAGCTCGTATCATTTCAGACTGCATGGTTTCTTGAACATGAGTTCACTTTACTCAAATGGCCTCCACAGTCACCAGATCTCGGTCCAGTAGAGCACCTTTGGGATGTGGTGGAACAGGAGAGTCGCAGCAACAGCTGATGCTGTCATGCCAATATGGACCGAAGACTCTGAGGAAGGTTTCCAGTAGCTTGTTGAATCCATGCCACAAAGGATTAAAGCAGTTCTGAAGGTAAACGGGGGTCCAACCCGGTACTAGCAAGGCGTACCCAATAAAGTGGCCAGTGAGTGTATATGTCTGTGGATCTCACAAAAGAATAAATCAGCAAGTTGAACTCCTGAACTCTATTCGTAATATGAAATATGAACAACAGCAATACAACAACAACAAATACTACTACTACTACTACTACTACTACTACTAATAATAATAATAATAATAATAATAATTATTATTATTATTATTATTATGTTGGGTTTTTGTATCTAATAAAATATTATTATGTTTGGGGATTAAATGTGTGGCAGTTTCTTTTTAGTGTTTTTTTCTTTTTATGGATTTTCAACAATGTAAAAATAATAGCAGGTTACCTGTTATTTGATTTAACCCAGAAATAGTGAATTATGTCTGAAAAACAGTTCTGACACGTTTGCTTTGACCAGGAGTCTGTGATCTTTACAACCACAACACCATTTCTGTCAATTCGCCAAGAAGAGAAAACACTTGAAGCTTGAAATAAACAGACTGGACATCTAAACACGACTATTAAATTAAGGAACTAGAATAAATTGTTCATATTTTCATGTCAGGACAAAAACCTAAATATATTGTGTTATTTCTCTCTATTTGTAGAAAATGTGTGCCCATCTCACTTTGACATTTTAGTTCAAACACTTTCATCCTAATTAATTATGAGTGACCATAAAAAGCCAATTTGCTGGATTTTTTATTTGAACCCACTGAATTTACTTGTTTAGGTTCACATCTGTGTATATTCTGCATTTCATTTAACTTCACCATCTTGCTCACATGTGAGATCTAAAACATGGTTGATTACAGCAAAAAGACCTTTAACAGGTTTGAAAAAGTTTTGTTTTCAGCAAATAGTAATATTCATTTTAAACACACAAGTCATTTGTTCAGGTAGATTGTACAGAAATCATTATAAAGGCCGACTCTGACGGCTGTTGCTGCAGCAGGTCTGCAGCCTGCTTCCTGCTTTATTTGTAAGTCATGCTCTGAGTCATCTTGATGAGAACTGGGCCTGACGTCCCCGGCAGATTCTCTATATATAAATTAAACACACACAAGACAGGATCAGACGTTTATCAGTGCCAGTGTGCCAACAGTGCAAAAACAAAGAGCCCCGTGACCACTAGGTGGCCCCCAAGGTACAGATTTACTCTCAAAATATTGTAGTTAGAGTTTCTTTGATCAACCAGATTTTTATTTGTTTTGTCGTTTTTAATTTCCATTTCAAGAACCCAGAGTGATCCTTTTATAAATTTGAAATACAACAAAGTGATTCACAGCCACAGAAACTGTAGCGTACAAAAAGGAGTGGCTCCAATCAGTGCTTCTGATCATTTAGCAATACTTTAGAGAGGTTCTAGCTTAGGAAGAGTAAGATGTAAATAAATGTTTGTGAATGTGGTTTTTACAGTGAAGTTGGAAAGCATTGTGTCATCCATATAGACGATACTCACCTCTGGAAGGTGCTGCTTGGTGGGTTTGCACTGGATTATAGTTCAGAGTCATTCTAAGGGAGTAGACAAACACACTATGAGCATTTATATTTTAGTGAGGTACTTTCATTTGGAGCTGAAGGAAAACTGAGCACTAGAGTAGCATGTAAGAAAAACAAGAATTACAAAAGCTGGCTCCAGGGGGAGCTGCATGCCTCTAACAACAGTTGTTTGTCATGAGGTTTTACCGTTTGCACCAACAAGTTTCCAGTGACTCTCCAGTGTTATGATATTTATCAAACTAAAAACTTATCGGATATCTGCGTGTTTAACCCACCTGCACTCCTCTGCCTCCAGCATTTTCTTATAAGTGGATATCTCTATGTCGAGGGTCATCTTAATGCCCACGAGGGTCTGGTAATCTTTGATCTGTTTGGCCATTTCCAGTTTGGCCCTTTTTAGAGCTTCCTCCAGGTCCCGGATGTGGTATTTGGCATACAACGAGGCTTTTTCCCCATCTGCTTCCATCTTGTTGATGCCATCTTTAAGGTTGGCTGCCTGTAGCAAAGTTAAAATTCAGGTACATTTGTGTTTGTTTGTTATTTATTGAAAAGAAAAAAAATATACAAAATTCAGAAAACTAAGCTGACGGCAAGTCCAAGACACAAACTAATTAGGATTAATTTAGGATTGTTTTAAAAATGTAGCCTGCTGCCTTTGAGTTTGTAACTAACATTAAAGTCACTAACCTGCTTTTTTACAGCAGAAATCTCATTCTGGAGGTGGGCGATGAGTCCTTTCAGGTGAGCAACTTCATCCTGAGTGTTATGCAGTTGACTGTCATACTGGCTCGCCTGAGCAGCCATCTGGTCAAACTGGTGCCGATGGGGTGAGGACAAGGGAACAAGGAAAATAAAAATGAAAGGAGTAACCTGTAATTGTCAAACTTGTCAAGGACAATTCTGCTGAAAAATATTTGGATCATCTCATTAATGGTTGAGGATTAGCTGTTTGATCTTTCTGGTTTTGAACAGAAACCCAACTGAGGTCATAAACAGCAGCGCGTCAGTAGAGAGTACGCAAGTTCATCATGATCAATATAATTTGGTGCACGTTTTATGTCTGTGATGTTACAGATTTGTAGAACCCAGAATCGAATAGAATAAAACATTATTATCTTAACATTAGAGCTGTGATTGACTGAAACTCTTTAGTAATGATTATTTCTGATTATAACTGGCAACTCTGAGTTTTTCATGCAGGCTGAGTGCAAAAATAGTCTCCTACACCTGTCTCCTGCATTTGCTTCTGATAGAAAATAGACTGTGAAATGCTAGGATTTGAAAATCCTCACATATTTATGTCAAGCTGTGAATTTGCATTCATGACCTTGCCCATCTCGGCTTGCGCCCATCCGCAGGAAACCTTTTTAAAAAACACTGTTGCAGCGAGGGGAGAGGGCGATAGTGACTTTGCAACATGAACGTGTTCTGTTAGCCAATCAGAAGAGGGGTATGCGCATATCATTAATAATAAGTGTCAGCGTGTGGCGGTTAATGAAGCGGATGCAAGGATCCATATCCGGGTGAGGGAAGCAGGTAAGCAGGCACACAGGAACGATTAAAGGTTTTAATAGAGAACACGCTAACATAGAAACAATGATCCAACAAGAGACACAGAACTGGAGGGGTTTAAGTACAAGAGGGCTGGGAGCTTGGGTGATTGGGAAACGAGAAGCAGGTGGGAGCAATTAACATGGACACAGGACTGAACAGAATGGGGAGACAGGACAGGGTGTGACAATAGGTAATCCTGCTGTTTTCAGCCCACCTCTGCACCAGCAAATTTCTGCATCTCAGAACAGGAGCATCGTAGCTTTTTAAATGACTCATAAGACATTGATTTACACTGGAGAACGCAGCACATGTATTGAATAAATCACACCTTTAATATCCTCAGTGGGGACATTTAGCAAAAAAGTAGAATCACTAAAACAATTAGAGGCCGTGGGGTTAAAAATCACACACATTAAATATAAAAATCTAATTTACTATATTAAAAAAACACGGTGTAGTAAACTGTAGTAGAATATTTACTACGAGTGAGAGCACAAATAAATATAATTATAATAAAGTAACAACAAAAACTATGCAAAAATAAAAATATCACCAAAAGTACAAGGAAATGCACTAAATATAGCTGGAATAGTTACAATTTGTTTTTGACCCAGGGTCGTCCGTCTCACCTGCGTCCTGTAACAGGTCTCAGTTTCCTCCTTGCTGCGAGCAGCGATTTCCTCATAGTGAGCCCTGACACTAGAAATGATGTGATCCATGTCCAGGTCTCTGGAATTATCCATCTCCACCACCACACAGGTTTCCTGTGTGCTCCCCATCAGCTCATCCAGCTCCTTTAACAAAAACATCACACACATCAGTGAGAAAACTAGATATTGGTTTAAGATTTGCTTTGACCTCTTTTTGGGGGGAGAATTAGCAAAGTGAGGTTTTGTATTTTGTACCTGATCATAAACAGCTTTGAGGAATGCTATTTCATCCCCCATCGAGGACAACAACGTTCCAAGATGTGACAGAGAGATGCGTCCTTCGTCCACATCCTGGTAAATTAAAAAATAAATGCTGTTTTGGTAATTTTTTTTCTCTTTTGTATGTGACATGCTTCAGTTACCTGATTTAAATGACTCCACTAATTATTCAGATTTGATATATGTGGATAAATCTTGAGATTAAAGATAAAGGTGTTTTGTGCTCACCTTTTTGAGGTAGACCAAACAATTCTCTGCATCAGTCCTCTTGTTCCTTTCATCTTCAATCCTGAAACAGTCAAAAACATCTCACCACATGGTCAGATTTTAATCACTTCTTCCCTAAAAATCTCTATGTCCAACCTGCAGACTCACTTTTCCCTGTAATCATCCACCAGTTTGTGCATGTGTTCATTTTCCACGCCAAAAGCGTGCTTGTCTCTGTTGAGTTGCTCCAGCTGTCGTTGCAGGCTGCTGATGTAGGAGTTGAAGAGCGGATCGATGTCAGAGGATGCAGCGCTCTGTTCCTGCAGCAGTTTCCACTTGGTTTTCAGAAGTTTGTTCTGCTGCTCCAGGAGTCGGACCTGGGAGACAAAACAACAACAACTCAGTCCAAAATGTAGCCTCTGAGCTCCAAAAAGCTAGTTTCCCTTAGACCTGTGACAATCCTTTTTACTTTATCTATGAATGAGACAAAGCGGTTGTTGAGGCCCTTGATCTTGTCTTTCTCCTGATTGCGAAGAGCTTGGATTTTGGGGTCGATTTCTAAGTTGAGAGGGGCGAGCAGGCTCTTGTTGACGGACACTGCCGTCACCAGCTCAGAGTTGCTGGTTTTAGGGTTGGTGGAAGATCCCAAAGCTGGTCTGGTGAAGCTTCTTGCAGAGAAGTGATGCTCAGAGCGGCTTCTGCGTTTGTTCCTCAGACTCATGATGCTGTTGTTCAGGATTCTCACAGCCAAGGAGGATGAACAGATCAGGTGGTGATGGTTCTCTGCAGTGCATCGTTTATCTGTTCTGGAGACTTTATAAAGCAGACGCGGGAGTGGTGTGATAACCGAGTTTATGAATGTGGATTAACCAGTCCAATGCCTCCCACCTACCCCATCGTCATTTATGTTTCACTAGAAACTCTTTTAGCTCTGTCAGCAGAGTGAACCAGGAAATAACCACGAGACAAAAAAAGATGTATGAACACCAAAGCATGGATGGCAAGCTTCTTGATTTTTAACAGTCATCTTTACTTTTTCTAACCTTTATTTTGTGTCACTTGAGGTAAAATCGGTTTTTTGAGGGAGACCTGGAAAATAACAAAATGGAAGATGAGAAACTCTTACTAAAGATAAGAAACAACGTGTGAAATCAAAACAGTCACTCACATTATTGGAATTATTCAATGTTATGTTCTTTTCTGCACATTTACGTCACCTAAGTCATCACTTTCCACTCCTGACTTATCTGTTTGATCAAATTTTGTCAACTTTACCCACACCCACCATTCTCTGCAATCTTCTTGATTCAGTGAAAAACAAAAACAGGGAGAGAGCTGTAAGTATTTAGACTCCACCCTAAAAACATCAGCCAGAAATAGTTATTGATTGAGACATTTGGAGTTTCTACAATTGACTATCAGTCATGTTGTCTTCGTTTCTACGTCTTTCCAGATGATACCCAGATTTATTTGTCCTTAAAATAAAAAACTAAGAGTTCCGACTGTACGGAGATTTGGGTTTGCTTCACAACAGCAGAGCATCACTAGTTTTGATCTTCTATTTGATGTTTCACCCTGAAGGGTTCTCCTCCTTCTTTTCAGCACCCTGAAGGAGAGCTGCAGCTTTTCTTTTCAGGGCAAATTCAGCTTATTCAAGCGTTTGCTTCAAACTCCAAGGAGAAATATCAAATACCAGAGTAGTTATTTCCATTGACAAACACCTTGCTTTATTTTTGGATTAATAAAAAAAATCATTCACACTCTGACACGATTTTCTCACAAAGCACACAGAACGTCTGACACTTCACTCTCAGAGCACTTCATTTAAAAAAAAGGCTTTAAATAAAACGAAAACTGATTTGAAATGTTGCTGCAGTTGCAGCACACACTGTGTTTATCAAGTGTATCTGTGTGTGTGTGGGCTATGACAGCTGCATGTGAAGCTCTTACTTGATGCAACAGCTTTATGACTTTTTCTGGACTGACTGCTTCTCCTGGATTACCGCTGAAGCATTTCCTCCACACATCTGAGCAGGGAGCACTCAAGAATTCTGATTTTACTTCATCAAATAATTTTCTTCATGACATGCAAACATTAGAAGTGAAAGAGGTTTTAGTTTTATTTACTTTCATAGACAATGAAAGCTGTGGCATTAACAGACCGCCTGAAAACAAAAAAACTGGTTTGTTCACTTAATGTCAAAATGTGTTTAATCTTTTTGGAAATTCTGCCACAGCCAGTCCTGCGCCTCATTTAAAAACAAACAAACAGAAACACAGCTCTAACTTTCTCACACAACCAGGTCCAGGTGTCCTCTGATTGTTTGTAAAGTCTGAATGCCACTGGAGCAAAGCCATCTGCACAACATCGCTCCACCATCAGAGGTAAATAAAACAACAAATCTGAGAATATTATAGACTTAAGCTCTTCTCTTGTTTTGTCAGATATGAAGGTGACTGCGTTTGACAGACAGAGGTTTGCTGTTGCTAAAGTTTCAGATCCAGCTGTTCTCGCAGCTCTTGTTCAGGTAAAATGCTTCCTTTTGCTCCAGTGAAGCAGGATGTGACTAATTTCTGTCTGTCTGAGAGCTTTACGAGGCAGCAGAGGTTTCAGCCATTAGGGCAGGAATGCATGCTTTTTGGAAAATAGCCAAGTGCTTTCAAATCTGAAAATGAAAATATTTTCTTTCATCTTGCTATTATTAAAGCTGTCTTCCAACCTTTGTAAGAACTTCTCTGGAAGCAAATGCTAAGTTTTTTTTTGGGGGGGGGGGGGGGAGATTTGACATCACAGTGATTGAGTGCTTCTCACAGAACAACTCACTGCTTTGGTTTTATCCAGAATGGACTCCTGCAACGCGCTGTATGTCAGCATAAGTCAGGGTACGATGATGCGATTACAATTAGTCCAAAATGTGGCTGCTGGGTTCTTGACAGGCACTACACGTAGAGAGCATATTACTCCTGTGCTGCTATCTCTGCACTGGCTCTGCACTTCAGGGTGAAATTCCTGATGGTAACTCTGGTGTATACGGCTCTTCAGGGAACTGCTACTTCTTACCTGGCTAGCCTTTTGAACTCCATCAAGAGCCCTCCACTCGGCTGACAGGGAACTGTTGGTAGTTCCACATTCAAAGTACAAGTTACGGGGGGATTGTACATTCTCAGTGTTGGCTCCAAGGCTATGGAATGAAATGCCTCTAACTGTGCATCAGTCACCTTCCTTGCTGGCTTTTAAGTCTCGTTTGAAGACACATTTTTATGTCATGGCTTTCCAACAGCAGATGTAGTGTGGCTTCCTTTTCCTGCATGCAACGTGTGTTTTTTTTTAATTAGCTTTAATGTTTTTACAGCTGTTTTGTACAGTGTTACTTGTTGTTGATTGTTACATTGTCCAGCACCTTGGGCGTGTGATAAGGTCGCGGAAGATGCTTTTCAAATAAAGTGAAATCAAAAAGTGCAATAAAATAATTAATATTTTCATGGTGGCATGAAAGTTTGCAAAAAACTTTTCATTGACTAAGGACAATTGCATGATGTCATAGTCAGGTCTCTGTAGTGCATGTGTGTTTTATGTAGTTTGACGTGTCAATTAAATCAGGTTTGCCAACTTCACTCAGCTATCTGCTTCTGTGCACACACACACACACACACACACACACACACACACACACACACACACACACACACACACACACACACACACACACACACACACACACACACACACACACACACACACACACACACACATTAATATCTCTTAATGCTACTCATTTTGATTTCCTCTAGAATATAATGCAATGCAAATGCAAACTTGACAGAAGAAACAGTGAAACATTCGCACTCAATCGAGTGATAAAAGCCCATTTCTTTGACAATAATCTTATTGAGCAGTGCTTCTCCTCTCCTGATGACAGGAGTTACTAGAAATGTGGAAAACCACCAGTAAATAAAGCTGCCACAATTAACTCGCAAACTAATAATTTGCTGTGCCTGGTAATTGTTAGATAGGAATGAAGTGTTAGTCAAATAGTTTCTTTCTTTTTTATATAATCTTAAACTTTGACAATATTATGCTTCAGGGTGAGGCAGCAGTTCAAAAATGAGTGGAATTTGGAAGACTATTTCAATTTATTTGAACTAGGGTCTCTAATCTGAATATTTCGTGATTAATTGTATTAAAACATTAAATTATATGTTAGCTAAATGAATCTCAATTTAGAGACATCAGTTCTTTGTAGCTTTATTGAAATACATCAGAACCAGGCCTGTCTGTCTACATTTTGTAATCCATGGATCCCACAAAGACCGACTTTAAAAAGAGTAGCAATATATTCTCCCTGAAACAGCAAAGGGAGACACTTAGTTGACTGAATGAAAATAGTGTGCATGATGCTACTCCAGAACGTGTTTAAAATCACAACCTCATATGGTGGCGGCAGCATCATGATGTGGGTATGTTTTTAAGAAATCCCTGGATAATTGGTCAAATTTGATTGCACATCACACATCGTATTGTATGAAACACTTCCTGGGCGACACCCTGCATGCTTGTGCTGCTCCTAACTCTTTTACAATTAGCCTCAACCAGCTGATGAGTAGGTTGGACTGGTATGAGTCATTAACAGTCTTTCATACCCAGACTGTCAAAACAGAAGGAAGGTTTTGTAGATAACTTGTTACAGTGGATTCCTGAATGGCTGCCAGTTCACCCAGAACGTTTTCCAGAGGTGGCTTTCAGAGGCTGAGTGTTGCCACTGTGTAGTGTTTAAAGTAAGGATGTGCATGACATTTACACTTTAGACTTGGTATATGAAAGGGGGCAGTTGCATACTTGACTGTCAGGAATTTTCTGAAACAAGCTCACTTGTAACCTTGATTAAGGTCCCGGCATGCAGCTGCGTTGATATTTGGCTACAATAGGGAGTGAACCTTGTTTTTACTCCAAAATCTCCAAATGCCAAAATAACTAGTTGATAAAACAGTTAAATGTTAAATAGCCTGTATTTGTAGAGCCTTCTAGAGTACTAGAACCCCCCAAGGCACTTTACAACACAATCAGTCATTTACCCATGCACACACAAATTCACACCCTGGTTGTGATGAGCTGCAGTGTAGCCACAGCTGCACTGAAGGGCAATGACAGAGGTGAGGCTGCTGAGCACTGGCGTCATCAGGCCCTCCGACCACCAGCAGCAGGCAATAGGGGTTAAGTGTCTTGCCTAATGACACAACAGCAGCATGCTCTGTTGGGAGCCAGAACCGATCCTACAATCCTCCGATTACTGGACACCCAGCTCTAGAGAAAACTTTAATCAATTCAGCCATTTTCAAAACAAACAAATAAATAAACTTTTGAAACATACTGCAACAGAACACTAGAACAAAGTAAAAATGTTAAGGCAACATCTAAAAAAGTGAAAGATAAAATTAGAAATGAGAAAGACAACAACAAATTGGTACAAATGCATTTCCCTGTTTCTCCATTCCAGAGTTCCCAAGATGATGTGTTGAACCCACAGAGGGAAACACTCTCCTACTGCAAAGAGCTTCAGATGTTGAATCTCACCAAACTTCAAAGATAGAAGTTTCCAAATCTCTCATTCATCTTGAAGTTTTCTTTTTGTAATATACTAATTTAGAAGCCACATAACGATATAATTTACATTATAATAGAAAAATACATAAATGTTGTGTTTGTTCATTTTTACATTAATAACTTTCAAGAATAAACCTTTCCCCCCAGAAACAGTGATGTAATTTATTTTCTGTCAAACAGAATAAATTGAAGTGAATGGATTTCTTGTTGAGTAAATCTTTGGATCTTAACTGTATTGTTATGCTTTTTAATTCGTTTATATTGCAGTAGTATGTGTTGTGTTTTTTCATACAGATGAAATAATCTTGACGGAGCTTTATTCAGCCATCTTTTATTCTCGCGCTGCATACCAAATCTCGCGTGAGTTTGGGCTTTACTTTCCAAAACAAACGCAAGACCCTTTGATGCCTTAAAGTTAGGCACGTAAGTTCGGAAATTTCATTTTTAAACACATGCTCTCTAATAAAGTAAGTGAAAACATTTTTAAATGCTAATATGAATTTGTTCAAGTGATATTTTATTTTCATGTGATCATTTAGAAGTATCGTAAAGCCACAGCATCCCTTCATTTGCCGAGGAGTTGTTTGAGATCTGTTGTTTACGCGTTTTCCACAAAGCAAGTGAAGGAGGCTTACGCTAATCACGTGACTCACGACCAAAACGCAGAACCGAACCTGGTCAACAATTGTGCTAGAAGGTGTCTGAAGCCTTTAAACTTTATCACCCTCCACTCAGCAGCAACCTAAATTGCACCAAGCCATCGTTCACCTGTCCGGTAGACAGGCCGTCTCAATGCATCACAGAGGACCGACAACACCGAGGCTGCCATGGATGTGTACGATTTGTTTAGTAGTTGCAGGAAGGGTGACATTTGTAGAGTCAGGTAAGTGGCGGCTTCCGCTGACCTGATTGTGGATAAAGCTGATCGAGAAATGTATATTTTACATGGTTTCCATGAAAACGAAGAAAACAGCAGCCTTGAGGTTAACTAGGATGCGTTTGCACAGATGTGACTTAGTCACTGACAAATATTTTCGTCTCTCTGATATGTTTGCACTGTTTTTCCTATTAAACACTTTAGTTATATTTCATTTATACGAAGTGCTCTTCATATTACGTTTATGAATAAATCAAAGCTGTTCTGCAGAATTTATTAAATAAACAAACAAAACAAAACAACAAAATAAAGGTGGCCTTGGGATTGTTTTTATTTCCACTAAAACCGTTAGATCGGTTATTTCATATTTGGGGACTTGTGTGTACCTCCACTTGACTATCTGTTCATATCTCATTCAGATACCTTGTTGAGCAAAGAGATGTGGACCTCAATGTGAGAGATAAATGGGACAGCACCCCTCTGTAAGTCTGACACCTGCAGGAAATCCAGTCTAGTAGGTATCTAACATCATTTAAGGAAATATTTTCATTTTGTCCAACAGCTATTATGCCTGTCTCTGTGGTCATGAGGAGCTGGTCCAGTACCTGTTGGCTAGTGGTAAAATTATTCAGTCTTTCTGATTTAATTAAAGCACCTATAATCAAAGTAAAGAAGTCACAAAATAGTGTTTATATCACTTCACTATCAGGCGCCAAGTGTGAAGCCAACACGTTTGATGGTGAGAGGTGTGTCTACGGCTCTCTGAGTGACTCGATACGACGCCTGCTGAAAGACTATAAGTGTGTCAGCGTCCGAGCCATGCAGAGGAATGACTTTAACTACTTTCTGCACATGTAAGAGTCATATACTTCTGTTATTTAATTTTAAAGAAAGTGCAAAAGGAGAAACAAACATGCATAGCATTGCACTGATACAACACTGTAAATAAAAAGTGTTTTTGCATTTTACCTGTAGGTTACTGGAGCAGGGTCAGCACAGCGACGTCAAGTTCCAGGTTCATGGACAAACATTTCCAGCCCACCGATGTGTCCTCAGTGCCCGCTCAGAGTATTTTACAGAAATGTTTGAGACCAAGTGGAATGGGAAGAGCCTGATCACACTCAAGCACCCTCTGGTAATCAAAATGATCTGGCTGACTAATTCTGTCATACTTGCTTTGTTACATTGCCATAAAATGTGTTTTGTTTTAAGATAAATCCTGCAGCCTTTGGAGCAATTCTGCAATATTTTTATACTGGTAAGTGTGTACTGAAGCATCAAGTTATCTAGCCTCTACTTGGGAATAATGTAGAAATGTTGCAGTATTATTGTGCCTTTAGGTAGATTAAAAAAACGAGCTGCTTGTTAAATATCTAATTTGTCTTAATAAGAAACAAAGCTGCAGAAATTCCAGCAATTTTAGCAAAATTGGAGATGGAAAAAATGTTCTTCTAAGTTCAATCTTATAATTTCTTCTTGCACCTAATAAATCATAAGATTGAACCGAGAGCTCCGGCCCCTTCCCTTTTCGTTTCACGCTTTCGATCCTGGCCGTGAGAACCGGAACTCAACTGGATGCAGCGCGGATTTCCTGTTGTTTATGTTATTTAAGTATTTTTGTGTAAATCTACAAGTTTAACTAAAAAGGTGTTAATGATCACCATTCTTTCTTTGTTGCAGGACGAATGGATATTGACATAAATCTGGTGGAGGACAGCAGGCGACTCGCTAAGCAGTGTAAAATGACAGATCTAATAGAAGAGCTGGAGAATAAATGTAAACAGGTCTATGACTTTGGTAAGACGTCACCCTGCCTGATCCGTTTGTTTGTGTAGAACTGTTTTTTCTCAAATTGTGTTTTCTTTCATACTGAAGTGTCATCCAAGCCAGGCACCTATGTGCATGTTCTCAGCCTGGAGCCTCACACGTGTCAACTCCAGGAGGAGATGGCTCAGTTAGCGGACAGCGCCTTACCCACTGAACTACAAGTAAGGACACAGTGGCAATGAAATCATGATGTTTAACACACCACAGCTGTTTTTATAAGTTGTCTTCTGCTATTTCTGCTCAGGTAGGATTTGGTGAGCTTCCTTTCAACAGAGTCAACCGTTTCCCAACTTATCCTGATATCTGCTTCAGAGTGGAGGGTTATGATTTCTTGTGTCATAAGGTACAAGCTGCAGCACTCACACTCTGTCCAGATCCTCGTGAATGCAAATGCCAGATTTGTTGTTGCGGGTATGTTTGCAGGCCTTTTTCTGTGGACGCAGTGATTATTTTAAAGCCTTACTGGAGGATCACTTCAGCGAGGGAGAGCAGCTGCAGTCCCAGCCCAGCACCCCCATGCTTACGTTACACAACATCCCCCATGAAATCTTCATCCACATCATGTACTACATCTACACGGACGACACGGAGGTTTGTGCTCAGCTTCTGCAAACAAATGAGATGCTCATTGTGATGAACTACATCATCATCAAATGCTTTTTGTTGCCGTTTGTTTCCTGACTGGTTACTCCGTGTGCAGCTGAGGATGGAGGACGTGTTTGATGTTCTGTGCGTAGCTGACATGTACCTGCTGCCGGGGTTGAAGCGTCTCTGTGGGAAGACACTCGCGAAGACAATATGCGAGGAAAACGTCCTGCACATGTGGAAGACGGCCAAGCTTTTCCGTCTCTCTCGGCTGGAAGATCAATGCACAGAGTTCATGGCCAAGATCATTGAGCGGGTGGGTGTCTGTTTCTACGTGATGATGTCATCCAAGTTTCATTAAGCCTGAATAACCGTATGCTTTAGAAAGAGTTTGTTTTATTATTGTTCCAGCCTCAGATTTGGTGTTTATAGAGTATTTTTGGACTTCTATATTAAACCTTTTGAGTTTTTTTTCTTTTTTCTTCCAAAACTACCAACTGATCTGAGCAGCAATTGACCTGTAACCACCTTGTGCTTCAAAATAAAATTATAATGGACAGGTTAAGGTGGTGAAATATTCTTAAATATATGGGTGTGTGGGTGCATGCTTTTATTTGGCCTTCATTAAGTTTGATGGGGGAGATTGCTTTAGAGGCAGAACAGTTGTTTGTGCTATCTGACTAGCCTTTTATCTTTGGCACCACATTTCTAACTAAAGTCTACTTTCAGAGGCCACATTACAATATTTTCATATCTGTATTTGGATAAAAGCTTTGATAGTGTTGGAGCTGTGAGAAGTGGTGTGGGAAAGCGTGCTTACATCCTGAATTCACGTCCATGCACCCATCTCACCTGTGTGTCACAGCTGGTGGAGCAGGCTGAGTTTGCGGAGATCATCAAGGAGGATGCTGCATCGCTGGAGGAGCGACAGGAGACGGACTCCGTCCCTCTGGTGGACGACATCCGCTACCACATTGCCAGCAACGTGCAGACGTACAGTGCGATCGAAGAGGCCAATCAGAAGCTGGAGGCCTTGGAGGAGCTGCTTTCTAGCATTAATATTGACTGCTGAATGGAGTTATTGTGTGTCAGATGTAGATTGCTTAATTGTACTCTGAAAACATGAAATGGAAATACATAAACACTTGTATGTTTGTTCATTCCAACTTCAGCGTATCACAGATCTGAAAGGAGCTTGTGTCATACTCAGAAGTTACTAATCCGACTGATAGTTCAGAACCTCCTAATAGCGGATTTACTAAATGTTTCAAAATAATATTGAGTTGAAGTGAATCTGCTGATCAAAGTCTACAAAATGGGTTGTGAATATGTTGTGTTTTACATTTATACAACAGTTTGCAGCAAACATGCATGGATTACATTTGTTTTTGCCACCAGATGTGTCAGATTGGGTTTGACACGACAGTTTTACCTGAAGCAGAGGGCGGAGGCGGCAGAGTGACCTCGGCTCGGACGATCGAGGAGAGATTCAAAGCTGAGTGAATGTTTGTTTTCAACTTTTTACACAGCATCACTTTTGCATCAGATGTTTATTTAAAGTGAAAACTGTGTAACTGATGCAATAGTTAAGTGGTATAAAAAATAAAAAATATGATCCACTCCATTACCTCCACCTAAAAGACTGATGTACATTTTAGCTGTTTTTGATGGTGGAAATCTTCTAATCTTGACTCCCAATAGGAACTTTTCCCTGATTCTCCCGACTGAAGGTGCTCTGACTGACATTTACTGCCAGTTAAATATCAAAAGCTCTACTTCACTTCCTAAAATATCAACCTGAATGTGTCAATTGGAAATGTGGTTTTGCAACATGTTCATAACATGTGAAACTTCTTTGAATTTCCTTTTTTATATATACAAAAAGAACAGAGACAATGCCACGTTCTAGAAAACAAAATGAAAACTGTTTAAAATAATAAAATGTCCCGTTATTTGTTAAGAGGAAATATTTTATGTATAAATTTCTTATTTTGATGTTACTTTTCCAGCTCCTGTTCACCTCGCCCTGTCTTCTGTGTTGATATTTACTTTCAGCCCCCTTGAACACTCACGCACTTTAACTTCAGATGAATTCACTTTGCAGCAAATCCCCTTTGCCTTATTGTGTGTAACCTAAAACCTGGTTCTGCATAGCGTTGGCCTTTGACCTCCTGCTTGTATGAAAACTATGTGACTGTCGCACCAATAAAACATGGCACAAAGCAAAAACTGCATTTGCCTTTGTAAAAATATTACTGAGAGCAGAATCTTCGCATTGATTATGTATTTGTTGATAATAGTATTTATTTCATTGGGAATGAAATGGTTTTCCACACATAGCTATCCCACCAAGATTTATAAAATAAATAATTTCTCCTCCAACACTGTCCTGAGAATTAAAGACAAAAACGTTAACTGCGTTTAAAACAAGCTACAAATCTAATTGCCCATTGGTGGGTAACAGAACTGTGACACATTCAGCTAAGTCCAGTTTCCAGGCTGCTTTTCTAACCTGGAGATTTTGGGTCCTGCAGCTGTTGAACGAGAGTCAAGAAACATTCTGACTTTTAAACAGTAGGCTTTAATAATCTGGACTTTCCCACCCAAGAGTAAAAACATCAAATTGCTTAGCAACAACCACAAAACACTTGCAAAGAAATCTCTGCTAGGGCAAAAACAAATTGGACTTTTTTTGTTGTCAGTTTTAAGGCTTTCAGTGAGACAGGCTAGAAGCCAAGAGCTTTGTTTTCTAGAGAGAGGCTGACAGCAGCTCAGCTCCACTGCTACGATTTCAGCTTCCAACATGGGGCTCCGTTGGGAGAACTAACAACTTTGTTTTCATCAGTGCCTTATTTTTCCAATTCCTTCATAAAAGTCATAACATTCTTGTCATATAAATGTTGCAGGTTTTATGAGTAGTGCAGCAACAACAAAATCACAATAAAATCAGTAGTAGAAAAAAAAACAACTAAATGTTGTGGCCCGCATGATAAATAGACCAGTGAAAACATATAATAATGACTTTTTAATGAAACTTTTATTTTTTGAACGATTTGAAAATGATCTAATTTCCTTTTAAATGTGTAGTTGACAGAAAAAACATTTTTGAAATGATTACTTCTGAATATAAATGGTCACTCTGAGTTTTTCATGCAGGCTGAATATGAAAACGGTCTTTTCTACACCTTTCTGCTTCTGATAGAAAATAGACAGTGAAATGCTAGGATTTGAAAATCCTCACACTGTGATGTCACACTGAATTTGCATTCCTGGCCTCACCCATCTTTGCTCGCACCCGCCCACAGAAAGACTTTTTTTTTTAGTGTTTTTGCAGTGAGGAGAGAGCGGAGAGTGGGTGAATTTGTGTGACAGGATGAACGCCCTGTCACTGTGACCCGAATAATCATGCGCCCTGGCTACTTGGCCAGAGGGATGTTCCTTTGGCTGACTGGTTAGCGCACGTGACTCTCACCCGGGAGTCTGGGGATCAAATTTTGCCTGGGCCCTCGTTTCTCCACCTTGCCACATTTGCAACATGGCTGAACGTGTTCTGTTAGCCAATCAGAAGTGAGGTGTGTGCATATAATTAATAATAATGAGTAATGCTGCTGTTTTTAGTCCATCTCTGCACCCATGGAGGTAGTTTTGACTTTAGAAGTGGGGCGGGGGACACAACTGGCATGAGGACCGGGGGGTCTTTACAGTATGTTCTAATGGTAAACGGGCTTTAACACATGTACCCCCCCCCAATTAATATAATCCATAATTGCTTTGGAAAAATTATTCCTGTAAACTTGAACAATTATACTTGTTGTTATGGCCAGAAAAAGTTTTAAAAGTTAGTATTGTTGTGTGTTTTACTAACTTTTATCCCTTTTCTTTCTTTTTTCATGTGTGGGGGTGTTATGGCCACCAGCCTGGCCTCTTCAGGTGCAGGAGCCAGGATCACTCGGCCCCGGTGATCAGCCTGACACCGCCCCTCCTCCTCCTCTCCTCCAGGCTGCTGAGGAGCACAGCTGACCTGAATCCCTCTGACGACCCACACCTGGGATAAAAAGGCTGTGGGCATGTCTGGGAGCAGCAGTGCAGGGGTTCTGCTGTCCTCCAGGCCTCAGATTTTGTTTTAAACACCTCTGAATTGATGAGTTTTAACTGTAAAGGTTTTAACTCTGAGTAATGAGGTTCAAAAGTTAAAACGCTGAGTGATCCATATGGATCTTTGGTTGACTCAGTTTTAACCCTCTGATGCATGAATTATGAAAGCCTTGAACAAGATTTTTTTCTGAAGTGCTTTTATTCTTCTCAGGACATGAAAAAAAAGGTTCAACAGTTTTTTTCCAAAAATGTTTTTTTAAGAAGTTATAGACATGTCCAATCCAGTGGACTGCATGCGCCTGAGCTCTCAACATTAAGCACTGTACTTACTGTAAAAATGAAGTACCTTGTGTTCTATTGTAAATATACAAACACTTGTTTGCTTGTATGCTTTGAAAAACATTTCTACATTATTTTGAGCTTTCATCTCTATTCAGCCCCAATGTTTAGGCGTAAATAACAAAACAAATGAACAGTCATAGCTTTGAATCTTACATCTGAATATGCCAAACTAGTATCTCCAACAGGAGAAACTTTTTAGAGTCCACACATCTCTATAACGATGCAGGACAGTATTACAAACTCCTTACATTAGTATGTTAGAAGAGAGACAAACTGACAACTTAGTCTCTGTATCTCCGAACACTAATATGTTCATCACACCTAGGCTGTGTGAAAGTTTGCAAAGCATGCACAATGGCACAGAGCATTGCATGCAGATGTATTTGGTCTTCTGTGTGCTTGCAGCATCATGGCATCTGTTTGCATTTTTCACCTCGGTCAGTTGGCCCGTGATATCCTGTGGCGAACCTGACCTCACGTGCTACTTGGGTGACTGCTCTCTGTGTCACGGGTTGTGGGGTCCCACTGGGTCTTCCTCTTTTGCATTGCTGGAGGGTGCTACTATTTATCAGTGCACGAGCCACAGATGCTTTGAAGAGGAGGAGTCTCATCTCTTTCAAACCAGACATTTGGTAGAGATGCCAGGCGTTTACAACGGTCACATCCAAAAAATGAAGAAAAAAAACCCACCTGGATGTACCATCTCTTGTTTCGACGTCTGTGGGGGTACATTGCCAGACATTGGTCAAGAAGATCAACCTCACCCATGTGCTGATTGTAAAGGGCCACAGCGAAGGGCTTTTGGACCATCATCATCTTTTTTTCCTTCTTGACCCATGTGTTGGCAACATCTTCAGGGGATTGACCAGCATAGGACGAGACCACGTGAATGACAGAACTGTCGAGCCAACGTGTGACAGTGACGTTTGCAATATTGCTGACGACAGATCAAGCTCCTCTGCCCAGTTCTTTCGGTTGTTTTTCGCTCTTGAGTTTGTGATCTGCTCCCTTCAGCCTGTCCTTGAATACCGAATGTACCCCATGATCAGGTTGATCCCTAAGATCCCTGCATCTCTTCTCCTGTTACTGATAGATTTTCTTTCCCTTTCTGAAGAGCATACAAGTTGGTGTTGCATGTTATATCATCAATGAGATCTTCTGGAAACAAGGCAAGTCTCCATCAAAGACATTGTCTTGGATTTTCCAAATTTTTTTTGGTACCATGTGCCCATCTCCCACAGCTCCCTGATCATGCTAACCTTCCTCTTCATCCTGCCCCTCATCATTCTCACTTTGTGTATCCAGTCTGGCTGTGTCTTCATCATCCGTAGTTCCTATGTCTCTGTTCTTCTCTGGCAGCCACTCATCATCACTGGAGCTGGAGGGAATTTCCTGGGCTATTCTGTATGCTGCCTTATTCTTTGCTGCATTTGAAGTCTACAAAATATGATAAAAATAATTATTATAGTAACTCAAACTACAGCTAATCTACACAAAAATATAGATTTTTAATGAGTAGCTTATAAATGTAACAATTATAGTCTTACTTATAACCAAAACAGATCCAAGAAACAGTGAAGCAATTTATTACTTTTGTTAAAAAATATACTGGGTAATGCATGATGTCCACTTCATTGGACACATGGTTAATCGTAGTTATCTACAAATTAGACATAAAAATTTCTTATTCCAAACAGATAATATCCTTCCCTAGATGATACTGCATATAATCATATTTTTTTTACCTGGTGGGCTCTTCCATAATAGAAGGATTGACAGGATATTCCAGCACTGGTTGGTAGGGGTGGCAGTTTCTCTGCCATCTTGGATTCAGAGGAAATTTACTTGCAGTTGCACTGACTGAACACTGAATTGACCTCAATGGAGTATGGCAGTAGAGAGCACTCTAGAAGCTAATATGCAATTCCACCATAGAAACCAATGCATTAAAGAGATAAGCATGTTTTAGTAGCTGTCCACTGCAGTGACCACTATGCATCAGAGGGTTAAGGTTAACTCTGTTTTGGTTTCAAGACTTTTATCAACTTCGTTGTGTGTTTTAAAACACCTTCGGTTCGGTGAAACTTTTCATAAAGTTTTAACCAGGTGTTTTAACTGTTAAGTTGTCTTTTAACTGTTAACCCTATTGAGAAATTTCCGTTTTGCATTATTTTAATAATGCTCACCATCTGTTTGCACTTGTTTTTAGAACCTTTTATAACAATTAAACCCATTTTTAAATCCACTGTCGTGTTTTTTATGTTACCTCCTCCTTCACATTTTAACAGCACATGTCGGGGTTGTAACACTGGTGCTTGGGTGTTACTTCTCGAGATTATTCTTTCACTAATGAGGAATCTGTGATGTACTTGCACTTACAGTACATACCCAATAGGTGGCAGTCTATAGGATGACTCACCAGCACATGGTGAGCAGTGTATGTGCATCTACACTTCCAAAACCATAGATTACTTTTTATAAGCTGCCCTCTGTAGTGGCATCTATGTGTGAAATTTCATAATCGGTGCAAGCTGCTATTAATAACTGAGTATTTTGAACAGGCAGGCATATGTGTGGCCTTGTTCCTGTTTGATAAACCCTCCACAGGCAACAAAAGACATACCTTAGTGCTGCTGTCACTGTCAATATCCTAGTTTGTTATTAGTTAGTGATTATCACTCAGGAGAGAGAGCAACAAGAGGAGAGTGGTAAGCCGTTCTTCAACAGAGATTGCCCTGAGGAGCTTTAACTCAGGTCTTCATGCCATGATTGTGTATTAATGATTTTGAGTTGCCTTCAAATGCATTAATTTAGTCTTTTCATTCTAGTTTGGCGATAAACAAAACCTACATGTCACCCATTGGCCCCCAAGTCATCTCAATCAGCTGTTATGTAATTTTACACACATTCTCCACAATGTCCTGTTAGCAGGGTTTCCAGACTTAAAGGTAAAAGCAGTGACTTGCGCCACGTTTCCACTGTCAGCTCATGCCTGAGGAAGTTCAAGCTTATCAAGCTGGAATTCTGTTTAACTCTCTGCTGCTGTGTGTGCGCGGCTCTGCTGGAAAGTGTGGCCGTCAGATGCTTTTACACTTAACATAGCCTCGGTAATATGGGATTAAGCACCACATGCTCTTTTGAAGCATTAGCAGCCAGGGCACAGACGAGCAAGGGAGCAGTGGTCGTATTAGTCAGCTTTGTCCAAGACGGCGGCTGCCCTGACAAAGCTGAGTAAATATATCCGGCAACTGCGTCACGGATTCTGGGTTTCAGCAGAGATCCTGATTTTGGGAGTTTCTGCCTGATCTTGCTTCGACACAAACTGATGCCATCCCTTGTTGCACGTCTCGCTTTCTACTTCTTCTTCTTAGCATATGATGGCCTATCTGAGGTGAAATACAAGGTTGTTGGCGTGGAGCATGACCAGCTTTGAAGAGATAACAACTGTGTCTGCATGTGAGACAGGATTACAGAGTCACCATGTGACGGACTGTTCTGCCCTTAGACGGACCTCTAAGAACAGACGAGCTAAATCTGGCCAAGACAACCTCTGGCCCGTAAATCTCCAAATGTAAACAATAAGGCTAACCTCTGAGAGAACTGTAGCAAACGGACTTTTGCTCTTAAAGTTTAAAACGATGTGAACAACTTGTGTAACCAACTAGGTAACTCTGTAAAAGAATCTCAGTATCTCAGATTCACGCCATAAACACAATTCTTAATTTTACTTTTAGTTGAACTGTGTCTTACTTACGGCCAAGATTAGGTTACCGATAACTGTGCTTTCAGTATTTAGTACCGCCAGTTGAGCTGTTACAAAAATGTGGCAAAAGTTTGGTTAAAAGAGTTGTCTGCAAGAGAGGGGCTCCGTATTACGTATAAAACAAATAAAGCTTCTGTGTTTGTTCTCAGCCACTTTAAATTCATGGTTTGTTTTTGTCACAGTGACAGAGAGCCAAAACCGTTTTTTTCTCCATCACTTTCCTGTTTCCTTGTTATGTTGCTCCAGACGGCTAACGGCTGTTGTCTCGCTGACAGGTCTTTTCTCTGCGGGGTAAAAACATCACAGAAACCCAGGAAGTGTGAGTGGCTTTCACGAATACAGTTTAACAACATGAGAATGAAGCCTTATTTCAGATAACAACAAAGAAACACGACACGAATAAAAAAGAACTTGAGATCTTGCTCAAACATCAAATCTTTATCGAGTCCACCTTCCTCCACCTCATTTTGAACAACTAAAATGTATGTTGGCGATAAATGTTGAGATAAACATATAAAAAATGCATTCTTGCCTCTAAAACATGTATTAGTTTTGTTCCCAGACATGTTGTTTGGAAGCGATCAGCATGGTGCTAGCATGATGGGATTTCTTCCTCGTAGGTGCATCCTAATGCTATCTACAAGAGTCAACACGTAACTCCTCTGCCACTGTTGCCCTGTTGAATGAGCATTGCAACATCATGATCCGGCTACATTACACGTTATACAGGTTATGAAGGGGGTGGACAGGCTGACAGTCCTGCTACACTGCGGATGCAGATCCTTGTGCATCTATAGCACAAACAGTACAGGGTTTAGGTTGAAAAGGGTCATGCAAAAGTATCTGAGAGTAAAAATACTCACATACAACATTCATTTGAACTGCCGCAAACATCTGGAGTTATAAAATTGTTCAGATCTTACCTTTCAATCGTGTGATTTAGCATGAAACATAAACATATCACATACAGGGTAATACAAGCCATGTTCTCTGTCCCTTTATTGCTCATTACCATCGGCTGTATGAACTTGAGTAAAAATATGAAAATAAACGAGCTAATATAAATGACAAAGGTAAGAAAATAAATAATAAATAAAATCACATGGGCAGTAAAATAATAACATAATTAAATAATGAAACATTGCTAAAATATAATCATATAAAACATGCAAAGCAAGCAATAAAATACAATCATGTAAAACAAGAAATAAAACTATAATAAATAATTAGATTAAAGCTAACCTAAACAGGTGGGTCTTGAGTCTGGACTTAAAGAACGCTCTCTGTGGCCCTGAGGTCCTCCAGCAGATCGTTCCAGAGGCGAGGGCCGTGATACTGGAAGGATGCTTCACACTTAAGACAACTGCTCAACTCGTTTCCTTTCGTCTGAATTTACGTAACGCTTTTCTCTTTCAAGATTTAACAAGAAATCTGCAAACAAAGTCTCTGTTTCCACGCTGTTCTCTGTTTTTACGTTGTACTGACACTGACCTTTCAAAAAGAAGCTGAAGACGTATTTGAAACTGAAAACCTGTAACTGTGTCTTAATGGTTTGTGAAGCACTCTGTGGGTTTCATGGAAATAAAGGTACTTATTTTTACTTAACTGGACCCTGCTCTGTTAGCTTCCAGATTTTTCTAAATGTTACGCTCTCTCCTAATGACGTGTAATCCACACAACCTCACCTAAAGAAAGGAGCTTTCCCTTTAATGCAATAGCTGTGCATCATAATTAAAGTTAGTACTCACGCTCTTGATTCTTTCACTGAGCCTTCGTTTTTGTTTCCAGCATGCAGCCTCGTGGTAAACCAGTAACCTGTTTTAACCTTACATAAATGCAGCCTGTGTAAATATTTTAGCGACACCAAAAGGGAGCTTTGGCCTTTGAACACGGTTTCCTGTGTTTATATCTGATAAGACACTACTCCTTTCTATTTGATCCTCTTGGAGGTCTGCTGTGATGCATTCAGGTACATCCAGACTTTGCAGTGGCATGATGCAAGCCAAACGTTTAAATGAGCATTACATCATGGAGATTTCAGCCAAATCTCCTCAGCAACAAGTCTTGTATGAATGGAGTAATATTTGTTTTGCACCCCTCTGGAATTATGGGTAAAAGATGAAGAAGTTCTGATGAAGTAAGATGTTTACCAGCTTGTGTTTCAGGTTTGTGATGGATGCTTGACCTACTTCCTCAGACTCTGACTTGCCCAAAGCATGTTAGAGACACTGAGCTAGAATCTGGTGGTTTGTGGATTAGGGTCTTCCCCATCAGAAACTCTGAGCACAAACTCAGTTGATTTTACGGAAACTAGATACGATTGTAATGTGATAGCATCTGCCCCATGGTCTCACCCTAAAAAGGCTTTGGCTTCAGCCTAATTCCTTTGAAAACATGCTATGTAGTTCATGCATTGGCATGTTTACGTTTTGACTGCACGTGTTCAAATAAACCCAACAATAAATCCAAGCAAAGGAAAAAGCTCTCCATGCTCGACTTTAGATACATTTAGTCAGCTGTTTAACCTTGCCAGTCATGCACAGGAATCCTGCACTTGTTAACCGTCTGCTGCAGGCCAGCAGCCTTCGTCATTGTTAGCCCTCCAAGCAGGGTAAGTTTTATTTTTTTAAACGAGCGTGCACAAGCAGAGAAGAGTCGCTGCCTTATTAGGCTTTGTTATAAGCTAACACTCTGCTTGTTTACATTTCCCAGATAAGGAAGCACATGTTGCACGGGTCCAGTTAAAAAAACTAATTCTGTGCTAGAAATAATCTGAGCTTTTAATCGACGTAAGGATGCTTGAATGAAACGTAATCAGGCGAATGATGAAAGTTTTGTGTATGAGAGGTTAAATATGAGTTCAGCTCTTGCTGCATCTTTTTGTTCCAGAACACAAATCAAGATCTGCCCACATTAGCCCACGCTCAGCCCTCCTCTGAAATGCCCTCTCTGTCTCCAGCATGAGTAAGAAGTGTGTGGGTGTGTGAGACACTCACTCATCCCCCACCGTTGGACTGTGTGTGTGTGTGTTTGTGGGCAAGGAGTAATGGAAATTTACAGTTTCCGACGTTGGTACCTGAGTTGTCAGTGACAGCGAGGCTGCGTCCAATCTCCACTTTGGATTTAATTGTCTTTAGCCAAGAGGCGGGCTCTGCTGTCAGCTCCACTTCTTGTGACCCCTGTCTGCATAAAGGCAGTCAGTACAGAGGAATGGTGACAGCTGAGGGAGAGGAACACTATACGTAGCTGCAGCCATGAAGGAACTGTAAGTTTTTGTTTTGTCATTATTTACCCTAAGAGTTTATTTTTTAACCAGGTTTTCTACTCAGGAGGGATTATAAAAGGCTACTTTTGGAAGTGATTTTAAATGTCTCTGCACCCAAGCCTCATGTTTTCCTGTTTCTAACTTTTGGGACGATGGATGGTCTTCTTTCACAGAAAGGCAGGCAGGTGAAGGAGCGAATGCTTGAGAGTTAGAAAAGGCGAACGGGAAAAGGAGGGAGAGAAACAGGATGAGAAACAATGTGCAGGAGCTGATCCGGTTACGTAAGCAGGTCTGAGAAGGGAAAGCAGTTCAAGCTGACTTGTCATGCACAAGAGAAAGGGAGAAATGCTTGAAAATGATGGGACAAAGTGTTGCACACAGCTTCAGTGAACCAAGGAGACCTAAAGTTCCCCCAGTGGGAACGTGAAAGCTGCTGGTCAACATGTCCTCGCTCTAAAACGACTGTCATGGTAATGAATTTGTTGTTACACCGTTTTTATTGTTCCTTTTGCTAAAGTAAGTAAACTCAGGACAGACTCTTTTGTCTGCCCTTTTGTCCCAGCTTTTGCAGTCGAACTCATTTTTGTGGCATGCACACAGAATTAGGAGGAAGTATTTTGTGCTGCTCTGCAAACTTCTTCATTTGACAGGAAATTAAAAACAAGCAGGAAGCTTTTTTGCAAGAGTTTTAAAAGTAACCTCAAACCATTTTACCCAGCTACATCAGGTCATTTTTTGCCATGTTATGATTTCTTCTTTCCTCCTAGGGTCATGTGGGAAATGAGACATGTTGTTCAGTAACAACAAATCTGTCTTGTGAAGGCAGTTTACAGTGTAAACAGTCATGTGATCCTGAGCCGTAGTAGCATCCGGAGAGCAAACAGTGTTTGGAAAGGAAGGAATCTTGTAGTCTGAAATGAAATAAAATAAAATAAAATAAAATAAAATGATCCTTCAGGTTCAAGCTGGGTTCAAAAGGCACTGCCTCTCCTTTTAAGTCCTGTGATATCAGTTTTGCACTAGTCTCTACAGACTTCTGAGAATGTTTACCCTTTTGTTCTCTGTAAATTCCCTGAACATTTAGTCTGATTGACCTTAGATTAGCAAGATTACCAGCACTGAACTGTGTATCGTGCTCACGCAGCAGGCTGTGAGGCAGTCAGAGGACAGTATTAACTCCCTAATGCTGCTCTCTGTCCGTTTTATCCTTCTCACCTCTCTCTCCTTCATTGTGTTCATACTTAACTTGTTTGTTGACTATCTTTAAATTCTCTGTTTGTAGCATGGCTCAAAAGGAGAAGCTCCAGTGTCTGAAGGACTTCCACAAGGACACCCTTAAACCTTCTCCGGGAAAGAGTCCGGGTACGCGGCCCGAGGATGAGGCTGAAGGAAAAGTCCCTCAGAGGGAAAAGTGGGCGAGTAAGCTCGACTTCGTCCTGTCTGTGGCCGGAGGCTTCGTCGGATTGGGAAACGTGTGGCGCTTTCCTTACCTTTGTTATAAAAATGGTGGAGGTAGGCACAGATGAAAGGCAGTAGTTTAATCACACCTGTAAAGAAGGTGTCTCACCTGTTAATGTCCGCTCCTCAGGTGCATTTCTCATCCCTTACTTCATCTTCCTGTTCGGGGGAGGCCTGCCTGTGTTTTTTCTGGAGGTTGCACTGGGTCAGTACACCTCCGAGGGAGGGATCACCTGCTGGGCCAAACTCTGCCCCATCTTTACTGGTCAGTCCAAACAGAAACAAACACTTTTCAGCACACAGAAGCTCCACATCGCTGCACAGATCACTTCCTTTGTCATTTATTTGGACACGTCTGTCCTGTCTTCCCTTCTTCCAACATTTATGGTCCAAAAATGTAGTCCTGCGCAGGCGTCCTCACCTCTCTGAAAGCCGATTTAAAAAGTCTAATCTTATCATTTTATTTTGAAAATACATCATCACACAATTACAAGTTAAGCAACTGAGCATAGAGGATCACTCTGTTCACATTGGTGAACAGATCAGAGACAGCACACTAACTCACATTGTGTGCAAAAAGTCTTTCAGCTGAAACGACAGCTTTAGCAAAATCTTGAAAATAACATTATGTGCAACCTTAAGTAACATTGCATCATCTTGTCTAATCTGTTGGCACACAGAAGGTGATCCAGCCACATGTTATTTTAGCTCAGTCAGTATCTTGGATTAAATTCACTCAGAAAGGTTATCAGTTACTAAAACGTAGACAGACACAGGCAAAAACATCATTGTCAGCAACAAATGGCAGAAAATGTGCATAAAGATGCTTTAAAACACATTTTCTGTAGTCTTCTCAGTCTTTGATTGCTATAGAAACATCAAGTAGCTAACCAGTGATGTCATATCATTTATTTTCTTTCTTTGGACTGTTTTCATCTGTTTATCTTTTGGAAGATTATAAATATTACATGTCTTCAGTCCCAGGGAGTGGACACCGTTCAGGCTCTGCCTCACCACTTTTATGCATCTCCCTTTAACTCTGAGGGACAGCTGTAGACAAGCATTGGCGTGCCGCACCCCCAGCAGCTGCCATGACACCTTTCACTCATGTCCACTCAAGTGAAGTCATATAAAGAGGGAGGAGACTTTCTGGCAGCTTATCTTTAGCACCAGACTAACCCTAACCTGGCAAAGCAGAAAACAGCCAATCACGTGCCTGTTTATTTTGTTTCGGCTCTTTTCCATCAAACGCTTTACTTTCAGAGTGACAGCACACAGTCCAGTACACACACCTGTCACAGCACAAACATGCTAGTCAGTTCAAGTTTGGAATGAGGGAATGAGGAGGTGGGGGTGACAGAGATGATAAGTTTAAAAATACTCTGGAGTAGTGGAAGAGTACCGGGGATTTCTGTGTTCACGTTTGTCGCAAAGTCATCTAAAAATAACACAAATACGCAAAGAACATCAAAGGCAAACAACTCAGGCTTCAGCATGGAAGTAAGATTCCAGCTCGTAAAGTTGAAACGAAAGAAAGTTTTTTATCTCATTGTTTGATCACAAAAAATAACCTTAAGTAATTATTGCTCCACGCCTGCTTGATGGTTAATTTGTGCGCATTAATGGGTTTATTACATGTGGTTGTGTGACAAACCAGTTTAAAATGTGCAGATCTAAACAAGTTATTTCTCCCTCCAGCAGAATATTAACAGTGAAATCAAATGATAGCTCACTGTTAGTTAAAGTCTTCCTGTTCTTGCTAACGGCCTACAGGTATCGGCTATGCTTCTATTGTGATCGTGTCTCTTCTGAACATCTACTACATCGTGATCTTGGCCTGGGGGCTCTACTACTTGTTCCAGTGCTTTCAGCCGGAGCTCCCATGGGCAAAATGCAACCAGCCCTGGAACACGGCACACTGCATAGAAGACACAGTCCGCAAGAACAAGACCCTCTGGCTGGCAGCCAACTTCACCAACTTTACCTCCCCTGTCACAGAGTTCTGGGAGTGAGTATTCATCGAGGGGCGTGCCCAGCTCACTCACACACAAGTGAATACATTGAACAAACACTGGCTCTTTATCTTGCTTGCATAAATACATTTGACTGTGCTCCATTCTTGTATGGTTTACTTTTGATCTGAAGCCATTTATGAGAAACTTTTAAACGCAGCTGAAAGTTGAACTCTCGTCATGAAATTAGAAATTCATTTTCATCCATCCATCCCTCTGTCTATCCATCCATCCCTCCATCCATCCATCCATCCATCCATCCATCCATCCATCCATCCATCCATCCATCCATCCATCCATCCATCCCTCCGTCCATCCATCCATCTATCCCGCCGTCCATCCATCCATCCATCCATCCCTCCATCCATCCATCCATCTGTCCGTCCATCCATCCATCTATCCCTCCATCCATCCATCCATCCATCCATCCATCCATCCATCCATCCATCCATCCCTCCGTCCATCCATCCATCTATCCCGCCGTCCATCCATCCATCCATCCATCCCTCCGTCCATCCATCCATCTGTCCGTCCATCCATCCATCCATCCATCCATCCATCCATCCATCCATCCATCCATCCAAGAGACATAGTCCCTCCAGCATGTCCTAGGTGTTCCCTTAGATCTCCACCAAGGTGGAGTGCCCGGAAAATGTCACCAGGGAGGCGTCCTGGCAGAGTTACTCTGCAGAGAAAACTAATTTCAGCTGCTTGTATCCGCGATCTCATTGTTTTGGTCACTACCCAAAGCTCGTGACCATAGGTGAGGGTAGGAACGTAGATTGACCAGTAAATCAAGAGCTTCGTCTTCTGGCTCAGCAATCTTTTCACCTTCGGTACAACACCCGCATCACTGCAGATGCAGCACCAATCCGCCTGCAGATCTCATGCTCCATCTTTCTCTCACTAGTGAACAAGACCCCCAGATACCTAAACTCCTCCACTTGGGGCAGGATCTCTTCCCTGACCTGGAGAAGGTATTTTACCCTTTTCAGACCCAAGAACATGTTCTCAGATTTAGAACAGCTGATTCTCATTCAAGCTGCTTCACACTCGGTTTCAGTGCTGCTGGAGATTATGTTCTGAGGAAGCCAACAGGACCACATCATCTGCAAAAAGCAGAGACCCAACCCAAAGGCCAACCCAAAAAGACCCACTCAACACCTTGGCTGTACCTATAAAAGTTATGAATATAATCGGTGACAAAAGGCTGCCTTGGCAGAGTCCAACCCTCACTTACTGCCAGCATTGCGGACCATAAGTACCCCCCACATGGCCCCATGAGAGATGCGGTCGAACGCCTTCTCCAAATCCACAAAACATGTAAATTGGCTGGGCGACTCCCACGCACCCTCCAGGACCTCCCTGAGGTTATAGAGCTGAATCCAGAAATCAGATGCTTTATTCTTCCTGAGAAGTCTCATAGCATTTATCATATTTTGATGCAAATAGCCACATTTAAACGTTCAAACATATTCCTGTGGGACATCTTTATAGATGCTGAATGAACCTACAGATAATTGATGCTGTTAAATTACTGTCATCTGCTGTTGCCTCTGCAGGCGCAACGTCCTGAGTATCTCTACTGGGATAGAGGACACCGGGCCCCTGAAGTGGGACCTGGCCCTGTGTCTGCTGGCAGTGTGGATCATCTGCTTTTTCTGTATTTGGAAAGGAGTCAAGTCCACTGGGAAAGTGAGTGCTGAGGCGCAGCCACATCCTGAACTTACTGTGTTATATATCTTTCTTTTTTTCCACAGAGAAGTTGCTTTAAAAATCCCAGCATAATCTAAAACAAATACAACTCTACGTTTTCCACGATGCTTCCCATAACCAGTCAGATCTTTGGCTGTTGTCAGATTAGCAGGACAGAAACCGGGTCAGGAGCAACTCTGATAAAAGGAAACTCTAAAAAGAGCTATCCGTGCTTTAATTTCCCTCATGGAAGTCAGTTCAGTGTCAGATCACCTCCCATTGTGAAAAGTAAACTTCATTTTAAAACATAGACTCAAATATGTAAAAAAATTGTTTTGTGCTTTTCTTGTTGTATCTCAGTATCAATTAGCTGATCATTTCTTTGTATTTCTCAGGTTGTGTACGTCACCGCAACATTTCCCTTTGTGATGCTGATCATACTGCTGGTGCGTGGCGTGACTCTGCCTGGAGCTGCTGAAGGGATCAAATTTTATCTTTATCCAGACCTTACCCGTCTCCAGGATCCAGAGGTAGGTTGGAAACCTTTTTGAGTCCTTTGTGTCCAGATTTATCTGTCTTTGAAAACTAGATGTAAACATCATTGTTTATTTAATACTATAAATCTCAAGCAATGTTGTGCGTATTGTAGCAGAAATAGCCAGAGTCAGTGCTGCTGTCACTACTACAGCATGCTCCGGGGTGAAAAAAATACACCTTATGTTTCACGACACTGGCAGCCATTAAGGACTCTGTAGACATCCTGGATCTGTCTGCACAGTATACATGGTGGAACCAAATTACAGGCAGCAGAAGACAAAGGAGCTTTATTGAAACACAAAGGGGAGCAAGAGGAAGTTCCTTTGCTTTTCTCCAAGACTGTGAACTATTTATTCTTAAATACATTAACCATCTAGCCCTCCATTCATCTATTTTCTGAACCCGCTTGTCCACGTGGGGTCGTTTGTGTGTGTGTGTGTGTGTGTGTGTGTGTGTGTGTGGGGGGGGTGCTTATCTTCAGCAGTCAATGGGCAATCAGGTGGGGTACACCCTGGACAGAGAGCCAGTCCATCGCAGGGCAACACAGAGACACACGGGACAAACAATCATGCACACACACACTCACACCTAGGGACAATTTAGACAGACCAATTAACCCAACAGTCATGTTTTTGGACTGTGGGAGGAAGCCGGAGTACGTAGAGAACCCACGCATGCACAGGGAGAACATGCAAACTCCATGCAGAAAGATCCCGGGCCAGGAAGTGAACCCAGGACCTTCTTGCTGTAAGGCAACAGCTCTAACCACTGCACCACTGTGCAGCCCATACATATACAATCAAACTGTGCAAACATGTAAAAAGCCCATTCTGAAATAAACTTGATAAACCAATGTTTAAAAACGACAGAAAAACATAGATGATTTGTAATGTATTTACATTCATGGCATATTTAACAAAAGCATTAATATATTTTTAATCATCAGCTCCAGTAGCAGTGTATATGCCAGCAGTGGCTTTTTGTAATGAGCATGAAAACGACGGGGAACTTCATAACACTTTTCAGCTCATCCCTTTTGTTTTCGTAGGCAAGGCAGCTGTTTTTATGTAGCACATTTCATACACAGAGGCAATTCGATGTGTTTTCCATTAGCAACAATAGCAAGAACATTAAAATTAAATGTGGCAAAAAATACAATTTAAGGAGTAAAAAGAAACAAAGTTAAAGTTAGAGGCTGAGCAGTTACAGCGCAGAAGGTGCAGCATAAGAAACACTCATTCAAAGGCTGAGAAAAACATAAAGATTTTCAATTTTGATTTTAAAGTTACTAGAGTTGGGGCATTGTAGAGGTCATGAGGAAGCTGATCCTATCTGCATGTAGCATATAGCTAAAAGCAGCTTACCCTTATTTGGTTCTGACCCGAGGTTCTACCAGTTGACTGTTTCCTAAGGATCTCAAAGCCCTGCCGGGCATATATACAATGAGGAAATCTGCTATGTATTCTGGCCCCATGCCATTGAGTGATTTATAAACTAGTAGTAACACTTTGAAATCGATTCTTTAGTTTACTGGTAACCAGTGAAGAGAGAACAGGAGTGATGTGCTCGGTTCTCTTGGTTCTTGCTAAGACTCGGGCAGCAGCATTCTGAATAAGCTGGAGTTGCTTCACAGCTTTTTTGGTAAGACCAGTCAAAAGAACATTGCAACAGTCCAGGCTTCTGGAGATGCATGAATGAGTTTCTCCAGGTCTTGTCTGGACATGAGACCTCTGAGTCTTGCCATTTGATGAAGATAATAAAACTCTGACCTAGTTATAGCCATAATGTGACCAGTGAAGCTCAGGTCTGAATTATGACACCAAGCCTTTGTCTTTATTCCTCTGGAGCCAAGTTGAGCAATAACCTCCATTGCTTCATTGTTTAGCCTTTTACTTTTCTATTGATCAGAATAAATATTGCCCTTGCCTACATTCCGTGAATAATCTTTACTTTTTCAACTGCCCGGAAAACCTCACCAGGAAAGCGTCCAGGAGGCGTCCTGACCAGATGCCTGAGCCACCTCAACTGGCTCCTCTTGATGCGAAGGAGCAGCGGGTCTACTTTGAGCCCCTCCTGGATGACCGAGCTTCTCACCCTATCTCTAAGGGAGAGCCCACCCAGTGGAGAAAACCCTTGTAGGCTGCTTGTATCCGCTATCTCATTCTTTCGGTCACTACTCAAAGCTTGTGATCATAGGTGAAGGTTGAAACCTAGATTAACCGGTAAATCCAGTGCTTCACCTCCCGGCTCAGCTCTCTCTTCGACACGCAGACCGGCACAATGCCCACATCACTGCAGACGCAGCACCAATCCACCTGCCGATCTCCTGCCTCATCTTTCCCTCACTCGTGAAGAAGACCCTGAACTACCTAAACTCCTCCACTTATTAACTTCATCAATAACGATCCACATTAAATTGTCTGTTTGTGCAGATAAAGTTAAAGACCCACCATAGATGGAAAACATAACACCGCCACATTTCACGCCAGGGTTGAAAAATAACATCATCTAATGTTGAGCTAACCAGTGCATCTTTTTGTGAAACCATCCTGATCATTTAACACTCATGTTACAAATGACTTTCATCAACTTCCACAGTGAGTTTTGGCTCAATATCTATAAAACTGTCTAACTGATGGCCGTGTTTTCATTTTCTACGGTCAGCTGGCTGGGGTGGTCTTCCTGAACTGGGCTGACATCTCCATTAGGAGTTTTTCCAGCAACTACTTTTTGGGAGTTTAAATTGAAAATCACCCATTTCCTCAGGTGTGGATCGATGCAGGAACCCAGATTTTCTTTTCCTACGCAATCTGCTTGGGCGCCATGACTTCACTGGGGAGCTACAACAAGTACAAGTACAACTGCTACAGGTGAGCTGAGTTTCCACTGGGAGGAGTGGGACTATAACAGTGAGAGCAACTCGTGTCAGAGACGGTTGTGAAAAAAAAGAGAGAAAAAAAAGAAAAAGAAAATGGGAACTTCGGTTCCACCTGTGTTCATTAACAACCTCCATGACATATGTGTGACATAGGGACTGTTTGCTGCTTGGAGGCCTCAACAGCGGTACCAGTTTTGTGTCTGGCTTCGCAATATTTTCCGTCCTGGGCTTCATGGCACAAGAACAAGGGGTGGACATTGCCGATGTGGCAGAGTCAGGTACGAGGGTCCAAGGTGAAGGCAGCAGTGATGGTGGGCACTGCTGCCTAAAGGAAAAATAAGACAATTGGGAACGAAAAAATCTTTAGAGTCCAAAGAAGATTAGAAAAGTAAGAGTAGCATCGGAGAAAATGATGCAGGTATCGGCAATTGCACACTCCTTGAATAAAACCCTCAAAAAAGATCAAAGGTTGTTCCAGAATGTGAGTCACGCTGTTTTCTGCAGACAGATGTTGGTCTGTCTTAACTGCTGTGCCAAGGAGATGGTGGCCAACTTGTCCCACATTTAGGCTGCTCATACAGTTTGGCAGCTCTGTATCATTCTGACCATCGGACACTGCTGAGACGATTGGCACTGCATGAATGTATTAAGTTGAACTTGAACCCTCAGGTGACATTTCTGACCAGCAGCACTGCGCCGTAAACCTGTTAACATGCTGTGGATCTGAGGTGGACGCCCCTGGTCCTGTTGCTGTCTTCCTGCATCGTCTTTGTGATCTTTGATGGAAATTCTGGCTGTGCCTAACTTTGCTCATTTACAGTCACGTTTGCTGTTTAAGACAATAACCACATCAGATTTAGCCACATTTTAAAAATAACATTATAAGATATTCAGCTCACATTTTAAAGCACATAAACGAAAGTGTTCTAGAATTATTTTCGAAGAAAATGATCTGTTTCTTTGTTAAACTTAAGTTCAATTGCTGATTCTGTCTGATGTTCTCAGAGTGATCATTTAGATATTTAGAAATTAGATTTAGCTGGAAAATGATGAATGTTTATGATCTTATCTGTAGTGGATTCCTGTTTGAACCACCACAATCTAAAGAAGCACAGTCTAGTCCTGTCCAGACAGACGCGCTAACATCTTATACTCCTTTTGTCTGTTTCTGCACATTGAAGTCATTTAAAGATTTGCATTAAGATTGTTCAAAACATTTAACAGAAATCTACTTTAATACCATGTGAATCTTGACTTTATAACATCCTGCTGTGCTTGTTAGTGTATTCTCATTGCATACAGTAAGTACCAAAATCAAGGGATGAAAGTAATTGATGCTTGGAGGGCATGTCAAACATGTTTTCATGAGTTTATCCAAAGAGAAAATCTAAAATGCATGCAACTCAGAAATATGTCTTGATGTTTTAAAAATGTGTTCATGTTTCTTTTGCATCTCATAAAATTTGGCATACATGACCCTTGGCAGTCATATTTGCTGTATTTTGTTATGCTCTTTAATATATGTTGTTAACTTTAACGTTAAATTGATCTCCTATTTATTTCTTTTTGGACACAATAAATTGTATACCTCTCATTAGATATTACCTTGCATAGTTATCTTATGATGGTCGTCCAAAGTGAAACCAGATAGAAGTGTTAATCATGTCCTCGTCCCCCTTCTCCCCGTCCCCTCTCTGTTCTCTCTCCAGGTCCCGGCTTGGCCTTCATCGCCTACCCCAAAGCTGTGTCCATGATGCCTCTCCCGACGCTGTGGGCCATCCTCTTCTTCATCATGCTGCTGCTTCTGGGCCTCGACAGCCAGGTGAGTGTTTTCACAGGAACGTCCCATCCCTCCCAGATCCTCCGTGTGTGTCGGCTCCCGTCGGCTCAAATGTGTGAAGCACAAACAGCGTCTCTGTGATTCATATCTGGCACGTCCACGGTGTCAGCTTACTGACAGACACGAACAGCAATCTGTTCCTACAACGGCATTTTACAACAACTTCGCTGTTCGGTTTTATGATTTATTGTTTCACAAATTGACTTTTTTTTAGAAGTAGTTGAATTTTTGCCAAACGTTTGGCCAGCGAAAGTCATCACGATCACCTAAAGAAAAGCTGCCCACCTTTGATACGAGGCCAAGCTTTGATAAAGACGAGATAATCTAAGTAGACAAAACCCAAATGTACGCCCGCGGGATTCTTCAGCTGTATCGCATTTCCTGCTTCCAAGTGTAATTCTACTCCTGTACTAAGTCAGTCCTGCACATGGCCAGCTCCACACCTCAGAGCCAAGAGCGAGATCAGACCAGCGCTCTAAATTTGAGTACATGTAAATGCTCCTGCAAGTGCTGCTATTTCCATGAGATAGAAATGGGGCTGGTGTGTGTTTGTGTGTTGATGGATAAAGTATGGATTCCATGTTGTATTGCTGTGAATTATAGCTTTTGTTTATGCTCTTATATAAAGAGGTATTGTGCAGCAAATGAGTATGTTCCTATTAAGAGCACATTTGTTATTTATTCTTTTGTAATGTTTCCTTTCGTCCCACAGTTTGTTGAAGTGGAAGGACAGATCACCTCCATCGTGGATCTCTATCCATCCGTTCTCAGGAAAGGTTATCGCAGAGAGATCTTCATTGCAACCATGTGTTTCATGAGCTATCTCCTGGGACTCGCCATGGTGACGAAAGTAAGAGTCCCCTCAGTTCCCTTCCACGAGTCTCTGCTTGTTTTCTGCCAGCTGTTTGCAGAAAACGAAAAGATGGCTCTTTGTTTAGATCAGCAGCAGAGAAAATGTCAATGATTTCCACATGCTTGTTTGCTGCTGCGTTGTTGTAGCCAAATACGGCTCCCTACGGGGGTCATTGGTCCTAGCCTGTTGTGAATGGAAAACTTTGGCATGCTGTTTTCCATTTAGAGGTTTATCTGACCACAAGAGCACCTCAGCACCTGTTGAACTCTGCCTCTATTGATTGGGCGCCAGCCTTCTGGTGTCCTACTTAAAACATTCCCCCCTGGTCATGCTGTAAGACCCCTTGTCCACACGCACATCAGAGATGTAATTAACTGAGGTTTTGTCCTGTGTTGTTTTTTCCAGGGTGGCATGTACGTGTTTCAGCTCTTTGACTACTATGCAGCCAGCGGTGTGTGCCTTCTATGGGTTGCGTTTTTTGAATGCATTGCTGTAGCCTGGGTTTATGGTAAGTGACAACACCTACAACTGTGTCATTTGAGCAAATGATTCACAGGAGTCAAATAAAAAGGGCCGGAAGGAATGGCAGTAAACAAAGGCAGAGGGTGTTTTCACGCGTCAGTAATAAATAAGTTTAAATGGGAGGCTGTGTTCAGCCTTTGAGGAAATGAGAATGAAGTTGGCCTCCCGCTGGGTTACGATTGGCCTTCCAGAGCCGACTCCAGTCAGATCATCTCCTCCTACTGTTAGCAAAAACAAAACTCAGCCCAAAGGGAAAATCGGAAGTGACACCAAAGCAGTGCTCCATTGTACGACTGATGCTGCTGTGGTTGAATCTCACCACAACTCTTCTCAGTAACTTTGTTTTGCTGTTGAATGGAAGCTCTGTTCTTGTGAACTTTGTGCATAAAAGTGCTGACCGTCTGATAATAAAGCCCCAACGTTCAAGACTAAAATTATAAAAAATATGGTGGAACAGGACACCAGAGTCAGGAAGTGTCGATACCTGTTTCTTCTTACTGTAGCTGTTGCTTAATTTATGATTTTATTCATCGTTGCAAAAAGCCATTAAACAAAAAATGATCTGTTACAAAGATTTAAAGCAATTAATGCGTTTTTTTTTCCAAACTACTACTAATCTCTATAATCTGTGGCTGGCTAAGGAAGGTGATTGATGACCTACCCAGGTAAAGCTATGGCTGTCTGCAGCAAATACTCATAAAAACACGTCTCAGTGGGAAAAAAACAAGCAGCAGCTTTTGGTAAACATTAGTGGTGAGGGCTTATTAATCTTTCAGTCCCTGCAGGTTGGCGTGAAGATCATTTTGCAAGCAGAAACAATGTTCAGACAGATGGAATTATGGTTTTCCTGACAGAAAAAGTACGTCCTGACTTTCTTCATGTGTTGAACAGGAGCTGATAATTTCTATGACGCAGTTGAGGATATGATTGGCTACAGACCAAACCCGTGGATGAAATGGAGCTGGACCATAATCACTCCTGTACTCTGCATGGTGAGAGGAAGTGTTACTTTTTTGGGATGGTTGGTGGTGTGAAGGGGGGTTGGAGATGTTGTCGGTGAAGATAAATGTTACTGGCGAGTCTTTCTGGGTCATGGTGACTTTAGGCTTGTACTAAATGCAACATGTGTTTGTTTTTGTTAGGGGTGCTTTGTCTTCTCCCTGGTGAAGTACAAGCCTTTGACATACAACAAGGTGTACGAGTACCCCGAATGGGCCATCGGCCTGGGTTGGTGTTTGGCTCTCTCCTCTATGATCTGCATCCCCATGGTGATGGTCATCAAGATCCTACAGTCAGAAGGACCTCTGATCGAGGTGAGCAAACATCTTTTGTCTGAACTTGATGCGTTTTTTTCACAAGGTCGTTATTGTAGCGTCCAGTGTCGGTGACCTTCGGTTACTAATGTTGCACACAGATCAGCACCTGTGTAGTGATGCAAACAAAGCGCTGCTTTCTACAGGGAGGCTTTTGTTGCTTTGTTTCTTCTGTAAAGAAACGTGATTAGTCCCACATAAAGAGTCAGCTGTCCAGTGCTTGCCAAAGGTTGGGACCCCACTATGGGCCGAGAAATATTAAAAGAGCGTAGAAAAACTTTTCTTTTCTTTTGTTAACAATTGGAAACTGTTTTTTAAGCCTATATATGTGAAATAAACTTTGCTGGGAATCAAAATGGCCCAGGAGCCTTGATAAAATGCCAAATGCAGCCATGTAACAAAGCTCTACAATGAAAAGACTGGTTTACCCTGTCCACTCTGCCAGGACATGACTGTGAAAAGAGCTGCATGCTGATTGGCTGGATTATCTCGATGGGTCTATAAATGCCTGATGCTAGAAACTCTGTACATGTATTTACAGAATCCTGATAACTCATTAGCTACATCCAGTCAAAGTCTGGATATTCCCATTACATCCTACAACATCACATTGTCCTTTGTTGCCTTCCTCTCTTCCACCAAGGACGTTAGCATTAGCGCTGGCTAATGTTGATCTGCGGTTATTACTATCGTCATCAACATTTTAATACTGCTGGTGTTGAAATACGACATACGAATTCAAGGGGTTGTGTCTACACCTATGATGCGTTATACCAGGTATTCTCAGAGTGAACCACCGCTGTTATGCCGAGAACAGCCTGCCTGCCGAGAATTGCATCCCCTGTCGCGGGAGCGCGCATTGTTGTAAACTCGCTGATAACGATGAGGAAACAGCTTAAAATATCATCAACATGACGGCAATAAGGTATACTCGTACTATTACCATGTTACTTATGTATGTGCATCCTGAAAACGTAATATGTTGTCACAGTTGAATGTGTGTATATATATATATATATATATATATATATATATATACATATATATATATACATATATATATAAGGAACACACAGACAAGCAGGCAGGTAGTAGTTTAAAAAAACTTTATTGATAAATAAAATACTGTTTTAACGTAAGGAACCTCAATAACGTAACATCCCCCTCCCCCCACACAGTTTTCCCTGAAGACTATTATTTAAGAATTATTAGATTAACTGAACATGAGATTGTGCAGTCTGCCATGAAAAGGGGATAGAACGTTTTTTACTACTTTTGACAAACTCATACTGTGTCCTGTTTGCGACGGAATCAGCCCTTTAATCAATACTTTAAAAGGTTTAGACGTCATAAAATGTTTTACCTGCTATGCTAAAAGCAGAGAATATGACACATAAAACAGCAGAGCACCGAAAATACATCTGGGACACAGTAAAGATTCAAGTCAAAAGTGTTTGTATAAAACCCGGGATTTCTCTCTTTAAAAAAATATATATTTACATATATATATTAATATACATTCAACTGTGACAACATATTAAGTTTTCAGGATGCACATAAATAAGTAACATGGTAATAGTACGAGTATATCTTATAGCCATTGCAATGCGCGCTTCCGCAGCAGGGGATGCAATTTTCGGCAGGCAGGCTGTTCTCGGCATAACACCACCATTACATTAGCACTAATTTGCATAGGAAAGCAGGTCGGAGACAGCACAGACTTTTCAGTCAGTTCATTAGAGACCCCGTCTGCCTGTATTCAACAACAACAACAAGGTAAACACAGTTTTGAATTCTGTGTCTGATGGTCTTTGACAAAATCTCAAGTTTAAAATGATTTATTCGCACTCTTCTTTCATATGCATCAACAAGCTTGCAAGCAGATCATCTTTCTTCCATCATAAATGTCCAAAAATAGTGGGCAACTGAAGTCACTCAGCTTAACATAACTTTCACCACATCAGAACCCATCGGCTTTGATTTAGGAGCTCAGTGACAGGCCCATCATCATGTTTAGACAAGAGAAGAGTTGAAAAGGCTGATTATGCATGGCAGAAACTCTGTGCAGATGCACGGCTACAGACATTTTTAATTTTCAACTTGATCACTGTCATTTGGAGCCCCAGAACATCTCTGATGATCATTAGTCTAATGTCTCATCTTCTTCCCTCAGAGAATCAAAGCGGTGGCAGCCCCAGCAAAGTCAGGCGTGAGCTCTCGCCCGAAAGAGTACAATGTGAAATGCAGCGAACTGACACAGCCCCTGGACCCAAACGGGAACAATGGCTTGATCAAGCCCACCCACACCGTCATAGAAACAATGATGTGAGCGCTCTCTGTGAGAGGAAAAAGACTCGTGCTTGCTGCGTTATACTAGCTAACTTTGATGAGATTAGGTTTACATTGTTCAATATATTCATTGTAGAGATACTCTGGGTTGATTTCTATTAAGATATATATATATATATATATATATATATATATATATATATATATATATATACATTATTGTTGTAATTTTTTTCTCTTGTAATTTTTTTACTTCACTGATATTGGTGTTACTGTTGTTGCTGTAGCTGGCACTGATCTAGGTTTAGGCAGATATTTTCAGAAAGAACACGTTCATTGTTTACGATCGCTCAGTAGATTCCAGAGAGATTGTTGGTGGAAAGGACGTTCTGGAGGAAAAGGGAGATGTTTCTCACAAATTCAGGTAAAATAAATGGGTTAGTCGCTAAAAAACAAGACACTTCATCACTCTTTACATGATCTTGTTGCCCAGACTGATCTCTAATTTAAAAAAATACATTTTTAAATCCACAGTCAGACGAAACAGAAGTCTGCTAGCAGCATCTCTCACTGTTCTTGTTTATATAAAAGGAACATTTTGGTCATTTTTGATCACGTTTCAGCATCAAAATAACACATAAATACCATCTTACTCATTGTAGATAGCTTCCTGAACAACCTCTGTTTGGAGAAACAGCTAAAGTACTCTAATCTCTAATATTTAACAGCAAATTATTTTATAAACCTTTAGTACGCCGTCAGACACTGTTCAGGGAGAAATCTACAAGAGTAGCTTGTGACACAATTAAAGATGGCCAAAAGAATAAATAATCCCAGGGCAACAAGGAGCTAATTGTATGTGTCAAACGAGGTCTCAGACATGAGCTGTGAGAAATGCAGATTCACATCAAAAACCAGAAAAATGGGAAAAAAAAGGTTAAGAAAGGAGTTGAGGAGAAAAGGGAAGAGGCACTTTAGAGTACATGTGCGCTGCCTCTGTGACTACTAAAGTCAGCCCCAGTGCATTTATTGAACTGTCTTTTTGCACTTAATATGTCATTTCACCTTTATTGTAGTATTTGTTCTTATCGTGCAAAGGTTTTGCTCCTAAATTTGCAACACCGGAGGAAATATTTTTAGCTTCTAACTTTTTGATATTGTGAGATTTTTATCCGGAGCGTTTAGCTGCTGCTGTGCTAGGATGACAGAGTTGAGACTGTTATTTTGATGCTCTTAATAATTATTAGTGGGATCCATGAGAACAGCACTTAAACACTTTTTTTCTAAACAGGCTGACAGCTTTTATAGTGTAGAGCTGTAATTGCTTTATAGGATTTCAACTGTTTAAATCACATTTGCCTTTTTCTAACAATTTTATACATCAACACCATCATGACTCATTGTTTCAATGAAAGTTTTAGACTTTCTCAGTGCACAATAACTCAAAGTATACATATTCTGCACTTTTAAATTGTGTAACTGTAAGACATTTAAACACATAGTTGGATATGAAATCTAAAGATTTCTAAAATGTGTCCAGGAGCCACCTCAGAATCTTGCTAACTTGCAAATTCAAATGTACCAAAGTTTATTTTTTTAATGTCTCACAGATTAATCCCCATCAAGATGCACATTGCATCATCTCTGTACAGAAAAATAAACATCTTTTTCCTTGAGTGTGATTTTTTTCTTCAGGTTTTAATTGAATTATTCAGAACGCTGAGTCTAGTTTCTGCAGCCAGACCCAGGCCTCATCACTACCAGACATGTAGAATTAAGGCATTTCACTTCCATTGAACTTATTGTGCATCTGTAAGTCTACACATTTTACTTTTTCAGTGATGGCAGCTTCTAACTGTACATTTTAGAAATCCTTGTTAATGTGAATTGTAAACTGTTTTAAATTCCTTTAGTTTCTCAATCTGATATTTAGATAAGCAGTCATGCTTCATTTCCATAGCTATAACCTAGAACTATTTTAGCCCCTCTGCTTTTGATAATCCAGTCATTCTCACCAATTTCACATCTATAAGATGACAAAAAAGGGTAAAAAGAATCCACCTGACATGAAGAAGAAATAAAAATATCATGAAGCAACATCTCCTGGCCTCAAAGCACAAAGGAACTCAGAAGAGCATCTCAATCTCTGCAGGGCTCACTCCGTTTATAATCTCAGAATAAAAACAACTAAACTGAAACACTGAGTGACTTATACACACCGATAAGGACAGCCAAACTGAATTTCATTAAACAGCTAATATGGTCTTTGACTTTTATTATAAAAAAATGACACATTTAAAAAATAAACATACATATTTGACCCAGTTACACACATTTAGACTGAATGTGGAAAAAAGAACGACCACATTCAGCATCACGGTTCACATGAAGTTACCAAACGATTGTGCTTTTATAATCATGTCTGACAATAAAATTTAACTATTACAGTAAATCAATAAAAAATTGTACAAATGGGACTCAGCAGACAGAACATTTAATAGAGAAATCTGAAGGTCATGTCCCAACACTGGGTGAAGCTTGGAGGCTGCTACAATGGGACGATGCAACCAACAGGTACCATGTTCACACCAAACGCATCAAATGAAACCAGATCTGAAGGTCTCATTTCCTAAGAAATTTATTAAAAATAAGTTTAAAAAAATCTCAGTGATTGCAATTTAGTGCCATCATTAACATATTCCAACATGTAAGCACAGGGCACCTCAAACTGAGATTTCAGTGAAGCGGGGGCTTGACCTTTAGGTGCATAAATGAAAACAGGAGCTGAGTGAAAACGTGCATAATGTGAACCTGACAACCAAATCTGTGGGTGTGATTTAGTCTTTAACATAAAACCAAAATCAAAGATTTGTGAACTCATGAAGAGCGAAAGGTTAAATCGAGGATTGTGTTTATAAAACAGAAAGGATGACGTTGTGTTTAAGGGGCTTTAGAAGGTAGCTGCGGATTGCTGGCGTCTATCAAAGAGCCCCTGTCCTCTTCAGGCCAGTGGTCCTGGGTGAAAGGCTGGAAATGAAGGCTGTGAGCCAACTCGGGGCTGGAATAACTCAAATAAGTGCAGAGTGCCTTGAACATCCTGTGTGATGTGCACAAAACAAAAATTGTACAATGAGAACATGAAGTTCACCAAAACGGTGAGTGAGCAGCATGTGATTCTCTCCAGGGTGTGTGTGTGTGTGTGTGTGTGTGTGTGTGTGTGTGTTCCACTCCCATCAGAAGCTGTGACTCCTCTGTTACATAACCTTGTAATGTGGCTTTGCCTCCAGTGTGTGTGTGTGTGTGTGTGTGTGTGTGTGTGTGTGTGTGTGTGTGTGTGTGTGTGTGTGTGTGTGTGTGTGTGTGTGTGTGTGTGTGTGTGTGTGTGTGTGTGTGGCATCATCTGCACACAACAGTGACTAGAAATGGCATTCATGGACAAATGTGTAATTTTTGGAGTGGGAGATGTTTTTTTGTTGTTGTCAGGATTACTAAAGAGCAAACAAAACAGGGTGTGTGTGGCGGGGGAGGGGGTCCCCCCAGAGCTGCTGTGTTTCTCCTCCTCTTCGTTCACAGGGCGATGCTGTTGGGCCTGTAGTTGGCAAAGCAGAGCACTGAGTTTGAGGACTCGTCACAGTTGCCGGGCAGCTCCACGTCGCTGGCTGCCAGCGGATTCCTGCTAATGACCAGATCCAGGCAGTCTCCAGCCTCCACAATGAGAGGCACAGTTAGACAGCAGTCCAAGTCCCTGGTCCTCACTCGGTTCACCTGGAAGACCACAAGCATGTCAATTATCAGTCACTGCACCTCACACACACTTTCACACACTCTGATAATACCTGAAGAATGCGATCAAAAGGTTTTAACCCGGCCAGGTCTGCAGGGCCGTCTGGTCTGATCATGTTCACATAAACTCCTTTCTCTAGCAGCCCATCTGACACACTGAAACCAAAGTCACGGCTCTCACGGTCCTTCCTTATGGACACCTGCACACAAGGAACAGGATTAGGTTTTAAAAGTCACGGACTGGTGTGGAAATGTTGATATAAAAGGATTTAACCTGGTGAGAAACGGAGCCCGAGCTTTTAACTAGTTTAACCATCTTGTTTCTAAAAACCTGCCTTATGAGATTAGTGCAAAGAACAGTCCCGCTTTGGAAAAAGTATTAGTTTTCTCTACTGGAAACTGTTTCAGATCAACAGCAGTCTAATGACATTTGACTGGAAGCAAATTTAAACAGCAAACCTAATCCTGGTGCTGCACCATGTTTTTTCCTTTAACCTTGTGTCCATCGTCTTGCTTAAACACCAAACAAAGTGACTACAGCATCACACCATCTCATTTGTTTCTCTTTGGATTCAGACGTGTTCTTAACCAAACTAGAAACAGCTTTAAAAGGCTTTGGGACATTGTGTCAAGGCTAAACACTGCATTCATCCCTGTATCCTCCATTATTGTCTGTTAAAACACAGCGTGGCTCACAGAGGATGTAGGTACTGTCCTTGGTCACGGCCAGTGCTCAAATCTGACCCAATTGCTGTTTGCTGTAAATCCAAGTTGTGACTCAAGCAAGGGAAGGGTGCAGGTGGAAATGCAACCCGAAGCAACTTTGGTTTCTTGACTCTGTAAGGATTAAGTGATCAAATAACGGAGTTGAGATATAAATTCTGTGTGGGAAGTTCATGAGCACTTCTGCAAACCACTGAGCGATTTGCAGAAATGACATTTTTAATGCATGCAGATGACTTTTCCTTGATTCTTTAGTTTAACTCACAGGGAATGCCAACAATAAATCTGTCAGACACAGATGATAGCATTTTAGCACCAGCAAAGTGATTCTTCGATTATATTCCTCTGTTTCTTAAAAATAAGACTAGCAGGGATGGTTCATTTGCTGTATATAGGACTTCCCAGGGTTGGCAATTCTTGTTTATGATGTTTAGGAGTGTAAATCCTCCCAAATCATAGGAAACCTGTAAAAGTGGATAAAGATGACGTATTACAAGAAAATATGCCACAATGAACATCTAGTAAAAACAAGGGAGATTAAATGTTTTGCATAGTTTTGTGAGCAGATTTTGCACTTTGCAGGTGTTTAAAATGAGAACAATTACACAGTTTTAGCTTATTTCAGCAATATCCAGCCACTCTCTATACTACTTTCAGAGAAAGAGTAATAAATCCTTCAACTGTTGAGTAATAAACATAACATGCCATTTCTATAATGTATCCATTCCCAGATTATTGAAAAGTGTTTAATAGATAAATCACCTTGTGTAGGGCTAAGCCTGTGGGGGACAGGATTTCTGAGGAGCCCCCCTTGGCTCTAGATGGTCCATCTCTGACTCCAGACGACAGGTTTTTGTGTTTAGCCTCACTGTGGATCCCTCCCTTTTGTAAGGGACTGATGTCAGAGTGGAACATTGAGTTTTCGTTTGTCTTGTTCTCTTCTAGGTACAAACTCAGAGCACTCCTGGTCATAGATGCCTGGGAAAAAGGGACAAGAATTATTTTATATTAAACTAGATGAACAATAGTTACGGTATGAATTCCAGTGTTGCATGCACAGAGGCCAAGGCAGTGTGCAAAATCCTTCAGAGTAGCAGCAGGTGCCTGGATTGTCCTGTCAGATTTAATAACAGATTACACACTGATGATTATTATAATGCTTCGTCGAGCATGTTCATTTAGGCTGACACCAGTCTAAGATACATGAGGGCAAAGCAGATGGAGGACAGGAAGCTCCTACCTCCAGCTCCCTGAGAATCTCTGACTGGCCGCAGGTCTCCAGGTCCTGCAGAGTTTGAGACCAGAAACTGTCTTCCTTGTTCATGCTGCCATGGAAACGAGGGGGGCTGACGAATCTACGACAACGCAGGAACCAGAACATAAAAGCAACCCTGCAAGGCTTGAGGTGGGTGCTGCATACAAAAGCAGCATGGGAAATGCAGTTTTTGGAGCTGCAAAACTGAAGAGGCCCTTTAAAAATCTCTCAGGACCGCAGTAAAGTTTTACTGTAGCTTATTGAGGAGTCTATGAGTCCACCAGATAAAACAAAGCCATCAAATTTAGAAAAGCCACCCATTAAAAAAAAAGAAAAAAAAGCAGGAAATCAAAAACGTAGACCACAAAGTTCAGAAAGGTCAAGCGTGGGAAGACATACAAGGCTGATGCATCCTTGAGCCATTTAAGTATCTTTTGTTTACATAAAAGGGGTGACGGGAAGAGACGCATCTATTTGATACACCAAAGAGCTTGTGGGCAGTTAGTAAAGCAGATGAGTGAAAGAACACCTGAGAAAAAAGAAAACAAACACAAAAGTACAGTTTGGAAAAAGCACAAAACATGAAAACACAACATGATAAAACATTTATTGAGTGGAGAAAAGTTCTCAGTCTACTTAACAAGAAAGGAAAAGAAATGAATACAGCTCTGGTCAGAAATTAGGAAACTGACATCCTAGCCATTTAGAAGGAGCCGTTTTGTGAATAATTACTGTAGCACTAGTTGTGTGTAGGGTATTAAACAGCCTCTAGTCAGGAAAGTAGAGTTTATGGCCTGCAGGAGTGATACGCTAACAGCTAGTATCATTGTTGCCATCTTTAAACAGCCCAACCCAAAACCTTACACAGGTGTTTAAGTAGCACCGTTCTATAAACCGCCACAATGCTCTCAGGTTAGCATCAGCGGTTATTTAGTAGAAATGTAAATGGGTGATGGCCTGTATTTGTATAGCGCCTTCTTAGAGTTCAACAACCCCCCAAGGCGCTTCACAATCATCAACCCATTCACACACTCATTCACACGCTGGTGGGGATGAGCTACGATGTAGCTACAGCTGCCCTGGGCGCACTGGCAGAGGCGAGGCTGCCGAGCACAGGCGCCACCGGGCCCTCCGACCACCACCAGCAGGCAAGGCAGGTTAAGTGTCTTGCTCAAGGACACAACAGCAGCATTCTCTGGTCTGAGCCGGGATTGAACCTGCAACCTTCCAATTACTGGACAACCCGATCGACGTCCTGAGCTACTGCTGTCCAGAAATATAATAAAACTCCTGCTTGACTCGACTTCTGTATACACCAGAAGTGACATAATGACCTGCTACTATAAAACAAAGTTCACAACTTTATGATCTTAAGGTCTTTGAGGTTTTTTGGTATTTTGGTTCATCAACATTGTGCTTTTGGGTGACATGATCTGACCAGAACTGTATTACTAAAGAAAAGGTAAATAAAGAAATGAGGACATAAACAAAAGCTACACTGACAGATGACAGAAGTCTGTAACAGAGCTGGCTCCACAAAGAAACTATCATTTTCATTCAAACATGATGATGAAAAGCTGGACTCTTGTCACATACTCAACGTGTGAGCTTCATCAACCCCAACAGAAATGGTGAATTCATGGCTTCAAACTTCCTGCAGCCTGAGGACTTTGTAAGCAAAGTCCAGTCCTCCCCGCTTACCCAGGTATCTTGTCCCACTCGTCCTCTGTAAATCTCCCATCATACAGCGCTGCTTGGTGGGCCAGACCTGCAGGACTGGGTGTGGTATGGCCCCTGTGATTTGGGCGCCTCCATTCTGGTGGATGTAGCAGTAAGTCGGCGCTTTTGAGCAGATATGTCCCTAAAAATAAAGAAAACAATCATTTTAGTTAGAGAAAAGCAAGCTGAGTGATTTGGCCAGCCTGTGAGAGGTGTGGCTCACCTTGGCTAATGTAGCCTGCATCAAACCCTGAGCTGTCCCAGGAGCTCATGGCAGAGTCGACACTGGGCACTGTGGCGGAGTAAATCTCTGAGTGTTTACTAGTTTTTTGGGAGTCTGGGGGTTCGTCTTCGGGGTCACTCAAGAACCCGGCTTCTCTGTCAACGGGTCGCCGGCACTCAGACTCTGAACAAACAAAGCAGCAGGTTCACATTAAAGCAGGAAGGAATGATTCTTTTTTTATTTTGAAACAAAAACCAGTTAAAAAATATTATTATACGTTCAGCTTGTTTCTTGATCTTCAGAGTGACGGACTCTCCGGCCATCTGCAGCAGATGGATGGCCTCGCTCAGAGGTTTTCCTTTAAGACTGACTCCGTTGATAGCCAGAACCCTGTCCCCAACGTGGATGGCCCCAGTCCTGCAGGGGACAAGAAGGCAGAGGACAGAAAGACACCAGAATATACCAGACAGTACCAACAGGCATGCTGTCAGGCTGCCAGAGCCCGCACCAAGACAGGAACAAAGAGGCTTGTTGTTGCAGGGAGAGACTAGACAGCCATTGTTTACTGTCTCATTTATTAATAAACTAAAAAAACTGTTCACATCGACGAGACGTCTTTTCACTCACCTCTCAGCCAGACCTTTCTTGGTGAGGCCAGATATGACGATGGGGTCAAAAGGTTCCTCTGTGCCAGAGATGGTGATGCCCAGAGGTCCGTTATACCTCTTCAGCTCCACCGTGTAGATGATGGAGCCAGACATCTCCAACTCCTCTACAACACAAAGACCAGACAGGAGCTCAAAGTGTGTAAAAGCGACTGTGTCGGATTTTTTATTTATTTATTTATTTTTTGCGTTTTCTGTGTCAATTAGCTTAAGTCAAGTACACTTCAGAAGTGCTTATCAGCCAGTCTCTTATTTACGGTGTTTAATCGGTCTTCTGGTTTGATTTTGATAACACACACAAGCAAAAGCATCACCACCAACCTGCTAAAGGAGGGCTATAAACATATGTGATGTTTTAAAGGCAAGTTTTATTTAACTTGTTGGCTTTAATTACTATAATTGCATTTGAAGTGTCATTTTATTTCGTTTTATTTGTTTGGTGTTATTTTATTACATTTAGTTCAACTGTATTTTAAGCTTGAATAATGAATTATTAAAACTAGTATCAACTCGGCAGCAGATTTTCTGCTAACACTGAAAACAAGTGTGTTGCACTTCTGCCATCGACGCAGCTCAGCGTACCAATGTTGTCCTCATCTTTCTGGATCCTCAGTTTGACCATGTCCTCTGCCTGCTGCAGGACATGCATGGCATCCTCCATGGTGCAGTTCTCCAGACGCACAGAGTCGATGGCCAGCAGCCGGTCTCCAGGCTCCAGGGTGCCTGTTCTGACAGACAAGAGCAAAAAGGATCACAACTATTAACGGGGTTGCCTCTCCTGCATCGCTCGCCAAATCCTATTAACCTCACATCTCAGTAGGCTCCGTGGGGGTGACCGTAGCCTCACCCTCAACCTAATCATCACTGAACCCTTCTGAAATGTAGCTGCCCTACTGATCCAGTTTTGATAATCCAGTCCTATTAGATTATTATTACACAACAGGCAGATGAATCTGTTTATCATTGTGCTGCAGAAACAAGGATGATGATACACACCTGTGAGCTATGCTTCCTTTTTTGATGTCCGAGATTATTAGAGGCTTCTCTGGTTTTTTACTTGCTGGTAAAAACAGAAAACACATTTTTATATACCACTGTGACCTCTACACATTTTGAACTCTGCATTCACTTTTGTTGGTGTCTGGTTTGTACTCTTCCCCCTGAGCTATTTAGGGCAGAAAGGTTAATGAAGGATGCTGCACAGGCCTGTATTATTCAGAGGTAATGAGCTATGAGTATTCATGCTTTGACAAGTTTTATGGATCACAGCGTCCAGAGACACTGAGCAGCACTGCCTCCTGCTGGCTCTCTGTAAACCTACCACTGATGGTGATGCCCAGCTCCACTCCTCTCCGCTTTGGTAGTTTCACATGGAAGGTGCCGCTGCTTGGAACCACAGACTCTAGTTTTGATTAGGGGGACACTCATATCAAAATAGCAAGGATTTATAGGAAATTAAATTATAAAAGATTTATTTCTCGTGATACCTGCCACGTCAAACTCAACCTCCACTGTGACTTTGTTTGCCAGAGCAGAGTCTCTGAGCAACTGATGAGCTTCTTCCAACGTGCCCTCTTCAGTCGGGATGCCATTGATGGACAACACTCGGTCTCCAACTTGCAGCAGCCCACAACTTCAAGTTTAACAATCACAAAAACAGGAAATGGTTTATCTGAAATGTTATCTATACAACAGCAGAGAAGGAAATAAGTGCACGTTGTTAACAGCCTACACTGTAAACCCAAATGTTGAAAATAATCAAATATATTCAGTAGGTGAAAATCATAAACTTGTTGTTTTAGTTCAACCTTTTCCTTGTTTTGAATACACAGAACTCACTTATTTATAGTGAGCATAACTTAAATACATCAATAAAGAACAACTTCATTTGAATGAGTAAAATTAACTAAACAAATATTAATTATATTATGTTTCTATTATTTTATTCATCTATATGTAAACTTAAAGTGTGTCTGATAAACAGACTTATATTTTTCTAAATATTTGGGGATCTATAGGGAAAAAACAACCACATACAAGCAATTTTGGTGGATTTCAGGCACAGTAAAGACCTGGTGGGTGAGGTGCATTGTGGGTAGTCATGTTTTTAGTTATTTTGTTCTACTTTGGGTTGTTTATGCATGTTTATTGCGGGGGATTGTTGTTCTTAGTTATTACTTCATTCAGTGTTGCAAATGTGGTTTTACTTTTTGTATCATGGCACCATTTTATTTTATGTAAACATAAGTTATTTTAAAACATCACTTAAATATTTTTGTGTAATCTGTTGCAAAATAATTTTTGAGTTATGTGAACTTATTAAGGTTTACAGTGTAGTGAACTATTCACATATCTAAGATGGCTTATGTAACCCTAAACCTGGCTACGTATTTAGGTGTAGCCTGAATGCATGGAAAATGCTAAATATTACTCATGTGGGTGATTTATTCCAAAGAAACAATTATTTGTTAGCATCTATTTAATTTTAACTCAATTTTGCTTATTTAAATCACTGTTTTTGAAAAAGAGGATTTTAAACTTTAGTAACTTTGTGTCCCTTTTCTGGCAAAAAGAGGAAATGCTCAAAGCGTTTGTACATTTGAGAGCGCTTGTCCAAAAATTATAGTTTTCTTTTTTGTCCAGTAAACATCAAACATGTTCTGGTTCAAATATAAGTGAGCTTTTAAATATTCAAAAATATAGGAACTTGATAAAAACAGATGAAACGCCTAAATATGAGCCTGGTTGTGTTTTTGCAAACACACCTATTGGTGTGTGTAAAGTCTCACACTGCAGCTTTAAAGCTGCTGTAACGGAAACTATAAATAAAAACAATGCAGCCCTCAGACTAGACAGAGATGTTTTGACTTCATGTGAACCTCATAATTGTCTCACCAGCTAACAAATAGAAAAGACTCACGCACGTGCACGCGTTTGAACTGTAGCGTGGTTAACTACATACTAGAATTAGCGCTGATGCTACAGAGCCAAGCCCTAATTGTGCAGTAAAATGCTAAAGCGCTGTCAAGTGAGATTAATTCGCCCAACTTTGCAGCTTATTGACCTTGCATGAAGGCTGAGGCACCAAACATGTCTGCTGTATATGAGTCACTCCTGTTGGACCTGGGGATGCGGACACACACACACACACACACACACACACACACACACACACACACACACACACACACACACACACACACACACACACACACACACACACACACACACACACACACACACACACACACACACACACACACACACACACACACACACACACACACACACACACACACACACACACACACACACACACACACACACACACACACACACACACACACACACACACACACACACACACACACACACACACACACACACACACACACACACACACACACACACACACACACACACACACACACACACACACACACACACACACACACACACACACACACACACACACACACACACACACACACACACACACACACACACACACACACACACACCTTGTTGATGTGCATAATAGCCTCCATCAGTAATCTTATCAAAAAGTTTATTTTAACTGGAATATTCTAACACAGTTTATACTCTACCAAGATTATAACCCTGCCAAGAAGAAGAGTTTCACAGACCAATCACGAAGCAGATGGGAGCGCCACAAGTTTAGCAGATAAGTGGTGGCCGGCTGACCAACTGACCAACGCTAATGTCCCTTGTGCCGAGCTGCCAGCAGCATAGCTGTGAAAATGAGGCGCAGCAGATGCGTTTCCTGCTTTTAGTCATCTGTTGTCCCATCACATTTATCTTGTGACCCCCTCTGCTGCTCTCACCCACCTCAGAGTAACACCACTGGCCTTTCAGTGGTTCCAGCTCATGGCGCTGTGCATAAATGATCAATGAAACTGGTGAACAAGTATTTTGTAAAGTTTGATCTCTGTTTTGTGCGTCAAGGCCACAGAAGATAAGTTATGTGGGGCGCTAAAGTTACACTAAAACCAGTGAACGCATTCAGCCTCGTATATTATTCAAAACCATATTTGGATTAAAATGATTCTAAATGTTTATGTAATAATCTAAATAATCAAATAAAAATGTGAAAGTAGATGGTTCAAAAAAGTTTAATTTAACAGATCTCAGCCTGAAATGCGCACACTTTAAACCTTGCATAACTATCATAATTATTGTGACTTTATGCATGCTTATGTAACCAATTAGTGCAAACACAACTACATTTTCCTCACAGTCTAAAGAACATCTTTGCATGAATCTCTAGCGTTCAGACACGCTTAATATATGTTTTTCTGTCAGGCAGTTTCAACATGATTTTAAATAGTTTCATCACGTTTTCTTCCTAATTAGTTTAGATGCATTTAGTACACACATGAACACACAGGTGTGTGTTCACTCATGAACTAAACTTTTTTCTGTTTGCTCTGGGCTGCATTTGTGGCTCTGAAACATCATAAATTCAAAAGAAAGGATGATGTTAACAGTCATTTATACATTTAATAAGCTACACAAGTGACTCTTCACATGCAGTGGTTTGTTTATCTAGACTATGCTGACTGAACACGACGGTTGAAAGAAACAAAAATAGATCATGACATGTGCATCTGTCTCTATAAATAGTCCTACAAATCAAGTTTATGGTTTGCATTTTATGGATATAAAGAGGGTTAAAACAAACAGGAAAGAACAAAAACCACTAATTGTTGCTCAGGGTTTGTTGGTGTAAAAAAAGGTTTAGGTTCATAAATGAGTAGCAGTGAGAGCCTCCAGTGTGAGGCGACTTTCATTGTAATATTTATGTTTGCTACCTCTCAGCTGGGCTGTCTGGCTCAATAAAGCGGATGACCGGAGGAGCAGATAGTGTTTCTGTGGCAAAGACACCCCCCTGCAGCTGGATCCCAAAACCGGTGAGCGGATCGCCCCTCAGAACGACTTCGCTTGTTTCCACATGAAAAACCTGTCCCCCTGGTCCGACAGAGCTGGACGACAGGGATACTGTGGAGAGAGGGAGTGCATGCCAGATATGAGTGGAGATGTGGCAGATAAACATAGCACAGAGGTATTGTTGGAGATGGTTTAGGAAGAGACAAGAAAACAAGGAAAATGAGTCATGTTTACGTCAGCAGGGGATCAGATGTACTCTGACTGAGATGTGTGATCATGCTGCACTTGTAAAGGAGTTCAAATGGGTTTACATGAGCTCACTTGCTCAGTTTTAGTAAGAAGGTCATACGTGAGCTCTTGTGGTCCTTCTTCCTAATCCTCCTCCTACCAGTGGAGCTACGAGGACTGCTGGGAGTGATGGGAGGGATGGGGCAAGGCAGAGTGTTGCTGCCTTGGCTACTGAAGCCTGAGGTGGCTGTAGAGGATGGGGAGAAGCCCCCACCCACCAGAGCTGAAACACAGAAATACAGCATCACTATCAGGCATCAAACAGCAAAAACACACATCAAGCACAGGCAACAAAAGAGGCTGAACACCCCAGACGGGTTGAATGATTGTGCTGATGTAAGGGCTCCAGCTAAATCGTCTTGCCAGCAGCACAGCTGTCACAAGTGATAACTTACATTTGCACATGTCCTGCTGGTTGTGTGGGTGGCTGGGGCTGCTCCATGTCTTGCTGTGGCTGGCATGTGGGTGATGGCAGTAGTTGCTGCTCTGGTCCCAGGGCTGATGGTTGCTTTTCTGCACTTTAACTGCAGCAGCAAGGAGGAAAACACATCCACTTAAGAGATGAGACATGCACCCCTCCACAGAGACTCCAAAACACCTCCATCTATTCAAAAGGCTGTCACGGGTTGATGTTCGTGTCTAAATTTGAGCCGCGCTGTGGAGACGCTCAGAGAATAATTCAGAGACGCGTAATTGATATTTAATGTCCCAGGAATGGCGCACGAGATTAAATCCTGGAGTTTTATGTGTTTTTGGAGCCTCTCAGAATCAATTAGGAGAAACGGTGTTTTAGGGGAAATTGAGAAAAGGTTAAAAATAAATAAACATACAAATACTAGCAAGTCTGCAAAACACTGCGAGCAAGCTGATGATCATTTTGACCATTAACATCCACACAAAAGCCTAAAGGTGCACAAACAGTGGGAGTAAGTCGAGTGCTGCATGGATCAGGAAGCTCTACTGGCTGCTGGGAGGCATGAGGCTTGATTGGCTACAGCTGAGAGCTGATTGGTGTTAATGCAGACATCTGGCTCCCTCTGGTAATGAGCTTCATCTCTCTCTTTTACGATTAGCTCTGAATTAAACGTTTGCTTGTTGTTTATGTTGAATGGCAGCTCCTCCTTTATGTTCGACCTTCTGATTGAGTCAAACCGCCTTCATGAAGCTGCCAAAGAAAAGCAGTTGACCTCCTGTGTGACACTCATCTCAGTAATTAACTTTCCCTCAGAGATTCATGCAGCTGGGTCTGTCACTGAATGCTACATGCGACAGTAATCCCTGCTGCCTCATTTGGAGGGGTCTAATCTGTGAGAACGTGATCATATGGATGGAGGATTTGCTGGAAAGATTGCTGACTGTTGCTGGGACGATTGCCTCATATGAGAAATCTGGTCAAATCCTGCTAAATACACATGCAGCGGAACTTCTGGACCTTTCCCCAGTTTCTCTGTTGCTCCAGCTCTCGTGGCTTATCCTAAACTCACTTTGAGGGACTCCAAGAAGTTGTGCTTTCAGTTTCAGCTGAAAAACACTAGCTCCTAATCTGTTCGTGGTCGTATCAGTCGCCTTAAATCCTCTGAGCAGATTAAACAAATTGCATCTTCTAATCACGCCTCATCACGGAGGAGAGAAGCTGTGAGAAAATTGCCTTTTCATAATGGCACTATGCCTCGTTTAAGTACAGTTTCTTGATGAAAATTACAGAAGACGCCTGTAATGTTACAGATAAGCAGCTTAGGTGATGTGCTGGAAACAACAGTGATCAAAGGGGAAACGTGTACTCATCAGTGTCAGAATCACATACATTTTTATGTATTTTAGTTAAATGTCTGCAAGGCAGGTGCCATGTGTTTGTAACTCAGTGTTTTCTAAATTAAAATAAAAAACTGGAAAATGTTCATTTGAAAGAACATTTTCACAGATAATCAAGGATTCCAGGGTTGCTGCTATTTAAACCCAATGGTGTAACTGTGTGCAAAGTAAAAATCATTACAAAAGAAAATCTTTTCTAAGGGAAGGTGCATTTATTTGGATGGTTTTTGCTTTAGTGCATTTCTTCTTCTTGCTTCTTTTTGTGCAGGAATAGGAAGCAGCTCCTCACAGCTGCTGACCATAAGGATAAATCTGCAGAATGTGGCAAGAGCATCTGACAGGGAAAAAGGTGTGTGTGTGTGTGCGTGTGTGTGTATGGTTTATAAGAGCCAAAGCCAGCGGGATTGGAGCCATCGGTGCGCCGTGCGCATAAAAACACACTGGGCCTGATTCAGACTGTATGGGAAAAGACAGCTGAGAGGCAGCCAAGCTCTTTACAGCTGCAGGTAAAATAGCAAAGAACAGAGCCGTCACAGTAGATAAGAGGAGCAGAGCAGCATTCCCAGAAACAGCACACATGGTCTTGGTTTTGGAGAGATAAGTAAATTAGCTGGGATTTTTTAGAATCGGTAACATTTCAGAGCAAATGAACTCTCTCTCTGTAAGTCCACATGTTTGTGTTGTATTGCCTATTAGAACAATACCTAGAAAACTACATCGATTCTGTTTTATAACTATTATTATTAGAAGGTAAACACACCACAACAAACCCAGGGTGATGCTTCACTCCAGGGACTCTGTACTCCCTTAATGTTTTGACATTTTCAGTTGGACAAAATTGCTAAAAATGCTTTTAAAAAAGCAGCAAAACTTTAAATTGTCAGAAGCTGCAGGCCTTGCTTACCCAGCCTTTTCTCTGTAAAGGTGTGTGTTGTTCTGTTTCTCTGTGTGACCTCTGGGACCTACCGGCGTCGTGTGGCCTGATGGGAAGTCTGCTCTGACTGGCTGGAAGAAGCTCAAGTTTGAGGATTTCCGAGGAGCTGGCCAGGAGCTGTGTGGCCTCCATCAGGGAGCAGAGCTCTGTGCTGGTCCCATCTATGGCCAGCAGGAGGTCTCCCACATGCAGGGCGCCACACCTGAGACAGAGATAGACTCTACAAGGATGGCTCCTATCAGGAAACTCTGTGTGGTGTAGCGAGTGTTTCCTTCACCTTTCTGCCACACTTGCTGGCTTTATCTTGTCAATAACAACAACCTGTTTGCTTCTGTATAACGTTTTAGTGAGGCTGATCCCCAGGCTGGCTGAAGGGCCTTTCACGATCTCCACCAGCAGGGGGCCAGAGGCCTGCTGCACGGCCTCTGGAACAGACAAATATTACACTTTAACAAATTACAATCTATTTATAACAGATAATAAAACAGTCCATGAATCAGCTCGCCGATTAGACTAGATGCTTCAGTTACTAGACCTTACGTCAGTATGTTGTGTCTTCGGTAACACTTTACAACAAGGGTCTCTTTATAACTGTTACTTAGTGCATTAATAAATAAATGATCCCTTTATTAACATATCCAATATTAACTATTAAGAGTCATTAATGTTAGGACAAAGGGCCAGGTGGGGGTGTCTGCTTAGTAATGCATTACTTAATAACATTAATATTATGTAGTTGTAAATGGTTTATTTGATAGTTTATTAATGCTTAATAATGCACTAAGTGATGCTAATAAAAGGAGCCTTATTGTAAAGTGTTACCGTGTCTTCTTTCACAGTCACATCTTGCTTTTGGTGGTTTTACTACTGAACAATGTGAGGAAAAAAGATGGAAAAACAACTTTTTATCTATTTTTTTCACACAACTTGTCAACATTAGAACAAATTCTCACTTTATTGGACACATTTTGATCACATTAATATATTTTTCTCTGGTTTGCTTTAAAATTAGGAAAGACATTTTGGTCTGTTGCTTTACCATTTATTTCTTTTATGTTTATTTCTTTTGTACCAACATTTCATGTAATTTCCTTAACGAAAAGCCTGGGTACCCACTGATTGGTGGGGGACTGTTATCAGTGTAACATGAAGCAGGTGTGTAATACGTTGGTCTATCTTTAATTTAGTTTTTCCCATATAAAATAAAGAACTATTGAAACAAACTCAATAAATTGCCTTCAGCTGACAAACTTGCTATTTTATGGATATCCAGTTTTTTTTCACATCAAACAAAAAAAACATCTGGAAATCTTAATGATGCAGAGCTGACTCAGGATTGAATTTCAGCATTTTGTCTTTAACAGTGCAAATAAAGACTTAGACAATAAGAATATAGAAAGTGCATTACAGTGAATGTAATGTGCATTACTGTGTAATCGGCTCTAATGTAAACTTTAATAGCATGGCTTCTCCTTTCCTAAGATCACCTGCTCAAGGTAGCTTAAAGAAAACCATCTAAGACAGCTGGACTGATTAAGACAGTTTGCTTCCCATTAACAATTTCTCTATTCTAGATCTAGATCACACACACACACATACATGCATGCACGCACGCACGCACGCACACATGCACACGCACACACACACACACACACACACACACACACACACTTTTAATGTGTGTCAGCTGTCCTTAGTGACCTGCCCCAGTTTGCGCATAGTACATTAGTTAGAATTAGTCACCATGACCAAACAGAGGTTGTAATTGGGTTTTTAGCCATGTCATGTGTTTGGTGGTTTATTTTACTTAATGAGGAGAAGTCATTTCAGCGCTTGCTCTGAAATAAAGTTGGACTCCTACATGCAGGGCGCCAATCATCACTTTCGACTTAGTTTTGGTTTTTAGTTCCCAAATATGAAGAAATAAAATTATTCTAGCAAAATCAATATAAAACTTTCAAGTTATGTTTTTAGTGTCATACTTTAGAAGGATAAAATGTTATTTTGATCAAATACAGAGCCTAATATTTCTAACCTTTATATGCTCAATGTGCTCTCAGGCTTGTAAGCCTCTGGTGGCGTCTCCATGCAGCTGAACAACCACATTATTTAGCCTCAGAGAACCGCTGCCCTATGATGCCTCCACAGAGTGTGTGTGCACACATGTGTGTGTGTGTGTGTGTGTGCATGCGTGCGTGCGTGCGTGCGTGTGTGTGTGTGTGTGTGTGGGTGTGTGATTGCTCACCCATGACAGAAACGTCATACTCAATCAGGAACAGACCTTCCTGGCCGCTTTGCATCAGCACGGTCAGAGCATCAGCATGCCTCTCTCTGTTCAAAGGCATCCCGTCTATGCTCAGGACTCGGTCTCCAGCCTTCAACGTGCCCTCTCTGGTGACACACACATGGAGAAATGGTGAAACAGAAAAAACACAACACACTTGAGCAGAGCAGTGTGCTCATGGAAGCGTTTAAGCACCGGTCAGAGTCAGTGCTTAAGCAGTGCGTGTTTCCTCCCAGGTGAGATGAAGGATAAACAAGATAAATGGCCGTGAAGACTTTGATGCTGGATTATGTTTGCATCAGTGTTTCGGAGCTCAGTTTTCATCGAGGGAGCAAAGTGTTATGTTGTGTTGGCCGCAGGATCAGCAGTGCCCTTTCTGTTTTGTAGATACTTTTTATATCACAGTCACAATTTCCTGCCGTGTCTGAGTATTAGACACGGCAACGTCTACGTAGATTTATCGTGGATGTGCTACAGCAATTATGTTCACATGGGTAACGGACTCTTTTCTGATCATATTTTAAAATGAAGCTATAAGTATATAGTTGGCACATGCAGGATGACTCGTGCAGATTTAAGCATACAGTCCAGATTAACGGCTCAGCTTATACAATAAATACAGGAAACACTTCTAATTCTCTAATGCTCTAATTTCCCTCTGGGATTAATAAAGTATCTTTGATTGATTTGATTGATTGATAACCTGTCAGCAGGACCCCCAGGTCTAATGCTGGTGACCACCAGAGGGCGTGACCTCCTCCAGTCTTCATGGAAACCCCCTGAAAATTCACAAGTGAAAGAAAATGAGGGTATGATGGCATTTTAGGGCCACAGAGAGGAAATGAAGAAACGAGGAGGAGATGAAGACGCACTAGTCAAAAATTTCAGTCCACAGGATTACTCAAAAAACTTCCTCCAAAACCTTCACAACAAGAGTCTAACACACATTCCCCGAGGAAATCTGATGCTTAGAAAAATAGTTTTCATCGAGTGCATAAAAGAGCAACAGGTTAATATGCTCTTTTTCTAAGCTTCAGAGATTTTTAAGAATTTCTATTTGAGACTTTTATTATGAAGGACTGAAGACAATTTTGAGTCACGCTGTGGATACTGCTGCAGAAGCAGCCACAAGAAAGCAACTCATAATTAAAAAAAATGCTAAATTGTTTATAGTTTGCACAGAAAGAACAAACCCACAGCTACAAAACACAACAATGAAACCTGAGCAAATACAGTCAGAGCCAGGGGGACAGCAGGCCTCCATTGTTTGAGAAATATTCTACTCGTTTATTTCCTCTACATTTTCACACCTCCTCCTTGTTTGTCTTAATTAGTTTTAAAAGCTAATAAAATTCAGCAACATCCCGTCGACCTACCTCTCATGACAAAGCCAAAACTGTTTCCCTCCTTGTGTAAACACACCTCTATGGTTTTGGTTATGACTCCCGAGGGGTTCTGGACTACAAGACAGGAGGACAGGACAGACTGAAGAACTGATCATCAGTTAAACGTGAGCTAAAGGCACAGATATAACATTGTAATGGATGAAGTTTAAGCCTAAACTGCCGTTTCAGCAGATGAGATTTGATTTATTTCAACTTGAACCAGCGGATCCTTAACAGTCCATACACACTGAGTAAAGTGTGAACCGGTGTGTTGATTTACTGTCAAAACAGGTTGAAATATTTAGGTTTAATTGTGAGCACACACAGGAAATTCAACTGTGAAGGAAACCATGGGGTGAGTGTTTCAGCCTCATGGAAGTGCAGTGACCTCAGTGTGACCTGCACTGCTTAGGGGTCAAGCTCAGAGCCAGTGTGCTGTCAGTGTTTAAGCCTCAAACACGGATTTGGGTTGTGCAATCTGAAATCTGAGCTGACGTTGAGAAAGTTAGCAAAAATCTATTTTAATTAGTGCACGTCTTTCCTGAAGTTATTCTAACATTTTTACTTTCTTTCATTACTTTATCATGTCTGAAAATGATGCTGCTAAATGGGTATTTTTTTCAAATCATCTGGTATCAAACCCCAAAACGGTGGGCTGACTTTTGTTTGAGCAAAACCACTCAGTAAACGTAGAAACACCACAGCATGGAACACTGGATTTATCCCACTAAATGTACTTTTGAAAACAGAAATCAGCACAACCTGGAGACATCTGAAGCCACTTCTAAAAGATGCAGTAGAAAGACAGTGTGGTTGCTGCAGATGTTCTCTCTTCAGAAAGGGGCAAAGTCATCCAAAAAGCCTCAAATACATTTTTGATCTGTAGCCCTAATAACGGTGCAATAGCCAGGTGTGTTAAAGTTACAGGTAAGAAGCACAAAAGGAATCAACATGACTCTTTTTTGTACATTTTCTTCACTACCGATGTGATGCTGAGGCTAAAAGAGCTTGTGTTTGAGACGAATGCCCAACAGCGTGTCTCCTTTAACTTCTAACACCCTGTTGTGACAGCTTTCAATCACGCTTTCCCTAAATACACAAACGTTTTCTACGTGTTTTTCTCAGCTTATCTTACAGGCAGGATGCCAGCTGATGACAAGATTTGATATTAATTCATCTCTGTTAATTAAATGACATTTTCTAAGTCAGAACAGTCATAAAACAACATCCTAGTATTGTACTTCTCCCCCAAAGCGTTCTGTTTTAGTCTGCTTTTCACCTACCAAATGGAGGCAGCTCGTACTCCACTTCAAGCACCACACGCTCCCCGATGTTCTTCAACAGGCTGATGATCTCATCGTGCCGTAGCTTCGACAGGTTGATGCCGTTTACTGATTTGATGTAGTCGCCCATGTTCAGCTGATCACTCCTGCGGACACATCATAAACAGACCACTAAGATAAATCCTTGAATACAGGAAACTGCCTTGCATCACTGAGATCTATTATCTACAAAACCACTTGCTTTTGTTCATAAACTTGATCATTTGTTTTGCTGTAGAGTCGACGGTGGCACAGGAGTTAAGTGCTCGCCTCGCAATCGGAAGGTTGCAGGTTTGAGCCCCGCTCAGTCTGTCGCTGTCGTTGTGTCCTTGGGCAAGACACTTAACCCACGTTGCCTGCTGGTGGTGGTTGGAGGGGCCGGTGGCGCCAGTGCTCGGCAGCCTCGCCTCTGTCAGTGCGCCCCAGGGCAGCTGTGGCTACATCGTAGCTCATCACCATCAGTGTGTGAAAGTGTGTGTGAATGGGTGAATGACTGTGTTGTAAAGCACCTTGGGGGGTTTCAGGATTCTAGAAGGCACTATATCAAATACAGGCCATTTACCATTTATCTCTCATTGTGAAAAAGGAAAACTAAAATATGACAATTTACAAAATTCATCGTAGCTAGTGGTTTTATTTGTATAAGGCAAGGCAGCGTTATTTGTAGCACATTTCACACACAGAAGCAACTCAGTGTGCTTTCCAGGAGCAAGAACATAAAACACTAAAATCAACATGACAATATAAAACAGCAGATTTAAAAATCTCATTTAAGAACACAAATACAATTAGATATAAGATTAAGATAAAAAGGCAAAGTTAAAGACACACTCCTGAACTTTGTAGATATTTGCTCTCTGTCGCCCTCTCGAGGCGTGTTGCGTTATGTCACCGTTGTAAAATTCAATCTCTGTCGCGCATAAGAGGCATGTTTACTGGCTGTTTTCCAACACGCATGCCCAAACAAACACATCAAGCGACGTTTCAGCATTGAATAAAGTTTTATCAGGGATTTATAAGAACTTCATGCCTGACCAAACACAATAACCCCGGTGAAATCATTTAGTACTTACCTATCCTTTAGCAGCACGGCTAGGTCAGTGTCTGTACTACATGCCGTTCTTTCAAGAAGAGCTCTCCAGTGAGGAAAAGCCAGCCCAATATTAACTCTGGTCTTTGCTCTAACGCAATCTCTTTTTCTTTTCCTACATTCCTCTGATAAGGGATTTCTAGCTTTCTTTGGTGGATCTGCCATTGCTAAAGTCTCTAAACCGCAAGTCTACATAATACTGCCGTAAAGCAACACGCAGTCGAGACTTCTGGTGACGGAAGTGCAGATGAAGATGATAAAACTGATCTAGTTTTAGCCTTAATGTAACCAGTGAAGCTCAGGTCTCAATCAATTACACCAAGATTTCTAACCTGAATCTTTGTCTCTATTCCTCTGGACCCAAGTTAAGCAATAACCTCCATCCTATCCTTCTTATTTTCAAAGACAATAACTTCTGTCTTGTCTTTGTTTAACTGGAGGAAGTTTAACTGCATCCAGTCATTGACTTGCTCTAAACACTGACCGGGTGAGTCCAGGGGACCACAGTCACTAGGTGATAGAGCTAAGTAGATCTAGGTGTCATCTGCATCATAATGATAGGCAATGTTGTTATTGTGTATGACCTGACCCAGGGGGAGCATGCTGAGATTGAAGAGCAGTGGTCCAAGAATCAAACCTTGGGGGACTTCACATTTCATGGGGATCACCAATAGAAACAACAAACCCCCCGTCTTTGAGATATGATGGGAACCAACTATGGACTGTGTCTGATACCCAGTTTACAAGCCTATCAAGGAGGGTTAGACTGTATTCTCCTGCAGGAAGCAGACAAACACACATGAACACCTCAGTAGAAGAAAGCGTGGGTTCTGAGGTGAGCTGGCTGAAAGTCTGTCCCTCTTTGACACTGACAGCGATGACTAGATGCTGTCTCACATCTGGCATTCTGAGTCAACACGTGACTCACTGGAGAGCTAATTAATCACATACATGTTCCGCCCATCTTGGCCTTCTCACCTTTGGGCTGCTGCCAATCAAAGGTGACAGCAGACAGAGAAGTGTCTTAACCGGGCACAGGCTGACGTCACAGAGCTCCAGTATCCTCTCTGACCCCCACCCTCATATGCGTCTCCGCCCATTAAGCCAGCTGTTTCACACACGTGAAGACAAGCTCCTGAGAAAAATTAACACACTATGTCTTTAAAAGTCTCCGGTCCTGATGAGGAACGGCATAGATGAGCAGGATATTTTCATAGATTTGTGTTTCATCACCGTCGATTGTGTAAATCAGCTGTCATTAGAGACCTTCTGAACAAAGACCTTCCTTTAATGGTGATACTTTGGATTATGTGTTAGTGAGGGCAGAACGACACGTCAGGTTAGTTTGAGGTAGCTGCCAGGTTCACATCACACAGCAAAGATCTCACCTGGCAGCGAGCCCACCTGGCCGTAGGTTTGACACTCTGGGCTTGCCATCCTTATCGGAGCCTCCGGAGATGGTGAGGCCGAGGCTGCTGCCTTCCCTTTTCATCAGCTCCACCGTGGTCACTCCCCTGTACTCCTCTGCTGACAGATACGGACGCAGGCACAGATCCACAATGAGAATTAGTGTCCGCTTGACAGCACTGCCCCGTCTGTGAGGCAAGGAAAGACTCACAAATTATTCTAAGACACAGATGTGTTCTCACTCTGGTGTGCTTTCTTAGTCCCTTCAAATGATGGACTGAAGTCAGAGGGCAACGAGGGAGATGGAGTTGTACAATTTGAATGACTTAAAATTATCTGTTGCATTTAAATACATTTCACTCATTATTAAACAAAAACGGTTTGCTAGTCTGGAGCATTCAAGTGTGTGTTAACACAATGCCAAAGACGAGAAAGACATTAGTAAGGATTTTAGAAAAACACGTGTTTATGGTTATTAAAGCTGTTCTAGCAAAACTACAGAACAAGCTAGGTTTTGAACTCACCCCTCCCCCCATGGGTATATTTCCCTGAGACGCTTCTGATGGAACTGGAAACACATGATGCCGAAGGACATGACATAGTGCTAAACACCAGTCGCCATTTAGTTGTCCGTGACTTCAAATGCTGTTTTTCTTTTTGGGTCTCTGGTAGTTTGTCCTAAAGTTGAAGTGGTAGCAGCTGGCTGTTTCTCCTTCTCGTATATTATTGAGTGGAGAACTTCTCAAACCAGTGGTGTTCTGTTGTAAATTGCGCGGGTCCATAATGAGTGGAGGACCCACAAAAGTGCGGAAGTGCGGCGGTTTGGTGAGACCGCCAATGAGATGGTCCAATGGTTGCTTTTGACAATGCGACAAATGCGAGAGAACCATTTTCTTAAAACATTTTTTTAATATCCGCAACATATTTATAGCTGTACTGTGTTAGAACGTTGTTAAGAGGCATGAAAAAATGCTTTAAGTTCATTTGTTTACCAAATTTGCCATTGCATCTTTAACCTGGAAAAGGCCACTTGCAAATAATCTGTAATCTATCAATTATTTTTACCGGCAGAAAATACAAAACTGAAAATCAAATAAAAATGCATTTAACAATTATAATTAGTTGTATTTAAAATCCAGTTTGTTCTTAATTAAATATGATCTGGATTGGTGGATATTTAGTTTTATGGCATCATTGGAGAACTCATTCTGTCTTGTGGTCAACATTGTGTTGTGATGTGCTGCTAAAAGACCCAACATGAAATCTGCCAAGTGTGCTTTAGTACCCATGACAGGTATGCCACACCAGCATCTTTTCAACTTATCTAAGCATTTATAACAAAATCAAATGGAATCTGGGAGGTACATTTTAGAATACACATAAACATCAAATGTCATCCTACAAAAATGAGAGGAAACCTCTTTTTTAAGGACACAGGCAAAGTTTAAAGTGGTAGTGTGATCCAGACAGACAGCTAAACTAAATGACGTAGAGTCAAAGTTGACAGTATAGCACCTGAAAGGCTGTGTCCGCGGGACGAATGGGATTGGTCAGTTGCCTCTTTGCTCCCCTTTGAGTATGGCCCTTCATCTGTGGAGACAGCAGAGAGGAGCAGAAGGTTATGCAAACGACTAAATGAACATGACTGCTTGTTCAGGACAAAAACAGACATCAGACCCGTGGAAAGCATCATTGCAGCAATGGTTGTGCTCGCTGGGTAATAACTGGAGCAGAGATGGCACCCGGGATCATGACAGCTCAGCTAACTTTGTTTCCACAACAACCCCAAACTAAGTAGAACCTTTCTGTCTGCAGAAAACACCTTTAGTTTAACACATGGATACATTAACTTCACCCATTTAAACATGAAACCAGCATGTAGTTAAAGAACTGTTCTTTAAGGAGGGAAAAGAGGATCTCTTTCATGTCATTTGCAGCAGCTGCTACTGGGAAAAAACTGTTCCATTTCCTCTGCTGAGAAGCAGATTTTCTTTTTTCTGTTTCTCATCCTCAGTGAGAAATGAGTGTCCACAGAATAACAGAGCCCCGCACAGCCATCTGAACCTGAATACAGCCATGCCTGCAGTCATGGGGATGAGGGGAACTGACTTGGCACTTCTCTAATCCTGTCCACTGTGGATCAACCTTTGCAGGTGTCCAGAACAGTGATTAAACATTACACTGAAAAACCACGGAAGAGCCGAGTCAATTTCTCTTTACACTAAAGGGACAAGTGACTGCTTTTCACCATGCAAGAATAACAGACTGCTTTAGAAATGCACTACAGAATGGTTTTGTGCTGCTTTCTTGCAAAAATCCAAACTCTCACTCATCCAGTTATGAAATTTGGACACACCAGCTTGTTATCATCCGCTGCTGAAAAGCAAATGGGATAGGATGAGGATGTTTTTGCCTTTGTCTGTGCATGTGTGTGTTTGTTAAAGTGTGCAATGTCAAATTCTCTCTTGAATCAATTTAAATCGTTTTAAAATATTCAGAAAGTTGTGTGCATTTGTGCACCTGATTCAGGATGGCTGCCACGACTGGTCAACTTTAGCAAAATAATAGTTTACCAGATATGGAGTTAAACTGTAATGAGTCACTCATAAAAGACGTCTGAACAGAATGTGCAACATAACATATGAGAATGTTCATCGTCTTCTTTTCTCTAGATTTGGCCAAAATGGATAGTTGCATATATTCTCAATTTGAGATGATCTGAGTTTAAATGCAACCCTTTCAAGTCAAAATCAATGAATCAGTGTATCCAGGATTAAAATACCTAAAAGAACCTTTGCAGGCACAGATCCACTTCATGAGGAAGTGCTCACAGCTATTTCTGTGGGATTCAGGATTTTGTCTACTGGATGACTCACTTATATGGAGCTAGGATTGGGACAATATTACATGTTACTTGTAGCTTGGTTGCTAACTGTAGCATTTGTTTTGTAGCATGTAATTCTCATTTGGAGCATGTAAATTTCAATACGTAACATGAAACTTTTATAACTTGCAGAAAAAAGTTTCTAAGTCTAGCTTCCTTTCCCAAACAACCAATGCCAGGCTTTGTCTGACTAGCCAATCACGAGTCATGGATTCCTGTCCAATCATGGTAAGAAGGCACTCTGTTGTACTGCTCACAACCAAACTTGCTCACATTCTCACTCTTTACCAGTATGTGGTGGTAGTTTTTAGAAAAATTAAACTGATGTAAATAAAGAATTTACATTTTGAATGAGAGCAGGATTTTATTTCTGAGACACATGATTGGCTGATAAGACAAAGCCTGTCATTGGTTCTTTGGGAAGGAAGCTGTAATTGGGACAAATGCTTTGTTTATGTTTATGTATTTAGCAGACGCTTTTGTCCAAAGCGACTTACAAGTGATAATCGGCATGTTGCCCTTGAGGCTAACAACAACAATAACAACAACAACTTGGCATCAGTCATGGAGAGGAGGGGACAAGGAGTGGGCAGTAGAGAGGGGGGACGGGTGCAGGGAAGGTTCTAGTTAAGAAGATGCTCTCTGAAGAGCAGGGTCTTCAGGAGTTTCTTGAAAATTGTAAAGGAAGCAGCTGTTCTGGTAGTGCTTGGTAGGTCAATCCACATTTGTGGAACGATGCATGAGAAGAGTCTGGATTGTCCTGAGCGTGGTGTAGGCACTGCTAGCCGACGATCCTGTGATGACCGGAGCGGCCGGGCCGAGACGTAAGCATTTGCAAGAGGATTCAGGTAGATGGGAGCCGTACCATCTCGGACTTTGTATGCTAGTGTTAGCAATTTGAATTTGATGCGTGCTGCTAGCGGTAGCCAGTGGAGCTCAATGAACAGAGGGGTGACGTGTGCTCTTTTTGGCTGATTGAAGACCAGACGCGCCGCTGCGTTTTGGACCATTTGAAGAGGCCTCACAGTACAGGCTGGAAGACCAGTTAGTAGGGCATTGCAGTAATCGAGGCGGGAGATGACAGTAGATTGTATTGTACATGCAGCCTTGAGTTTGGTAACTGTAGACTGGGATGTGTCTTTTAAGAGTTGTGATTTGAAACTTCTACATTGATTTTTTTTCTGCAAGTTACAAAATGAATGTTTCATGTTATGCAAAGTTACATGTTACAAAACGAGAATTACATTATACAAAATAAAAGTTACATGTTACAAAACGAGAATTACATTATACAAAATAAAGTTACATGTTACAAAACGAGAATTAAATGTCATAAAAGAAAAGTTATGTTACCAAATGAAAATTACGTGTTACAAAACAAAATATATGTTAGAAAACTTGAATTACTTGCTACAAAATGAAAGTTACGTATTACAAAATATAAATTGCATGCTACAAAACAAAATATACAGTTAAAACATATGTTACAAGTTACATGTAACATTGTCCCATGTTACAGATCCTGGGCTCCCGCACCTTGTATGGCCCAGTCCTGCTCCCTCCCTGCTGTTCAGGACCTTGGACAGGTCCTTCGTCAGGCTGGCCTCCACCTCTGCCCGCCTCCGCTGTCCCGGCTGCATACCATCATCTAATGAGGACAGATGGTTTAAAAGACTGCAGCTTCAGTTTCTCAGAGAGAGAGATTCACAGCTTAACACCCTGTCTTTCTCTCCTCGGTTGATCTTAGTGACAAACGACTTAGATTTGGTGAAATTCGATAAAGAACTTGAATGAGTGTGATAATTAAGATAGATTGTTCCTTTTGTGTTACCATCGAGTAATTATTAGTCGTTTTCGTTTAGTGATCCCGTTTTGTCTGCCCTAGTGCTTGAATTTCAGTTTGTTTTCCGCTTTAGAGCTCGCTTTAAGTTTTGTTTGTAATAATATTTAGAATAGAGATAGCCGTCGAGATTTGTTTTAGTTAGTTAGTTCTGGCATTTGTCTTTTGTTTGTTAGTACCGATATTCTCGTGTTTTCTTCCCTGAGACCATTTGTCTCAGGTGTTTTGAGTTTTTCTCTGTCGCCTTCATCAGTTATATCCGTTTTGTATTTTCCAGTCAAGGACTGAGTGATTGTGGTTGCATTTGTTAATAAAAAATACTTTTTATTTACACTCCCCTCCTTTTCCGCACCAGTTTTTATGTTACCCCTCTACCACAACGCCTAAACAGCTTCAGGGTTTGTAACATCCCAATACTAACTCCATACACTGAGCCTGTTTCAATGTTATATCACCCCCTTGAACAACTTGAATATCTTCCAAATTATGTGTGAACAAGTAAAAACAAAACAAAAAACAAAGGATGCATCAGATACCAAGTCAGAAATTAACATGTCAAATTTACTGATTTGTCAGTTTGTGAAGTAAAAAGTTGCTCCTTTTATTCATAAAAGTGTTGTTTTATGAGAACTGAACCCAAGACCGAGGCAGACATCAAATCCACTCTTATCGGTTACTTTCCACATCTGTCTAAGTGAAGTGAAACATTCAGACAGCAGGGAGATATGGATCCTTCGTCATACCGTCACTGACCTGAAACCTTTGGGCAGCTCCAAGACACGAAGAGTAAAGATGAATCTCCAGCCTTCAGAGTGGCTGCATGAGTCAGCCTTCAACCACAAAAATATCTCTATTGGATTTACTGCTATGCAGACACACAAATGCATAGGATATTTCACTCATCTCCCCATTTTTTACATCTGTCCAGCAGCTTACACACACACACACACACACAGAATGACACATCATGAACACGTTAGGCCAGGCAAAAGCTTGGTAACCACACGAGCTCCCGGGGGCCCTGACAGTCCAGCAGCTGTCATCTCAGTCAAAAGGCAACATTAGCTGTGGGTTACACAGACCCAATGGACCACACGTGACTGAACACTATTGTAACATCAAGCTATCCGCCAGCTATCCTCCTCCAGCTTAAAATAACCATCACTCACCTTCAGAGCCAGGGCATGGGTGGAGATGGATAGAAACAGCCCCAACAATGGAACAACTAATGCTTGATTGATACAAATATCTATAGCAGATGTGTCAGCGGGTAGAAGTTATCTATTGGTTCTTTATTTTTAGTAGATGAGCAGAACTAAAATGCATTTAGAGGTAACCTGTCATTTGAACCGGCGCACTGTGTGACATCCCTCTCATCCAACCAGAATGTAGGTTAAACACGGGGAGAAGGATGGCAGTGGAATCATGAAGCTATTTTCAGATGGAAAACTATTAATAAAATGAGCACTCACGTATCCAGTGTGTTGCCATGTCTGCCCCAATTACACATGGCATGGCTGGTGGTAGAGTCCATTCACATTTAAATCTCTTTCGGTCTATCAAAGCCATTATGCATGCAGTGTACCGATCATACACATCCATCCGTGGGAAATGCATTGTGATAGCTCTGCTGCTTCTCAGGAGAGCATTTATCTAATTAAGCAGCTTTTTGCAAGCTGCCTCAAATGCAAGATGACTCTGGAGATCAAAGTGAGGCTGTTCTTACCAATGCTGCTTTTGGTGTCTCTCCTCAGACCACACAGCATGGCTGTAGTTCAGGAAGCTGACCTGGGGTACAGAGGAGGAGGTTGAGGTTCCACCTGAGATGGTACCCAAGAGACCAGGTCTCAAGCACTCACATGGGTTAGAAAAATCATCTCTGCTTCTTCACTCCAACATTTCTGTGAATGATTTCCATCCTGTTTGTGAAGTCTAGAGCTACAGATTCTCAAATAGCCTCTCGTTTCTTCTTCTGTTTGAACTTGCTGGACGATTCCTCCCTTTCCTCGCACGTGTAAGTGCCATCCAATGGGATCTTCTATGAAATCCCAAACCTGGAGATTGAAGATTTGAACCGCTTTCTGAGCTGTTCCTACAAACCGTCCGTGTGTTTAGATGAGATTTACTCTTGCCCTGTACATAACATGAGCTCACACATCACCCTTTCTCCTTCCTTCCCTTCTCTCTGCATCTGCTCTCTTCCTCCCTGCCAGAGGGGCTCAGTGAGGCGGGCACACACAGAGAAGTCACTCCCCCACTACACACAAACTCACACTTTATCCCACCACATCCTCAAACACACGCACTCACACATCTAGTTCACACACCGAAATCACACACACACACACACACAAAACTGGTGGCACAATTAACACCACCTGCACATTTGCTGTCAGACTATGTCACGTTTTTCTCACATACAGCCATGTTGCAGAGCTTTAAATACACACATGGTGGGAAGTGCATATTCAAAATTCCTGTGCAGAACAGCTGTCTGGGTGTTTTGCCGCTGCTGACCACAGGTGACACATTCAAACTGCAATTGTGTGAAAATGAATCAAGGAAGAAACAAACAGAACTGGAGCTTTCTGAAAACAACTGTTCCCACATGAGAAGAGGTCTAAAGGACCCTTTGCTAATTCTTGACCCACTGGGATCCTTTAACTCAAACACAGAGGCAACTGTGGCCTTTTGTCATGCACACAAGCCTAGACGCCTGCCACTCCCCGACCCCCACAGGCAGCCCCCCTCTGAACCTCCTCTGCCTGGTTTAATTGTTTCACTGCAGACACCGAATATGTAGAGAAATAAAAATAACAGGTAGAACAAATCCGGACTGCATATAAGACACCCTGCTTGTTCCCCGCACACATTTTGAACAGATCTCATACACCATGTTTCACTGACTATTGCATGCAGCAGTTAATGTTGCAATGGATAAAACACACTGGCAAAGAATAGCTCCTCTTTTACAGTGAGTAGCCTTTCAGGGAAACTGCAACGATGTAGTAAACAGAGAAATAGTGCGTTTAACTTAAATGACATGAAACCGCTAAAATCGTCATTATGTGAAATAAGCAAAGACCAAATATTCTTATTGATCAGTTACAACACACACAAACTAACAATACTGCCATCTTATGGTGACCAGCTCAAGCTGCAGGAGAAAATAAATTTTATGTATGCATCGAACTTATGAAGCGAGTGGCTAATGCAGACTCGTCCAAATAAACTCATCTTAAGCTTTTACCTTTAGCTCTGCCCCTGATGATGCCCAGGTGACATCGGAGAGAAAAAGACAACATCCTCCTCTTTCCTCCTGCAGACCGGCTACCTTTCTTCAGGGAATCTGTCTGGGAGAGGGCAAATGAAAGCTGTTTGGGAGCAAGCCGCCCTTTCCCAAACACTATCCTGGCTGACATGTTCATTTAGTGTCCAACGAAAAGGAAGGAAAACGATACGTCCTTCTGGTGCTGTTTATCTAGACATTGCAGTCTCCGTCTGCCCTGCTGTTCTCATCTCAGCTCTGGACGACGTCCAGTCCCATCAGGTGAGTCTTCCAGGACACTCCACAAATCAGGTGTGGGTTCTCAGTGCAAAAGCATCCTGATCCAAGTTTTTCTCAAACATAACTAGTCAGTTACCTCCAGATATACACAGCCACAACGCTGAATGGCCGAATGATCGCTTTTTTTTTTATATCTTCGTCAGTTTCAAGGAACAGATGGCAGAGAGGTTGGGGCTGTGGGGCACAGCCTGGCTGCCAGAATGCAATGGAAACCTTTCCTGTGGGGAGTTTACGTCCAGCGTTGTAAAACAATGTAGGAACTGAGCGGGCTAATTCAAAGCATTTTTCCCTACAAGCCGCGCTTTAATGGAAGCATCTCCAGAGGACGACAAATCGAACCTGAGACCACGTTTCAGCTTTGCCGTTTTGTTTTTCATCATCAACAAATTCTCTAGATCTGTGAAAACCCCAGCGAGACCCAAACAAAAAACATCCACAAGCCAGTTTGATTTTAAAGAATTTATTGTGAACCAGTTTATTCGTTCTCCTCGCTCCTGAGCCGGGCGTTGGGATTGGTGACCTTGATTGCCAGCTGAGCCGCTCTCTCCACAATCAGCTTCCTGTTCTTTGAGGAGACGTTGTGGGCGATTTCAGCGCAGTGAGTCCTACACAAGTGAAGACAACACGCAGCATCAGAACACGCTGATATTCCACAGGAAATGTTACACCACAAATCTAAACAAGTGCATTAGAATAAATCAAATTAAACCAAGCCACTGCTGATCAGGTTAGGTTTTAAATTCATTCAGTGATTTCAGTTGCCTTTTGATATAAATGAAAGGAAGCTCTTTACATCATGGACAATATTTTAACACCAACATTATCCAGAAGCACTTGTGTCAGCATGGAGAAGAAAGCAGCTTCAGACGACAAGATTTGTAGTCGGATATGTGGAAATCTCACCTCTGATTGGATAACAGCAGCAACTCTACCACTGACTGTTTGCCCTAAAACGCTGATGTTTTATCTGCACAAATAACACAAGCCTGGAGAAGTTCTGATGTGTGGTGGAGTTGCTAATGCTAATGGCTAGCATCTACTAGCTAAAACATTCTCATAGCAACACTTGCCACAAGAACAGTGTCTTTCCCTCTGTTGTTGGGACTCATGAATGACAATCCTAGGGCTGCCCACTCCAGTCGCTGTTTCAGTCTCACGACCCTGTTATGTGTTTGTACCTGAACTGATCTGCTCTGTTTAGTACCTTCACTGATAGCAGCTGCTTCTAGTAATTACCACCACTTTATAATTTTGTATCGTGGTTATATTTATACTTCCTTTATTTACATTTCTCTTATTTTTTTCTTTTTGCACCAAGTGCCGCAGCAATTTCCTAATGTGATTTCTCGCACATATGGCAATAAAACCTCATTCTGATTCCCAGCTGTTTTCTGGACCGTAAACCAACAACATTCCCTGTCGTTAGTAAAGAAGGGTGAATCCGTTAATTTTAGGTGACACTTGTGATGTAGATCCGTCAGGCTTTTAAAATCCCAGTGTTTCACCATCAGCAGCTAATGGTTGGTTTATGCTTGACGTCCGCGAGGTTCGCACCGCTCCGTGCGGCGAAATTGCGTCATTTCAACAACCACGCCCCTCCACACGGCCCAAAATTTCCGCACCTAGGAAATTTTCTAACCACGCGGACGGTCGGACACGGAAAAACATGGTGGACTGGCAAGAACTAGTATGGCAGAGGTTCGTAAATACAGACATTTGTATGATTCAGCTCTCAGAGATCACCGTGATCAACATGTTGTTAATAATTCTTGGAGAGAAATAGCTCGCACTGTCGGAAAAGACGAGGACGCTGTTAAAAACTGCTGGAATGACATGTTGTAAACAGTAATTTCTACTTCTACTATGGTGTAGTGTTGGATGCATGCTGTAGAGCTCCATGCTGCCCCGTTCAGTTTGGGAGAATATTGGCTCACCGCAGAGACAAGCCGCATGAACCATTAACGCTGCGAGCTGTGAAGCGCGTTCCATCCGCGAGCCGCATCACCAAGCGGAAAGTTAATGCATCAAGCATAAACCAAGCTTATTGCAGAAGACTGTCGTCATGTTCAGCCCGCATGAAAATTTTAGAGTGACCCATTATAATCAGAATAATCAAAACATGGTTTTCAGTGTTCCACATCTTTAAAGAGCAAGTCACCCCCAAATCAACTTTTTTTTTTTTTGCTGATAAACTAAATAAACGAGGGTCTAATCGTGCTGCAGACACGTGTAGTCAATAATTTGGCACTTCAGTGCATCTTAGTTAAAATTTAAATATTCTGCCTAAAACTGGCAGTGTTGTGCCGTTGTTAGGTAAAAACTCTACGCTGCACTTTGAATTTAAATCTGCCACCGCTATTGGCTAAGAGGTATGCTATGATGTAAACTGGTACATTATGATGTCACAATGCTGTCGTGAGCCTGTTTGTGTGTATTTGTTAGCAGCTCCGCCCTCTCGGTCTGCCAGGCAACAGCATTTGTTGCATTTTTCAAACATGAAGTGGGAGTGGAGTTAAGGCTCTGGTAGGGGGTGACTTGCTCTTTAAGCAAAGATGGAGTGAAATGGCTCAGTGAAAGAAAACAACTTTTGAAAATAGTATTTGGCTGCAAAATAATGCATTTAGATCATCTATGATAAGTAAACAACTTCAAATTTTAATCAAAATGCCAAACAATTTTATTCACCTTCAGAACCAAGGACTGTAAAACTGTCCAACACAGTCGATTAGGGCTGGGCGATATGGCCTAAAATCAATATCATGATAAATTGAGGATTTCACCTCGATAAAAATAAAGGGACGATAACTACAGGTATGCGCAGAAACAAAAGTTGTCCACTAGATGGGGCTGTTACATGAATTAAGTTGAGTTACATTTTTACAAGATTCAAAGTGGTACAGCTTCTTAAAGGGACATGAACGTTGCCAACGTACACACATCTTAACTTTTTTATTATAAAATTTATTGACACGGGAAAATTGATCGATAAGAGTCAGAAATTTCAATTATGATAAATTATCGATTTCTTGCCCAGCCCTACAGTCGCTATAGCTATTCAGTGTTTTTAATTAATTTAAATAATTTGTTTAAATTAAAATAATTATTTTTGCCATTTAATATTTATGATAGTGAAATATCTTGAATAGATCTAAACACTACTTAAAATTATTAGAACAAATATTAACTGTTTACTTCATAATCCTTTTACCTCTATCGTATTTTCCCTTAAATGCACACTATGAAAGAACTGCACTGCAGTACTTTTGGTAGTCGGGCATTACTAAACCTATGATTTAACTATGAACTGTTTTTTTCTGACAGAAAACCTCTGCATTTACAATAATTCCTGTCAGAATACTGCTGAAATGGGCACAAATAGTATTTTGCATGTCTATCAACTGCCATTCCCTGTTTACGATTTGGTTAACTGGTTTACAATTACAAATGCAGCAGTTTCTTAACTGAGAATACTAAATCACTCCTATAGTCACCTCTATACACGGGCTACCCTTTATTTTTAAGATGTAGTTCAAGGAAATGAACAAAAACAAGTCTGACTTGCTTCACCATCACACTGAGCCAGCATCTAAGCTGCTTCTGAACATCTCAACCACAAAATAAAGAGAGCTTCTGTAGCCATTGCTCCTTCATGCCCTGTCTTTCCATACCAGAGGACTCCAGACCAACTGGACTATCCTCACTCAGAAAATGCCACTGCATTTCCTTTAATACTAGCAGAGTTTGACATTAAGGGTTTTTAACCTCCACTGCTACTTTGCTAACTTCAGCATAACCCGTGCACGCATTTCGTTCATTTCTTTCAACAGCTACAATAAACTATGACCACTTACAGGTGCTGGCCAGTAAATTAGAATATCATCAAAAGGTTGAAAATATTTCAGTAATTCCATTCAAAACGTGAAACTTGTACATTATATTCATGCAATGCACACAGACCAATGTATTTCCGATGTTTATTTCGTTTAATTTTGATATTTATAGGTGACAACCAATGAAAACATCAAATCTGGTATCTCAGAAAATTAGAATATTCTAAAGGCCAATGAAAAAATGTTTGTTTCTCTAATGTTGGCCAACTGAAAAGAATGAACATGAAAAGAATGTGCATGTATAGCACTCAATACTTAGTCGGGGCTCCTTTTGCCTCAATAACTGCAGTAATGCGGCGTGGCATGGACTCGATCAGTCTGTGGCACTGCTCAGGTGTTATGAGAGCCCAGGTTGCTCTGATAGTCGTCTTCAGCTCCTCTGCATTGTTGGGTCTAGCGTATTGCATCCTCCGCTTCACAATACCCCATAGATTTTCTATGGGGTTAAGGTCAGGTGAGTTTGCTGGCCAATCAAGGACAGGGATACCATGGTCCTTGAACCAGGTGCTGGTGGTTTTGGCACTGTGTGCAGGTGCCAAGTCCTGTTGAAAGGTGAAGTCTGCATCCCCATAAAGTTGGTCAGCAGCAGGAAGCATGAAGTGCTCTAAAACTTCCTGGTAGACGGCTGCATTGACCCTGGACCTCAGGAAACAGAGTGGGCCAACACCGGCAGATGACATGGCACCCCACACCATCACTGACGGTGGAAACTTTACACTGGACCTCATGCAACGTGGATTCTGTGCTTCTCCGCTCTTCCTCCAGACTCTGGGTCCTTGATTTCCAAAGGAAATGCAGAACTTGTGTAGCACTGACTAAATAATGGATAGTGGAAACAGTTTAACAATGGATATGGAACTACAAATGAATTCATAAAGAATAAATGGATTCCCATGAGAAAATATATGAACTTGACAGTAAAATAGACGAAAGTTTATTTGAGTTAAATATAAATAGTAATTATTATGCAGAAGATCAGCTAAATAGTGGGTTAACTAACAATGATTCATTATCAATCATACACATAAACAGTAGAAGTTTAGTTTCCAAGATGTCAACAATAAAGGACTATTTAGGTAAATTTAAAAGTAAATTCAAAGTCATTGCCATTACTGAGACTTGGCTTTATGATGAAAGGATGACTGAAGTACAAATAGAAGGGTATGAACTTCATTTTGTAAATAGAATAAATAAAAGGGGTGGTGGTGTTGCCCTGTACATTAACAATGATTTAAAATGTAAATTAGATAAGAAAATGACTATGATGGAAGATAATGTTATGGAAATGGTAACAGTGGAAATTATCAATGACACATCAAAAAATATAATAATCAGTTGTGTATATAGAGCACCCGGTTCTTGCATCAGGTCATTTACAGATAAAATAAATGAGTTTGTGGATCATATTAAAAACAAAACATTGTTTATGTGTGGGGACTTTAACATTAACTTAGAACATCCTGTGGCTCTTAGAACATCAAGTGATTTTTTTGATATGATATATAGTTTAGGTTTGGTTCCTTTGATAAACAAACCTACCAGGATCACAACCGAAAGTGCAACAATAATTGATAATATATTCACTAATAGAAAGGAGGACGTTGTTAAAACTGGGATATTGATGACAGATATTAGTGATCATTTACCTATTTTCGTAGTGTCTAAATATCACAATAACAATAAAAATATCATAAAACATAATTGTATTAATTATAAAAGAAATAAATCAGTTAAAGCCCTGGAGGACCTAAATAAAGATCTTAAAATGCAGAACTGGACGGAAGTCTATGTCAGTGATGTGAACAATGCATATACATCCTTCATGAAAATACTGCTGAAATCTTTTAACAGTAGTTGTAAATTAATTAAAATAACAGGTAAAAGGGACAACCAACCATGGATGACTAATGGAATTAAAAATGCATGTGCCAAAAAAAATAGTCTGTATATGAGATTCTTAAAGTTACAAACAAAGGAAGCCGAAGATAGATATAAAAAATATAAAAATAAATTAGTAACAATAATTAGAAAACAGAAGAAAGAGTACTATGGTGAGCTATTGAATAAGAACAAAGAAAACATCAAGACTACATGGGGAATAATAAATAATGTGATTAACAGAGATAATACAAATGCGAGACTCCCAAACTACTTTGTAAAGGACAATAAAGACATTTATGAAGTTAAAGAAATTTCTAATGAATTCAATGATTTTTTTATAAATGTAGGAAGGAGTCTGGTGGAAAGCAAACCTATAATTCACGATACAATGAATACAATACCTAGAAATGTCAATAGTATTCTCCTTGACAAAGTAGATCAACAAGAAATAAGAAACATTGTAAAAAACTGGGGAAGCAAAAGATCAACTGATTGTGATGATCTGGACATGGTGACTGTAAAAGCTATAATTGAATCTGTTATTGAACCATTCACTTACATCTGTAATCTGTCACTATCTACAGGAGTCTTCCCTGATTTAATGAAAATTGCCAAGGTGGTTCCATTATTTAAGAGCGGTGATAAACAGAGTTTCACTAATTACAGGCCAGTGTCACTGCTTCCACAGTTTTCCAAAATATTAGAAAAAGTGTTTGCATTAAGGTTGGACAAATTCATTGACGAAAATTCAATTTTAAATCATGAACAGTATGGCTTTAGGACCAAACATTCAACAGCAATGGCAGTTATGGATTTAGTAGATAAAATTTCATCAGCAATTGACAATAAAAACCATTTCATTAGTGTTTTTATTGACTTAAAAAAGGCATTTGATGTCATTGATCATTCAAGGTTACTTCTTAAATTACACCGGTATGGAATAAGAGGGGTGGCGCATCAATGGGTTAATAGTTATTTACGCAATAGAAAACAGTTTGTTCAAATAAATAATGCTAAATCTGAATTAAAAGATATTTATTATGGTGTACCACAAGGGTCAGTCCTCGGACCTAAACTGTTCATATTGTTTATTAATGACCTGGTAAATGTGTCGAATTTACTTGGCACAGTTTTATTTGCGGATGATACTACATTGTTTTATTCAGGATTAAATATACATGAAGTAACTCAAGTGATAAACAGTGAATTGATTGAAGTTAAAAAATGGTTTGATATAAATAGACTGTCACTGAACCTGAACAAAACAAACTATATACTGTTTAATAACAAAAGAAGCTGTGATGTATCTTTAATGATAGATGGAATGGAAATTCAAAGGGTAAAAGAAACCAAATTTCTTGGAGTCATGTTCGATGAGAGTCTCACGTGGAAATCACATGTAGGTTATATAAAGGGGAAAATTGCCAAAGCCATAGGGGTATTATATAGAGTCAAGTTTCTACTAAATTTGTCGGGGTTGTTAACATTGTATCACTCACTGATTGAACCATATTTATTTTATTGTTTAGAAATTTGGGGAGCCACTTGCAAAACTTTTACACAACCATTGATCATTTTGCAAAAAAGAGCATTGAGAATCATTAATAACAGTAACTATAGAGATCACACTAATCAATTATTCATTAGATACAAAATACTGAAATTTCCTGACTTGGTAGAGTGGAAAATATTGCAAATAATGTACAGAGCGAATACAAGTAATCTACCAACTAATATTCAGAAAATGTTTCATAAGAGAGTAAGTGGGTACATGTTAAAAGGAACTGATGTCTTTGAGAAACCTAGATTCAGAACCAAAGTGAGGGAATGTAACATTTCTGTAAATGGTGTAAGATTGTGGAATGCCATTAACAAGGAATTTAAAGAATCAACTACACTTGCAATATTTAAAAAATGTATAAAATCTAATGTATTTAGTAATTATGAAAAGAAGAATTATAATGTCAAAGATTAGACGTGAAAATATTATAAAGTGACCGAGGTTATATTGTGTTTGTTTGGCGGATAATTTTATTTCGTAAAAAGGGGCAGAAATCATAAGATTTTTTCTTCTGTCTGCTCCTTTTCATTCAAATGTTTTTTTTTTCTCAATATGTTAATGTATCCTGTATTTGTTTGTGTTTATTTTATACATTGTGAATGAAATAAAAGATAAAAAAAGAAAAAAAAAAAAAAAAAAACTTGCTTTCATCAGAAAACATAACTTTGGACCACTCAGCATCAGTCCAGTCCTTTTTGTCCTTGGCCCAGGCGAGACGCTTCTTGCGCTGTTTCTTGTTCAAGAGTGGCTTGACACACGGAATGCGACACCTGAATCCCATGTCTTTCATGAGTCTCCTCGTGGTGGTTCTTGAAGCGCTGACTCCAGCTGCAGTCCACTCTTTGTGGATCTCCCCCACATTTTTGAATGGGTTTGTCGTCACAATTCTCTGCAGGGTGCGGTTATCCCTAGAGCTTGTACACTTTTTTCTACCACATTTTTTCCGTCCCTTCGCCTGTCTGTTAATGTGCTTGGACACAGAGCTCTGCGAACAGCCAGCTTCTTTAGCAATCACCTTTTGTGTCTTGCCCTCCTTGTGCAAGGTGTCAATGATTGTCTTTTGGACAGCTGTTAAGTCAGAAGTCTTCCCCATGATTGTGGTGCCTTCAAAACAAGACTGAGGGACCTTTTAAAGGCCTTTGCAGGTGTTTTGAGTAAATCAGCTGATTAGAGTGGCAGCAGGTGTCTTCTATATTCAGCCTTTTCAGAATATTCTAATTTTTTGAGATACCAAATTTGGAGTTTTCATTAGTTGTCACTTATGAATATCAAATTTAAATGTAATGAACATTGGAAATACATTGGTCTGTGTGCATTGCATGAATATAATGTACAAGTTTCACGTTTTGAATGGAATTACTGAAATATTTTCAACCTTTTGATGATATTCTAATTTACTGGCCAGCACCTGTAGAAGCATTCACAACTTACTTGTTGCTCATCATCAGGACCTCGAGCTCCTTGACATTGTGCACAAGGAACTTTTTGAAACCAGTTGGCAGCATGAACTTGGTCTTCTTGTTGCTACCATAACCGATGTTGGGCATTAACATCTGGCCCTTGAACCTCCTGCGGACCCTGTTGTCAATACCTCTGGGTTTGCGCCAGTTTTTCTGTCAAGAGAAAATGAAAATAACTTGGTGAAACTCAGCTCCAATAGTCCCAATTCTTCCCTTTAATCGGTGATTTTGTGTACAGGTATAACACACTTACCGCAAGCTTGACATATCGATCAGACTGGTGGCGAATAAATTTCTTTGTTCGCTTTTTGACAATCTTGGGTTTTGTTAGGGGTCTGAGGGCTGCCATGTTGGCTAAAGAGAAACAGTTGAAACACAAAATCAGAATCAAAGGTCAGCTTTGCCTGACGTTTAAATGTCTATAAAGATGTAATTATCGAGCGATATGCAAACGCAAGGACATCGTTGACGCAAACCGCCTGCCAACAAGAGTAACTACATAGACTGAGTAAACGTTTTGATCAACGTTAGCATGCTAGCACCTTGGCTATGTAGCAAGACATGCTATACTACTCCGTCCATTTTGTTTTCAACAAATCAACTGATAATAAATTATAACTGATAAATTTAACAAGCTGTCTGATACAAATCATTGCACAAAGCATTTATGTGACACAACTACACGACAGGCTTTGCTTAGTGATACAAGCTCATTCACACGAAAAGCTTTAGTAGCAAGTTAGCCGCTAAAGCACCAGGGCATCATTCTATCCAAATGGAAGCCATCGGCTGGCGATAACACGTATAATATCACCCCACATACACAAAACGGAATTTAGGTTTTCAATAAAGCAAGTCAGAAAAAGTATATAGTGGCAAAAATGTGCGGATTAAGTTAGATTGTGTCTTCTCACCCGCCGGTGTAAATCCAAAAGGGATTTCAGCAACAGCGGAAAGAACGAAAAGGGCTTCCGGGGTTGTAGCGTTGCCTTATGGGTAATGTAGACCGCAACCAATTTACTTCAAAATGATCTTCAAGTCCCTGTTATTGTTAAAGCTTTAAATAGGTTCTCGGATGCTTCTGGTCTCACAGTTAATAAGAGAAAATGTGAAATATTAGCCATACATGATTTAGACACCGCATCAATAAATGGCACAGAGGTAAAAAAAAAAAAAGTTAAATATTTGGGCATCACATTAAGCAAATCCTCTAGTGAAAGAATATCAAAAAACTTCAACCCCAAAATTGAAAAATCTAAATCTGTCTTTAATTGCTGGCTGCAGAGGGATCTTACCATTATAGGTCGTGTTTTACTCTCCAAGGCTGAAGGATTATCCAGGTTAGTATACCCAGCTTTATCTTTTATTTGTTGATAGCAAAACCTGTGCAGTTATTGATTCACTTTTATTTAAGTTTATTTGGAAACATAAAAATGAATATGTAGAGAGGAAAACACTTATTAGAAAGATTTCAGAGGGGGGTACTACTGTATTGGATTTCCAAACTATCAACAATATATTCAAAATTAATTGGTTGTCTTTCACATAATAATGAACCATGGTTTTTTTTTTTGTGGCAGCTTAAAGTTCTTGCTTTCATGCAACTTTACCTCAGGTAAACTGCCTGTTAAACTTGCCAACTTTCACAAACAAGCCCTGGACACTTGGAAAATGGCTTTCAAACACAACTTTTCCCTCACACATGTAATTTATGGAACAACAATCAACATATGGCTCACAAGAACAAGACTCTGTTTTACAAAGACTGGTATGATCAAGGTGTTATGTTTGTGTTTGATCTTTTGAATGATAACGGGACCTAGCTACCTATGATGAATTCATCCAACCAAGGGCGTCAGTTTGTTTTCAGAATTGCTGGGGACAATAACCATACACTTGAGTGGGGTTTAAAAATTGCTGGGGACAATAAAGTAGGCTAGCACAGGAGTCGGCAACCCACGGCTCTGGAGCCGCATGCGGCTCTTCCATCCATCTGATGCGGCTCTCTGTGCTTGTAAAATAATGAATGGATATTTAAATAAAATGCTTTATATTTTACTGCATTAATTTTACATCTGTATGCCAATTCTAAATGTAAAGGTTGTCTGCGTAAACCTGAACAGTTCCAACCCAGTCTTACTGTGAGACCGGGTTGACGCGTCACGCTTGTGCGTAGTCATAGGCGCTTTCTGAGCTGACGAGGATGTGAGATTCTGGGCTTCTCCTCAGACGGCTCCTGCCACATTGGAGACAGGAACAAGCACTATTCAGCCAATGTTTCATAATCAGGGAACATTTTCTAAGTGACAAGTCTCGCTTCAGTCGGAGGAACCTTCCCGCATGCGCTCTGGTTCTGCGACGCGCTCCAAGCCCCTCTCCACATCTTCAGCTCGCTGTGGACCTTATGTAGTGCATGCTGACAGCGAGCTGCGCTGAGCAATGTCCAGCTCAGATGTTCAGATGGGAATCTTTTCTTGAGTGATTTAGCTACATCTGTGATTTAAGTGGAATAAAATGTCAGTTCGTCTGCATGCGTCGGGGTAATTCTTTCTATTCTTTCTCCGTCAAAATAAATAGTCAAATACGAGAACTGTCCGGTCAACACAACACAAGCCCTGCTTTTAACTGTTCTGTTTTCTTGTGAAAATTGTTGCAAAGAGATAAAATTAAACTTGATTAACACCAGAGCCAGGCGCACTGCGCCGTTGTCTCCGTCGCTGTAAATGAGGGAAAAACAAATTGATCAGATCCTTTTCTGACCTTCCCACCTACAAAGTTTAATTACAACAATCAAATGTGACAGGGCCTGGATTTGTATTCTGAACAGTCTAAACATGTTTTAAAAAGAAACGTATGACAAAAGTGGCACCTGCTCAGTAAAACCACCAACAGGGTGAATATTGTAGGCAGAGACGGGCTACAACTTCTGGATCCACTTTATATAAATCGTTTTATTGATTATCTTTTTTATGAAAGATAACTTTGACGTACACGAGCGACCAGGCGTGTTGCAAGCTTTTCAAAATTGTGGGAGATGTTGTCTGTGCCTAAAATAAGTTCATGTTATTCATCTTGTTAGTTTAATTTCCATAATAGCGGAGCAGGTGCGAATTTTAGACGTGTCACGCATGTCTCCGTTTTAAACATGTTTAAACTGTTCAGAACACAAATCCAGGCTCTGTCTCGTTAGATTGGTGCAACTAAAGTTTGTACTGAATGAAACTTTACATTAAACCATGTCGAAAAGAAAAGGATCCAATTAAATCGTTTCCCCCTCATTTACAGTCACGAAGTACAGCTTAGTACGCGTGGCTCTGGGGTTAATCAAGTTTAGTTGTTTTTCTTTGCAACAATCTTCACAAGAAGGCAAAACAGTTAAATGGCAGGTTACAGAAATTTCCATTTGACTGTTTATTTTGACGGATAAACTCAAGGATGCTGGTTGTTTTGAAAGAATTACCCCGACGCACACGGATGCGCATGGATGAGCTGACATTTTAATCGTTACGCACATCGCGGAGGTAACTAAATCAATCAAGACATGATTCCCATCAGAACATCAGAACTTTATACTGGACACTGTGTTCAGCGCGGCTCGGAGCGCCCACGGTGGACAGTGGGCTGAAGATCTGCAGAGGGGTTCGCAGCGCAGAACCACGGTGCATGCGATGAGATTTCCTCCCACTGAAGCAGTCTGGAAACCCGGTCTCTCTGAGGGAAGAATCACTTGGAAAAATGTTCTTTTCATGGAATTATTAAACTTTGGCTGAACAGCGCTTGTTCTCGTCTCTAATATGGAGACGCATGACGCATCCAGTCTGAAGCAGAATAGCCTCTTCAGCTCAGAAAGCTCCTGTAGAGACATTTGATCACGCAAAAAGTTTATGTGGAGCAGAAGCGGTCGGGCCACGGCAGGTGAAATGTTCCTAGCCTACATGAAGTGAAACTGTTTAATTGTAACATTAATAAGTTACTGGACACGCTGGCCTGGTTGGTTAGACCAGTGTTTGATGTGGAAAACACACACACACACACACACACACACACACACACACACACACACACACCAATTAAAATAATGCTGATAGCGTGGACTAGAAGACAGGTGATGGTTTACGTATTTAAATGATGATCAGGCTGCTGTAAAATGTAATCTCCATCCACATCCAGACACAATTATCCTCTATTCTTTCTCTGTTTGCTCTGCTCTTGTCTGGGCTGACGTAGCTGACGGTGCGCGCGGCGCGCCTAACTAGCGGCTGATGCACATTTTACGCATTTGGAGAGGTGGGCTGGATGCTTTGCTTTTACTGGAAGATGGTCCACTTAACGCACGGTTGTAGACTACATATGAATGACAAATGAATGAAAATTAAATTGTGAGTTTTTACTTCATATTTTAGAAATAAAAATGACGGGGGAAAACATTTATGACGTCTTTTTAAACGAAATTTTCTAGCGCGACCTGCCTGCTTCACTTAAGTCACTGCTTATTAACGTCCGTCCAAAATTACTGTGGGAAATAGGTAATAATGGCTCTTTGATGGGAACAGGTTGCCGACCCCTGGTATAAGATCTGAGCTGGTAAAACAAAAATCCTCATCAGCAGGCTTTTTTGAAAGTGGGGGGGACGCAGCTGCCAATCACAAATTTTGCCGGGGACATGTCCCCGGCGTCCCCGGTTAAAATGACGCCTATGCATCCAACGAAAGGGGTTAAACACATTTCTCGCTATGCACTCTAGAATTCTCCAAAGTATTCCTGTTCATTTATTGTCTCTTGTCAGAGCTCCTGTTCAGTATACACCTTAAACAGGAAGGTTTCCTGCACTGTGTCTTGGCGGAAAGCTTCTTGAAGAGCGCTCATTTGGCTACTTTGTGAAGGAGTTAGGACATAATATAATATTATTCAATAATTACCACAAATCGCCAGGGGAAATGTACTTATATTAAATTTTTGTGATTTGTCCCACCATATGCCGTTCAAACTGACTTACGGCGCTGGTATGTTTGCAACATCGACATAGAAATATTTGGAACTGAGAGCTCCATGAACCACGTGACCGCGAGTCGGCGAGTTCAAAGAGTGTCATAACTCTCTCTTTCTACAGCTCTGAGAACCACCCTGCCCTCCTCTCCCAATGATTGGACAGGAATTCGAGAAACGTGTTTGTTAGCTAAGACTCGTGCTTTCATTGGTTCCACCCAAGTTCCTCCCACTGACGCTAGAATTGAGACAAAAAAGATCGGTAGCCCTGTAGATTTGAGGTTTGTACCTGTAGAATGCTCCTCCTTGAACCGTCACTTTATCGTGGTGGAGGAGTTTGAGTGCCCTAATGATCCTAGGAGCTATGTTGTCTGGGGTACTTAGTGCCCCTGGTAGGGTCTCCCATGACAAATTGGTCTTAGGTGAAGGGTGAGACAAAGAACGGTTCGAAGGATCTTTCATGGAGGTTAAAACGAAGAGTCGGAGTACCCGGCCCGGAGGGTTACCGGGGTCCCACCCTGGAGCCAGGCCTGGGGTTGGGGCCCGTGAGCGAGCGCCTGGTGGCCGGGCTTTCGCCCATGGGGCCTGGCAAGGCCCAGCCCGAACCGGATACATGGGCTCGTCCAACTGTGGACCCACCACCCGCAGGAGGAACATGAAGGGTCCGGTGCAATGCGAATCGGGTGGCAGACCAAGGCGGGAGCCTTGGCGGTCCAATCCCCGGACAAGAAAACTAGTTTTTGGGACATGGAACGTCACCTCGCTGGCGGGGAAGGAGCCGGAGCTTGTGGCAGAGGTTGAGCGGTACCGGCTAGATATAGTCGGACTCACCTCGACACATTGCATTGGCTCTGGAACCCGAGACCTGGAGAGGGGTTGGACACTCTACTTTGCTGGAGTTGCTCCGGGTGAGAGGCGGAGGGCTGGGGTTGGCTTTTTGTTAGCCCCGAGACTCTCTGCCTGTGTGTTGGGGTTTACCCCGGGGGACAAGAGGGTAGCTTCCTTGCGCCTTCGGGTCGGGGAACGGGTCCTGACTGTTGTTTGTGCTTATGGGCCAAACATCAGTTCAGAGTACCCACCCTTTTTGGAGTCCCTGGGACGAGTGCTAGATAGTGCTCCATCAGGGGACTCCATTGTCCTGCTGGGGGACTTCAATGCTCACGTGGGCAATGACAGCTTGACCTGGAGGGGTGTGATTGGGAGGAACGGCCCACCTAATCTGAACTCGAGCGGTGTTTTGTTATTGGACTTCTGTGCAAGCCGCAGTTTGGCCATAACGAACACCATGTTCGAACATAAGGAGGCCCACCGGTACACTTGGTACCAGGGCAGCCTAGGTCACAGGTCGATGATAGATTTTGTAGTCGTATCATCTGACCTGCGGCCGTATGTTTTGGACACCCGAGTGAAGAGAGGGGCGGAGCTGTCAACTGATCACCACCTGGTGGTGAGTTGGATCAGATGGCAAGGGAACATGCCGCGTAGACCTGGCAGACCCAAACGCATAGTGAGGGTCTGCTGGGAACGCCTGGCAGAAGAACCTGTCAAGACGGTCTTCAACTCCCACCTCCGGCAGAGTTTTGACCACGTCCCGAGAGCAGTGGGGGACATTGAGTCCGAGTGGGCCTTGTTCCACTCTGCGATTGTCGAGGCGGCTGTTGCTAGCTGTGGTCGTAAGGTGGCCGGCGCCAGTCGTGGTGGCAACCCCCGTACCCGCTGGTGGACACCAGAGGTTCGGGGAGCCGTCAGGCTGAAGAAGGAGGCCTACAGCGCGTGGCTGGTCTGTGGGTCTCCGGAGGCAGCAGACAGGTACCGGATAGCCAAGCGGGGTGCAGCAGTGGCAGTTGCCGAGGCAAAATCTCGGGCGTGGGAGGAGTTTGGTGAGGCCATGGAGAAAGACTATCGATCGGCTCCAAAGAGGTTCTGGCAAACTGTCCGGCGCCTCAGGAGAGGAAGGCAGCAACTCGCTCACACTGTTTACAGTGGGGATGGGGAGCTGCTGACGTCAACTGAGGCTATAGTCGGACGGTGGAAGGAATACTTTGAGGAGCTCCTCAATCCCACCAATGCGCATTCCGAGGAGGAACCAGAGCTGGGAGGCCTGGGGATGGACTGTCCGATCTCGGGGGCAGAAGTTGCTGAGGTAGTCAAACAACTACACAGCGGCGGAGCCCCGGGGGCGGATGAGGTTCGTCCTGGGTATCTCAAGGCTATGGATGTTGTAGGGATGTCATGGTTGACACGTCTCTACAACATTGCGTGGTCATCGGGGGCAGTTCCTAGGGAGTGGCAGACCGGGGTGGTGGTATCCATCTTTAAGAAGAGTGACCTGAGGGTGTGTTCCAACTATAGGGGGATCACACTCCTCAGCCTCCCTGGAAAGGTCTACTCCAAGGTACTGGAGAGGAGGGTCCGATCGATAGTTGAATCTCAGATAGAGGAGGAGCAATGTGGTTTTCGTCCTGGCCGTGGAACTGTGGACCAGCTCTATACCCTTGCAAGGGTGATGGAGGGGGCATGGGAGTTTGCCCAACCAATCCACATGTGTTTTGTGGATTTGGAGAAGGCTTATGACCGTGTCCCCAGGGGCACCCTGTGGGGGACGCTCCAGGAGTATGGGGTGGGTGGCTTTCTGTTAAGGGCCATTCAGTCCCTTTACCAGAGGAGCGTGAGTTTGGTCCGCATAGCCGGTAGTAAGTCGGACCTGTTCCCAGTGAGGGTTGGACTCCGCCAGGGCTGCCCTTTGTCACCGGTTCTGTTCATCACTTTTATGGACAGAATTTCTAGACGCAGCCGTGGTGTGGAGTGTGTCGAGTTTGGTGGCAGGAGAATCTCGTCTCTGCTTTTTGCGGATGATGTGGTCCTCCTAGCTTCATCCAGCTCCGACCTTCAGCTCTTGCTGGGTAGGTTCGCGGCCGAGTGTGAAGCGGCTGGGATGAGGATCAGCACCTCCAAATCTGAGACCATGGTTCTCGACCGGGAAAGGGTGGCTTGCCAACTCCGTGTCGGGGGAGTGGTCCTACCTCAAGTGGAGGAGTTTAAGTATCTCGGCGTCTTGTTCACGAGTGAGGGTAGGAGGGATCGGGAGATCGACAGGCGGATTGGTTCGGCGTCTGCAGTGATGCGGACGCTGAGCCGATCTGTCGTGGGGAAGAGGGAGCTGAGCCAGAAAGCCAGGCTCTCGATTTACCGGTCGATCTACGTCCCAATCCTCACCTATGGTCATGAGCTTTGGGTAATGACCGAAAGAACGAGATCGCGGATACAAGCGGCTGAAATGAGTTTCCTCCGTAGGGTGGCCGGGCTCAGCCTTAGAGATAGGGTGAGGAGCTCGGACATTCGGGAGGGACTCGGAGTAGAACCGCTGCTCCTCCGGATCGAAAGGAGCCAGTTGAGGTGGTTTGGGCATCTGGTCAGGATGCCTCCTGGACGCCTCCCCGGGGAGGTGTTTCGGGCATGTCCTGCCGGCAGAAGGCCCCCGGGGCGACCCAGGACACGTTGGAGAGGTTACATCTCCAATCTGGTCCGGGAACGCCTTGGGGTCCTGCCGGAGGAGCTGGTGGACAAGGCCGGGGAGAGGACGGCCTGGAGCTCCCAAGTTGGGATGCTGCCCCCGCGACCCGGACCCGGATAAGCGGAGGAAGACGACGACGACGACCTGTAGAATGAAATGTGTTTTGAGAGTTTTGATTTCAAACTTTTACATTGTTTTTTTTTTTGGAAGTCTGCTAGGTAAAAACCGAAAGTTTCATGTTTCTGAAATGAATGTTTGATGTTACAAAATGAGTAGTAAATATACAAAATAAAAGTTTGATTTTACAAAATAAAAAATACATGTACAAAATGAAATGTTCCTGTTACAAAACAAGAAATACAAGTACAAGTTGAGAATTACAAGTTAGAAAACTAAAGTTACAAGTTAGAAATCCAAAGTTATGTGTCATGAAACATGTTAAGTTACAAAACTTGGTACAAGTTACATTGAATATTGGCCATATTATAGCCATATTATATGTCCGTTGGGTAAATTTCACATTCATAAAGTCAGATTTCTCCAGGCTATACCAAATGCAACTTTATTTTATATTGATCTTAATTTTTTTATGACTCTGTACGTAGAATTAGTAAAAACAAGAAAGCTGTGAAAATATCCAATTTGATGAATTCTATTATGCCCCATATTACAAGGTAACGTATAAGTGGAATTTTATTTATTGGTGTATAATTGTTTATTTTTATTTTCATTACATTTTTTTTCTCTCTTTCTTCTCTGTTTGCCAGTGTGTATCTCATGCATCACACCCTGTACATCGATGTTGTTTTGCCAATATGTTATGTCTTGTATGCTGCATATGTGTCAATAAAGATTGTTCAAAAAACAGTAGATAGTCTTATCGGAACTGTTTTATTTTAAAGTTGAGCTGTGTTACAGTTCCTCATCGAGCACGTTTTATTGCGTTTATGTGCACAAAAACGGAGACGGTTTCAAATCCACTTCTTTGGCATTGCTGCGCACTTCATGAACAGATGTTCTAAGTTTGAGTTTCCAATTAAATCCAACGAGTAACCCAAATAAGTAAAATAATTAATTAATTCCTGTCAGAGAAGGGTGGAAGTTCATGAACACGTGGTTAATGGTAAAATAACTTTTTGGTCACATGACGAGCATCATACGAGGCTGAAGTTAGTTTACGATTCCAACTTCCGATTCGGGAAACGGCTAGACCATTACACCCAATTTTTCTCTACTATGACCATCTTTAATCTGTTCTAGCTCAAAAACTACAACACCCACACTGTTTACACCTGTTCTAGATTATTCTACTATAAAAGCAGATAAAAAACACAGTGTGGGATTTTTGAAACCTTTCCCTGATTTGTGAAACTTCAACAAAGCCATATTTATGCGTTTTTTCAGCATCTGACCAACGATGGAACAGCTGTAGCTCAAAAACTACAACAGCCACACTGTTCAAACCTGTTCTAGATTATTCTACAATAATAGCAGATTGCACTCAACCTTGTTTGGGACTTGTGAAACCTTTCTCTGATTTGTGAAACTTCAACAAAGACAGATTTATGAGTTTTTTCAGCATCTGGCCAACACTGGAACAGCCGTAGCTCAAGAAGTACAGCCCCTAGACTATTCAGACCTGTTTATGATTATTCTACAATCATATTTTCAAGATGTGGAAGCTGGAATCGGAAGCCAACTTCAGCCTCGTGAGCGTCAGATATTCATTTCCTCAGTGTCGTTAGAAGAGAGCACGGATTCAGTTTGCTGTTAGCGACCTCAAGTCGGTGTGACATGGATTATCAGCCCTTATTAGAGTGAGAGACGGTTTCTTTTATTTAATCTTCATTAATTTAACCTTCTGTCTAACTTTCGTTTTCCGTGATTTCCAGTGATACCCGAAACTATGGGATTGTGAACGCGGGTTACGCACCAGCAGCAACGGGAGCCCCTGGTAAGATGAATAAACGATATTTACAGCGATTTGCACAAAATGATAGATGAGCTTTTCTTTTTTACTTAATGACTTGTTTTCCGTGTGTTGATGACGTCACGCAGACGCCCGCGGCATTCCTAATTGTATATTTGAGTTAATGGCTCCATACGGATGTAATAGTTTTAACTACCATAGCTGACTAGAAACTGGCAGGATGTTCACGGAGGGGCAAGTTGAGTTCCTCTCGTTACTTTACTATCCTAATTTCTGTGTCCTGAGAATAACGGTGCGTTCGATTTTCCTTGGAAGTCGAAACTCAGAACTAGGAATGACGTCACACCCGAGTTAACAGCGTCCTGATTGCTGGAGACTGAGAAGTCGGGATTCCAATAAGGCGACACCCTCGAAAACAAACAGACGACTCATACACACACTTAAAGCTCATCTTCAAGAAACATTCGAAGAGAGACAAAGACGATCTAAAACAACACTTTTAAATTGTTCAGCTTGGAGTTGCAGGCGACATACAGTGGGGCAAAAAAGTATTTAGTCAGCCACCGATTGTGCAAGTTCTCCCACTTAAAATGATGACAGAGGTCATTAATTTTCATCATAGCTACACTTCAACTGTGAGTGACAGAATGTGAAAAAAATCCATGAATTCTCATGGCAGGATTTTTAAAGAATTTATTTGTAAATCAGGGTGGAAAATAAGTATTTGGTCAATAACAAAAATTCAACTGAGTACTTAGTAACAAAACCTTTGTTGGCAATAACAGAGGTCAAATGATTACTATAGGTCTTTACCAGGTTTGCACACACAGTAGCTGGTATTTTGGCCCATTCCTCCATGCAGATCTTCTCAAGAGCAGTGATGTTTTGGGGCTGTCGCCGAGCAACACGGACTTTCAACTCCCTCCACAGATTTTCTACGGGGTTGAGGTCTGGAGACTGGCTAGGCCACTCCAGGACTTTCAAATGCTTCTTACGGAGCAACTCCTTTGTTGCCCGGGCGGTGTGTTTGGGATCATTATCGTGTTGGAAAACCCAGCCACGTTTCATCTTCAAAGCTCTCACTGATGGGAGGAGGTTTAGGCTCAGAATCTCACGATACATGGCCCCATTCATTCTGTCCTTAACACGAATCAGTCGTCCTGTCCCCTTAGCAGAAAAACAGCCCCAAAGCATGATGTTCCCACCCCCGTGCTTCACAGTAGGTATGGTGTTCTTGGGATGCAACTCAGTATTCTTCTTCCTCCAAACACGACGAGTTGAATTTATACCAAAAAGTTCTACTTTGGTTTCATCTGACCACACGACATTCTCCCAATCCTCTGCTGTATCATCCATGTGCTCTCTGGCAAACTTCAGACGGGCCTGGACATGCACTGGCTTCAGCAGCGGAACACGTCTGGCACTGCAGGATTTGATTCCCTGCCGTTGTAGTGTGTTACTGATGGTGACCTTTGTTACTGTGGTCCCAGCTCTCTGCAGGTCATTCACCAGGTCCCCCCGTGTGGTTCTGGGATTCTTGCTCACCGTTCTCATGATCATTTTGACCCCACGGGATGAGATCTTGCGTGGAGCCCCAGATCGAGGGAGATTATCAGTGGCCTTGTATGTCTTCCATTTTCTGATAATTGCTCCCACAGTTGATTTTTTCACACCAAGCTGCTTGCCTATTGTAGATTCACTCTTCCCAGTCTGGTGCAGGTCTACAATTCTTTTCCTGGTGTCCTTCGAAAGCTCTTTGGTCTTGGCCATAGTGGAGTTTGGAATCTGACTGTTTGAGGCTGTGGACAGGTGTCTTTTATACAGATAATGAGTTCAAACAGGTGCCATTAATACAGGTAACGAGTGGAGGACAGAAAAGCTTCTTAAAGAAGACGTTACAGGTCTGTGAGAGCCAGAGATTTTCCTTGTTTGAAGTGACCAAATACTTATTTTCCACCCTGATTTACAAATAAATTCTTTAAAAATCCTGCCATGTGAATTCATGGATTTTTTTTCACATTCTGTCTCTCACAGTTGAAGTGTACATATGATGTAAATTACTGACCTCTGTCATCATTTTAAGTGGGAGAACTTGCACAATCGGTGGCTGACTAAATACTTTTTTGCCCCACTGTATAACATTGATTTAGACACACTCTTATAAGTGCGTCTTGTAAAATAAACACATTTCAATCAAAACTACTGTTGTTGATACGGAGAGCTGCCATTTTGGATCTCGAAGTCGGGGTTGTGAAACATTTCCGAGTTTCTGACTGGGAGATCCGACGCGGCGGGGCGTTTCATTTGATTTTTCCTACTCGGAGGTGGGGATTTCCAAGTTCCGAGGACAAATCGAACACACTATTAGAGGTATCAGTTTGATTTAAAACTGGGGGCATTTGAGGCGGGTTATTTGCTTTTCTTTACACATGCACCTTATTATGCTTGATAATTTTGATATATTTACAAGATTTGAGTGTTTGTCTATGTGTGTCTGAACTAGATTTGTTTTCTTGTAGCAATGATGGCCCCACCCGCGGTAGAGCCCTATGGCCCGAGCGCACCTCCTGCCAGCATGTTTGACAACATGCCTGGGTATGAAGGGACTGTGGCAGGAGGAGGTACAGTAAAAACAGACATGCTTCATTATGCATCAGAAACGCAATAACCAAAAGTCTTCACAATTCACCACAAATATCAAATAATGTTTTTCTAATTTAAAGAAATAAAACAACAAATTCAGTGGAGATTTTTGTTGCAGGTTCTCAGTCATCCAGTAGGTTCACAGGAAGGAAACTGAACTTGTTCAGTTTGAGGAGCTTTGTCTTTTCTAACAGGAATATGCAGATTGTCATAGTCTACATGTTTTTCCATGTAGACTAGACCATGTCCACTTGAGAGATGTTTTGGGAGAGCGATCATCTGATATCATCTGGCCTAGGCCAACTGACACCACCACATGACCCAGCTTACCCCAGAACCCTCAGTGTCTAGGTGCAGCTTAAAATTGGAAGTGGGCACCGGCACTCGGGGTGAGGCTGAGACATGCCCCCCCCCCCCACACCCCCTCACAAGGCCTAATTTGCATGTTTGTGTGGTGATGTGAAGGAGCAGGAGGAGGAAAATGAGGATCGTGAGGAATGGCTGTCTTAGAGCTTGTCAACTGAATGTGGGTCTCTGTTGCTCAACAGAGCTTTTATACTACAGGAATTGATGAGTGAAGTAATTGTTTTACAATGAGTTTCCCATGTTATGACTCAAACAGGATTTCACTTAGGTTAGCTCAGCTGTTGTTAGGTGCACTCAAAAACTATTTCATTTGAAATCGATGTGTTGTCATGGATTATTTTGCAATACTCCGTTCTCCACGTTAAACACAATTTTGATAGATAAACTTCTAAAATATAATTTAACCCAATGCAAAAGCTCTGTCATGTATTTACTCTCAGAAGGGTTAACATAACCAACTTGTGACTGTTGTTGACTTAGTGTTTATAAATAGTTTTTTTTTTGTATTTATATGAGAATATATACTTAACATTTGTATTTTACTATATAATTTAAATCATCACTTCAGCGCTATAGTTAAAGTCTATGATTATCATTATCATTTATAAATAGTTACCCTTAGGAGGGTCCTGGAGGGTGTGTGGGAGTTGGCCCAACCAACCATGTCTCTCGGGGGGGGGGGGGGGGGGGGGGGGGGGGGGGGGGGGGCTGTGGAGAGTACTCTGGGAGTATTGGGTACCAGGCCCCTTGGTACAGGCTGTTATCACAGGCCCTTTACAACCGGTGTCAGAGCTTGGTCCGCATTGCCGGCAGTAAGTCGAGCTCGTTTCTGTTGAGAGGTGGACTCTGCGGGTCCTTTGTCACCAATTTGATTCATAACTTTTATAGACAGGATTTACAAGCACAGCTAAGGTGTTTATCATCAAACCATGATCTCCAGCTTTCGTTGGAGCGGTTTGCAGCTGGAATGAGAATCAGCTCCTCTAAATCCAAGACCGTAGAATTCTCAGGGGGTGGGGTTATTAACTCATTCACTGCCATTGACGACTAAAGTCGTCATTTTAGATCCAACCGTTCACTGCCAATGACGACTGTCGTCATTTGCATTTTTTTTACTGTTTGGGCATAGGAACGAGCCCCCGCGCAAAGAGAACAAACATCTCAGCTCTGAAGCCGATCTTCATCCGCATACGTCACACGTCACATGATCAGGAAGCAGAAAATCCATGTGTTAGGAGATCGTTTTGGGCCGTTCCTGTAAAAAAAAGGTGAGGCGCGAACCGGAAAAGCGTCTGCCGATCACAATTCAACAACGTATTATGAAAGAATGGATAATACTCGAAACACGCGGATTCTTCCTGATGATAAAGGTGTCTTCTCTTTGTTTTGGTTGTTTTTGCATCAACATCATCCTAGCGTGCAACATTCTGTGACTAAAAAAACAGTAAAAACCGTGAGAAATGCTGGCAGCGAAGGCCTTTAGCAATCAGGAAACGGCTAGCAGTGAATGAGTTAAAATATGGGGCTGGCTGGTCAGGCTAGTCTTGTTCATGAGTGAGGGAAAGCTGGAGCACAAGATCGACAGGCTGACCAGTCTTTTGTGGTGATGAGAGAGCTGAGCCAGACGGTGAAGCTCTTGACTTACTGGTTGATCTACATTCCAACTCTCACCTATGGTCATGAGCTTTGGGAAATGACCAGAAGATTGAGACTGTGAATACAAGTGGCTGAAATTAGTTTTGTCTACAAGGTGTCTGGGCACTCCCTTAGAGATTGGGTGAGAAGCTCAGTCATCAGTGAGGGGCTTGGAGTAGATCCGCTGTTCCTCCACATTGTGAGGAACCTGTTGAGGTGGCTCGGGCATCTGATTAGGATGCATTCTGGACGCCTCCCTGGTGAGGTTTTCCGGGACCGTCCAACCAGAAGGAGGCCTAAAGGAAGACCCAGGACATGTTGGAGGAACTACGTCTCTCAGCTGGCCAGGGAATGCCTTGGGATTCACCTGGAAGAGCTAGCCCAAGTGGCTGGGGAAAGGGAAGTCTGGGCCGCTCAGCTTAGGCTGCTGCATCTTCGACCTAACCCCATCTAAGCAGATGAGAATGGATGGATGGATTTATAAATTAGGATTAACTGCTGAAGCACAAAAAAAAAAAAAATCAACCTGCCACAAACAGACTTTTACTGTCTTTAGGTGGATTCCTGCCACCTCCTATGCCTGCTTTTCCGGCTCCTCAGCCTATGCCCGGACCTGAACAGCCACACTGGAAGTAATCACTCTTTTTTGTTGTCTCTTCTAACATGGAAGCTGTGGATATTACAAAAACAACTTTTAATTTTAAGCAGTTTTAGTTATTCAGCTTAATGCCTTTATGCAATAAACTGTTTAACGTCTCTTCGCTCCTGGCAGTATCCCATCTATAAGTGAAGACACGGCCCGGGAAGCCTTTGTTCTCTATGCTTCCAGTAAATGCTGTTACAGTCCTGCTCCAGCAAAGGATTGTGTTATCACCGGAATGGAGGCATTCAATACATACAGGGTTTGTCTATTTTCTGTTCAGCACTTTTAATTCAATTCAATTCAAATTCAAAGATACTTTGTTAATCCCAGAGGGAAATTAGAGTTTCAGTACACACAATTCTGAGATCAGACATACTTAGACATAGACACATGACAAGAATTGGTGACTGTGGTCATTTGCAACCCGAGTCGCGCTACCTTAATAGAGATGAGAGGGTTTATATGAGGACTGAGTCAGGTGGAGGAAAAAAAGGCACTTCAGAGTAGTGTTGTCAAAAAAATTGATACCTAGATATAAATCGATGCTAAAAGTGGGATCTAAATTAGATATTCCATCCCTGTGGTATCGATATTATGGACTATTATACACAGCATTCTTCAAGTACACCGACACGCACGACAGCCAGATGCCGTAAAGCGGCCTCCGCCTCCCAGCCAAACAGAAGAAGAAGACGCCGCATGGCTACATTACAATTTCCCACGCGAGTTGTCTTCGATCCAAGTTTTGTCTGCCAAATAAATAAACAAAAACATAAACAGCAAATTTGGGAGGCGCTTCACAGCCCAACTTAATTAGCATACCAAGTCCGACACGTAGTTGTATATTCACGCTTATGTGCTTAAAGGAAAACTCCCGTTTATTGCAACCCGGACTTAATTTCTAGCATGCAGTACGTTTGTTTACTCACGCTGACAACATTGGTGCTACTTGGATTCCCCGGGGTATTTAGATCCATCGGCGAATCGCCATCAGTGTATATCCATATAACGGGTGCGGACGGGCACCCATGGTGCAGCCTCGAAATAAGACATTATCTGCACCAAAATATCTCAATGTCGAAAGGTTTTGTTAGGAATCATTAACATGATTCCCCTGTTCGTTTGGAGTGAGTCTGGGATTTCTAGGCGTGAACAGACTAGCCACGGCTAATCTAACCGGCGCTTTTAATGATGTCACTGCCGTGCGCCAATCTGTTTTTATTAAGATTAGATGTACCTTTGTCCTACTGTGGAGAAATTCATTTTCTCCCTTTATTGACCAACAGAGTTGTTCAAAAGTACAGAACAAAACATATGGTATTACAGCTTATGACAAAAATGCAACTTAAACAGAGTTTAAGCAGCAAAACATCACTCTGCAAATAGTGTATATATAGTGAGACAATTCATGATTTAAAGTGTTAACTTTCGCCAGTTTTTGTATGCACATTTTAAAAAATGCTGATACTTGAAAGGTTTAAGCACTTTATACACTTAATTCTTAACATTTAATTTTTGCAATATAAATTGAGGAATGTTATTTTTTGAATAAACTTGTTCAATAAATTGGTGTTTTTAAATAGCATCGAAATCGAGCATCGAGTTTTTTTTCAAGTATCGAATCGAGTTTGAAATTTTAGTATCGTGACAACCCTACTTCAGAGTTACCCTCCACAGGGAGGGCAGCTTTGCTACGCAAAAAACACCTCGGACAGAAATGAAACATACTTCAGACATTACACAACATAAGTGTCCACTAGGTGGGGAGGTAGGGTTGAGGACTCTCCTCACATCAGTGCATGCAGCTGTGATGAGCAGCGCTCGTCACCTCCGTTTGGACAGGGGAGGGAGGTAATTGGGTTAGAAAGCACAGTGACTCTTGGAAACGGTTCCACGGCCTTCACCGATCTCAGTCCGGCCCAGGCTGGGATAGGGAGACAGAGTTGTCATGGCAACAGCAGCATTCCACATTTCTTCTGAGGGGGAGTAATCACTTCCGCCTCACAGGCTCAAGGACACCAGATTCAGATAAGAACTTGTTTTGGGCCAGACAGAGATAATTTCCTCTCTGTCTTAAAGTTCTGTTGTTCCTCAACCCCTCTAAATCCAATAATGGCGTAAATTAATCTATTCCCAACCGTGCTGATCCGTCCACTTTCTCCTTGATCAAGTCCACCTTCTGTGCCAGAGCCTGAATCTCGGCCAAAGTTCCAAGCTTACGACTCATCTCGACTAGGGATGCACCGATGGATTGGCATTTGATCGTAATCGGCCGATAGCGCCCCTATCGGTTTTGATCGGAGTTTTCAAAATAGATCAAAGCAGACCGATCAGGTAGGGTTGTCATGGTAACCAGTGTAGCGGTAAACCCCGGTGCAAAAAAAAGTTGACAATAATAATAACCGTCTTGTTTTTTAAAAACTATATTATCTTGGTGGGTTTACCGTGGCTGTGGTGTAGGCGGGGTGACCCTTACCAGCCACCGTATCATCTGCTGAAGTTGCCGGCGGCACATGCGCGCTTTGTTGTTTACAACCAAAACTTTCTTGAAGCTAAAGCTGAAATAATGGTCAAAGGAGGAGACAGCAGCACTCAGGAGGACATTCATTATCCCTCAAAGAAGACAAAGTAGGAAGTACGGGCATATTTTAGATATTTGAAGAATGCCGAGGGAGTTTATAGAAGACGGCTATCCTGTTTGCAGCACGTGTAGAAAAAGTGTCTGTGAAAGGCAGCAACGCTTCAAATCTCATGACACATCTGCATGACCATCACCCACAACTCTACAGTCAACGCAAGGCTAGTTAACGTTAGCATTTTAGCTAAAATGCGTGATCCGAGGATTTGGGTTGAGGGAGAATGCAGCGAGTCGCTATATAAAGCAGCCGCAGTGCCGCTACCTGCATATAAACCGTGACACGGACACCCCCATGTTGAAATGACGCTATGCATTACGGGGCTCCCAGGGGCAGACAAGAGTTGGTCTCTCTCCGAGAATAATTATGAATTTAACAATGATTACTGCCTGATGACATTTTCCCCACATCTGCAAAGCTCACTGGAAGGACACAAACCGAGGACAATATTTTCCTGATATAGGGTTTATTACTCAAGTAAGGGTAAAAAGTATCTGATTAGAAGGCTACTTGAGTACTGAGTATCATCTGATCTAATATTTTTAAAATGATGACATCAAACAGACATAAAATAAGAAGTTATGGGCAAATATTGGTATTTTAAAGACTAAAGGGGAAAAAATGTAAACAAATAAACAACATAATTACAAAATAACACATTTTAGGCAAAATTTAGACACAAACTGAGGACAATATTTCCTGACATACAGGGTTTATTTAATTGTGTGAAAATTAGCACGTAAAAAAAAAAATACCGCGATAATACCGAAAACCGTGGTAATTTTGGTCACAATAACCGTGAGGTCAAATTTTCACACCGTGACAACCTTAATACAGACCATTTTAGATTAGGTTACATTTCCTTGATTCCCATATTATGTAGTTTGTAGCACTCATTATAATGTTGTAGAAATTTTCTGGCCAATCCACGTGATCGGTATCGGTAATCAGCATTCTTTGATTTCGGTATCGGTGATCGGCAGCAAAAAACCTGATCGGTGCATCCCTAATCTCGACAATTATATGAGTTTGTGCATTCACAGTGCGGTGTAATCCATCCCTGAGCTCTGGGATTGAGTCAATATTCCTCGAAAGTTCATTAATTTTCCGGTAAGCCAGGTAACCGCTCAGGCCAAACAGCAAGAAACCTGACACCAACACCGCGAATATCCAGACGTCTCCAGAATCCTCTACAGACAGCTGAGAGAGGCAGATCAGGTTCCACTGTTTCCAGGAGTCCATGATATGCCCAGCTGGCTCTGTCCCAGAGGGGCATCCGGGAGCCCCTTCTCCTGTTCTCATCGTTGAAAAAATTTTGTCAATCGCGTTGAGAGACCAACTGACCAGATCCATTTTTAATAATTTCCAGTTTCCAGAAAAAATGCAGAAGCTCCGTACACCCAAACACAGACACAGAGACTTGGGATAAGATAGAGAGGAGAGGAGGAAAAAAGCGTCTGAACTCTCCAAGAGCCGGAAGAATCAAACAATAATTCAAATTCAGTTCAAATTCATGCCTCGTATCCTTGGGTTTTGAGTCGTTTTACCTGCATAGAGCACATATATTTTATTTTAGTTTGTTCTTTTATATTTTAGTACACCCTGGAAACATTTACTGAATCAAGGTCCACGGAGTGGAGCCATGAACCATACAATGGTATGTTCACTTATTCTTTGCATTTTCTGTTTGTGGTCTGTAACCCAGAATTACTATTTTTAGAATTTTTGAATATAAAGTATAAAGCAAGACGGTATCACAATTAAATTGAACACATAAATAATAGTTCTGTGAAAATACTTTTATAAAACTACTCAGAACTGAGCAAGCAAGGCTAATGTGGACTTGTGATGTCATAAGGCTGCTTCAGTTTTTAAAATGTCAAAGTTCCTCTTTGATAACATTACATCTGGATCAGGTCAGCCTGTTGATGCCTTTACCCAGCCACCTCCAGGAGCTTGGGACATTCCTTCAAAAACACCTACCTTTTTTGCTGAAGGCAAGCAGCAAATCAAAGTTCCCTACACATCTTCCGTGAAGGTAAATCACCTCAACGATGATGTTTTATGGGGGGATGGTTACCAAATAAAAATGAAACACCTGCAAGACATTTTCTCTGATAAGTGACTTAATCTGCAGGCCTGCCACAACTGTCTTGGAACTGGGCACAAACCCTGCAAAGACTGTACAGGTGCTGGTAATGTAAGTATTTTTCCACAGTGCTCACTGAGTTAAATTACACGTTTTTTTTTAACTGAAATGGCATCAGTGTTTTTTTTTTCCTCCACAGAAAGTTTGTTGGGTGTGCAATGGATGTGGTTACCGTCATGGGAATGAGCAATGCCATCACTGTAGTGGGAGAGGGAGAGAAAAGTATGCATTAGGCGTTATTTTCATATGAAGCAGTAGTGGTGTGGTGCACAGGACTTAGTATTACATCATTACCTTATTCAAAAAGTCTTGTATAGCATGGCAACAGGAAGTTAAATTGCTCTGTGTGTGATGAACATGATGGAGGCAGTAATGCAGAGCTTTTCTCTCACAATCTGATAGATACAACTTTAAGCTGGAACTGATAAAACTAAAAGCTACTTCATGGATTTTATCCTGTTTTCCAGCCAAAAATATTGAGCCCATTGGTATTGTCACATTTCTGTACTCAGGGTTTATTTCTTGTCGTGACCACAGTGCATACAGCGTCCTGTGTGCAAGCATCCATAGACCTCAATAACAGAGAAACATAATAACAGTGCAGACTGTCATGTTTATAAGTTGATAGGGATGTGTATTGGTGAAATTATGGTGATACGATAAGTATCACGATGCTTGGGAGACGATAGAATAAATCACGATACATTCAGTCAGACGACATTGGTGATTTTTTTAGACTAAATTTATCATAGGAAAATTCAATAAATAGTCCAAACTGATACTTAATATGTTTAACATGAGGTGTCTGAACTATCATAGAGGGATTTACATTTCAATGGTGGATTGCACACTGCTGCAAACTAGTGGTCGGCGTTTGAATTGCACCAAAAGAAAAGAAAATACACAAATGTTTGCATGTAAATTCTTCCCAAAAATTTGATACATGGCTTTTCAATTTTGATGTATCGCTGGAAAAAATATCACGATATGTTGCCATATTGATATCTTACATCCCAATAAGCTGATCGATTGTAAAACATCTCTCACAGTTGCAGTCATTGTCAAGGACGAGGATTGAAGAGCTGTGATGTGTGCCATGGAAAACAGCAGCTACTGGTCTTCATTAAACTCACAGTCAAATGGTACCCATCTTTTAAATTATTTAATCAAAACCTTACGAGAATAGTCTGCTATTAAAGTAATCAACATTTCAGTCGGTGAGCTTTTGTTAATTATTTCTTGACAGCTGGAAGTAGTTTTGTTTTTATTTTGCAGGACTAACAACACAGATGCTCATGTTGTAGAACAGTCAAGTGGACTTCACGTAGACAACTTCAGCGAGGTGTCTGGCAAAATGCTTTTCAGAGACTCTCAGTTCATGGTAAAACAAACTTTTACTATTAAAATAATCACAGTGACATTTAGGCAAAATTTTCTCATATAAAGGAACCAGACTAGGATCTGAGAGGACTGGAAAGGGACAGAGACAAACATAGAAGGACAGAGGAACGAAATTACAGTACTTGTCTTGCAACGGGCCGGGCACCCACGATTGTTCAACGTTAAAGTCTTACGATGCTGGAGAAGTACATAAACCTTATTTCAAGGGTCTGAGATGTTGTTTCTTTAATGTGGGAGAGGTGAGAAAATATACACATAAATGTTTGAATATTTAGATAAAAACAGTCCCTACCTATTTGTAACGCTCCACCTATGAGGTCAAGCGTTTTTTTTATTTCAAAGAAGTAAAAGCTAAAAAATTAGGAGAGATGATCGCTAGCAAAAAAAAAAAATAATAATTTGGATAGTGGAGAATTTAAACGATCGAGTCTGGAAGTAATTCTTGTGTGCACTAGTTTTTCTGCATCCCTTTGGGTCAGGGTGTTCCTTATTTTAGCGGTATTACACAGATGACCGAAGGAAGTTCTAGTAATGTTTTATTTGAGAGTTAAAGGACACGTCCTGGTCTGGAATGACAGCCAGGTTATAAACAGAAGGTTAAGGGTCGCCAAGCTAAAGTAAGTTAAATATAGCTAAGAGTCATTTACATATCGGAAATATCTTGAGACATCATGCCACACTGAGTATGTTATTTTTAAGATGTTACCAAATAAACTAATTCCAGTTTGATTTTAGTTTAAAACGTACAAAGGTGATCGATAAAACTGCTGCGTCAAACTCCTTGTTTTATACTCTAAAGGTAAACAGCCAAACAGGGGCAGTCCTAGCCCATTTGGCACTGCTAAGGTGTTATGGAGGCCCAGGATGCTTCGATAGCAGCCTTAAGCTCAACCAGAGTGTTGGGTCTTGCATCTCTCAACTTTCTCTTCACAATATCCCACAGATTCTCTATGGGGTTCAGGTCAGGACAGTTGGTCGGCCCATTGAGCACAGTAGTACCATGGTCAGTAAACCATTTACCGGTGGTTTTGGCACTGTGAGCAGGTGCCAGGTCGTGCTGAAAAATGAATTCTTCATCTCCATAAAGCTTTTCAGCAGATGGAAGCATGAAGTGCTCCAAAATCTAATAGCTAGCTGCATTGACCCTGCCCTTGATAAAACAGTGGACCAACACCAGCAGCTGACATGGCACCCCAGATCATCACTGACTGTGGGTACTTGACACTGGACTTCAGGCATTTAGGCATTTCCCTCTGACCAGTCTTCCTCCAGACTCTGATTTCCGAATGACATGCAAAATTAGCTTTAATAAAAAAAAAATACTTTGGACCACTGAGCAACAGTCCAGTGCTGCTTCTCTGTAGCCCAGGTCAGGCGCTTCTGCCGCTGTTTCTGGTTCAAAAGTGGCTTGACCTGGGGAATGCGGCACCTGTAGCCCATTTCCTGCACACGCCTGTACACGGTGGCTCTGGATGTTTCTACTCCAGACTCTGTCCACTGCTTCCACAGGTCCTCCAAGGTCTGGAATCGGTCCTTCTCCACAATCTTCCTCAGGGTCTGGTCACCTCTTCTCGTTGTGCAGGTTTTTCTGCCACACTTTCCTTCCCACAGACTTCCCAATGAGGTGCCTTGATACAGCACTCTGGAAACAGCCTATTCCTTCAGAAATTTCTTTCTGTTTCTTACCCTCTTGCTTGAGGGTGTCAATGATGGCCTTCTGGACAGCAGTCAGGTCAGCAGTCTTACCCATGATTGCGGTTTTGAGTAATGAACCAGGCTGGGAGTTTTTAAAAGCCTCAGGAATCTTTTGCAGGTGTTTAGAGTTAATTAGTTGATTCAGATGATTAGGTCAATAGCTCATTTAGAGAACCTTTTCATGATATGCAAATTTTTTGAGATAGGAATTTTGGGTTTTCATGAGCTGTATGCCATCATCCATCCATCCATCTTCTGAACCTGCTTAGTCCACGTAGGGTCGCAGGGGAGCTGGTGTCTATCTCCAGCAGTCAACAGGCAAGTAGGTGGGGTATACCCTGGACAGAGAGCCAGTCCATCGCAGGGCAACACAGAGACACACAGGACAAACAACCATGCACACACACACTCACACCTAAGGACAATTTAGACAGACCAATCAACCTAACAGTCATGTTTTTGGACTGTGGGAGGATGCCGGAGTACCCGGAGAGAACCCACGCACGCACAGGGAGAACATGCAAACTCCATGCAGAAAGATCCCAGGCTAGGAAGCAAACCCAGGACCTTCTTGCTGTAAGGCAACAGCTCTAACCACTGCGTCACTGCGCAGCCCTGAGCTGTATGCCAAAATCATCAATATTAGAAACAATAAAAGGCTTGAGCTACTTCAGTTGTGTGTAATGCATCTAATACATATGAAAGTCTAATGTTTATCAGTACATTACAGAAATTATAAACTTTATCACAATATGTTAATTTTTGAGAAGGACCTGTAAATAAAAAGGAGAGTAAAAGCAGCCGTTGCTATGAGTACTGACCTGTTAAAGTTACATGCCATTACTTCACTCAAAGTGAACTAAGTTATAGTTTAAAACAGTGATTATGATTAATCCAAACATTTCTGCGGCTGGCAGGTGTGTCCAGTGTTGGGCTTTCCAGACTCTGCAATAATGCAGGCTTCACAGCGCCTTGTCAGTGAACACCAGGGCAAATATTCCCAGACATCACGCATTCTGCAACAGGTTTTTATGTTCTTTTAATACCACACTATGCTGATCAAAAGCTTTTTTAAGATATAAAATGCTCATTTAACTTTTTTGTCTGCAGCGTCAAACCATCGAGCTGATCCCAGTCACAAAGGTCACCTACTTGTGGAAAGAACAAACGCACATTTACTTTGTTTATGGAAACGAGTTCAAGGTTCACACAGACGACTATCCTGCTACTTGTTGCTGCTCTGTAATGTGATTACAGTTGGGGACCTTGACTTTTGCATTCTATGTCACCGAACAGTCAGATTTCCTTTCTTTTCTGTTTCTTCTGCTGATTGAATGAAGATGGTGGAAAATGTGGGAAAACTGATTAAAAGTGTGCAGATTTCTGACTGTATGTGTACATAAATGTCTGAGATAGGAAGATGGTAAAACCTTACGTACCATAAATCCTCTAATATTGGCCTGTATTCAATTAACAGCCGGGTATCATATTTTGGCTGGTGTCGGAGTCGGCGCTGTAAACAACATGAATCAGGCTTTAGGGGGTGGCTGAAAACAGACCTATCCCCGAACCCTTGGTGGCAAGAAGAAACAGCAGCCGCGTAGGATTTAACAGTGCTGAAGGCCAGGCCCTTGTCCATCAACATCTGTAAAAATGACAACACGCTGGCCAAGGGACACAACAGCGGGTCATCCTGTTGGTCCTGGCACCCACGCTGAAAAGCATCCCACTTTGCAGAATAAGAAGCTACAGTGGAGGGGGCGCGAGAAGATTAAATGGTTTGAACCACATTGGATGTTAATCCCAATGCTTCCAGATGAGACCGTTCAGCGGCCAAACCCACAGGTGCAGGCCCAGGACCGGGGGGTACGTTATATACCCCCCCGCCTGCAAGAGCGCGTCGACCCTCCATGGGATCTTCCAAGGACGCGCCGCCAACAGCGTCTGCAAATCTAGAAACCAGGACGCTGAGGTGCGACGGGGAGCCACCAAGATCACCGAGAGTTTTTCCGATCTGATCCGGTCCAGAAGCCGGGGGATCAGAGGGGCTGGAGGAAAAGCGTAGAGTAAGAGTTCGGGCCAGGGTTTGTGAGCAAAGGTGTCCACCCCCAGCGGTGGAAGATCTTGTGGTCTGAGAGAAAATCTCAGGGGGCATTGTGTGTTCTCGCGAGACGCAAACAGGTCCACAGCCACACATCCGAACTTGGTCCAGACCTGAGATATCAGGTCGGGATGGAGCCGCCACTCCCAAGTGACGTGGACCCCCCAGGACATGATGTACGCACCTACATTCAGGATTCCCGGAATGTACACAGCTCTGATTGACATGAGGTTGGCTTGAGCCCAGCACAATAACTCCCTGGCCACGCTCAGGAGTGAGGCTGATCGAGTCCCACCCTAGCGATTTATGTAGGCTGCAGCGACTTGGTTGTCCGTGTGGATCAGGACATGCTAGTCCCGAAGCAGGGGGGCGAAATGTAGGGTCACATTCTGCACTGACATGAGCTCCAGAAGGTTTATGTGGACTTTCGTGTGGGGCGGCCACCGATCGCCCACAGAATGGGATAAGCACGTGCCCCCCCTCCCCGACAGGGATGCATCCATGAACACAGACACGTGTGACGTCACTTGCCCGAGAGGAACCCCCTGCTGCAGGGTGTCGGGGTTTGACCAGTGCTGCAGGTCTCCCTTCACTGAAGAAGGGACGAGTGTCATGCGCCTTTTGTGGCATATGGGGTCCACCTTGAGGCGATTGAACCAGTGTTGAATGTGCCTCGTGTAATAAACCGAGCGGCACCACAACGTGGGCCGCCGCCATCATGACCAGAAGTCTCCTTACCGACAGCACCGTGACTGTGCACTGTGGTCGTACACGGTGGGTCAGGTGGTGGGTCAGGGCATTCAAGTCCGTTGCTCTCTCCCGGGAGAGACGGGCTGTCATGGAGCCAGAGTCCAGGGCCACGCCCAGGAACACGATGGACTGGAATGGGAACACGGAGCTCTTCTCCCAGTTTATGGAGAAGCCCAGAGTGATCAGATGCAGTGCCAGCGTCCTCGTTTGCGACTCCGTTTCCGTCTGAGAATGGGCCAGGAGGAGCAGGTCGTCTAAATAGAACAGGATCCTCAAGCCCGCTGTGCGTAACGGCTGCAGCGCCGTCGTCAGGCACTTGGAGCACCCCGGAACCACCTTGAAGCCATGCTCGGTGAGTTTCTCCACCTTAGTGATCGACTTGTAGGAGGACACAGGAGCCCTGAGCCGGGTGGGCTCGGCTCTGGAGCCATTCCAGTACTCCATGGCTGCTGGGAACTGCGTGAACACTGGGTCAGGGCAGCGAGTCGGTTTTGCGCCAAACCTGCCCGCCAAGACGTCCGACTTAGCAGGGTCTGGAGCGGGAACCGTCAGTCCTTTGAAGCTCGCTGCTGCCGAGATGATGGCGGGCAGCTCCTGGTGCAACGCTCGGATGGGAGGGAGCGGTGTGTGGGTGTCCTGGAGGTGTGGATTCAGATCCCGTTCGGGAGCCTGAAGGTCTGCAGCCTCCGAGGACAAGTGTGAGGATCCCGCGCAGCTAAGCTGCTCCGTGTCAGGGCAGCTAGCTAGCGTGGGTCCAGCTGGTTCCAGACCGGCGTCAACAAAAGTCCATGGCCTCCTCCAGTGGGACGGTGTTGGGTGTCGCGTACCCGCCCTCAGAGCCCTCTTTTTTAAAAAGTGATGTCCCTGTTGACATTTTAAAAAGCCAATTATTTGTATGGAAATGAGCTTTTTTTCTTAAATAGCACATCATTTTACATTAGATATGTTTCTTACTCTATTTTCATGTTTATCTATAGGTGGTAATGTGTTGCAGCCATTTTTATCATTTAATCAGCATCTTGTGGATCCAGTCTTCCTTTGACTACGTAGTTTTAACTGTTACAAGAATCTATCTCTGTCTTAGAAAGACTGTAACTGACTCAACTTAAAAATCTATAATATGATAATACATTACTGTATTGTATGCACAGAATCCAGACTTCTGCTTTATATGACAGTAATGGTTACTTTTTTCTACAATAAAATTACATTGGATCAATAGACACTCATGTATTGTAACTCAGTCTATTTGTAAAATACAATTTTATATTTGAGTCTAACACAAACGTTTTATTAGCTTTGTGATAATGCATTAAAAGCTGTTTTAAAACAGAGTTGTGAAGTCATCTGTCAATTATGGGTAGTTCATGTCTTTCAGCATTGCATAGAGGATGGAGCTAGACTGGGATAATGGTCCAGATGTTTAGGAAAGGTCGACCAGAGGATGTTTTATAACCATAAAGTCAGTTATAATTATAGAAGAATCACACACCTCAGCCTCTCCACAGTCTTCTAACTACTTAACTACTAAAACTAAACAAATCTCCTTTAATTATCTGTATTCATCCAGATGAAACCAACAAGCTACAGCTGGAGCTATTAGCAGCTAGATACAAAACAGATTTATTTTTAGAAGCTTTATTAAGACAAGGAGGCTAAATATTTATAAAAATGATTAAAAAGAACAGAACTGTAGTACCAGTTTTCAGACGCTGGAGGGCAGCTACTCATGTTCCCCACTTGCTGCGCTGTTTCATGCCACGAGAGGGCGCTAATTCACCATTTCAAGGCAAGAAAACAGTTCTAATCCCAACACTTCTACACCAGCACCCTTCAATTGCGCGATCCCGACCAGGGGTGCGAGTGCGTAGGATGTTCCGATTCTCGAGTGCGGAAGTTAATCGCGCCCTTGATCCACACGTCACCCAAGTCTGCATCGATGCAGACTTGTGAGACTTGGGTGACATGTATAACTCACCCATTGCTGCGGGAGAACAGACTGAAGTTCATTTTCTGAACATATTTATTTTCTCTAATGAAAGTTGTTAATTTTAGGACGATTAGTTAATGCTCTAAAACTTTTAGCCAAAGCAGCAACCAATATAAAGTTCTTTCAAATAATTGTTTGAAAGTTGTTAAAGTTTTAAAAAGAAAGTATTACAGCGATCAGCATCCCGGCATGCATTGCCATCTATGACGCAATGCTCCCTGTCTCTGTCTGTCATGATTCGCCCCGGCTTCCCTGACTGCGTCGCTCCTTCCGTGATTTGCCTTATTGTTCTCACCTGCCCCTCGTTAACCCAACTTCCCCTGACTGCATCCCGGAGATCGGGGCAGGGCTAAATGTGGGCGGGGTCAAACGTTTAGAGGTGGGCGGAGACAACTATTTGACTCCTGCGTCCTGCCCCTCTCTCAATGGAACCAGGAAACCGTTATGCTATGTGTGTGTGCAATGCTGTAGCCGGGACAGAGGGAAGTAGCTGCCAAAATGGAGGAGGTAAGCTAGGATTTTCTTTCTCTGTTTTAACAATATCGAGGACCAATGTTGGGCGAATGTTTTATAAACTTGGAAATTAAAGGGTTTTTTTCCCCATTATGAGTTTTAGATGATACATATAGACTATTTTACACATGCGGGGCGACTTACTTTTGAGGAGAAATGTTTACAGGGTTCCTGCTGAGTCTTAAAAGCATTGAATTTATGAATTTGAAAGTAATACCTTTAAAAGACTGGAGAAACCCTTCAATTTTGGCATCTGGGTCTTAAAATTTGTGTTGGATGTAAGTTTTCTGTACTGCATTTTTCTTCTGAAGTTCATCAAAATATTCCAAACAAGTGGTGACATGAAAAGAAGCACTAGTATTAATAAAGGCTATTTTTAGACATTTCAATTTTGTGTCTTTACTGTTTGCACTGTTGCTTTTATACAATAGAGATACTGCAAGAAATTAGGGTAATAAAATTAACAATAATAAAAAAACGTCTTAAAATTAAACTAAAATATAGGCAATGAAAATTATTGTTAAGGTTCAAACCAGATCGGTTATATTTTTAACCATTTGTTTAAAAATATAACCGATCTTCTACCAAGTGCCCACCCAGTGTTTTGTCAAAATATATTGGTAAAGTTGTATAGATAAATGAATAAAAACTAGTTCAATAATTTTATTTTATTTACTTTTTTGCTGATAGTGCCGTGAAATAGGTATTAATTTTCTATATGGCTTTAGAAAGATCTTAAACAGACTTAAATTTAAGTTGAAGAAACCTGTAGGAACACTTTTATAGCTTTGGGGAGATATGTTGTGTGGTCATGATTACTTTTTGGTGGAAAATATATTTTACAGGGGGAAATGTTAGTTTTTTAAGCTTTTTATGTTCGTATCTGAGTTCTACACCTGATGGGCTTCATTATTATGGTTAGAGTGCTAATCTGATATGTGTAATTATATAAACGTTTTGCTCAGTCAAGCGTCAACAGAATAACATGAATGTTTTCATAGTGAATGAATGTTGTCATTGTATCACCAGGGTCTGAGGAAGACAGAGTACAGGCACGTAAAAGATGGAGAGAGGAAAGAGTAAAACAGGTGAGAGACAATTTGATTAATTCTTGTAGTTTAACTGTTGCTTGCAGACTAAAGCATAATTCCTTCACTTATTTCAGGGCCTGGAAGTGGTCCCTCCTAAGAAGTCCTGCCATACTGAATGAGTCTGTGCAGCATCAGGTATTGTTCAAACAAGTATTATTGTACACAACCCCCTAGGTTGTCGAAATGGGATGTGGGAAGATTCAAGATTCAACCTTTAGTCATATGCACAGCTAGAAAAACACGCTTTCTGCACAATGAAATTCTTACTTTGCCAAGATTAGAAAATTAAGACTGTTCCAGACAGAGCAATTTTTTTTTCAAAGCAAGTTTTTCAGTCATTTCTCTATTTTCATTAAACCAGAATACTAAGCAACTGATCTTTTTTACAACTTGCACTGTTAATATGCTTTTTATGAACCACAATCATTTCCTTTCTAGCAGAGGCTGAGAACTTGCTGGAACTGGACACAGGGAACAGAGTATGTTTTATATTGTCGGCTTTTCTTGTGTCATTGTTTCTTCAACCTTTATTTTAATTAGAGGTGTCAAATAATTCCATTACTTGCAATTAATTTTTTACAGCCATGATTAACGTGTTATATATTTTAATTATGTTAATCATTTTTAATCTACTGCTTCTTTATGGGACTTTTAAATAAACCAATTTCTTTTCTTGTTCTTGAAGGGTTGATGTAAACTCATAAGTTGAATGGTTGACGTTACAGTGACAAGACCGGTGAGAGATTAGCTGCAGCAGTGTCTACTTCAGCGACCTTGTTATCTTTACTCCGTTTTTTTCACCCTTCTTGCAACTTTTTCCAAAGTTATTGTTACCATTTGGATGTAATGGGTGTGTCACTGAGCATCAAGGCTGCTGACAGCTTCTCTCCCGTATCAGACGCACATCCGTGCTGCAGTTTGGAAAGACCACAGCATCAGCTGTTTGGCTAGCTGTTAGCATTGAAAATAAGGCTTATATTATGTACAGTTATTAGATGAAATTAAAAGATTAGATTACTTGCAGATCATACATAATTAATGTAAAATATGTTTTTAATCTCTTGACAGCAGTAATTTTAATATTGTCTTTATTTTTGATTAGGAGAATTCTCTGCTTGAGGACACCTTTGAGGCAGCAAGGTGGTGTACCACAAGGTCCTTCAAAAGAAGCCTTTCCCTTCCCCAGGTCATCACCAGGGAAGCTTGCCGGAGGGCAGTGGAGAGGTTAGGCTTCTGTGATGGCCTGGATGAAGAGGAGATGAACGATTGCAGGGAACCGTTCCTGTTCATGTTTAGTTTTCAGTCAGACTATGAGGAGTTCTGCAGAGAAATTGAGGAAAAAAGGAAGATGAAGATGTTTTCTGGTTTTGAAATGCCATAGTACAGCGGTGTCACAGTTTTTGCATTCTTTTTCCTCTTCACATTGTTTTTTTTGGAGGTTCTCTTGTTTTTTTTTTTTTGTGTGTGCTTTTTGGTTCATTTGTACTTTTTTTTTATTCCTGTGTTGGCTGTTTGCTCTATTAAATTTACCTTTTTTGAAAAATGTAGTCTGCATTCTTGGGTGTCTCACACAATGTCTCACCACCCCGCCTCAAACCCTGGCATGTTTTAAGAAGTATCAGCTCAATTTAAGTCTCTGTTCCTCTTAATGTAGCTGATATAACTGAGTGTACAACAAATTTACCCGTGTCTGTCTATACTGTTTTACACTCACTTGGGAAATGACTATTAAAATAAAGGCAGCATTGATAAAATCAACTATTAAAATGGTTTTGACAGGTTTAAAGAATAGTCTATCAAATGCCTGAACCTTTTATATAGGTACCAAAAGTATAGCTAAAAGACACAAATACCTATGTGCTATAAATACACATACCATACAAAAGTAGAAAAAAAGAATAAAAATATCAGAACAGATTGGATCAAAAATGGCGCCTGTAATTATCTGCTCTTTAAAATTATCATGACATCTAGCAAACAAGTCATTTGATTACCAATGTTATGCTTTACATGGGTTTTGTGGGTTTTTAGGGCTTTCTAATCCTTAGAAAGGGGCTACTCGCAGTTTCCTGGTTCCATTGAGAGAGGGGCAGGAGTCAAATAGTTGTCTCCACCCACCTCTAAACGTTTAACCCCGCCCACATTTAGCCCCGCCCCGATCTCCGGGGTGCAGCCAGGGGCTACTCCGTTAACCTGCCCATGTGTTCCCTGATTGTTCTGTGTATTTATACCTCCCTCTTTGTTCTTGTCGTGGTCGGATCATTGCGTTGTCTTCGTTGTGTTCGTGGCTGTGCTGCTACCATTAAATCCATTTTTATTTTTTCATCCGTGCCTGCTCTCTCCTGAACCCTCCACCACACATGGTCCATCACCTCCACTCAACATGACAGTCTCAATTCAACAATTATTTGCTCACTTGTGTAACACGCACTCGAAGCCTTACTGTGCACTTTGCTCAAGTCTGCAGGGTGCAGTGCGAGTATTGGGATTGGGCCATATGTTTGGTAGAATTTAAAGGAAGTGTCTCTACTAAAGATCTTATTTTAACTTTATAAATCCAGCATCTACTTGTTTTATTCCTCCTCCTTCTCTTCCATAATATAAATATTCCCAAGAGGACAAGAAATATTAGGATGTTTCTAAGGCTTCATAAAGATAAGGAGGCTAAACTATTCTGTTCTAATAAGCTTAAAAAAACAAAAAAGTAGTACCTGCTTTCAGACACCAGAAGGCAGCAACTACCCATCTTCGCTTCTTTTCTAAATGCTGTTGGAAATCAGAGTGTCGTTCTATTTCATGCCAGTGGAGGGTGCAAATTCCTAGTTATTTTCAAGGTAACAAAATCTCTCTCTCTCTCTCTCTCTCTCTCTCTCTCTCTCTCTCTCTCTCTCTCTCTCTCTCTCTCTCTCTCTCTCTCTCTCTCTCTCTCTCTCTCTCTCTCTCTCTCTCTCTCTCTCTCTCTCTCTCTCTCTGTATATAAGGAAAATAAACAAAATAAACTGTGATAAAACAAAGACTCAGAACTCAGTCCATGTATATATATATATATATATATATATAGACTCGAACGCAAAACATTCAGTTTCCTTTCTGATCATTTATTAAAATAGTTTTTTTTTACAATAGTACAATAATATCACGAAGTTCAGTTCAGTTCAGTTCAGTTCACTTTATTTCAAACATATACATTCACCAACATTTCATAAAATCATTCCACGCACGGCACAATTAACAAACCCTAAGGAGGAAAAAAAAAGCAACACGCAGCAATGGCCATGTTGGAGATGAGCTGGTTCTGCGCTGATTAGATCACCGGTGATCGGCGCGCAGTGCTTGCCGGTTAGCTTTGTGGCCGACATGCTCTGACGTCATGCATACGTAGGCAACAACAACAAGGCGACCGAAGATTTTGGAGCAAGGCGCTGCAGTTGCTCTCCACCGGCTGCAAAACCTAGGGCATGGCGGGAAACGCCTGGCTCTCACCTGATCTAAGATCTGATTGGTTCACATTTTGATCCAAGCATCCTGTGGTTGAATGCAAAATGTTGGTCACATGTATTCTGTAAATCATGCAACGTTGATGATGATAACTATATGGGCCATAAAGAGAAATGTGATTTGTGTTCTTTTGTCACGTTTCCTATGAGCACACTAAAGCTACAGCTGAGAACCTTTACTTATTATTACAGTCAGGTCTCCATATACAATAGATGATATCCACAAGCGCGTAAGGTTGTGTTTCGGTTGCTAACAGGCACCAGAATTAAAATGAATAATTAAACAATTATGAACTCTAACGCGACATCTTCATTCATCGTCATCCGCGAGCTACACATGTAGGGAAATCTGTCCGACTAGGTTGGTTTATGCTTAAACGCCGACTTTCAGCCTCTCCCCCTGCTGCGTCCGTCGGCTCTCGTCTGTTTTCCAGGCGAGGCGCTGCTCAACTCGAACAAGCCCAATTTGCCATTGAGATGTGACGTCATTAACCGCGGACTGTCGCTGGTGAATTGACGAGTAGAACGTGTTCGCCATAATGATAATAAACCGTGAACACAAAGCTACAAGAAGGCCCATTAAATGGTTCCTGTGAAACGGTAATAGATGCGCTGATATTTACCAAACGTCATTCAAGTCAGGACTCGTCTGGCTGGACTGAAATCTCAGTTTATCTGAGAAAAGGAAGCAAGACCTAAGAGGAAAACGAGGTAAAGTTAGCATGCTGACTAACTAGCTAGGCTCACCCGAGCAGTTTCTAGCTAGTTTTCAGAGCCGTGTTCTATGTGCAGGCAGGTTTACTGAGCCGAAACTGCACACTAAGTTTTAAACTGCAGAATAATTCTGAGCTAAGGTAAACAACTGCACTTGAAGCTAAAAGTGGCGACTTTAAGGAGTAGTGTGTGTGCAATAGTGAGGCTAGCTTCTTGTTTAGCCACTCACCAAGAAAAACATCGCAACAGGCAGAAAGCATCAGCTAGCGGAGTTTTCCTGTTGCAACTAAATATCAACTATTACTACCTGATTATTTGTGATAATCATGTTTATTTAGCTTTTCGGTACGATTAAATAAACCAAGCGTTATGCAAAAATAGTTTATCCAGTGCGCTAACTTGAGCGTAACTTTGACAGTTGAGTTCCCCAGAGAACATCTGCACCTGCAGCGGTTTGAGTCAATAAGCTTCTCATCAGGGCTACAAAACTGGAAACGATTTCCGCTCAATTGTTTTTGTTATTTTTATCATTAACCCACGACAACGCACATTCCACCCATCACAGCCCTTTCCCAGTTAATCTAATTTAGTTAATATCCATATGAGCTATCGTGGAACGCAACAAAACAGCTGTGACGATAATTAATAAATCAATAAATCATGATAGATGAAAAGGAACTCAATAATTTTTCCAGCCTCAGTATATCGAGGATAAGATATGTTCAACTCTACTATTAATATTTATCATTATTGAAATGCAGTATTGGTTGTTGATGACACTGGATATTGTATTTATTGTTTTGGAAAGATGAGGTTTATTTTATTTTTGGTGCAAGCTTTTCTAACCGAGTGAGAGTCCCTTAAAAATGTTTTTGTTTTATTTATTTGAAGTTCTGGTTCGTGACATTCCAATGTTAAAAGTTTACTTTTGGCATTTTAAATGGTGTACTTGCATTATTATGATATGTTAACATTACGTATGTGGTCATTTTGGTCTCAATAATGTCGACAATAATATCGTTTATCGTCAATAATTTGTTGGACAATAAACCATCGAGCAAAATTTGTTATCGTCCCAGGCCTACAGATGCAGAATTGTAAGAACCAACTGAACATCCTAGAAATCACACTAACCTGTGTTGTCTCCAGAGCCAGGGATACTTAAAGTCCTAGAGAGCAGAAGCTACAAGCAAGGAATAAAAACTAAATTATGCTAAACTGTAATTGAAATCTTTATAGAGGAAAGTAAATTAGGCAAGCTCAATGTGTAACGGGAGGTCCTACCTAGGTGATTACCAATTTAACGTTGTGGTAGTTTTAGTTTCTTTTGATGTTAAAAGATAAACGTTTGAAGCATAGAAACAACAAAGACATCAAACCTCTGACTGAAAACCAGAGTCAGGAAAAAAGCTGATGGAAGAAACTGGCATCTACTGTTTAGGCATGCTGTATGGAACACTTGCCTATAAGCAACTAAATGTGATAACCCTAAAAAACCTAACCCTGTCATCCTGTCAGCCCGTGCCATGGCATCAGCATCTGCCACTGTAGACTCAAAGGCAGAGCTGACTTCTCTGCTGGAACAATGGGAGAAAGAGCAGCAAAGCAACACACAGGAGCTGGTCAACATCCTCACAAAGTAAGAAGGCATGCTAACGGATTACTGGGTTTCAGATCATTCCAGGAGTGCAGAAGGGTTTAATATGTTGATGTGTTTCAGAATCTCAGAGTTGGTTGAAAAGGAGACCGAGGAGTACCACAAAGCAGACCCTGACCCTTTTGATGATCGACATCCTGGTAGAAAAAAAACACAAGCAGCTTAATTTCATCCTGTAGCAGATTTCTTATTATAATGCTTGATGTTTCCTTCCTGACCACTAGGGAGAGCTGATCCAGAGTGTGTGTTGGGGCATCTCCTGAAGATCTTGTTCAAAAATGATGACTTCATGAACACAGTAAAAATAAAAAGACTGATTTAGAAAAAAACAACTAAAAATACAGTTTAGTCAGAAAATCTTGAAAATGAATACATCTTTTTTCTGTTGTAGTTGGTGAACAGCTATGTGATGACCAGCAGAGAATTCTCCTTAAACGCAGCAGCTTGTCGTTTGCTGCAGAACATCATGCCTGGATTGGAGACGGCTGTGGTTTTTCAAGAAAAAGTAGGTTGTTAGTCCTAATCTCCATGATGCATTTCCTACATTCAACTTGTTATTTTACCATGTCAGTAACCTTAGTTATCAAATATCACAGTGTCAGTATTAAGATTGATTTAAAAAACGCAGATTATTCTGTATATTTTTTAGCTTTAAAGTGACACACTTGCTTAAAAAGGTGTTGCCTTTAACTTTTATTCATTTAAGTAGATCAAATGACCAACTCTGATCAGACAAAGTGCTTTTTTCTTTGTGATGATTTATAAATTGCTGATGTTCTCATCATGTTTATATATTCTTCACCACTCTGATTTGCTCTTCTCAGGAGGGAATAGTTGAAAGGCTGTTTAAGTGGGCGCAGGAGGCTGAGCAGCCTCTGAGAATCTATGCCACCGGCTTGTTGGCAGGCGCCATGGAGAACCAGGACATTGCTGCGAACTACAGAGAAGAAAACTCAGTTCTGGTCTGTAGTTGTATTTTATTCTGATATTAATTTGTATCGGTGAAGACCACAGAAGTTTATAATGGTAGAAAAAAGCTTTACTGGTTATATCTAGTGTTTCCAAAAGCAGCAAGTGATGCAAGCTTAGTTTTCCTTGTCTAACTTTGACAGGTGCCTTTGATGCTGCATCGGTTGCGTGAGCTTCAGGATAAAGACGCCGAGAACAAAAGGGAGACCAAACGACCGAGCCCCAGAAAGACTCCTAGTGAGCCTCTGTTACCTTTAGATGAAGAGACTATTGATGGAGGCTTTGAAGAGAAACCCTTCACACCGAGCAGACTTGGGACTGAAAAAGAAGCAACGAGTCAGCAGGACGATGCTGAAATTCCCTTCTCCTCCATTGAGCCTGAGAACGAGCTCTCGTTCCGTTTCAGCTCGCCTGACAAGACGAGCAGTCGTGCCAACTCGGGTGTTAAAACCATGATGAAGCCCATGTCTGCCCCAGGGTCGCTTACCCATCCGGGCCTGTCTGATGGTAGCAGCTACCTGAGGAGGAGGGTAGAGAGGGATATTGCCAGGATTTCAAAACAGAAGCTGAATTTTTCTTTGCCTGAACCAGAGAGGACCTTTAGTGAGCTTTCCAACAGCAGCTGGTCAGAGATGAGCCCCTGGGTGATCGGCAACAACTATCATCTGTACCCTTTGACCCCAGAGATAGAGCAGAGACTCATTCTGCAGTATCTCACCCCACTGGGGGAGTATCAGGAGGTTGGTCCCTTTAAATCATAATTATCAAAAAGCAAAATATTCATTCTGCAGCTTTTTTGACCCTTTCAGTGTAAGTTTAAGGCTTAAACAGCCAAACTTAAGGATTTATAGATGTGATTGTTGCTGTAGAGTATAATATTATTGTTCAGCCCTTCGCTCCACGTGATGCTGCAAACCTACCAGTGGGTGTCAGTATTCTATAGTGAAGACTACGTAAAGAAAGCTTTTAAACTCTTTTGAAGGATGCTTAATTTGCAAAGCCAGTCGTGACGTGTCGTTCATAAATCCTCACATTTAGCCACCCAGAAATTTTTAAAACAAACATTTGTTCCTCCTCTCTTCCTGTTGCTGTCTACAGCTACTTGCTGTGTTTATGCAAATGGGAGCTCGTGAGCTACTCATGCACTATATGGATCTAAAGCGGACCAATGATGTACAGCTGACGTTTGAGGCTCTTAAGGTAAACCCACGTTTCTCTCCTTATGCTAAAAACAGTAAAAAAACATCCTCATGTTTGTTTTTCTTTTCCTTTTTTCTTTACAGTATTTGGCTTCACTGCTTTTGCACAAGAAGTTTGCTGCAGAGTTTGTTGCTCATGGAGGAGTTCAGAAGCTGCTGGAAATCCCAAGGCCTTCAATGGCGGCTACTGGAGTGTCACTGTGCCTCTATTACCTTGCCTATAACCAGGACGCCATGGAAAGGGTACGACAGATCCCTCCTTTGCCTTTAGAAAGGTTTCTGATAACAAATAACACCTAAATGTTTTCTGGAGCAATAGATTAATCCTTTCCCTCATTATGGGATGTCACCTCTGTAGGTTGAGCTACTTCCCACAGATGCTGTCAGACTTTATCACACAGGGCTCTGGTGGGTTTTGAGGCCAACTGGACATTTTCTGATGCTCGTCTTCTTTGAGTCATCTCTTGTCAGTCTCTGCAGAGCCCACTGCTGTCCTGGTGGAAGCAGGCTGCTGTAGGAAAGCGCTGTTGCCATGTGGGGGTGTAACTGCTCTGCAGACATTTTTAGGCAGGCAGGGGGGTGTTAAAATAACAGTCGTGTGCATGCTAGGATGCAGGATTGCAGACCGAATGTTGCATTGTAAATGAGATTGTTTTGTTACAGCTGAGCAGCAATAATAATAATAATAATAACATATTTTATTTAAAAGTGCCTTTCTGGTCACTCAAGGACACTGTACAGAATAAAAACACATCATTCAGTAAGTAAACATACGTAAACATGAACAAACAAGGCACTCTAAAATTCAAAGCTGATATGTGGTTATGAAGAGGTGAGTTTTGAGTTGTTTATTGAATTCTGTGAATGAGTTCATGTTCTTGATGAGAAACATACCTCTTAATTATTCTAAAACCAGCTATGAGACATAAATGATGTTAGACTACTTACCCAGTTACTCTTGCTTGTGTTTATTCTTTTCTATTTTCTGAAGGTGTGTATGTTGCCCCACTCTGTGCTGTCAGACGTGGTTGGTTACACACTGTGGTTGCTGGAGTGCTCACACGCGTCGGGCTGCTGCCATGCCACCATGTTCTTCTCCATCTCGTTTTCCTTTCGGGTCATTCTGGAGCTTTTCGACAAGCAGGACGGTCTCCGGCGGCTCGTCAATCTGGTAAGGCGAGCCATCCTGGCTGTGTTAAACTAATCAAATCTAGAAAGTCCTCCAAAACAGATCAGAATCTCTTCAAACTACTTCATGTTGATGGTTTCTTATGAACTGGCTGTTCTCAGATCAGCACACTGGAGATCCTGAATCCTGAGGACCAGGGAGCACTGCTGAGTGATGATGAGATTTTCTCCAGCAGGCAGAGAGCCAAGCACACCTGCATGGCTCTGCGTAGATATTTTGAGGCCCATCTGGCAATCAAGGTGGAGCAGGTGAAGCAGTCACTGCAGCGCACAGAGGGGGGTGCTCCCATTCACTCACAGCCATACTACAAGGTGCACAGATGTTTAAAGATGGACTTGCATCATTGAAGATTCATGTTTATTTAGTTGCATTATCCTTCATGCGTTATTTCTTCTTTGCCCTGGTCTTCCTGATCAGGCTGTCAGCTTTAGTCGTGAGCAGGTGGTGGAGATGATGGAGTTTCTGATAGCGTACGGTCTGAGGCTTTATTGGGAACCAGCAGAGCTTTTCCACAAGTTGTCTTGTGTCCAGCTGCTCCTGCAGCTCATCTCTATTGCCTGTGACTGGAGAACCTACTATGGCAGGTACTGACTGAGTTTCCGTGTTTAGATGTAGAGTGGTCTGTGGCATTGTGATGAGCATCTTTGCTTCCTGCAGGGGCGACACGGTCCGTTACGCCCTTGACATACTGAGTATCCTGACGGTCGTTCCAAAGACACAATTGTTGTTGTCTGAACCGGTCGCTGTGCTCGACGAGGGAGGATCCACTGTCTCCACTGTTGGTGGGTCTTCTCACAGAGCAACAAGCTCAGTCTTCGTATTTCATCTAACTGTAATTCATGCCGTTTGTCCCGTTATTATTGTTTAGGATTTGTGTGGATTAGTTGACTCTTCTCCTTTTCTTTCAGGGATGAGCATAGTGCTGGCTGTGGCAGAGGGAGAGGTGTTTGTGAATGATGCTGAGATTCAGAAGTCAGCTCTGCAGGTTGTTATTAACTGCGTTTGCGCGCCAGACAAGCGCATGTCCAGCATTGGCAAGTTTACTGCAGGGACCCCCCGCCGGCGCCTGCCACAGCAAACCAAAGCCAACGAGAGTGTGCTCACCAAGATGTGGAACGTAGTGCAGTCGAACAACGGCATCAAGGTAGTTCTAACGCAAACCACTCAGCTCATTAAACTGTTGATGTAATTACAATAGAAGGTAATAATCTCCTGTTTCTGGTCTTCCTGGGTGTTTAGTTGGAGCACATGCTGACTCACATGTTCATAGAGGCTAAATGTGCTGATCGGCTTTGACTCCTTACACACGATTCTGACACTTTTGACTCTTTTAACTTGTCTGGAATTCATCCTCATTGAAAAGCTGCTTTTCCCCCCAGAAATGCTCTCAGTTTTCTGAGTCTTTGTTTTAAACTGTCCTCCAGGTGCTGCTCTCCCTGCTGACTGTGAAGATGCCCATTACAGATGCAGATCAGATCCGGGCTCTTGCCTGTAAAGCTCTGGTGGGTCTGTCTCGCTCCAGCTCTGTCAGACAAATCATCAGCAAGCTGCCGTTGTTCAGCAGCGGACACATCCAGCAGCTCATGAAGGAGCCTGTGCTCCAGGACAAACGCAGCGAGCATGTCAAGTTCTGTAAGTTTGCTGCCGAGCTGATGGAAAGGATCTCTGGGAAGCCGTTGCTGATTGGTACAGACGTGTCTCTGGCGTGGCTGCAACGGGCCAGTGTGGTTGCTCAGTCAAAGATCACCTTCCCTGAGAAGGAGCTGCTGCTGCTCATTAGGAACCACCTTGTGGCCAAAGGCCTGCATGACACGGCAGTAACTCTCACCAAAGAGGCCGATCTCCCCATGGCGTGCCTGTCCCATTCTTCACATTTACCTACAGCCTTCCCTTCTGTTGCTCCGCCCCCTTCCGCTTCTTCTGTTGCCACACTTCCTCGCACTCCACGGCTGGCCAGTGGTGTAGCATCAAGACTTGGTAGTCATCCCTCTCACTCATCCACCTCAGGACTCGGCCATCTGCAACCTCGCCCCTCCACGTCACAGCCAGCTGCTGCTGCTGCTACCAGCGCGACCCCATCAACATCTGTCCCCCATTGTAACAGCGGCTCTCCATTGATCGGACGCATCGTTTTCTCTCGTGAGCGACAAATGGAGTGCAGTACAGCTCACTGCAAGAAGTCCCGCGTGCTCCGACAGAAGTCTGACCACGGGGCTTTCAGCCAGAGTCCAGCCATGAAGAAGCAGTTTGACAGACATTTGCCTTCCCCGCCTGCACTAGACAGCATCATCACAGAGTACCTAAGGGAGCAGCACGCTCGCTGTAAGAACCCAGTCGCAACCTGCCCCCCCTTCTCTCTCTTCACCCCTCATCAATGTCCCGAACCCAAACAGAGACGGCAGGCACCCATCAATTTTACATCCCGGCATTCACGAAGAGTCATTTATCCAAAATATGGTGGCGTGGATGGGGGATGCTTTGACAGACACTTAATCTTCAGCAGGTTGGCAATTTTATTTCTTTTATGTTTTCTTTCCATCAGCCTTTTTCTTTTTTAAATTTTCCAACCATTTCTCTGTCCAGGTTTCGTCCCATCTCTGTGTTCAGGCAGCCCGAAGAGGACGAGAGCGGATTCATGTGTTGTGCCTTCTCGGCTCGCGAACGCTTCCTGATGCTCGGAACGTGTACGGGGCAGCTGAAGCTCTACAATGTGTTCACAGGCCAGGAGGAGGCCAGCTACAGCTGTCACACCTCAGCAATCACTCACCTGGAGCCCTCGCGGGTCTGTAGAGTGACGTGTGATGAGTTGTTTTCTATAAAACATCACGAAACACATTTTTTTGTACTAAAAATATTCCTCTCATTTATGTTTTTAGGATGGTTCCCTGCTTTTAACGTCAGCCTCCTGGAGTTACCCCCTGTCTGCTCTGTGGGGCATGAAATCCGTGTTCATCATGAAGTGAGTGATGTTTTTATCAACTACATGTAACAAACTTAGAAAAATAAAATAGTTTTTATCTCAGTTGAGTTTGAAGTTTAAGGTGCCAGTATCCTCTCCTATTAACTTAAATGTAAAAATAAGCATCACTCAGGTCCATCTTTGTCAGAATTATGAAGAGCCACAGATGTTTTCATGGTGCTGCGTGACCTAAAGGTCCCTGTTTTATCTTTCTTAGCTTCTCCATGTTGCACTTGTTGTTTTCAGGCATTCCTTTCTGGGTGACCATTATGTGGAGTTCAGTAAGCTTTCACAAGACCGCGTCATTGGCACTAAGGAACACTTGGCACGGGTGTGTATGATTTGTTTATGTTTGCTAACGTTGTAGGATAATGATGCTGAAGCTTCCTGCTTCTCTTTGTCAGATTTATGATATCCAGACGGGTCAGGTTACTCTGACCCTCAACAACCCAGACCTGGCTAACAACTACAAGAGGAACTGTGCCACCTTCAACCCAACAGACGACCTGGTGCTGAACGACGGCGTGCTGTGGGACGTTCGCACGGCTCAGGCCATCCACAAGTTCGACAAGTTCAACATGAACATCAGCGGGGTCTTTCACCCCAACGGCCTGGAGGTCATCATCAACACAGAAATCGTATCCTTTTGAAATTCCCTACTTTATTTTTTAGCTTCTCGACTCGTGGTGAAAAACCCACATTTTGACTTTGCACACATGCTGAATTATTTTGAGCAGAGTAGCTGGACGTGTGTACTTGACCATTTGTTGAAGAAAGTTTAAAGGGCCATTTAAAACTGCATAATGATGCTTATGGGTGCCCGTTTGCCAGTGGAGACGTATATTAATCAGCTTTAAAGTTGCTCCAGTGGTGAGATAACCAATTAGGTGTTCTGCTTCACTTGTAAACATTAAATATTTATTCCACTGAAAATCGGTTTATTCCCCAGAGGAGTCTTGTGATTGTTGTTTAGTGGAGTTGAACTGGAAGCGGATGTTTTGTTGCTTAACTGTAAATCTCAGTGGGATCTTCGGACCTTCCACCTCCTCCACACGGTCCCCGCTCTGGACCAGTGCAGAATAGTGTTCAACAACAGCGGCACCGTCATCTACGGAGGTAAACACACGAGTCGCTGGATCGTGGGGGGTTGAGTGCACTTGGCCTCCAGCCCACAACTCGATTCGGTCAACCCGAGTGTGTGAATAGTGTGTTTTAATGAAAGGCTGGTAATTATCAAGCAAAGTGAGCGTGTGTTTATTTATAGATAGGTGTGAACAGAGCCTGTAGAGGTGTGTTTGCATGCCCCTGGCACCAGAGCTAGGGCCAAAAGGACAGAAGGCTGCATGTTGGACACTCACTCACACACACTCACTCACACACACACTCACTCACTCACACACACACACACACACACACACACACACACACACACACACACACACACACACACACACACACACACACGCACACTCACACTCACGGGCGATGGAGTGGTTGAACCTTTCAGCCACTCAAAAGCAGAACCACCTTCTCCATTCTGCTGTGCTCAGCTGTCATTTACTTGTTCCTCTTGGCTGTTTTTGCAGCAATGCTGCAAGCTGATGACGAAGACAACATGATGGAAATGCAGATGAAGAGTCCGTTTGGTTCATCCTTTAGGACCTTCAATGCCACCGATTATAAACCCATCGGTAAGGCTTTTTATGCTCAACTGGCTTTGGCTGATTGCTCCTAAGGGGTTTAATAATCAAACGCTTGAAGAAGTATTTTTATATTTTAAGATGTAATCGTACATAATCACCTTGTTATCACGTTTTAATAAATCATGATGGTTTTTTTTCCCTTTTACAGCTACGATCGATGTCAAGAGGAATATTTTTGACCTTTGCACAGACACTAAAGACTGCTACCTGGCTGTCATCGAGGTGAATTCTCATTAATCACTCTACATGCATAAGATACTCGGGTCTAGTTTAAAATCTTTTCCTTATTCGTCCTGTAGAACCAAGACTCGGCCAACACAGACACCGTGTGTCGGCTCTATGAAGTTGGCCGACAGAGACTGGCAGAGGAAGAGGAGGAAGATGAAGAGGATCAGGTCTTCACTTTTTTTTCTCTTTTTTTATTCGGATAAATGATCAACTTTTGGGCTTCGGTTTGCAGAACCGAGACGTTTTGTATTAAATGTTTTGTGTGTGTTGCAGGAGGATGACGAGCAGGAGGAAGATGACGATGATGACGATGATTCTGATGATGACGTTGACACAGATCCTCTTATTGCTGAACTTGAAAACGAGAACGGCGGCGAGGATGAAGATGACGAAGATGAAGACGATGGTGTTGAAGAATTCTCCCCCTCCGATGAGGAAGTGGCTCGTCTCCTGGAAGATGACGGGGACGCTGGGGATGATGACGACGAAGACGATGATGACGACAACGATGATGATGATTCTGATAATGAGGATGTGGATCTGGAAGGCGACAATGGTGAGGAGGCTGGAGTTTGTTTATGCACGTTTAGTTTGTTTGTCCCTGATGGAGAGGATCCGTTGCCAGGGTAACCAGACCAGCTGTTTAGTAATAACTTTCACAATGTCGTCACTCAGAATCTCCATTTCCCACCAATGCTTCCTCCGTTTTTGGTAACTCCATTCTTATTATTTGGGCAGCAGAAACTGACATTTAAACATTTCTATAAAATTTACTTGCAAATTTAAAAGATTTAAAATCTGGAAAATTACTTCAAATTATTTCCTAATCGGGGAAAGAAAATAAAAAGTGCAGAAATGTAAAACCTGCATCTGAATTTGAGTCGTTTCATACTTGAAATAATGGGAATGAGAGGTATGCAGAAACCCCACACCCCGTTACTCTTCAGTTTCAGCTGGAGTGGGGGCGGATAATCCACTTTTTCTTTCTGCTTTCTGCTGCCGGTGTGATGGTTGAGAACAGGATTCATTTAAAAGTTGTCAAAAGAACTTCTCAGCGTTGGGTCCAGAGGAGCCCGAGGAAGCCTTGGTGGCTTAAAGATTACCTCTCTGCATTTTTATTGGGTTATTTCAACAATAAAGGGTAAAAGGAAACCCGCCCATCACGCTTTGATGCTACACATGAGGTGTTGCAGAGGTGTGACTTTGGTGGATCAATGTGGAGAAACCATTTATTCCTGACCCCAGAACAGCTTTAGGTATATGTCGACTTATTCCTTTTGAGATGTTGATATCTGACTTTAGGTATCTGCTGACCAGAAATATTTTCATCCAAATGCATTTGACCTAACCAACATATTAACATGTTTTCTTGGCAGTAAGAGCTGTTTGGCATCAATCTAACAGCAGCCTGCGCTTGTCTTTCCAAACAAAGCACACAAAAATAAACTTGCCTCAGAGTTTTCCAACAGGCAGCTAACATTTCAAAATAAAAGCATAAAGGCTGAAAGCTCAAAAGAATACAGAATATAATTAGTTTAGCTGTCCTGTTGTCTGCTGAACGACCACATCTGTAGGCTGCCAGTGTTGCGTTGCTGAATTTTATTACTGGTTAAAACTGAACCAGCCCATCACAACTCCCACCTCTCTAAACCTCTGAATTATCATGACTCGTTGGTCATGCAACTCTAGTTAACCCTAAAACATCTCCTTAATGGGACGTGTTGTTCAGTCTGCAGGTTACAGCAAACGGCTCCTACTGTTTGTCTAAACCTACAGAAATCTGTCCAAAATAGCCATTTGTAATATAGATGAGACTAATGTAAAGATTTAATGTAATTATAAAAGATTATATTTTTCTGAAATGTATTGATTGCAGGTGTTTATTTTATATAACGCCATAGATCAGAGTTTAAATAACCTTGGCTGAATGAGGCTGATCCTTTTTACAAGGTCAGTTCACCCTAACAATACATAAATCTGTAATTAATGGATAAGATGTTTTATGTGGTACAAATGTGCCTTTTCCGTATTTTCATGCTTGTTTTGGTCACTTAGGCATTTAAAAAACTGCTGTGCAAGTTTATTTTAGGAGCTGACATATAAAACCAAAATTTGTGAAGGGGGTGTGTGTGTGTGTGTGTGTGTGTGTGTGTGTGTGTGTGTAGCAACTAGGGCTTCCTGTTTTTGCCATTTTGGCACTTTCTCTCCTCTCCCTCTGACCCACTCAGCAGAAAATCTAAATTCCCAAACTTCTGAATCTGTTCATCTTTCACCCAAACAGACAGCTCGGACAACTCTGACCTTGAGGATGACATCATCTTATCCCTGAATGAGTGAGGAGGTGGGGGGGGGGCAGGCTGCCAGCATCTAGGACTCAGGATTCAGACAACTGGTCACGACTCCTGCCTCACAGATGTTAAAGCTGCAGAGGAACAGGAGCGACAAGGAAAGTATGCTGAAGGAGCCTTGGAGTACTGCCATTTTGAAACAGTAGGTGTCTGAACTTTTAGTGACAGTGAGTGAGTGTAAAAATAAAAAGATTGTATGAGATATAATTTTATAAAAGAAATGTGAGTTTGAGTGAGATAAGTTGTGTGTAGATATGATGAAAAAAACATTTTCTTTTAGTTTTTCTCCTTAAAGAATCGTTTCATTTAAGATTGACTTTCTTGAAAAGCCTCTGTCCAGTCAGATTACCCTTTGTTAGAGAAAAGATTTTCATTCTGAGGATTGTTAGTGTTGCTGAGAAAACAAGGCTCCTAAATGCTAAATATTCCCCAAAAGGACTCAAGTGTTGGTCCAGCAGCTACGGTAATGCACCAGCACATTGCTGATGGTTTGTCAGGTTTCTAAGCCCACCTTTTAGTTATTCTTTTAACATAAATTGTTGACCAAAGCTCAGCTTGCAAAAGCACCATTTCAACGTCATGGTTACATAAAAATAACTCTTATGGAAACGAACAAAAAATGTGAGCCCACAGTCGCCCAGCTCACATACAGCAGCCTCAACAGCCTCTTTGTTCCTCTTTTAAAGCTGTGCATTTCATCTCAGTCACTAGTTCGTTTAAAGACTGATTTAAACTTTTCTTGTTACGTTTAAAAAATCAAAAACAAAAGTCTGGTCAAATTCAGGAAAGAAAGGTAAGTGTGCATTTCCACTGATGGGAAACCCAAGATTGTTGTTGTGAAAACAAGAGCCTGCACACGCACACCTTTTGTGCAATTAAAATGTCAAGAATATTCCTGTTTTTGACTTTTGTCCATGGAATGGCTTTGTTCCTTTCCCATTTATAAAACAATTTATGTAGAATTTTTGGAAAAAGTTTATGTACAGGTTGTATGTATTGAAAGTATTTTTACTATAAATAAAAGTTGGAAACTTTGTTTTCAGTGTTTTTTTTTAATTAAATGTGTTTGCTGTGTCTGCTGGTAAATAAAGTGCTTTTAAGTCTTTAAAGGAAAATGACAAATACCACACATAAACCTGTTTTCAAATAAAAATACAACAGAAGGGACCTTAAAGAACATTTAGAGCTGAGGTTTGTTTTTAAGGTTTACATAGTGGATGTTAGTTCAATAATTCAATATATCTATTGATAGACATGTGGTGTGATAGATTAAAAAAAGTTTCCTTTTTTCATTATAACCTATCGGGACTCACTACTTACTCCTAACCAATCAAAATCACAGACTCGCTACTTCACCAGGCCCTCCTCTTCTCAAGCCAAAACAGCATGAGCAAGATGTCTGCCAGAAGAAGCGGAGAAAAAATAAAGATAGCAAAAATAAAATGGCCAGGGTTGCTCGTAAAATATATTTCAATAATTATCGATGTAGATCAGTATTACAAAATGTTATCGATATACATTTTTTCTGTAGTGTCCAGCCCTAATACATAGTCATATTTTAAGTAACTTGTTTAGTTAGGTTATCTTGTTTTAGCGCTTTAGTGATCACATTGGTGTTTAGGAAGCATGAAAGGAGAGTTTCAATGACTGCGTTTGTGGTCAAAAAGAAGAGAAATAACATCTCAAATATACAAGACAGGGAAGTTTCGTTTGTTTTTCAGGTCACTGTAAAGACTATAGTTGATAGAATTTTTCAACTGGTAAAATTTTTTGATTTGAGCAAACAGATTGGGATACCTCAGGGTTGTGTAAGCAGCCCATTTTTTTGCTTTAACCTGGTTTGCATCGCTGTCTGGTGAAAGGAGGTCAACTGAACTATTTTAGCCTTTGGGCTAACAACTGACTGGTAAAAACAAGCACAAAGTTATATATTCACTTTTTTGATTTAACAGATGATATTGTACACCCCCATACTACGACTCCCAGCAGCAGGAAATCTAGAATTGTCTCAGTTTTGACACATCTTACATTTAAATTGGATAAATACTTCTCAATACAAAGCAAATTATTCAGAACTGAAACACGTGAGCTTTTCATTTCTGAGGAGATGTCTGCAGGTTTATTTCCTCTATGATGATTTGAACTTCTTTCATCAAAATGCCTCAGTAAGGAGACTTATGGAGACCTTCATAATCTGCAGACGGTTAATAATCAAAAAATTAATATAGATAAAATACATTTCCTGAAACAGTATGGTACGCCGTTGGCTCATGCAGCATGGTTTATTTTAAAGTGGCTGCAGTAGTTAATAGATGAGGTGGTACAACATGCAGCTTGCTGTCCACTGCTCCTGGTGAGCATAGGGATTGTAATCCATGTTTTTGTGTGGATATTCTGAAAAGAAGCTGAACAGCATCAGCTTTTTAAAAACATACTGTCATAGATAACACGCTATAATTATCTTCTTTGTGCCACAGATTTACCATTTGCAAGCAGCAGTTTCACTTTAGCACATTTTCTTCCATCATGATGGAGGCTTGTAATTTGTTACATAATGTATTTTTCAAAAATGTTTATTATCTGGGATGCATATTTAGCTTATAAAACGCCCCATTCTCTCCCTGCTTTATGCATTTGATTGGAACACCGCCCACCATGTTCCACTTGAAGTATTAGACAGATGGGAGTCAGTCACAGCAGCGCTATGATGGAGAGAAATTACCCAGCTGAATCTGCCCTCCCTCCCACACTACATCAAACTCACTGGGCTGCTTAATGTTCACCAAATCACACCATTTTGCTGCCTTGTCTATAGGAAAGGGGTGCAGCGCATTTCACCTTTTTGAGTCACGACTTCTCGGAACAACCAGGCAATTGTTTACCCAACCCATAAAGATTTATGTATTTGCAAAATTAACACCTTCAGGACACATTTAAAAAAAATTAAAAGAACCATCTCAAATAAGTTCAATGAATGGACTAAAGCAGCCGTCTGAAGCTGTCAGCAGCAGTTCTACCATATTTAAGATGATGTCAGGACAAAAAACAAAAACTAACAAGTGTTTATTCAAATTTTACTTCCCTTGACGTGAAAATTCACTCAATTCAGTTCAGTTTATTTAAATAGCGAAATCACTACAACAGTAAGGCACTTCACAAAGTAAACATTCCAATTGACTTAAGTTCATTGTGCCAGTTAAAGTTAAGGAACCCAGCAGATTGACTTTACAGCCACCCTAGCAAGCATGTAGAGACAGTGGAGAGCAAATTGGTCCTTAATAATAATAATAATACATTAAACTTATATAGCATTTTTTAGGACACTCAAAGACGCTTTCTTGCACTGTCACATTCATACACTGCTAGTGATGGTAAGCTACTTTGTGGCCACAGCCGCCTGGGGTGGTCTGACAGAGGCGAGGCTGCCATTTGGCACCGTCGGCCCCTCTGACCACCACCAAGGCTGGCAAGTTGGCCCAGGGACACAACAGCAGAATACCCTTGGCGGGAGCTGGAATCATACCCATTACCATCTGATCATGAGGCAACCCACCCTACCTCCTGAGCTTCTGCTGCCCCCCTTAAGTATTTTATTCACTTTTTGAGTTTGCAAGTTCAGCATGGCGGATGCAATAAAATCAGCTGATGATTGGAATTGGCTAATATTCAGCTTGATTGGTTTAATAAGTGACCAGCCAAACAGAATTTTAAAATGATATATTCTTTGTTGTCTTAATACAACAACAACAACAATAATAATAATAATAATAAACCAGCAGCAATCCTTGACTTTTATGCTAATAATTGTTTGTGCTATTAGGTCTAGTTCATTTCTTGAAATAAAAGTATAAAAACTACATTTTAGAAATACGGAAAGTACAAGCTCATTACAATGGTTCAACAGTGCTGAAAGCTTTAGATGATGAAAGGTGGATGACTGGATCTGCACAAAAAGAAGATAACTCAAAACTGCGGTAACAAAATCATTTTCCCATATTTTCTGATATGTCATGATTCAGTGACAAAACAACAGAAATAACCTTCAATTTCTCCTAATTATTTTTATTCCCAATCTAAATAAACCAGCTAACCTGCCAGTCCGTCTCTAAGGGGGAATCTTCCTGCAGGATTTAGATGCATCTCATCTGGGGGCATGACCGCACTATGACAAAGCGTGGCTCGTGTGGAGTGGCTCTGCTTCTAGGAAATGACTCAACCAGGAGGTGCTTCCCCACACGGTGGTCTGGCCTGATGTGGAACACCGGGAGCGACTTTATGGCCCGAAGCCGCCTCAAGTAACCAGTCCAGCCGCCATAGAGCATCCCAGCAGTCCGTTTGTGATGGATGGAAGCGGCGCGCGGGGATGGAACGAGGAGGCGCATGATCTTTGCAAACGCTTGACACATCAGTGTTGACAAAACAAGTCATGTGACGACCATGAAGATGGCGCAGCTTATGTTATGTTGCAGTTTTCTCAGTATTTTCTCGCACCATCTCGGACCGCTGAGGAAACCCGCGACGTTTTACCTCCTCTAATTACCCTGACTGATGCTTCATGCCGTCCGGGTGGGATCTGGTGGAGCTCTGCGCGACTGACTCAGGAGGGGAAACGGGGAGAAACAAGATTATACCAAGGACATGAAATAGAGAAGCTTGGAAAGGCAGAAACCCTGTTTCAGCGGCAATAACTCGTTTTTTTAGAGAGGAGAAATCCGCTCCCCGTGCGTGCGCGCTCCTGCGTGTGTATGTGTGCGTTAGGTGGACAGAGAGACTGCATCAGACTGGAGACACACGCCGGGGGACATAACGGAGCAGAGATACTTGATGCCCCCCCTTTTCCCTTCCCGCACACGCACGTCGGGATACAGATTTCGGTGGGAACATGTAGATCATTTGCAGACTTCAGTTGTCTCGCGCGCGTATTTTTTTTAGCATCATCATCAATAGCGACATAATGTGGCCGGCTCTACCGGAAGGGAAATAACCAAATATGTGGATACCAACAGAAGAGGAGAAGATCGGCGTTGGTGAGTTTATTTGATCGTTTTATTTCTGGACAGCGACGTCAGGGTTTGTTGCATTTGACGGTGATTTAAAAAAAATACTAATTGTCACCCCGCACTGGCTATACAGCTGAGCCCCCCCGTTGGTAAGCCCATTACATCCAGTGAAAAAACACTCATAATGGCTGATATAGACGGCGGTGACTGCATAGAGAAGAGAAATTGCGTGGGATGAAAAAGCCCACCACCTTAAAGATGCCTTCGCAGGCTGCAGACTGCCTCAGGTGGGGCGTTCATTCCCTCTCCATTTTCTCAGGCTTCATGGTTTTAGGGTGTAAATTAAACCCTTAGTGTGTTTTTAGTCTTATGTGTGTACAGTATCTAGATGATATGAGGAGGATGGGGGGAGGTGATTCGTGTTGAAACCACCAGGGGGCATCGTGACTGCGTCCCTCTAACAACAGGTGTAGTCTGGAGTAGCTAGAATCTACCTGTAGACAAAAAAGAAAAAGCTTCTGCGGCTGCTGCGACACTGTATCCTAACATGCTCCACACAAAGAGAACAAAGCACCTAATTAACATGAATGATTTAAGGTGAAAAGAGCAGATCTTAAAACCATCAGAGGGTTTTCATCAGTGGAATGAGTCATGTCCAGATGCTCTACAGCTTGTTAGGGCTACTCACGCTGACTCGCACACGACACTCCTCCCCGACACGCACACGCCCACATATGCATACTTTTTCTTCGGTCATGATCGTTTTCCTTAAGGCTGCTGCTGAGAGCCAAGTAAATATATTAATATATCCCTGCTTGTGTCTCGCATTGGTGTGCTCACCCATCTGTCACACTGCAGTCTCCCTCCTCTTTTTTCTAAACACACATATATGTGTGTTTTATGTTTTAAGAGGAGGTGGAGGGCTGGAGGTAGCTATCTGATCCGATCTGTGTGCGGGGAAGCAACAGTTCGGCGCAGCCTCCACCGGTCTGTGCGGAGTGACCTGGCGCTCTCCGTGGTGCTGAAATGTGGAGATGACGCTGTCCACGGTGCTGAAATGCGGGGAAGTACACAATGTACGTTGTAAAGGCGGCACAAATCAGCGGTGGATTTATCTTTTCTCATCAGATAACACGTCCGGAGGTCTGCGCTGCTCTTGTGGATGAAGCTCAGGAGTGAATGGGGCCCTATCTTCTACTGTGACACTGTTGGCACCATTCTCCATATTTCCCCTTTGCCCTAGTGTTCAAATAGTCTCTCGCATGTAACACCTTACAGATATAACACACAGAGCTGGGGTCTGTCGACAGCCAACTGGGCCTTTTTATTTTCACTCCTTCTGTAGACTCAGCTTTAAAGGAAAGCACAAAAATCACCACCAGTTCTTTGGATCACAGTTTATTATTTTGCTTGTTGTTTACATAGAAAACAGTTTTAGCCTCACTGATCTGGTTATTACTATTGTATTAACACATTACTTATAAGACAAAAACAAACTTCATGAAAACAGTAACTTGTTCCAATTTTGGTGCAACAAGTTATAATGTCACGTTTGTAGATATGGACACTGATATAAGGACTTATCACATGTAAAGGAGAAATGTTTTCCCACTGTTGGATCAAAGCGAGCTCCGACAGTCAGTCAGTTTCTGCCCACATCAGGGAGAGTGAATCAGAGGTCTTGGTCTGGAGCCACATGGATGTCATTCAGGCACAAACTGCAGCAGCTTTAGCTTTAGCAACCTTAACAGCAAAAGAGGTCCACACCTGAAATCAGTGAGTAGAGACAGCAAAGTGTAGTTGCTCTAGTGCTGCATTTAAAACACTTCTTTGGTTTTATGTTTGTTACATTCCTTTACAGATAAACAGGATGCTCAGTGTTAAATTTGGTCTACATGAGTCTTTACGACATACTGGTTGGTCAGGAGTTTCTGATTCTCTTACTTCTTCATCTAAATTAACTTTACACACTCCTTTGCATCAAATAAATTTTTTACAAATCTGAAAACCTGTTTATGTTCAACCTCATGAAATGGTGTCAATGTAGACATGAGTGTTTGAGAGTGAACAGCCACATAATGGAGCAGTTCTTTTTAAAAATGATACACCCCTGTAATTGAACTGGTCTCAATAAATGAAGTGAAACATCTTGTAACATCAGTCATACATACATGTATCTGGGACCTTAACATTTTTTACTTTGAGACAATGTGTAGTTTTTTTTACCATTAATCTCTGGAAATATCCAATGAAAATTCATTGAAAATGAATTAACCAGTGTCCAGTTGTTGAAAAATATTGGCATTTTCATAACAAAACCATAAAAATCGTGTCTAAAGTACATGGGAGCGGGTCTAAATCTCTGGGCAATGCCATATTAGACGCCATGTTTACTTCAACGTGATCCTGCGAGGACAAAACACATTTACTGATTTGTAACAAGCGGTAAGAAAAATTCACCATTCAAAACATTTTACATATTTATTTCTTCGCTTGTTGCCAGTGATGAAAGGGAGTCTGATGTCCTTGTCATTTTGCTGGAGGTTCAACAATCTGACAAAGTACTCATTTGAAATAATTTGACCCTAATGGCCATTCGTTGGTAAGGTCTTACTCGGACATAAAAATACTGCTTGCTTGCAATGATTTAGGTATGTGCTGCCCCCTATTGCCAGATAAAATACACACTGTCACTTTAACAAGTAAAACTCTCTCTTGTTGTTTTAAAATTATGTATCACTTAAGGTCCCAAATGATTATTAAGTAGTTCTCTGATTGTACGAAGCTCCCATTGCAGCTTTATTGGGTGTTTTTGATTTTAAATGTAATTGTTTTTTTATCCACTATAATTAAGAATCATTTTAGGGATACATTTCCATTCAGGTGTGGAAATCATGCTGGTTAATTTACTTCTTCATGGAATTCTGAAAATTTTAAACATCTTATTTGATCAGCTGTAAAACTAGTGATAAATGTGTGTTAGCAGCCTGCTGAGCTTTCCCAAACCTAGCTGATGCCCAGAAGAGGACCTGATATCCGTGGAAGTTTAAGGAACATGCATTCTGATGTAGAGCAGGAGCAAAACAGAGGACAAAGAGACGGATGTTTAAATAAATCCTTTCTTTGATCATCATAAGGAATGTGAAATCCCTGGTAAATAAAATTATTAGAGAAAGCATGAAATCTAGTACTGTTCACTTCATGATTACATTGCTACAGAAGTATATTTTAGTGCACCCCAAACTAAGACTAGAAATACACTTACCGGCCACTTTATTGGGTACACCTAGCTAGTACCGGGTTGGACCCCCTTTTGCCTTCAGAACTGCCTTAATCCTTCGTGGCATAGATTCAGCAAGGTACTGGAATCATTTCTCACAGATTTTGGTCCATATTGATATGACAGCATCAGTAGTTGCTGCAGATTTTCCGGCTGCACATCCATGATGTGAATCTCCTGTCCCACCACATCCTAAAGGTGCTCTATTGGATTGAGATCCGGTGACTGTGGAGACCATTTGAGTGCATTGAACTCATTGTAATGTTCAAGAAACCAGTCTGAGATGACTCGAGCTTTATGATGTAGTGGATTGTCCTGCTGGAAGTAGCCATCAGAAGATGGGTACACTGTAGTCATGAAGCGAACGACATGATCAGCAACAATACTCAGGTAGGCTGTGGTGTTGCAATGATAATCAATTAGTACAAGGGGGCCCAACGTGTGCCAAGAAAATGTCCCCCACACCATTACACCACCACCACCAACCTGAACCATTGATACAAGGCAGGATGGATCCATGCTTTCATGTTGTTGATGCCAAGTTCTGTCCCTTCCATCCGAATGTTGCAGCAGAAATTGAGACTCATCAGAGCAGGCAACATTTTTCCAATCTTCTATTGTCCAATGTTGGTGAGCCTGTGTGAATTGCAGCCTCAGTTTCCTGTTCTTAGCTGACAGGAGCGGCACCTGGTGTGGTCTTCTGCTGCTGTAGACCATCTGCCTCAAGGTTTGATGAGTTGTGGGTTCAGAGATTCTCTGCGGCATTCTTTGGTTGTAACAAGTGATTATTTGAATTACTGTTGCCTTTCCATTAGCTTGAACCAGTCTGGCCATTCTCCTCTGACCTCTGGCATCAACAAGGCATTTTTGCCCACAGAACTGCCGCTCACCGGATGTTTTCCCTTTTTCTGACCATTCTCTGTAAACCCTAGAGATGGTTGTGCGTGACAATCCCAGAAGATCAGCAGTTTCTGAAATACTCAGATCAGCCCATCTGGCATCAACAGCCATGCCACGTTCAAAGCATGTCAACATGCCTAATTGCTCTGAGGTGCCATCATGTAATTGGCTCATTAGTAATTTCTGTTAATGAGCAATTGCACAAGTGTACCCAATAAAGTGGCTGGTAAGTGTAGATCGATAAAGTAAACAAAAACTTGTGCTTCTTTTCAGTATAAATATCACCATGACCATGATTCAGTTACCACCCACTTTAGAGTTTATTTGCTTTTACTGATTATTCTGAAGATATGGTGAACACAGACTTTCCATCAGTTAGGAAACAAGATTTCTGGACACTGGCTTGGCAATAAAAACTTTAAATACCCTCTCTGTAGTTGGATTTCAAGTAGTTGTGAAGTCTCTGACTCTGTGAGTGAAGCTCAAGCACCATTGTGTAACTTTAAGCGAGATCTGGAACAGAACCACTCATGTTGGAGAAACTGGACCTCTATGGTTTAGTTGCTCATGCAACATCAGTAGTGTTCATTTTAGCTTCATTTGCCTCTTTGTGGGAGAATCTGAAACTAATGAGAAAAGGAAGAACATGTTTCAGACTTATTGCTTCAGCTTTGATGAGCTAACTTCCTCTTTGATGTTTGCTCAGTACAGTAGTAGCGTTAGATTCTGATTTATTGATAATAAAGCTCTCTGTTTATCATCTATAATCGTATTAATCAGCGAGCGTTATTTTGTTTCCTATTCCCCTTCGGTCTATTCCTCCTTGGTGGATCATTACAATGTCAGATGACGTGTGTGCAGATCACTAAATCTAAAAGAACGCCACAAAGCTGTTTACTTTATTACATTTTGGTAACTTTGCTATGAAATCGTCAGTATTTACAGAGCACTGCAATAAAAATGTCTCCGGGCCGCGTTGCACAGACGAAAGCTCAATTTTATTTAGCAAGTAAATGTATCAGTATTGACTTTTTTCTTTTAACTCTCTCAGGCTCAAAATAAGTTCTGATAAAAGAACAAACAACTAAGTCCTTCAGGGGTACTTCTGAGTTAAAAAATGGTCATGAAACATGTATGTTGAGTAACCAGGTAGGTAGGTTTTAACTGATCTGCAACGCCTGTCTCCAGAGGGTTAAGCTAAGCAGTGGATGAGAGGGACAGGAAACATGAAAACAAGCGAGTCAAATGCGAAGCAGAGCAGTGAGATGTTCTCCAGGACTGACTGCAGATTTTGTCCCTGGCTTTTGGTGTTACACAGTCAGATCTAAATGATGCATGAAAATAGTTTCATACAAATACATTTATTGTGAAACTATGGATCTCTTGTAAAACATGGCATGGATTTGCGAAATGTAGTTCTTTATTTCCTGCAGTTTTTAAATGAACACCTTTTTACCTGAAGGGTCATTGCAGGGGGAACTTATTGTTCACTTCTTAGCTTTCTGTAAAAAACACACCATGGGTGGCAGCACTGTTGGTGAAGAACAGTGGAAGACACAACAGAGAAAAAGCGTGAGGAATTCATCTTTGTGTTTTTGAAATGATTTCTAAGTTCAGCATTATTGTGTTTTTGTTGAACTCATTCTTGCACGTATTTAAAACATTTATGCAATATTTGATAAAATAGCTAAAGTGTGTAAATGCGTCATTTATCAGCTGAAAAACTGAGATTTTGTTAAAAACAGAGATTCTGAACCCTGAATTTGTTGTTTCAATGCCGTACACGCTTCTTATCAGATACTCAAAATATTAAACATAAAAATGTTTAATCCTGTAGGTTTTGCAGATTTATAAAATGTATTTAGGTATAATTTTATCTATTTATAATCTAATTGTTTTATGCCTTTATCATCATTCTAGATGATGGCAACACGTTTTCATTCTAAAACATGTTAAAACATGAATTAATTAAATGTGTTTGACAAGAAAATTAAATCATGCAAATGATGATTTTTGTAATATTGCTATTAGGGGCGGGTTATACGGCCAAACGTCTCATTGTTATAAAAGATTACGATCACAAATCTATAATAATTTATGCACATTTTTTACTTTGGACTTTTTGTAGTTTTGCAAGACACCAAACGTTGCAGACAAATAATCTTTCAAAGTTAAATCACAAACCTAAAAAAATAAATCTCACAGAAAACAAATCCCAAATAACATGTCACAGATTTCAGTCTGTTAGGACAATCCTGTAATGGATAACATTAGTTCAGTAGCTTTGCTTTGGCAGATCATCAACATCTTTTAGTCCTTCACAATCTAACATAGTCACACATCTCCACATGAACTAACAAACGTTCAATTAAACAGAGAATAAACCTTCCAGTGTGAGTGATCCATCATTACCTAACATGATCGTAGTCATTGGATCCCCGATGGATGCTGAATTGAACTAAAAAGAGGAACCATCTGGTCTGATATGCTGTTGGTTAGTAGAAATGTTTGGCAAGATTTTTAACTCCCTGTCCTGCCAGTCCTTCCAGCATCCTACGTTCAACATGCTGGAGTCTAAAGATGAAACCGTTGGTTATGTTCTCGAGATACGGTACCGATCTAAAGGCAAAATGAAACGACTGCGTGCCGGTGGGCTTATCCACAGCTTGGAGGGGTTTCGCTGGATAATATGAGCTCATCTGTTCTTCGCAGATCTGTTAAACATGGCAGTCTCCTCTTGCTCTGATGCAGCCTGCTGCAGAGTGCTCAGCCAATGTGTTTGGAGGTTTTTGCAATTGAAATGTAATAAAGGCTATTAAAGAGCATAATACTTCATGCAGGCTGGAACCTGCCCTGAGGCAGACAGTAAAAGGTGACAAAACATTCCTTAAGATGATAAATCTCCTGTCCTTTAGTACACGTCCCATCTGAACTCAAGTAACATGCAGCATTTATTAGCTTGCTGTTCTACTTTGTAAAATGTCCAGATCCCTGCAGCAGTTACAGTGAAGAAAGCCCTCCAGTTTGTGGATGATCGGTTGCCATAGCTACCCGAGCACAGGAACTGAGCACTTGTTACCCTGAAACAAACAGCCGAGCTGAGCACAAGCCCCTCCTTCTCTTCCTCCCCCTCACTGGGCCCCCTGGCTAATTCATTAGCATAATGATTCACAACAAACTCTCCTTGAAGGGCTCAATTTGTAGGTTTTTAAAATCATCATCAGCGGCGCACCATCCTTTGCTAATGCGACCGTCTTCACCGAGGCTGCTTTACTCCGTTCGCTGCATGGCTCGTGTTTCTGAGCTGCACGTAGGAAGTCAGGCTCCAGAGGCGATGCAGTTGTCAAGGCCCCGCTGTGGCATCTGCCCTCTAAAGAATAATCATGCCATCAGTGTTTGAGTCACAAGATGTTCCTGTGGATGGTCAAAAAGTGCTTGATGTTTCAAAATAATGTGGTGATGGGAGTTTTCTCCTAAATCCTACACGTGAGCAATCATTAGAAACTGTAAAACGTAGAAGTTTGTGAGCACTCTACCCAGAGAGATGGGTAAATTATGGAAATGTTGCACAAGATCAGGTCATTTAATATTTTGCTAGATGACATACTGCAGGGTGGGAGCTTATTTACAGTAAATGATGTTGTAGTTTCAATGCCATGTTGTGTTTATATCTGTACACAAATCAGCCTATTAAACAGCTGCTCTTGTTGCAGTGGCACAAGTCCTGAAATGACTCTTAAGAGATGCAGTGGAAATCAGCTTCATGAACCTTCCAGAGTCAAAGGTCATGACAAATACCTTGATGTTAAGTATTTATTTTATGGGGCAGCAGTAGCTCAGGAGGCGGAGTGGGTTGCCCAGTGATTGGAAGGTTGCAGGTTTAATCGCAGGCCTCCACCACTGAATGCTGCTGTTGTGTCCTTAAGCAAGACACCGAACCCGCCTTGCCTGCTGGTGGTGGTTGGAGGGACCAGTGGCACCAGTGTACAGCAAACCTCGCCTGTCGATGCGCCCCAGGGCAGCTGTGGCTACATGGTAGCTCATCATCACCAGCATGTGAATGGGTGAATGACTGACTGTGTTGTGAAGCGCCTTGGGGGGTTGTAGAACCCTAAGAAGGCGCTATACAAATGCAGGCTATTTGCCCTTTAACATTTATTTTCTGTGATTATAAACACCTACACAAGTTAAACGTTTTTTCATGGATCTTGTTTCTTGTCTTTTTTCCTTTTTTTTCTGTAACAGTCATCTGCAACTTCCGGTCGCCAGTTTGTCAGGCGCTGGTCCTGGAGATCGGAGAAACTGTACAGATACTGGAGAAATATGAAGGTAAAACCCTAACCCACTCAAACAGCCACAACTACAGCCAGCGCCTCAGAGTCTCACCACAAAGCAGTCCACAATGCGGCGTCACATACAGCCACAGAAAAATGTATCAATTCTTTTGTTACTTAAAGTTTATTACGGTTATTAACTCTGCTGTCTTACTCTTTATCTGCTGTGCTGTAGGAGGACCTGCTTGAATATAAGAAGTTGTATCTCAAGCAGTTTCTCCTCCTGGAAAAATATACGTTACATAAAAAAATAAATGCACACCAATCTGATTTAGACTTTACTCTGTCTGTCTGTGTTTGTTTGTCTGTCTGAATGAATGAACGAATGAATGAATGAATGAATAAATACAATTCCTTTAAAAATTAGGCTCTCTGATATATGACAGTTACTCCATCCAAACAAACGACTGCAGAGCTTAAATAAAATGTGAAATAAAAAATAAAATTTCTAGAACTAACAAAAGTAAATAAAAAACAGTACTTTGCACTTATTGGTAAACCGAGTAAGTAGCTCATAGCCTACTTTAAAGGTGTAGAACACGGAAAAACCATTAAAAAATCATTTTTCTGTATTTAATCAGTCACTTTGAGTTTTTTTTAATGAAGGCTGAACATGAAAACGGTCTCCTACACCTATTTCCTGCTTTAGCTTCTGATAGAAAATAGACTCTAGGGTTAGAAAATCCTCACAGATCGACGTCACACTGTGAATTAGCATTCATGGACTCATCCATCTCGACTCCCTATTGGGTCATGTCACTGTTATCCAATCCAAAGTGAGATGTCCAAAAATGAAATAAGACTCTAAAATATGCCGTCTGAAGCTCAGCTGTGATGTGGGAAACTTTTAGATCCTGACAATGGTGCACCAGTGTGTTTTTCCCCTGAGTACGACTTACAACGCATTTATTCTCACTGCCAATGTATTAACTAAACGAGTGTTCCACACCTTTAACCTAAACTAATCAGAGCTACTGCTGATTTCAGATGAAAAAGTCAGAGGTTCAAAAACAGCATGTAAGTAAATAGACAGATAAGTAGATCAGTGTGGTATTTGAACTGGTGTGATAAATGCAATGACACTTAATCTCATTTTAAACATTTATTTAGCTCTGTTGCTGTTGGATTCCTACATTCTTAATCTACTTTAGACCACTATCATTTGTTTTTTGTCTCATTTTGTTTTTTTGCTCTTTCCTCAGGTTGGTACCGAGGCTTTTCCACCAAGAAGCCATCTGTGAAGGTATTTAAAACACTAACACTAACTTTAGTTCAGCTAGAAGCAGAAACCTTCACTAGACCCTAAATACAAGTTATTTTCATATGGAAAATCATGCATCAGAGTGAATGACTGAATGCTTCATGATTGCTGCAGGACGAATGCAACAACATCTCTTTTGTCTTTGATTAGGCAGCAGGAAAGTTTAGACGCACGATGCAAGTCCGTCAATATTAAGTCTATCCAAGCATGTATATATATATATATATATATATATATATATATATATATATATATATATATATATAACCTTAACAAAACCATCAAAGGTGAAAGCTTTTTTAACTTGATGTCAGAAATGACAAATCCAGATAATCACAACCATAAATGTCACATCCAGTTTGTAACTGATATCCTTTAGAAACGTTGCTTTCTGCTCCACTTTAAGAGTTGTCAGACTTTTGTGATATGGTGGGAACGTTGTAAAGAAAGCATAAAGGCTGTCGAGTCCTGGTAAATGTAGGTGTTAGCAGCCACATGCTGTCCTCCACTCTCATCAGCTATTTACGGTTCTCACCAACACCCCTCCATTTTGTTATGTGCTCTGCCCACATTAAATCGCCCCCGCTCTCTATGTGCTGGAAGAAATAGTTGTGTTCACGTTGGACAATTCTTTGCATCTGGTGGATTAGGATAAAAAAAAGATGAAAAAGGGTTAATGCTGTTATAGGACCGAGGAACTCCTGCATATCGTCGGCATCGCTAGTTTTTATTCATGCTTTTCTTTTTGTTGGTTTTTGCACGTTGTAACGGAACGGAAGACTGTGTTTTTTCCCTTCTTTGCTCAGGACTAGTCTGCATGAGATATGGTCTCAAGGTCTCATGCATTCCTTCTAACCTGCTTATTTTCAGCTCAACAGAAGAACGAAGAATGAGCTCTTTTCTTTTAATTAATCAAAGAACTCTATTTTAATAAAGCTAATCCATCAAAGTGTTAGTCAATAAATAAGATGTGACGGACCTGTGAAATCAAAATATTAATTACTTTATTATGATCCTATAGAATATAATAAGTACTGTGACTTTAAGTGTTCCAACAGGACTCATTTCACGTAGTGTTGAAAAGACATAACACATTCCTTTCACTGATCCAATCAGAATCTTACAGATCTGACGGACCATTTTCATTCGACAATAAACCATAACATCCGAAGTATAAAACTATGCCACGTCAGCTCTAACGCCAGTTCAAAGCGTTCCAGAGAAAGTGACGGAGTGGCCAAACCTGATCTAAACTCTTTAACCGAATGAACCAATGACAAGCTGAAAAATCCAGTCTCTATAACAACCAGCGACAACAGCTCCTTTCAGAACAAGAGCTCCACCTTTCGGACCCAGGCTTGGGTCTGACCAGATTCCAATAAACGTGTCGTGTGCCCGGAAGTAACTCAAGACGGGTTTGATCAGAACCGTGGCTTTTCCTATCGGCTCGGTTCCAGAGAGGGTTCACTGGACCTCGATATTCCTGATCTGCAACGTGAAACCACGAACCTGCACTCTTTTCAGCCTCTGTTGTTTCTGCAAATACATTATTCACTAGTAAAAAACTCTGTTCATGTGGTGTGAGGCCGTCTCTCTAACATCTCTGCTCTTTTGCACATCCACAGGGTATTTTTCCTGTCAGCTATGTCCACTTGAAGAAATCTACAGTGACAAACAGAGGGTGAGCTCTTGGTTTGAGCACGTGCAGCGTCATGAATAGAGATACAGAGATGAAAATGTTGTTTGGCTATAAATGTTCTTTAAATTCAAATAACTGATGCATTTATGACAAGAGAAGTCTACGAAAGATACCAGAGAGGTTTAAAGCCATACTTTGCAGCGTTTTTCATACATTGAAATAATTTTTTTGAGCTAGGATGTGCTAAAATGTCCTGACATACCTGACGCTGCAGTCTGCTTCAGCACGTTTTGTGCATGTTTTAGATCATGAACACAGCTGACATTAAGGAAGGCTGAGCAGACGTTTCAGCGGTAAAAGACAAATGCACAGCAAGGAGATAAGTTTCATTTTCATTTTGACCACAGAGAATTAATAACGGACACTAGGGGGTGCTAAAACAAGCTAAACTACCAAGTATCCCTTTAAAATTTTTCTTCAGGAGTTTCTTATTCCTGCCATAATCCAATAAACATGAATGATAAATTAACTGGAGAGTCTAAATTGGCCCAAAGTGTGAAAGCATAAATGATTGTTTTGTGTTGCTCTGTGATGTACCAGTAAGCATCTGTGCAGTGTACTCCGCCTCTCAACCAGTGACCACTGTAGCCGGTATAGAAACTGGATGGATGTAATGACATTGATTTAAACAACTTTTGGTTCTACAAGCGAACACCAGGGGATGCTAAAAGCAAGCCAAAACTGCCCAGTTCCCCTTTAAAGTGTCCGTGTCCCCATGATGCAATTATAAAACACTTCATAGAAGGTCGAATTGTTGTCTGTAGCCTGATCATTACTTCTCCGTCCGCGGCGGTGCAGAGTCACGCAACGCCATTATGCGTCAGCACAAGAGCTCTCCGACGGGCTCACAGAGGGTGATGGAGGCATGCCCAAAATTTTAAACATCCGTTGAAAGTGACGTAGGCCGCAGCTTGTAAAAAGATATTTAGCAGCAGACCCAGAAAAGACTGAAGAAGCATGGGGGAAAAGTCCGAAAATATGAACGTTTATTCACCCGTGACTGACGGAGTACAAATTACAGAGCAAACATGGACGGAAATGATGGGAAACATGGGTTTAGAGGTGGCGCCTACATGAAGAGGTGGAGGAGAATGAAGGACACATTTGTCTGTGTTAAAAAGTCTCTGAAATATATAAACACATCAGCAAATATGCTATCATGGGCTGGATACGTGAGTGTAAAAGTGGCATTATACCATAAAAATGGCTATGCCCTCTGTTGTCCAGGCGGGGGTTTGCTTTGCAACACTCCCCAGGTAACAGCCAAGTCCGAGAGCGAAACGTATCTGTCAATGCGCGTGCGTCTGTCCCTGTTTAAACGTTCTGATTCTCCTTACAAACCCAACATGGACATAAAAACAAATGAAGCACTGAACAGCTCAATCCTGGACGGCTGGATTAACTACACTTTTTATTGCTTCAGTTAGCAGAAAACCAGAGTTAATGTAAATAAAAGCTGGTATTAGTTTGAACATGTGGCTTTTTAAACTTTTCTCCATTTCTGGACTTACTTGAAATTGAATTGACAAAAAATACACAGTGCAACTTTCTGTTAAATGCACCAAATCTCAATAACACCTGTAAAATGACCTTTTCTATTCACGCAGTTGCTAAGTGATTGCCTGGTGGTAACTGCTGCATTTTGTTATGCAAAGCACCTTGAAACAATTATTTTTCTGAGTGCTGGCACTTTATAAAAGTGTACATCTTTTTATTTCTCTGTAGAAAACACAAGAGCTACTTCCCCAAACTATAGAACCGACATTTTTAAAATGGATTTTTATTGCCTAATTATTTCTGTTTCTATTGCTAAATGTTGGCACTATCGTCTCTATTAGACAAAAGTCTTTCTCTTAATCAGTCAAACTCTCCAAGGTTGGTAAAATTGTTTAGTGAAGGGGGTTTGCGCACGCTCAAAGGTTTTTGTTGGTATGTAATCCTGACTAGTCCAACCATTCAGCTCAGATATGTCATCCAGCACGTGTTCCTGGATTATGGTTGTCCAGATTTAATGCAGCTCAGGAGTGTCACACCTACTGTTTGGCAAGTCTGCAGCAGTTACGTCCCCCATGATCTGATTTTAAAGATATATTAGAAGAAAACGTCCAGATAAAATTGATGCTTTTTACTGTTTGGGTCCTTTGACTCCAGATTTTCTCAGTATCAGAGGATGTGCGTCCCTCCGTCTTTCTGCTACATAATGTTAAGACAATTAGCACCTGACAGCTGCTGACATGCATGCGCATTTTGAGACACGAGCATGCATAATGTGCAGTCATCTTGTCACAACGAGCCTAGAATAAAGGTGAAAACAAAAACAGGCAGCGGAGCTCTTTATCAGCCTAGAATTTAATTGCAGACCGGGATCCGAGGCTCACTCTGAACTTCAAGCTCGAATGCTGTGGAAGTTAAAATAATATCCTTCAGCTGAGCTTCCACAAAGCAAGACTTCTTTTTTTTAACAGCAATTAAAAGCAGATAGGTGCTTACAAACGGATTACATCAAACTTCTTCAGTGCAGAAGCGGCACTTTAGGAAATCTGCTTTGTTTAATGGAGTTAATGAGCTGACACACCTGTGCAGATCTCCCAAAGCATCCAACCCCCACCCCACCTCCATCACCATTTTTGTGTCTCAGATCGCGAGGCTTGCCTTGTTCCATGAACACTATCCAGTGCTACATTTAATTCTCTTTTGTGAAGAAAGAGCAAAGCTCCACAAGAGATCTAACCTTTGCTTTTATGCTTCCTGATGAGTGTGGTCATGGGACGGATGTGTGGTCTCGTTTCACTTCAGAGCTTCACTGCAGATCTTAAACAAATGTACTTCAACCATTTAAAAATGCCATTTCGCATCAGCGGTTTACATTTGTGTTGTTATGAATTTAGTTGTTGAAAAGTTATCTGGAAATTCCAGACAAGCTATAGCTGTGGAACAAGAACAGCATCTAGGAGCAATGAAATGAATTAAACTTAACCCTAAACCCCTTTTTTATTTTCTGTGTGTTCATTATAGCAAACAGACTTAATACAGCCAATAAAATGCACCAAGAGATCTACTGGTCTAAATGCTATCTGCAAACATTACTATTAAAACATGTTTAATGATTTCTGTTGAGCATTTGTAACCTTTTTTGCATAATTTGTCAAAAAAAAAAGCATTCTTTTATTTTCAGTATTCATGACATTTTGTTTATTTCAATGATCATTTAAGTTTGATCTCCAATTCTTGTTTTTTTTCTCCCTTTGCATCAGTTTGTGTGAGACAGTGGTACCTCTGGAGGACCCTATCATCACGGAGACCACCTCCACGCTGCAGGAATGGGGCGTCCTGTGGAAGCAGCTCTATGTGGTCAGTAGCTACATGTTGTGGCACTTCTGGCTCCGTGCAAAACAGATCACTGATTAATAAATGTGGGGGTGGATCAGACACTTCCAAGAAGTCAAAATAAGTAAAAGAAAAACAACTAAAAAACTCTTAAAACCCGCAGTAGTGTGTGTGAAGAGGTTGCTTCCATTCTTTCAGGTTGAACTAGGTTCCTCTGATTATCTTTGCAGAAATATTAAGAAACTTAGACCTGGAAACTCTACAATGGTTTATAAGTTTCACACAAAAACACACTTCAAAGTCACCGAAACGGTTTAGCTGTAAGATTAAAGGCATACTATGCAACTTCTTCATATTTTTGAAGCAGTATGAGTGTCCGCCCTGGGACTGAAAGCGGGGTTCAAGTCCACGGTTGGGTCATACCAAAGACTCTAGAAATGGGACCAAATGCCTCCCTGCTTGACACTCAGCATTAAGGGGTTTGATTGGGGGGTTAAATCACCAAATGGTTCCCGAGTGCAGTCACAGCTGCAGCTCACCGCTCACTACGGGAATGGGTCACATGCAGAGATGTAATTTCACCAGTGTGTGATGATGACTAATAGGACCTTAACTTTAATTTTCTTGAGCCAGTATGTGCTAAAATGACCCAGGGTTAAAATCTAATGGGGTCACCCAGACCTCACCACCCTCTGTGGCCAGAATACCACACTTGCAACTTCAGAGTTGTCGATCCGGTACCTGCTGGCCTTAGTAAATTGGAGCTTACATGCCAGCGCTGGAGTCTGCATCCAGCACGTTTCCTGCAGGGTTTAGATCGTGAGCACAGCTGATTTGTTAGATTTAATGATGAACCAGTCCTGTAGACACTAATGAAGGCTGAGGAGACGTTTAAGCTGTTAGATTTAATTAATGTGTTAAAAATACAACTGTACTGGGCTTGCCGCTGATATCTCCCGGGACTCTGCCAGCTGCTGGTTGTGGCCCCCATCAACATACATATGGGTGGCCCCCCGGGGCGATCCTCTGTGCCTCTCGAGGGGGGCGGGGGCCTTTCTGGTTGCAGTCTCCTTGGGGTTCCTGTGTTCTGGGGCAGCGCCTGGATCTCTGGGATCTTTGGGATCTTTGGGCGGCAGATCTGTGGTCCCTCACACTCTCTATTGGACGCTCCTATAGAGAAACCTTACATAAACAAGCACGTGTACACACACAGGTGCTCACATGGTGCTCTCATAAGTATGGGCTTGGGCACGTTCAACACAGGTCTTAAGACTACGGTGGGCACTTAATGCACTGTGATTTATTATCATGTGATTGTTCAGTTAAGCAATGTTGATTATATATTTCTTCATCAAGTTGACGCAGTGATAGCTTGATCTTGTTGTATTGTTGTTGTGTCCCATTTTTTTGTTCTTTTGCTTTTTTTTTCTTGTCTCTTTCTGCAGGTCTAGAAGCAGACTCTTGTTCATTATTTATTTTTGTGGAACCCCCCACCCCCTTCCCCCCTCTCCCCACCTTTTGTCTTTTCCTTTCTCTTTCACCTCTGACTCCGTGTCTGGTCGGAATTACAAAGCATTCAAAAACAATAACAATAAAGTTTTAAGTATCAGGCGTGACATTAAAAGCAGACGCTTTGATGCTCCACCTGAGAGTAAATCTGTAAGGCTTGTCACCAGCATTCAGACATCAATTCTGTTTGCTTCACAGCCAGACAGGACACGGTAAAAAAAAAAAAAAAAAAAAAAAAAAACAACTGTACAGCAAGGAGATATGTTTCACTTTGGGTTGACTAATAGACACTAGGGGGTGCTAAAAGCAAGCCCCACTGCCACGTATCCTTTAAGAATTTACCAGAAACATGGTGCAACGCTACAGTAAAGGTTACTCTGACTCAACTTTGTTTTCTAGAGAATAACAGAAACTGTAGCTGGACACAGATATTACCTTCTAAAGAATTGATTGGCTGATCTTAGCCTGTCCCTCATAGGTCCAAAATCCTCTTAAGATCCACCGCCTGCAGTCAGTTTTCACTTGCTGTAATATTAAGTGATTACTGAAAATTTAAAGCATCTTTAATCCCGCTGAGCGTCAAGGGGGGCAGGCACACATGGTTGGTGTGGTGTAGAGTTGGAGATGAGTGGGTATGTTGCAGAGCTGGCTGTGAGTTTTTACATAACCTTTTACTGTGGACTGCTCATGCTCTCAGCAACTAAGCGTCCTGAGGCATCGGTTTGATGATGTAACCTCCACTGAAGCCTGACTAATGTGAAGCCTTGGTTTAACAGTGCTGGTTTTGTCCTCACCCCCTGTGTGGAAGGAGCCATGTTGCCACAGTTGCATCCATAATAATAGGATGCAGCACTGACTGGATATTTATACACTTCAGTTTACTGTTGCCTGTTAGATTTCAGGGTGTTACTTCAGGGAGCAGTGGCCTAAGCACAACTGTGTATTTATTACAGTGCTCGTAATTAGCCCTGCAGAAGCGAGGTCCAAGGACTCATCAGCCCTGACAAAACTCTTTGTTTTCAGCCTTTTAGAACACACGGTGTTCATCCTCATTAAACCTACATGGCCATTGTGGTGCACTTAATCTTTGCATTTATGTAAACAAACCTGGATGCTTAATGTGGGCTTGTCATACCATTAGGGGAGACAGAAAGGGCTTGAAATGAAAGTGTTGTCCTTGATTCTACAAGAGAAACGCTGATGAAATTCATTAATACGGGGAGGTCAAGCAGACCTGCTAGTTAAAAGCTTCCCCCCCCTTATTGTTGTTATTGTTTGTTTCGTAAATGAAACTAATGGTTGGAAAACTCAGCCAGTTCTACTGTCTGCAGGCTGTCGGAGGGTTAATAAGATCCCCCTAATAGGAGCAATATTATGTGCTGGCCTGAATAGAAAATTGACCTTCTAAAATACAGACTTTTATTTATAATAGTGGCTAAAAATAACGTGGAATTGATTTATGTGTCTAAGGCTGCAGTAGTGTTTTGTCTGGTGGTTGACGTTGAAGCAGGAGTCGGGGTTTCCCATACGGACACTCCCTGCTTAAATCCTGTCTGCTGTGGCTGACTGTGATGCATGGGTGCAAACGTAGAAGGGGATCACGTGTATCAACACAGTTTGTTTTTACTATTTCATTAGAAACACAAGGTGGATTTGTTTCACAAACTCCGCCACGTGATGAACGAGCTCATCGACCTGCGCCGGCAGCTGATCCAAGGCCACCTCTCTCAGGACCAGACTCGTGAGATCAAGCGGCACATCACCGTGCGACTTGACTGGGGCAACGAGTGAGTAGTAACACGTCTATTACATCACCCGAGCAGCAAAGCAAAGGCAACACCTACAATAAATAGTTGTTTCTAATTGCTGGCCACTAAAGAAGACATTAACTTGGCATCTACGGTGCAGGATGAGTGGGCGTTCAACAGGATCTCTAGGAAGGGATTTTTATGGTCATGTAGAAGACGAGTGAGTCAGGAAGCTGAAGCTGCTTAGAGTCGATGTAAATCTGCCTGGAGGAACTTTAAAATCCTTTTTGTCGTCCTGCCTGATTTGTACCGAGCCTGTGGAAAAAATATAAAGATTCCATCTCAGCAGCAGAGCACCTTTCTCAGTTGGTCATCATTTGTACTTGAATGAGCTGCAGAAGACTGCAGCACCTGTAGCATTAAGTGTGATCCCACTGCAGACAGCAGGAAGGTTTTAGTGATAAAAATCAAAACATTTTCATAACATTTATCCTTTCTTCATAAGATGCCTTCCATCTATTTTCGATTGCTTATCTGGGGTCGGGTCACGGGGGCAGTAGCCTAAGCAGGGAGGCCAAGACTTCCCTCTCCCAGCTACTTGGGCCAGCTCCTGGGGCAGCAGTAGCTCAACAGGTTGAGCGGGTTGTCCAGTAATCGGAAGGTTGCAGGTTTGATCCCGGCTCCGGACAGAGAATTCTGCTGTTGTGTCCTTGGGCAAGACACTTAATCCACCTTGCCTGCTGGTGGTGGTCGGAGGGACCGGTGGCGCCAGTGCTCGGCAGCCTCGCCTCTGTCAGTGCGCCCCAGGGCAGCTGTGGCTACATCGTAGCTCATCACCACCAGTGTGTGAATGTGTGTATGAATGGATGAATGATACACTGTAGTGTAAAGCGCTTTGGAGTCCTTACTCTGAGAGGTGCTATACAAGTGCGGGTCATTTATCATTTATCCTCCTGGGGGAACCCCAAGGCGTTCCCTGGCCAGCCGAGAAACAAAGTCCCTCCAGCATGTCCTGGGTTTACAGTAACGTTTAAATCACCACTGATGCAGAATGTCTCTATGAGCAAAAGCACAGCTGGTACAGATCATTTATGTTTATTTAATGGAATATTTTTGCTCGTCAACACATCAGAGTTACATAAATAATCTTGACATTTCATATTCATCATGTCTATTTTCTGGCTTATGGTTTCAAGACTGATGTTGGAGAAATCAGCCACTAAATGCGTTGCTATGATAAGTCATCCCATGTTTTGCATGTAACACAACTGTCTGCTGTCTTTCAGCCCTGAGTGGTTGCCAGGCAACCGACGGACACGCGGGAAGTCACTGTGGCATGAAATGCAGATAGTTGCTTCTAAAATTTGGATTTTGGGGGGGGGGGGGGGGGGGGGGGGGTTATCAGAGTGTTTTCACTGATTATGTTGAAGGATTTTGTGCAGATGTGTGTTTTTTTTCTTTGTAAAATTAAGCTACTTTAAATTTTGAGTTTACTTTTATAGAGTTTGGAAAGAAATGCTAAAATATCCGGCCTAATTAAAGAAAACGAAACCATGACGTTGTGATCAGAAGGACTCTTGGGTTGCCAGATAAATGTAGACCTAAATCCAAGTGTGGTAAAGTTCTGTAGCCTTTTAGAAGGGAACCTGCTTGCAGTACTCCTTTTAAATGAATTTTAAAACAATCTCAACACACTCAAGCTTTTGCAGCACTGAATCCACTTTCTCATCCTCCTTTTAAATAAACACCCGTCTTCCCTCCTTCTCTAGGCACCTTGGCCTGGACCTTGTTCCCAGAAAAGAGTTTGAAATGGTGGATCCAGATCAGATCAGTGTATCGGAGCTATACAAACTGGTATGTCAACTTAAATTATTGTCCAAAAACCTCCAATTCGTACGCGTAAAAAATGTTTGCAAAGAGAAATATTTCCTGGACAAAAATGTGGTTATTTTCTCCCTGCAGCACACAATCAGCATACGACCGACTGACTGAAGCTTTTACTGTCTATATAAATATATAATTGTGTTGCATCATCAAGATATAAGAGCGTGTTGTTAGATGTGTAGAGATGTGTGAATGTACTGATTATCAAATCACCCAGAAGAAGGTGATTCAAGAGAGAGAGAGAGAGAGAGAGAGAGAGAGAGAGAGAGAGAGAGAGAGAGAGAGAGAGAGAGAGAGAGAGAGAGAGAAGGTGTGTGTGTGTGTGTGCCCGATTCAGCTGTATGAGATGTTCTTTATGCTTATCTGTCTGCCACATTCAGTGTGTCCCTTTTCCTGCATGCATGTGACGCTCACAAGTGCGATTGTCATGCAAACGTATTGTAAAGTGACAGCCCCAGGTGGAGCTATGGGAAAGCACACACAAATGAATGTTTTGCTCTTCTTTTTGTTTGTATAAGTTGCATATTTTAAGTCTTCCTAGCTCTAAACCATAAGCCGGTCAGAAGGCACGTTTCCATAAATAAATAATGGCTCAAACGTGTTTTGGTTGTGGTCATGTGGGACTTCCAAACCTAAACACCAACACACAGAGAAACGGGAGAGAGAAGACTTTCTGAAGCAGACCCACTTTTAGAAATATACTATTACAGCACAGCTGTTATGAAACATAATGTAATGCTGCTGCAGACTATCTAGCAGGGAGATCCTTTCTGGTCAGTAGATGCAGCTTCATATGCTGATGAAAACATTCTCCAATCGCCCTGCAGCCTCCTATTATCCCATTGCCACGTTTCTCAGCTTTACACACTGAATGTTTGTCCACTAAATGCTCCGTGCAGAAACAACAGTGTAGCTCCTCCTTGCCAAAAAGCCTCCTGACTCTGTCGATGAAATCGAGCTTGTCTTTGGCAGGGCATAAGGCCTTGGCGCCCCTTCAGGTATGGCAGCTCTATTAGGCTGCCGCGCAGAGTGGTGTGTGCGTGTGCATGAGGGGGCGATGGCAGCTTTGTCCTCTCCCCTCCTACATACTCACGTTTCGCCTCATGTGGGCTTCTCTTTGCACTGCAGGAACAGTAGAGTAGCCGATCTGCAGCACACGTAGGTGCAATGTTGTCAGATCTGGAGAATCTAGTGAGGCGTCAGTGTTTCTGAAGCTCCTGCAATGTAAATAGGTTCAATGCTGTGTGGGGTGTGTAAAGCCTGGGTAGGGTGATCCGACGTCTTTCTCTTGAATTTCACTTGTGGTTTATTTTTTATTTTTTTAGCACGTATCCAGCAGACACTGTGGTCAGCAAAGCACAAACCAGGTACCGTCATTTCAAAGCTGTTTGTTCATGAGATCATCACACCTTTTTATTTGCTGCCTCTCTGTTCAGATTCATTTTTCACTTCTTTCCTTAAACACGCTAAGAAATAAGTCAGGGCACTCATGTTCCAATGAGACAGTCACCTTTATTGTAATGTCAGTGGCAAACGAGTTCGTTTCATGCTCCAAAAGACGTTCTTACCAGCACTGCCAGGGTGGGAACACTGGTTCACACTGGGATCACAGATGCCCCGATGGTTGCACAAACGGTACCCAGAAAAGTTTGTCTGGTTCATTTTCCCCTTTAATTTCACTAAATAACTAAAACGTTTTGTTTACACCCTTTAGCAAGTGTTCCATGTTAATCAGTGAGGTTTAGCCGAGCATCTGTAAATCATACGTTTGCTTTGTTTCAAAAATCCATTTAAAAATAGGAACCGTGTTTCATTAGCTAACTTTCTTATCGTTTAAAAATTCACATCATGATTTGCCAAACCACCAAAATTGTTGCACATATCCATTTTATAAACATCCATTAAGTTCATAATTCTGTACATTTGCAACAGAACAAATCAGACCTATATTGCAAAACAAACAGATTTATAAAGGGTGGTGGGCATTTGGCCCCGTTAAGACTCATCTTAGTGATGATCACTTTCTTTCTAGGGTGATAGCATCAGACAACGCCATGGCGATGGTTGCCGTGTCCCAGTGTCGCACCACCTCTTCATCAACCTGAAGAGCTTTACTTACAACAGCATCAGTGAAGATGCAGATGTCTTCTTCTCTCTGTACGACACACGCGAGGCCAAACAGATCAGGTATGCCGGGTAATCTCAGCTGCCTGGAACGTGGCAGCTGTACATATTGAATGCGAGCGTGAGCTGACAGACACAAACAAACACAGAAGCGTGTCAACATGCCACTAGTCTAGCAGACTGACTTCAGCGTTCTGTGGTTGGCAGACTCTCTGAAACTGTGAACTGGCTTCTCTTGCAGTGAGAAGTTCATGGTGAAACTGAACAAAAATGGAGGACCAAAGAATCCAGAGAAAGTTGATCGTCTGTGTGCTCTCTTCACGGTGAGATTCCTTCCCCCAATCTGGATTCAAATGACAATATTCTGAATGTCTTGCTTTTCTTATTTATGTCACTTCTCCACAGGACTTGAGCAGTAAGGACTTGAAAAGAGACCTGTATATTGTTGCACAAGTCATCAGAACTGGTAAATAGAGCAAACACAAACGAGTTCTTGGTGAATTATTACTTTTTCTGCCTTTTTTAAAACTTGTTCGCGTGTTTTGTTTGTAGGTCGGATGCTGCTGAACGACTCGAAGAAAGGCCCGCCTCACGTTCAGTACAGACGACCTTATGGATGCGCTGTACTCGCCATGAGCGATGTTTTTCACACTATCACGGACCTCAAGGAGGAGAAGGACTTTGTTCTCAAAGTTTACACGTCAGTATACCACCTGGTTTCTCTTCCATTGTAAGAAAGAAGAAAATATTCTTGCTCTCAGCATTTTTTGACCAACCAACCAAACATGTTTGCTTCCTTATCGTTTCTGTGGTGTTGCCGAGGAACATTTAGCGCATGGCAACCTGGCGCCCCTCTGCATTTTGACCTGAATGGCAGTGAAGTGTTCTTTGGAAAATCAATAGTTCCTCACCCGGGTTTGAGATAGAGCTCCTGGTGCTAGGCTTCACCCTGAACACCAGCCAAGAGAGAGGAAGAGGAGGAGAAGACACTGAGAGGGATGACACTGAGATAATTGAGCAAAGTCGAGGACAAAGCAAAATAACTCCAAGCTCAGCATATTTGCTTGTCAGTCAACAGCGAGCGTCTGCTTGTGCTCTGCCGCTCAGTGTCCTCTCTGGGTCAGAGGTCATTCACGCTCTTTGCCAACTCGTTATATGATGTTTGTTGAGTAACGCTAAAAGGACAGCTAAGTGTGAATTAAAGGTTTTTATAACATAAATCTGAAGGTTTTATTAGATTTCTCTTCCAATGTCAAGGCTTCTTCCTTTTAAAAATAAGCAGTGATTCACTGCTGAGCTGCCTCCAAACTGTCGGCTCCGATAACGCTCCAGTCTGTGCGTTTCCTCGTGCCTTTCCCAGGGGCCTTTGGGCCCACAGTAATGAAGAAGACTGGTAGAGAGCTGGATGTCAGCTTTGCTTAGTGTGCTGTGCGTTTGGGCTAATGTGCTGCTTGATAGCAACTCCCCCTGCTGCTACGTTTTCTCCAGGAGGAAATCGGCTCTGGGACGTGTGCTGCTCATGTGGTCCCCCATGCACACAGTCCTGAACCCTCCATCTGCTACCAAAAAGTGTGTGTGTGTGTGTGTGTGTGTGTGTTGTTAACGGCCCAACCCAACTCCTCTGCTTTTCCCTCAGATGTAACAATGAGAACGAGTGGTACCAGGTTCATGAGAACATCATCCGCAAGTCCAACACCAAGTACTCCGCCCCCAGCACCAACTATGGTAATCTGTTTAGATTTAATTTTGTCTTTAGAGGCGTTAACTGTTCAGAGCCAAACTTGAGATTAAGGAGGGACTTTTGAAGGTGTTGCTACACTGTGGTGAGGAAGTTGTTGTTACGTGAACATATGTGGTTTCCGAGGGTTTACAGTAAGATCTGCCACCTGTTTATTACCAGGAAACCAAGAATAGTTCTGTGTTGGCTGCATGACAGACGACACATGAATAAGTGATGGCTTAGCATTTTTTATTCAAGGACATCTAGCTGAAAACAAAAATGTTGGTAATGACCAGTAATCTTAGTTTCTGTTTTGATCTAAAATAAGTACTTTATTAGGGGTGGGTGCAACAATATTAGGTGATGAAGGAACAGAGTGTGTAGCAGTTTTAGTTTAAATAGAAAATAAATTATTCTCTAGAAAAATAAAAGAAAGTAAAATAAGGTAAATATTCCTAAACATGATCCAGATTTCCTTGTTTTGAGTAATAAAAAAAAATCTGCCAACGGGGTAAACAAAGTTTGCTTGGTTAGAAATCTTAAAACTAGCAAATAAACTAGTTTTAAGATTTGTAGCCAAGCACATATTTTTCATATTGAAGAATATTTACCTCATTTTAAGTAACTAGAGAAGAACTTATTTTCTTTTTAGACTAAAAATGAGATAAAATGTCTAAAAATTTGAATTTTTCATCTTTCTAAGAAATGATTTTTGCTGCTGCACCCGCGACCCGACCCTGGATAAGCGAACGATAATGGATGGATGCCTAATGTTTTTCCTTTACACCTGGACTATATTTGATTAGCTTTAGTTTATTGAATCAGATCCCAATAATCAGTGACTGAACACAGTTCTGATTTTGTCTGACTTTTTCAAAGCTTATTAATTTTTTTTTTACCAGCTGAAGCTTTGATAGTGAAACATATTTACGTGATTTGGAGTCGATTTTCTAGCATGAAATATTAACACAATGGGGCGGGGAGACTTTTACAACTCACAGTGGCTTTTTATGAACATGTCACAGTTAAAACTTGTGACTCATACTTTACAGAACTATGCCACCAGTTTTCTGCAGAATCCTCTCTTTGTTTCTTTGTTTTTCACACAAATTAAACGCTCCTTCCTCCCCCTGTTCTGGCTCGGATCATCCTGTCTGTCTTCTCGTCCCCCACATTCTGACTAATGTCCTTTATTTACGCCTCATCTTTCTGCTTCTCTCGCTGTTCTTTTTCCTTGAATTTCACCATCCTCCCCCAACCCCATACTTCTTTATTTGCCCCCCTTTTAAAAAAATTATATTTTCACATTCACCCACCTCCCCTGTTGCCACTGCCTCCAGGCCTCATCATTTCTCTCCAGCTGCTGAGAGGAGAGCTGGAGCAGATCAGACGGGAGAACCAGGCCGTGTTCAACAGGGCCCTGGCACTCACACGCAAGCTGGGTTTCCCAGATGTCATCCTGCCAGGTGAGAGAGGCAAAGAGCAGCGGGCGGTCATGGGCACTGAGAGGGGGTGGAGACTAGGGGCCAGATGGCTCACAGGAATAAAAGGAGGGGAGGTCACAGATGCTGGTGAAGATGAATGAGAGGGTGGACTGAACAAGATAGATGTAAAATGGGAAAAGACAGAATATGAGAAGAAAACTGTAGTAAAAAGTTGCTCAAACAAGGAAACAGTCACAGATTCAGACTGTAGTTTGGTAGAGGAGAGACGTGTTTTTCTTTGAGAAGCTCACAAACCTCCTGAAAACATCATTCGCTCCTGTTCTCTCTACTTAGCTCGAAATACCTCCCGGTATCGCTCCTTGTGAGTCATCTGTACCAAAGGAAATGACATGGATATAAATAGCTAAGATCTGATTTTATAAATAGCCGCAGCATCTTCCTCTAGTGTTGCCTCGCATGTTTCTTCTAAAAGAACCCTGACCTCACCAAACTAGCTGAGGCCATGCGTGCCTCGGCTCATCGGGGTTGTTTTAAATGGAAGAGAACAGTGACATGTAGCATAAGACGCAAAAATTCCTAATTCATGTTGACCACGCTGAGTTCATCTGTGGAACAAACGATGACTTTATAATTCATCGCCCGAGCTACACAGGGATGCTTGTTTCTCCAAGTTGCCTCTGCTTACTCCAGGTTTATGTACAATTTCCACCTGGCAGTTTCATTCAGCTCCCTCTGGAGCTCAATAACATGTTATTACTTCCCCCCCCCCCCCCCCCACACACACACACACACAAAAGCAGCCATGTTGTCCAAGATGAACGTGTGAAATTAGCGAAGTCCCCCTTTTTTCTTTTTTACTGTTCTAGGTGACACACGCAATGACCTGTACCTGACTCTGGAGCGTGGAGAGTTTGAGAGGGGTGGCAAGAGCGTCCAGAAGAACATCGAAGTCACACTCTATGTGCTGTATGCCGATGGGGACACACTCAAGGTATGACACACACACACACACACACACACACACACACACACACACACACACACACACACACACACACACACACACACACACACACGCACGTTGCTCAGTGTGTGGCAGGCCATCAGTAGATGGTGGAGGGTGAACGTGACTTTGTTTTCTTCACAGGACTGCATCAGTTTGGGCACCGGAGAGCCCAACTCCACAGAGTACCGCTCCTTCGTCCTGTACCACAACAACAGTCCTCGCTGGAGTGAGATGGTCAAGCTGCCCATTCCCATCGACCGTTTCAGAGGGTCCCATCTACGTTTTGAGTTTAGACACTGCTCCAGTGAGTCAGCGCTGCAGCTCAGTGGGAGTCGCAGCCTCTGTTAATCAGCTAGTCGAGCGTGTGTGGTCTGTTCTGTGTGGATGTGATGAATGACAAGATGATGTGATTCTTTTCAGCTAAAGACAAAGGGGAGAAAAAACTTTTTGGATATGCCTTCACCCCTTTGATGAGAGAGGACGGGACCACACTCTCAGATGAGATCCACGAGCTTTATGTGTACAAGGTACACACACACATGCACGCACACACAAAATGTACGACAACAGGACACACTGTTCTGAGTTTCGAGAGTCAGTGGAGACCAGCGTGGAGTCAGAATTAGCATTTGAGGCATTTTTTAAATTGATTTTATTATAAAATGCATCATTTTTTTCTGCTCTTGCCTATTTTGAACTGCACATCTCAGTGTGACGGATACAAACGTCTTCACAATGAATTAGCCCATCACCTTTCATTAATGATCTTTTTAGCTTTTCCAGCCCTTTGCGATTAGATTTTTACTGCTCTGGACATCATGTACAGCTCAGAAACAGGAAAGTGGTACATTACGGCACCTTTACTGCATTCAGAAACACAAAAAAGCAGATCCACATTTAGAGAACCAGACAACCGGCATACTGCAAACTCCCTCTTCATTTGCAACCATTCAGATCTGCTTTTCTGTTTTAAGTGCATGCTAGCATAGCATTGTTACGATATCATTACACCTAGAGTTTTAAAATGATAGTTTAGGTTTTTTCAAATGGATTTGCGTAGAGAGGTCATGACTTAGGGCTGCACGATGACTGACCTGTCCAGGGTGTCCCTGACTTCTCGACCGATGACTCCTGAACTCGGTCACCAGCTCCTCGTGACCCTCGTGAGGATGCGGCAGCTCAGATAATGAATGGATGGATGTTATGAACTATTAATACCTTACCTGTTGTAAACCTCTTTTTTATTTACATCAGTTCAAAGAAACAAAGATAAAGTTTTATGTGGACCACAAAGATTAAAGTGGTTTTAAGATGCCCAGCCTGACTAGCTTGTTAAATCTCCATTTCTCCAAACTCAGGTTGCTCTCAGAGCTATCTACTACAGGTGGGATAATAATTGTTCATATTTTCTCTACAGAAAACCGTTAGCATATTGCTGCTGTTGTTAGGCTTGCTTGGACATCCAGTTTGTCAGCAGAGGTCCAACGGTCTGCAGCAATTGGCTATTTCCTCTGTAGACACACTAAATGCTTCTGCGCTCTCAGACTCGTTGGGAAAAAGGTCCATTTAATCAAACACTCCTCCAAACCCTCCTGCTTCATCTCTTCAGTGTGATGAAAATGCCACCTTCAGTAACCAGGGTCTGTATCTGAGCCTTCCCTGCTGTAAGGAGGACTTCAACAGCTGCCCCAACCTGCCCGCCAACCTGCCTTTCCAGAGGAGTCCTAAAGAAACCTTCTGGGTCTCCACGATACTCTGCTCCACAAAACTTACACAAAACGGTAATCTGACACCTCGCAGACGAATCCTTATTTAAACCAGCTTGATTCAGTCCAGCTAATTGTGACAGGACTCTGTTTGTAGTTGATCTTCTGGCTCTTCTGAACTGGAAGGCCCATCCAGACAGGGTGTTGGACATCCTAGGCCGACTTCGTCAAATCAGCGGAGAGGAGATCGTAAAGGTCATTATGAGATGTTTAAATAAAGACGAAAAGGAAAATGTATTTCCACATTTTATGAGGGATTGCTGTTTAAAAGCACTTTATTGTAGTTCTAGATGGAAAACATTTTCAGCTTTCTGGAATGACTTCATAATAGATTAAAAAACACTTTATGTTATGATGTTGACATGATGTCTCCCCGTGTGGTACTTCTTATGTTTTTAGACACTCGACTCATCTAGTCAAATTAGATTTCACACAAGTGTCCAGTCATAAACATGGTCACATCATTTAGAAAAAATAAACATCCTATAATAGTTCTCTGCTCATAGATCACAGGCTCTCCCCCTTTTCAATTTCCTTTGGTTCTATTCCTGTTAACGCTGCCTCTTATGTGATGGGTTGTTCTGAGAGCTGCTCTTTATTTTCTCTCACAGTTCCTGAGAGATGTCCTGGATACGCTTTTCTGTCTTTTAGATGAAAACACGGATAAATATGGACCACTGGTTTTCCAGTCTCTGGTAGGATCGCAGCTGCACTCATATTAAATCACACGTGGTGACCTTAAAGCTGTGAAGATAAATTATAACCCATGTGTCCGTGTGCTCAGGTGTTCATCATTAACCTGCTCAGGGACAGCCGCTTCTACCACTTCAGACCTGTCATGGACTCCTACATCCAGAACCACTTTGCTGGAGCGTTAGCGTACAAGTAAAACAAAACATTTGCTGGTTTAAAACTTACAAATTGCAAATTTTTTGTGCCTGAAAAGTTTCTTAACCCAAGCCTAATTTGTCTGCAGAGAACTGATTCGATGTCTGAAGTGGTACATGGACCGCTCAGCTGAGGTCGTCCGGCAGGATCACATCCAGGAAGCCATGAGGGTAAAGTATCGGACTCACTTCTTTCTGGTGCTTTTCTGGCTCCTTCTGTGGGGTTTAATTAACCTCGATAGAGGAAACGGTCAAACAGAGCTGATAAGGAGTAATGTGACTCCAGATCGGGACTCGGGAAGGGAACTCCCTGCTGAATTTTATGAAGGGAAGTCATTAGAAAACTCTGCAGATATTGACGTGTGGTGTGTGGCATTTTCCTGTGGCCTTTCCGTTGGGGGTAATAGGAAGAGATGCTTTACTGTGCTGCAATGGTTTCTTTTAAGCATTAAGTGCTAAGTTAAACTGAGGGTAAGAGATGACCTGCTCTCAGTTTGAATGTCTTCATCCGTTTGCTTCTGACTTCCTTCTCAGGCGTTGGAGTATCTATTCAAGTTCATCGTCCAGTCTCGCATCCTGTACGCGAGAGCCACCTGCGGGATGGAGGAGGAGCAGTTCATAGCCAGCATCCAGGAGCTTTTCCAGTCCATCCGCTTCGTCCTGAGTTTAGACAGTCGCAGCTCAGAGAACCTGGTGTTCACACAGGTCAGACGGGTCACAGCGCTTTCACCGTCTGCTGCTCAGAAGCTCTCCAACATGCTTGAGTCATTTTCATCTTTTTAGTCATAATCGTTTTCTTAATGACTTTTATTTAATGTTTGCATTCATGTCTCTGATCATTGTTTATATTTTTTCCATCGGTGCTTGTTTTCTTTTGTATTTTATGTTACTGTTGCTCCATCCATGGCTTGAACTTGGACACTTTAGGGGTGTGATCAACTGCATGACTTTCTTTGCTCTCATCCTTCTCAGTAAGTCACAGCGCCCCCTGTGTTGGTTCCCTGATGCAGCAGATGCTGTGCTACCATCAGCCTGCTCAACCAAGATATTTGCTTTTTGGTGCTTATTTATAGCCAAATATGGAGATAAGATATGCAGCTAAATTAGTTTTACTTAAATATGTATAATTCATATCTATTCTAGCATGTTTAAGTCACTGTAGATATTTCAGTTTTATTTTTATCCAGTGAGTAAACTACAGAGTAGTTTTCTGTATTCGTTCATTTCCCTTCCAGGCGGCGCTGTTGAACAGCTTTCCAGATATCTTTGACGAGCTTCTGCAGATGTTCACCGTTCAGGAGGTAGCTGAGTATGTCAGGGGCACCCTGGGGAGCATGCCCAGCACAGTGGACATAGGTCAGTCCATGGATGTGGTCAAACTGCAATCCATCGCTCGAACAGTGGAGAGCCGCCTCTTCTTTTTCCCCGGTGAGGCACACTTCGATGATTTAGGATTTATCCAGACGTGGTTTAATCAAATTTATGCTTTGATGTGTAACTCAGATTTGCACAGAGCGTCTAATTCATCACTTTGTTCTTGCCTCAGAGTCTCGTAGTATTTTGCTGCCGGTTGTTCTGCATCACATCCATCTGCATCTTCGCCAGCAGAGGGAGCTGCTCATTTGTTCTGGGATCCTGGGAAGCATCTTTTCCATAATTAAAACAAGCTCAATGGTAAAGTCGCCTATTCAACACTAAAATTCACGTTTTCAGCACACTAGCTGAAAGTCGGAAGCATTTCTCCGATTCGTTTACCTTGTTTTCCTCTTTAGGAGTCTTCTGTTCAGGAGGAGGTGGAAATGATGGTGGAGAGCTTACTGGATGTGCTGCTGCAGACTCTGCTGTCCATCATGAGCAAATCTCATTCTGTGGAGACGTCCAGAGGACAACGCTGTCCCCAGTGCACTGCAGAGATAACGGTAAGCTTCTGCTCAAAGCTTTGATGGATAATAAGAGAACTCAGGTATTATTTGGAGCTGAACAACCTTTGTGTTTTGTGGGTTTGAAGCTGTTATTTTCTCCTGTGCAGGGGGAGTATGTTTCCTGCCTTCTCTCTCTGCTCCGACAAATGTCAGAGATCCACTTTCACCATCTACTCAACAGCTTCCACAGCAAGGAGGAGCTGAAGGTAAAACAAGTCTCACGTCATTTTTGAAGGGAGCATAATCTCAGTTCTGATCTGTTGCATCTGAGCTCGGATCAGAATTTGGTCACAAACTTTCTTGCAGGAGTTCCTGCTGAAGATTTTCTGCGTATTTCGCAATCTAATGAAGCTGACCATCTTTCCCCGGGACTGGAGCGTCATGCGGCTTCTGACTAGTCAGTAAGTGTGTTCTCATTTCTGTCCCACACTTTTTGTTCCACGGAGGGACGGTGAGGGAACACAGCCAACCTTTCAGATCGGGAGCTCTGCATAATCCTAATCCTGAGGGCGATGCTTGTCTTGCAAATTCTTTAATCTGTTTTTGGCACCAAGTTTGTTTTTCTGAAGCTTGACGTTTTTTATTTATTTATTTATTTCTGCAGCATCATTGTTGTGACGACACAGTTTCTGTCTCCGGCGTTGCACAAGAACTTCTCCGAGGGAGATTTTGATTTTAAAGTAAATGTTTGAAGATTTTTTTCCTGTTTTTGTTGAATTTCTTGTCAGAATAGCGTTTAATTAAATGTGTTATTTTCTCTTTCTCAGGTGTGGAACTCCTTCTTCAGCCTTGCTGTCCTCTACATCAATCAGCCCAGTCTGCAGCTGGAAGCACTTGTTTCTGCTAAAAGAAAGAAAACTCTTGACAAGTAAGACAATACCGTACATTTTTATATGTGTTCTTGTACTTAGTATGGGGGAAACCAATCGCGTTTACACATCCATTTGTCCGTTTTTCTAGACATGGTGATATGAGAGTAATCATGGCGTACGAGCTCTTCAGCATGTGGCAAAAGCTAGGTGTGTCCCCTCCCCGTTTCCTTCATTCTCTTGAATATTTAATGAAGTTATACTAACATGTTTGTGTTCACGAATCCACATTCTACAGGTGACAACAAGCCCCACTTTATCCCAGGAATGATGGGACCCTTCCTTGGTGTCACCTTGGTGCCTCAGACTGAAGTTCGGAATATCATGATCCCGATCTTTCACGACATGATGGACTGGGAACAAAGGAAAAATGGAAATTTCAAACAGGTCATCAGAAAATTCTGATGCTATAAAATACAAATGGAACGTTGTGATTTCATCTTTTTATAAATGCCACGATGAAACTTTGTGCTTGTAGGTGGAGGCGGAGCTGATGGATAAGCTGGACAGCATGGTGTCAGATGGGAAAGGCGATGATAACCACAGAGAGCTCTTCAGCCTGCTGTGAGTATCAATAAAACATGTTTTTATTCAGTCTGTGAAGTAAGACTTTGCTTTAGTGGTACTCTCTAAAATAACTCTCTGCTGGTCTGCTTTTCACACCTCAGAACCCAACTGTTTGGTCCTTACCCAAGGTGAGAAATAATCTCTTTGATCCAAACGATTTACGCATCTCTCCCCCTCCAGTTGGAGGTAACACGTATTTTTTTCCAGCTTGTTGGAGAAGATTGAACAGGAGACCTGGAGGGAAACTGGAATATCCTTTGTCACCTCAGTCACAAGACTTGTTGAGCGGATACTTGATTACAGGTGATCTTAAAAAAAAAATCTAGGTTGCACATTCAGAGTCTGGCGTCCTACATCAATGAGCTGCAGAGTAATAATGTGAATTGTGTTCAGGGATTGCATGAAAGGGGATGAGATGGAGAGCAAGAAAACTGCTGGTTCTGTCAACCTCATGGTGAGACGCTCAGAAGACGTTAAACACGTTAAAGACGATTTTCATTTGTGGAAAATAAAAACTTGACATGTTTGTTTCTATGTGATTAAACTCCAGAACTTCTACAAGTCAGAGGTGAACAAGGAGGACATGTACATCCGTTACATCCACAAACTGTGTGACCTGCATCTCCAGGCAGAAGACTTTACAGGTAACGGAGACACGAGTGAGTCTTTTTTCACTGATGTAAATGTGATGCCACCAACTCTCCCCGACTCTCACGCGCAACGTTTTTATTCTCATGTGAATGTAACTTAAAAAAACAAACAAATAAACAGGAAGCTGACTTCTAACTCAAGGTAAGAATACTTTAGTTTTTTTCATAGGGTCCCAACCAGGGGCGTCGGACTGGGGGGGGGGGGGAGGGTACCGTTTACCCAGGGCCCACTGCAGGGAGGGGCCCTGAGACAGCTTTGAATAAAAATGTTTTATTGTTGTTGTTTTTCCCCCCAACTTACTTAATGTCTTAATAAACTTCCCTTTACCTGGATAAAGAGGTTAAGAAACAGAATTTCGCCTTAAAAATAATAACTGAAAAATCTCTGAGGCATCTGTCACCCCTTAAAAATGTGCAAAGTGGTTTAGTCCACACCAGCGGCCAGGGGCTGCACGGCCGCATGTACAGCTAATGAGACATCGCAGATGCCGACAGCCAGAGCTGGAGGCAGGAGAGTCAGTCATGTCTTTTCCCAAGAAAGGGAAATCTGGCTTCCAGAAAAGAAAAGAAAAGAAAAGAAAAGAAAAGAAGGAGGAAAAGTTAATTGAACAGAAGCAAATAGAAGGACGGTGAGCAGCAGAACAAAGTTTTAGCTGATATTAGCTAGCTCTCAGAAGCTGCATTCATGTTAGGTGTTCAGTGTTAAACGCCTTTAGTTTCACCATCAAGATCAAATATAAATTAATTAATGTTATCAGTGAAAACACTAATTAATATATATATATATTAATCAGAATTATTATCGCGGGCGGCCGCCGCCAATTAATTCGCGGACCTCGCAGTAAAAACAGGTTCACTCTGTGTGGATATTTCAGCGCCTTCCCAGTCATGGACCAGGACAAACTTGGTATCGATGGATTCGTGGTAATCTCAGGAATGTGAAGCTGCCACTGTTTTTCGTATAGCATGATGACACTGGTGTTAGAGGATTGTTATTGACTTGGTTAGATATTTTAAGCCTATTTTAAATTTCTTTATATTTGATCTTGAAAACGGACAATCTTATAATTTGGCTGATAATGCAGGGATTATAAAATTTAGAGTACATTACATTCACAGAGAGAACCTGGTTTATTTCATGTCATATGTATTTAATATATCAATATATATCAGTATTAGCAAAGCTTAACATCATGAACATGACAGACATGACTGAAGAGCAGATGAAGATATCATGCCAGGCACTGATGAGAAAATATTACAAGGATCTCACAGCTGAATTTGAGAATGAGATGCTACACCTGAGAACAATATATGGTGCCACATTTCCACACATTCAGTCTCCTCTTGAGCTGCTTAATGCCATCTAGGATGCAATTACAGAGCATTTTTGGAGAAGTTTGTATTGGACTGAGGATATTTTGCACACTACCTGTGACTGTTGCTGGGGGTGAACAGGCTTTTAGCAAACTGAAACTGGTGAAAAATTATTTGAGATCAACAATGTCCCAGGATGGACTGAACAGCCTAGCTCTTCTTTCTATTGAAAGCCAATTAGCCAAAGGATTGGACTTTAAAGATGTCATAAGTGATTTTGCTAACATGAAGACCCATCAGTGGGCATTTACTGGAAAATAAATTCCAGGATTTTTGTTTGAACACATTGTTGGCAAATAAAAATAATATGTGAAGTCTGGGCATTTCTCTTTTATTATGCTGGCATTTGTATTTGCTCAATGTAGAGGTTAAACTAAGATCATATTTATTATCTTGTCTTATAGCATGACAAAAAATGTGTAAGAGAGATATTAAGTAATTGAGCATGGGGGCCCACCTAGAAGACTTGTACCTAGGGCCCAGAATTTGGTGCTACACCCCTGGTCCCAACTCGATAAAGGGTTATGATGAACACATCTGGGGGTCTTTAAATGATGAAAATATTCGCAGCCTTCAACTGGCCCAGAATGCTGCAGCACGTTTGATCTTATCGCGTCTGATCTGAAATCCCTCCATTGGCTTCCATGTTCTGCCCAGGCAGACTATTGGGTGTTGACTTAGAGCAGCGCTAAACAATGTAGCGCTGCTCTAAGTCGCTGAGCTTCTGAAGCCAGATGTTCCAAATAGGAAAATGCACTTGTGTAATGTGGGGCTCCAATGTGTTTTCAAGGTAAAGCACAAAGTAGTGCTTTTGCTTATCATGCGCCGCTTCTCTGCAATACGCTTCCTCCAGATGTGAGGCAGGCTACCTCTGCTGGGATCTCCAAGAGTCACCTTTTTATAGCATCCTCTCCGGACTAGTGTCACTTGGTTAAAATCTGGTAGTCCTGCTTTTCCTGGAGACTCTGTTTATCCTGATTTAGTGATTTTGATCCTTTTTATCTGTTGTTGGATTTTCATTTGTTTTATTATAATATCAAAGCTCATTTTAGGCCTAACGTCTGCAGTTTTACTCTATGTAGTTACGTCTGTTGCTCTTCGATGTGCAGCAATTTGTCTGAAAGCGCTATACAAATAAAGTTTATATTATTATTATTATTATTATTAGTTCAGTGATCAAAGCCTACTGGTTGTGCAGCACCAGGCTAAAGACCAAAGGTGACAGATCATTTGCTGCTGTGGCCCCCAGACTCTGGAACTCTCTCCCCCTGAGCCTGAGATCAGTGGACTCAGTGGTCTCCTTCAAAAAGCAGCTGAAGACTCACCTGTTCAAGCTGGCTTTGGTGTGACCTTTGTCACCACCCTCTCATTCTGTTCTTATTCCGCCTTTCCCTGGATACACTGATTTCCCTCTTTCCTATTCATTTTCTCTCTCACTGTCCTTACATTTTTAATCACATTTATTCTCCTTTTAAACTTATTTGTAATAATTTTAAAAATCTTTTTATACTTGAATTTTTAATTTTTTTGTGAAGCACCTTGAGATTTTTATCTTGAGAGGTGCTTTATAAAAGATTGTTTTTCTTTCTTTCTTTCTTTCTTTCTTTCTTTCTTTCTTTCCTTCTTTCTTTCCTTCTTCTTCTTCTTCTTCTTCTTCTAATAATGATAATAATAATAATTATTATTATTATTATTATCTGTACAAATCAAATTAAGCTGACAAGTAATTCATATTTACTGTAATTAACATTAAATCTAAATGTAATTGTGAGAAATAATTATAACAAGTTAAATATTATTTGCTTGTAGTCAAACCAGCAAAAGCTGGATTCACAAGGTATTATTTTTTGTGTCAGAAGCTGAAAAGTTTGGAGAAACACGCCACCCACAAAGAAACAAAAATTCATGTTTGTGCACAAACAGAAAATAATTACAGACAGGAGATGAAAATTTCTCTGGCTTGAAAATAGAGAATAAAGTTTTATTATTGCTGTTCCTGGTGAAACTCCCACAGCTGGAGTCACTTTTATAAACACTTTTATTCATTTACTGGACTTTAAACTTTAGTCCATTCAATAACTGGGTTTGCTCTGCTCTTGTTTTTCTGCGGACACCTTTTAAAGTTACCTGTGTATATAATTTACTGAATATTTAAATATTCTTTTAGAAACGTGGTCAGCAGCACGCTCACCTCACAGCAGGAAAAAGCTCTGTGGGTTTTTCTGCGTAAAAAATATATTTTTGTAGATTCTTGTGTCAAGCTTCAACCCAGATTTTATTATTTGTTCACGCACCGATGAAACGGTGATGAGTAGGATACGCTAACATCACACAGGAGCTCTGACGCTCTTGGATAAACAGACAGATTAAATGTCAGGTAGAGGTAATTATGCGCCGCTGACATTTGGTGTTTCACTCTGGGATTTATTATTTAGTGTTTCTGCTTTGAAAACGGTTTACAGCACTTTTTGAATCTGGTGATGCCATCCATTTCTGCAGGAAACCAATTAGCTGGAAAAACGAGTAAATTATCGTCTTTCTATTTAGTTTATTTGTCTTGTGAAGCTCAAATGACCTAAATATGACTCCTAGGTTTTTATACCAAACGCACAAACCCATGCATGACACAACAACAAAACAACAAAGCATTCAGCTACTGGCAGCTCACCAGATAACCCACAAAAAATCAGAATCACATTATAAACTTGACTAGTGCATCACCGAATTCCAGCACCTCCTTGGAAAGAGATAAGCTGTCTGCTTTCCTCCTGTGCTTAAAAATAGGCAGCACCTCTTTGTTGAAGGGAGCTTTTGCTGAAACAGCAGAGCACACTTCCTCACACCCGGGGGAGAGAGGCGAGCGAGTGCCGGATGGGGAAATAGGCTTATTTATTCATAAATTCTCAAATACTAAATGAGACAAAGCTGTAGAGTACCATTTAAGCTGTGCACAAAGAAAAAAGGGTTTTATTTCTTTACCCAAAGGGGCTGTTATTCGAAAAGTAGCAGTCAGCATATGCAGCATCTATGATTTCAGGATTATAAAGTCTTCCCTGACAGCTAAGAATACACAATTTTACATTTAATGACCTTTAAGGCATTTGCATGTTAGCAGGCTGAACCCTTGATGAGCCAGATCTGATGCACGGGGGTGTCTGGTTTGCAGAGTCGCTTCACAGCAGGAAGGCTTCTGATTGAAATCAGAGCTGGAGCTTCTCTGGGTTCTGTTTGCATATTCTGTCTCAATCTGCACAGATTAGCAGGATTCTGAGCGTCTTCACACAGCTTGGCAGCGATGTACAGCATGGCGATTTTATTCGGGGATTATTTTCTATTAATTTTGAGCATTGTTCCTGGATCACTGAGAGTGGGAGGGGTACGATCTGGACAGAGAACACGCTCCTTTAACCTTTAGTCACCATTTAGCCAAAATCCAGTCACCATGCTCCAGACTTTCTCTGCCACCAACTGTTCTTGGTGTCCACCATCTGTTCCTGAGAAATGGACCCTGAATCTGAGTAGGGAGTCGTGTTTCTCTGATGGCAGATTGAAGAACGTGTTCGACATCTGCTGCTTCGTTCTAAAGCAGATAATCATATATCATTGCTTCTGTCCTGCTGCTACAACAGAGGCAGCGTTCACCCTGCTGCTGTACTGGGAGCTGCTGCAGTGGGAGGACCGGCCTCTGAGGGATTTCCTCCACTACCCCTGTCAGAGTGAGTGGCAGCGCAAGGAAAACCTGAGTCGGAAAATCCTCCACTACTTCAACAAGGGGAAGGCAAGTGCACGTTATCTCTTTTAGCTGTACGTCCTGCTTTTATAGACGTCCACTGGTGAAGTTAACGGCCCATGAAGTTTTATAAATATGAGGTTTCTGAACATGAGAGGAGAAACAAACTGAACATGTTTCACAGAAAGCAACATAAATTAGGAGATATGGCTAAACCATTAAAAGTCAAAGGATGAAATCCACACAAGAACACAAAAACACAGATAACATCTCAACCATCTGAACAGTGGCGCGGTGGTTAGTGCTGTTGCCTTGCAGCAAAAAGGTCCAACCTGGGGTCTTTCTGCATGGAGTTGCATGTTCTCCTTGTGCATGCAATGGTTCTCTCCAGGCTTCCTCTCACAGGCCAGAAACATGACTGTCAGGTTGGTTGGTTTTTCTAAATTGTTCTTAGGTGTGTGCATCTCTCTGTTGCCCTGCGATGGACTAGCAACCTGTCCAGGGTGTACCCCGCCTGCTTGTTCAAACGCTGCTGGAGATAGGCACCAGCCCCCCCGCGACCCTGCATGGACAAGCGGGTATGGAGAATGGATGGGTGGACATCTGAACTGTCTCCTAAATCAAATCAGCGCTCATGAGCATCACAATAATACCTAAGCAGAACTTGAGCCTTTGCACAGGCTGCAACACTTCTTTCTCCTTGAGGATCAGCTATCTGTTCAAATTAGATTTTCTTTCCCAAATCACTCCTCCCTGGCCAGTATTCATTGTCCACATTGAATTAGTTGACCGGTCTTTGTGCTTTGGAGGAAAATCCCCGCTGGACCCTGGTAGCAGCTAAGAAGAAATACAATTGCCATCTTTTTTGTTTTCTCTGGTTGTCACTAACCCCGTCGCTATGAGAGGTAAGAAATGTTACTGTTTTGTTCCTGCAGTTTCCTTCTGCTGCATCTGTCAACGTTTAGGCTGCGAATAAAGTTTTGAGTTAAAAGTGCCTGGCAGATTGGTGGCCACAGGGACTTTACAGTGTCTGAAACAAATCTGCATCCTTCCATGAGCCTCAACATTAAAACCACAGATCGATGAAATGAAAATAAATGATGTTCTTCTATAAATATTCACATTTGGTGTAATTTAGAGTCAACATATCTGCATTCATACCTATTATAATTATAAAGTATTTAAAAAATCATAAAGTGAAAAAAACTAATTATTCTATTTTGTTCATTTACATTTAAGCATGCACTTTTTACATTTTTGCACAGAAAAAAATCCACCTTTTTGTTGTGATCCCTGCTGTTCTCCTACCATGACATTAGTGATTTAGTCATTTTAAATACAACTCGGCGGGAAAAAAATGATTCCTTTGGGAAATTTTCAATGAAAAAATGCAAACGACAAAATATTTGTTTCCATCCATCAAACTCCTTTCTGTAAGTCTTACAACAAAACAATCAGACCTTTTTCATCATTACTTTGGATTATAAGTGATTAATCAGGATTAATATCTGCGCCACATTCTTCCTTTCTCTCTGTGATTTTACAGTGTTGGGAATACGGGATCTCTCTGTGCCGGGAGCTGGCGTTCCAATATGAGACTTTATATGATTATCAGAGTCTCAGCTGGATACGGGTAAGTAAAGAGTCCCAGTTTCTGCCTCTCTTATCGAACAAACATCCTCTGTGGTGATGGGAGGTGAGATTTTCAGCTCCCTCTCTGTTACCGCGGTGAGGTGTGAAGAGTAAACAGCATCAAACACAATGTCCTGATTACCTGTGGACGCCCACACTCATGGGTTCATGCAGAGGATCCAGGAATACGTGCCATTAGATTATTATTCATCATCATGACTGTCGGGGTGTGTTATCTTTGGGTCACAGAAAATGGAGGCAGCCTATTATGACAACATCATCGAACAACAGAGGATTGAACCCGAGTTCTTCAGAATGGGCTTCTACGGCAGGAAGTTTCCGTTCTTCCTTAGGGTAAGACTCCAAACCGTACCTCCGTTCCACGGCTGAGGGTCACGCGGATGGTTCTAGACGTAGGAATTTCCAATTGGGTCCTGAGGGGTATTTTATGTGCGTCACATTTGTATCCAGTTCTTCAGTTTTATTGTGCAGCTCTCTGACTCACATGTGTAAATTCACATTTACTTCCCCTTTTCGTCATCATGAAGCTTTAGTTTGCAGCCGCAGCAGCAGAAAGGCTCCATCTAGCTTTAGGGTGCTAAATTCAGCTGTTTTAATGGTTGACTTTACCTGCTCTACTCTAAACAGTCAGATACAGAATCAGGTGAACAAAAAGGGACATTAGCAGCTAAAATGCAGGATTGTTCAGTTGGGCTCTGTGTAAATGTTGAAGAAAATACAAAGTTTGATGAATGCAGTCAGAGCGAAAGAGGAGATAAGGCAACAACTATTTTCCTCTTCTCTCTGCAGAACAAAGAGTTTGTCTGCCGTGGTTACGACTATGAGCGGCTTGAAGACTTCCAGCAAAGGATGCTGGGGGAATTTCCTCAAGCCATTGCCATGCAGCACACCAACCAACCAGATGACACCATCCTGCAGAGTGACGCACAGTGTATCCTGATAGCTTCCCCTCTTCCACAGGCTTTTCGCATAGAAGAGATATTTCTATGAAAACAAATGGATTCCTTCTGATAATTTAAAATGAGGATGCTTGGCTCATTACTGACTTTAAACAGGGTTGACATTATTTTCTAGAGGCAGCCAGTGAAAGTAAACACGGTCTGTAATCCCTTCTTCAACTGTCCTCTCTCTGTCTGACTTGTCTGTGTTTTCCTTGACCCTTGACCTGCAGACCTGCAGATCTACGCCGTGACTCCGGTATCAGACATCTCCGACGTGCCTCAGTTGGAGCGCGTGCCTGAGAGGATCAAAAGTTTCTACCGCATTAACAACGTCAGCCGCTTCCACTACGACAGGCCTTTTCACAAGGGGCCCAAAGACCGAGAGAACGAGTTCAGGGTATGAAGAGTCAGCAGTGGCGTTCTCACATGTCTATATTTTAGTTAGAAAGAAAACTTTAAGAACAATAACTTTGACAAAGAATTCAAATAATTAACATCGCCTGTGATTTAGAAGGAGCAAATCTCTCAGCTGATGGATGTTGTTATGCTGCCCCCTGGTGGCCACATAACAGTATCTACTGCTATTAGGATTTAAAGTGACCACAGCCTAGGATCAGTGTAATAATAATAATAATAATAATAATAATAATAATAATAATAATAATAATAATAATAAATTAATATAAATAATATTAATGATGATAATAATATTAACTGTAATAATAATAATAATAATAATAATAATAAATAAAAATAATAATGATGATAAAATAATAAAAATCAAATAATAAAAAAGTCTACATTTTAAAATTCTATAAAATAATAATAATAATAATAATAATTTGACCAACTTCTCTGCAATAATACCAACAAATTTAAGGTATATATTAAACATGTTCATTTTATTTATTAATCTTTTTAGATCTGTTTCTCTAAACTGCTCATTTTGCTTGGCAGTAAAATATTGACTAGAGCATGAATCATGATTTGATTTGATGTTTAGTGAACATCACATCTTTTAAAATTAGGGATGCACAGTATATCGGCATCAATACTGGTATCGGCAAAAGTTAGTCATTTTCTACTGTATCGGAATCGGTTTGACAAATAAAACTGGTCCGATAATTACAACCAATATTTTTTCCATCTTGTTTCTGTTTGTTTATCTGTTTCAGAGGGTTAGGGGAGTGATGTGTCCAAAAATGTCATATCAGTGCATCACTCGTTTAAAAGTTAATTCTGTTTTGCAAAACATCTTTCAATTCTGCTTTGAACAAATGAATCCCATTCATTTTTAAACAATAGAATGATTCTATTAATAATCAAGTTTAAGGTGTCATGACAACGAAATCTGGAGTTGGGAAACTGAAACCATGTAAATGTACAGCCTTTTCATGAGATAAGAAAACACAAAATAATTCTGAAGCTGGATTAAAACACCAGGAGGCGTCAGATAGAACCGGACATGTCTGTTTTTTTATACAACTGTCAGGTTTCTCATAGCTGTCATTATTAAATGCATCTAACATTGATTGGTAATCATCAGCAAAAATAATACGTCAAACTGTGCCTTGTGTTAATCTGCAGACTCTGGTAGGTTGATGGTAAAAGGTTAAGACAGCCAGAAAACTCCCTATTCTGACTCATAACTAGAATATAACAGACACATTCACCAGGAAGGCAGACCGTTTTTGCAGCTAGCTTAAATATTTAATCAGCTGATAGTTTATCCTATCTCATTTCATCTCTGCTTGTTGTTTTAAGCAGAACTGAAGTCTTTTTGCAGCCTCTAAGGCTTTAGGGACTTGGATGCTTGTTACAGTAGTATTCTTTGACACAGTAACCCAAATGTGGAATCAGGCTAGTGTTGGAGAAAACATGTAGGTCACTGGTCCACAACTAGTTCCTTCCTGATGTTTATTTTCTGATCTGTAATAGAATAGGCAGCCCGTTTAGATTGTGTCAGTTTGACCAGATAAAGCTGGTAGAATAATCTCAGATATTTTTCTGCATGTTTTGCAGAGTCTGTGGATCGAGAGGACAACTCTGATCCTGTCCCGACCTCTCCCTGGGATCGCTCGCTGGGCAGAGGTGGAGAGGAGAGAAGTGGTGAGGAGCTCAAACCTTCACCTGTTTAATTATAGATTCACTAGGATAAATACAATAAAGTTTAATTCTCGCCAAATAGAATATTTACTAAGAAATCACAATGTAACCATAGACACATTGCTTGGTGTGTGTGCGTGCGTGCGTGGGTGCGTGTGTGTGTGTATGTGTGTGTGTCTGCTCTGTCTTCTCGATCCCCAGTGAGTCGTGGAGGATGGCTGCTTATACTGAGCCAGGATCCTCTGGAGGTTTCTTCCTGTTAAAAGGGAGTTTTCCTCTCCACTGTTGCTGCATGCTTGCTTAGTATGAGGATTGCTGTATAGTCGCTGACACTAGTCAGTGACTTGATGCAATTTGCTGGGTTCCTTATATAGGAAACATTATTTCTGATTGGCTTAATGAACTGACCTGAATTGGAATGTTTATTATGTGAAGTGCCTTGAGACGACTCTTGTCGGGATTTGGCGCTATATAAATAAACTTGAATTGAATTGAAATGAATTCATTTTTTCTCTCCTTGACTCAGATTCCAATCACTGATCATTTAAATTTCAGGTGGAGGTGAGCCCTCTTGAGAATGCTATTTATGTGGTGGAGAATAAGACCCAGGAGCTGCGGACTTTGATCAGCCAGTATCAACACAGGCAGCATCATGGCAACATCAACCCCCTCAGCATGTGCCTCAATGGCGTCATCGATGCTGCTGTTAATGGAGGCATCGCCAGATATCAGGAGGTACTGCTGCAGGGCAGAACCGCACAGGCAAGGGTGGAAAAAAAATCACTTTCTAATGAATATTGTTATCTTTTGTTTGATCCTCTGCAACAGGCCTTTTTTGATAAGGACTACATCAGCAGTCATCCAGAGGACACGGAGAGGATCACACATCTGAAGGATCTGATGCAGGAGCAGGTCCGACTCAGTTCAGCGTCTTACTTCTTAGGAAACACGTCTCCACAACCACAAAAGCATTTTTTCTGATGACTTTTCTTTTGCCAACAACAGGTGCACATTCTGGGAGTGGGACTGGCTGTTCACGAGAAACTGGTGCACCCCGAAATGCGTCCCCTGCACAAAAAGCTTGTTGATCAGTTCCACGTGATGAGGACGGGTTTGCACCATGTGAGTGGACCTGTCTGTGACTTTCATTTTTCTCATTGTTCTTCATGTTTATGGCATATAAGCAGGCTGGAAATGACACCAATTCCTCTCAGTGTGTTAAAAATGAAGGCGGTGTGAGGTCTGTGCTGTTATCTTATTTTGTCACCTAGAAGCGTGTCATTGTGCCACCATGAATAGGCTGTGTGCTTTAAAAAAAGAACAAGTAAATGTATTTTTGCTTGCATAAGCAGTGTAAATATTCAGAGTAGTATTTGGTTGGGTCCCAGCAGTGTGTGCCCAGCATGGATCGGTTCGGCCCGGCTGGCTGCATTGGGGTCAACTCACCCAGAGGAATCCTCTCCTCTCACAACCACATGAGCCCTGAGAGTGTGCGCATCATACACAGACACAGGTAGGTCACTGAAACATGTAGAAAGAAACCTTACCCAGAATTAACAACAAAAGTAGACAGATTTCAATGTGCACGTAACTTTTCTTAGCTGCATTATAAACTAAACCTTTGGCTAAAACAGATTTTTGCTTAGAATGAAGAGGAAAGTTCTTTTTATTTATCACTTTTCTGGATAAAAATCACATGGCACTTCACAAGGACAATAAAAAGTTTAGAAATGGTTAAAAAAGAGAAAAATACTAAATTAAAAGGGATGTTCGATAATATTTGTCTACTATTAATATCAGCCGATACCAGAATATTGGTAAATATCGGTTTTCAATCTTTTAACGACATAACCTTTACATACCATTCACATATTATACAACAAACTCTTCAGCTACTTCTCTCTCTGAAAACGTCAAAATATGACAGATCTGAGGTTTATTTTTTTTAGATATTTTAGCTTATTTGACACAACAAAGTAGAAAATTAGCTCTGCGCAGTGAAAATATGCTGTCCTCACAGCACGTAGCTACATGTAGCTAACAGCTAACCAACGACTAAAACAGAAACACAAATCTTCACCCAAGGATTGCTTTTCTTATCTGAAGATCGTTATAACAGTCACTGTAACAATAATATACAAAAATAAAAATACGTTCATAAATGAACACATCTCAGTGTCACGCCTAGGGAAAATGAGATTCAGTTGCTGCTGGAGACAAAATAAATGTGGTGCATTTCCTATTACTAACTTAGTCAGAAGTATTTGTCTTTTTGCACAGAAAATGTTTAAAACTTAAGCGTACGTGATGGGACATATGTGATGTTAGTAATCTAAACACAGCATACATCAGCATCAGAAATTAGAAGTCGATAATATCGGTGTATCGGATTGTGGTAAAAAAGCTAGTATCCCTAAGAATTAAGATTAAAAATGAGAATAAAGAAAGAGAGAAAACAACGTAGCCTGAAAAATACAGAAACACAATCATGAAAGGAAGTTGAAGTTGATCATTGTCCAAAACTTACGAGAAATACACAGATGATGATGTCATCATCTTTGTTCTGCAGCCCTCTGAACCTGCAAGGTTCGATCCGCCACTCCTCTTCCTCCCTGTCGTCTCACACGTCGAGCGAAGCTGGAAACCTGGTCATCATGACCGACGGTCTGATGGGGGAACACCCTGAGGAGGCGTTACACATGCAGGTAGGACTCCACGACAGCTGAGCTCAGCTGTGATTGTTAAAACCATAACGGCCTTAAGCTTTGTTTAGCTTTTGAAACAACTGAATGTACCCTGTTTTTCAGCCAAGCCCCTCTTCCTCCAGTTTGAGCTCAATCCGCTCTAACTCCTCTCAGATTATCAACTCAGCTCCGTCAAGTGCCAGAGGTGAAGTTCAGACACTGGATGTACTGTCAATGATCACAGAACTCACATACAGTAGAAGACATCCCTATGAGATGATAAGTTTACTTTTATCTTTGTGTCCACAGGCTCTCCGTCTCTGCCTGATAAGGCCAAACATAACCGAGAAGTGATGATGCTTTTGCCGTCTCACCGCGAGAGGGCCAACAACAACATGTACTACAATGTGGCCGAGAACGGACAGGTACGGCAGCGGCACCACAACTGTATTGATGTCAAATTAGAGAATCAGGATTCATTCAATACAAAATGCAGCATTTTATGATTTCTTTCATCCTTCATGTCAGAATAACCACATGCAGCGTGCCTTACTTCAGCAAGTCAGCCCCTGTAAGCCTTGCACTGATGCTCACGTGAATCTACCAGAGAAAGGTCAGATTCAAACTGGGTGACACTTTTCCACGAATGTGATGTTTACGTGCTCACGTGTGGAATAATGTGAACGTTCGGTTTGTTTCTAGTCTTTCCCAATGCTTCCAGCAGCTGGAGTCTGGACGGAGACAACCGGGAGCAGGTGTCCTACCTGCCGTCTTCTACTGGAGGAGTCATCATGCCTCCTGCCCCACCCAGGTCCTTCCCATCGGGTACTTCCTCATCTCCCCTCATAGTTGTTAGGGTTAGACAGTTGGTTAAAGAACTAAAAAACATAAAATGTGATTAAAAAAAGGTCAACTACATTATCTCTGCAGGACACTTTATGATGCATTGTGATGCATTTCACCATCAGAACAGCGACCCTCCTCCTGCCCTGCCTGTTCGATCTCTTCGAAAGGTACAACCTGCTGCTTTTAGATCAGAAAGAGTCAGTTGTTATTTAAGAAGAAATAACAAAAATAATTTTAACATTTTAACTTCAACTAGTAAGTTTTATTGTCCTCCAGGTCAGCATATATGGGACTGATGAGATGTAATTAAGCTGTGTTTAAAATCATTTATTCATCCTTACATTTTTTGTCAAATGTTAAATGAAAATATAATTTTTTTTGTATCACCAGGTGTGTGAGTTAAAAATCCAGTGAAGAATCTGCTGATAAAGAGTATTGATATGTTTTTGTTACACCAAATGGTTTGAGGTGGATTTAATCAGTCGCTCCTCATGAAGATTAAAAACTTTTTTGACCTTCAGGATTTTTCTCTCCTTTTCAGTGCAGAATTGTGTCTTTCCTCATGTTTAAGCTCAAACTGCACAATTAATGTCACGTTTAGGAAAAAGGACTTGCACCAAAAATTAGCATTTGTCCAAAGCCCTGTTGATCAAGACCTTTTAAAAAGAATCACAAGCATGTCTGGCTTCCAGGAAGAAAGCAGAATATAACTGGGGATGGTTTAGAGCTTTAGCAGCTCTGAAGAAATCTTTTCAATAATTCAAGCACAAACACACACACACACACACACACACACACATGCACACACCCACATTACAAATGTGACGTGAGTGCCCGATACACAGAACCTCCCCACTGATTCTTCCTGTCTTTGCCTCTCCAGTCTCCTCTCCACCCGATCCCCGGCTCTCCCACCAGTCCTCAGTCAGCTTTAGGAGGCAGCAACTCCACCCTGTCAGGCAGCGCCAGCAGCGGCGTTTCCTCCATGAGTGAGAGTAACTTTGGAGGTCAGTACCCCGACCCCGGACCCATCAGAAACGACGCCTTGGAGCCTCTTCCCAGTCACCTGTGGTCCCCCCCTGAAGAGTACCTGACCTCCCCCTACCTGCACATGCACTACGGTGGGACAGAAATCGACTCCATGGACCCAGTTCGACCCTTCCATTACCGCAACCCTGCGTCTCACCCTCACACCCACCCACACACTCACCCTCATGCTCACACCCACTCTGGGCTTGAAATCCACTCTCATGGTCCGCCCCCCCACCACCACATTCCCACTCACGGCCCTCATCACATCCCTTACCGCAGGCCACAGCCTCCAGCCGTGCCCCCCAAACCCTACCTGAGAGAGGGCTGCATCCCTGAGGAGGACCTGCAGCCTCAGCCCATCCCGCTGCCCCGTAGGATCTTCCACTCCCCTCACGGCCACAGGGAGGACCCGAGCAAACACGCCTGGGAGCAGTGCATCAGCGAGGAGCATGAGGAGAATCAGTGACGGGATGACTCCGGCCTCACTTCAGTCTGAGCTCAACTTTTCCCCCCTCATTTGCACTGAGTTAGGAGCGCATGTGAAGCAGCGGTGACCCTTCCTGTTGTGTGTTTGGTTGTCAGTGCACATGAAGGAAAGAAAATGGGGTGGACCTCCACAAAGCTTCAGCTGGAGGCACAGCCCACCCTCACAGCTCCACACGGCTTTTTTAGATGTGATCACAAATAAAATATCCATCGAACAATAAGACAAACTGATCCAAAATCGATATTGATTGTACACGACTGTACAACTCGTCTGTGAGCATGTTTTTTTGTTTGTTTGAGAGTAATATGACAACAGTTTTGTGGAACAGTAGAACCATGATCATAGCCAACGTGATCCCAGAAGCGCTCTGAACTCTCTTCTTTTGCTTTTCATGTTTTCACAACAAAGAAACTACAGAAGGTTGTTACTCACAGTGAAGTGACTTCTCTTGTTGAAATGCTTCATATATATGAATAATTATTTTGATAAATTTGCTACATTCTAGTGTATTCAAAGGCTTGAGCCCATTATGTTTTTCAAAAACACTGTTAAGTGCTCCTTAATGGTGAACCATATCAAATGGTATTGCTGCTGGGCTGTCACTAACCATAGGTCTGTAAGGTCCAACCTGCAGCTCTCTTCTTGGACATGAAAGTCCCTATTTCCCATCCGCACCATGCGTTTGGACACCTACGTGAATGTATTCAGATGAGATGTTCTACTTGTGCTGCACAAGCTGCTTTCCCAGGTTCTTTCTTTGGTTTTTGAATTTGTTGAAGTGCTTTACAGTCTCCATCTGTCTGGTTTGTGTGGTGAGGATAAACTCAAGACGAACGAGCGCAGAACTGGAGCGGAGGGGGGGCTGAAGATGATAACTAACATGTCGCAAAACCTGTCAGCTTTCATTTTCACGGTGAATAAAGAACAACAAAAAAGTAAAAAGCATCGTTCACTTCACGCCTCAGCTCTACTGCTGGACTCTCAGAACCAACGCCACTCCCTCCTCCCGTCTGCCTCCATTTGTTTTCCTTCTCTGTGTGGCTTCAGGTTCAGCGACGAGGACCTGACCTGGACAGCTGGGCCCACACAGACAGGGTTGGATTCGCCTTCCTGCCTTAAGTGCACTCAAATGCAGTTTGACCTCTCATCTGGACTCTCATTCAGAAACAGCCATTTTCTCTGTCCACACACACACGCACGCACGCACGCACGCACGCACGCACGCACGCACGCACGCACGCACGCACACACACACACACACACACACACACACACACACACAAGTATCTACCTAACAAGGATGTTTGTATGGTTTCATCCTGCTTTGGTTTCAAACCCGGTGTTTGTTTTTGTAGCGCTGATGCTTCTGACTCTTTCTCGTTCACCTTCAGTTGTTTGAAGCTGATGATGTTTCAGGAGAACGTGGAACAGACCGACAGCTCTCCTTTTTATTTCGATGAGTAGAAAAAAAGCGCTGTTTATCGTCCTGTTGTCGGTTGGAAGGATATAGCTAATACTTTCACAAATCCCTGTTTTCCCGGTTGTTTTTCTTCTTTTGCAGGTGGCTGCTCTGTGTTGCTGTACATCAAGTTGTCAGCTGACTAGACAAGATCTATTTTTGTATGTGAGATCATGAGATGTGTGTGTATTGAAGGCCCAGGCACTGCGTAGGCTGCTGTACCTTGTATGGAGTCGAGGTTAGTAGATAAACAGTGTGTGAGTATCTCTCACGAGCTAGAGGACAACCGGCGACTGAAGCGATACTCAAACTATAAGTACAATAGAATTTTTCAATGTAAATTCTGTTATTGTACATACAGCAGTATTGTGAAATATTTTTGAGAATTATTGCAGAAGCCCTTACAAAAAGGTTTATTGTTGTTTTGTGTATATACATGTACCCAAGAGATCAATGTAATTGATAAATATCTATAATCAGTGTTTGGGAAACAACAAATTCACTAGACTTTTGGCTGTCTCCACCATTCTTCTCATACAAATACTTTATACACTTTTCAATGTGCTTTCCTGTACATATGGTGTTAGCATGATCAAAAAGTGGTTGTAAAAGTGGTTTTCCTACTCCCATAAATGCTGTGGTATGGAGTTCATCAACAATGCCAAACATTAAAGACAATCTTTTATCAGCTCCAGCTCCTCCTTGTCAGCTTTACTTTGAAGCCTTTGTGGGCGATGCTCATTTTTAAACCTGTAGGGGGCGCCAAATGGCAGCCTGTAAGTGGTAAACATGTGAATGGTTGTGCTATTTTCTCTGATCTGTGACACACTGTTGGTGTTTGAAGTGTGTGTGTGAGAGAGAGAGCAGGCATGACAGACAACCCTTGGTTCCAAAACAACAACTGAAAACAAAATGACAGTGAATGCCTCTAATCTCTTCTTCTCTGCCACTATAACACCCCACTTTCATCTTTAATGATGCTTCATGGTTCTAGCTTTTATTATTTAAGTATAAACTGAACCAGTTTGTCTGTTAAACACAATAAATACGTAGATAGATAGATGATAGATAGATGATAGATAGATGATAGATAGATAGATAGATAGATAGATAGATAGATAGATAGATAGATAGATAGATAGATAGATAGATAGATAGATAGATAGATAGATAGATAGATAGATAGATAGATAGATAGATAGATAGATAGATAGATAGATGATAGATAGATGGATGATAGATAGATAGAACATCCCTTATGCAGACACCAATGGTAAAAAAGAAGAAATGAGGAAAAGGTGGAGTGTTAGGATGAAACAACCACAGCTGGCCCTCCTGAGGCTGCTGCAGCAGCAGCACATATTTCATGTTTACGTTTCCCCCTCTGTTTGTATTATTTTTTCTTTCTGACAAGCTCCCATGCCTTGGAGTCTCTCAGTGTTGTGTCCTGAGGGACTTGAAGTGAGCGTATCTGCACACATCAGCATGATTCTGTATTTGTCTCCACATGTGCACCCGTACACGGAGGATGAGATCTTTTCACTTCGTGGTTTGCTTTTCTCATTCTGCCATTGCTCAGTGGCATGTCTAGAAAATATTTTTGAGGTGGCCAGGTAGAGAAACAAATTTGGACAAGGGAGGCACATGTTAACAGCTCATAAATTTGAAAAAAAAAATTTATTTTTATAATAACTTTTTTTTAAATAACAAAACATTAACCATAATCTAATTGGCTGCTATAAGCCGAAACAAAGTCAAAGCACAATACCAATGGTGCACTTGTATCAATAATAAGCATTTTTCTGTGAATAAATGCATTAATTAATTTTAATAAAATTGGGACTTTCTCTGACATTGTAAAGTCAAGATTCTTTTAGAAAAGAGAGTAGGCTTCGTTTTGGGTGAAGTAGCATTAAACTTTTTGGTAATTTTTAATTTTTTAATTTTTTTCAACTAATAACAGAAATAGGTGAGTTTTAAAACCTAATATCAATGAAAAATAAAGAAATATATCTATGAAATAACATCAACAAGAAATAAAATGTCTGGCCTGGTTTTTTGTTGTTGCTGGTTTGTTGCCTCACCTCTGTCAGTGCGCCCCAGGGCAGCTGTAGCTACATTGAGGCTCATAACCATCAGAATGTGAATGTGTGTGTGTGAGTGGATGAATGATACACTGTAGTGTAAAGCGCTTTGGAGCCCTCTGACTCTGAAAGGCGCTATGCAAGTGCGGGTCATTTAACATTATCATTTGTTTTCTTTGAACCCAAGAGTCTCATTATCTGAATTTCAGAAATGTTTTGGAGCATGAACCAAGCTCAGTTTAATGCTGAAAATACTAAAACATGAAAAAATAAAAAAACTTCCAATTGTCATCTTACATTTGATATTTTATTGTTTATATGTTATAGATGTTTTGTTTTTATTGATTATATGTTCTGGATGTCTTAGCTTGGGGCGGCTAGCTTTATACAGGGGGGCCTGTGGACCCCAGGACCCCCTCTAGGCTCGCCCCTGTTGTTACTGTTCTGGGTGCAAGAGCACAATGAGTAAAAGCTCCTCATTTGAGGGGAAGCTTTCTCACTGAAACTGCTTCTGCTGCTTTAGTTTGACCCTGATCGGGTTTGAATGCGTAATCCTTCGTGTGAATTATCTTTCAAACAACTGAACGGACTCGGCTACAGCTGCCACATCAGGAACAAAAAGACTTTTAATAAATGAAACAATACTAATAAATAAAGATTAACCAGGTTTCACATTCAAAATAAAATCCAACAAAACAAGATGTAACACTGAAGTAAAGTACAGTACCATAGCAGAGATTTAAAAAAAACAAAAGAAGAAGAAAAATCACCCCTGGGACATTTACAAATTTTCTTAAAAACTTCAAGAGGCAAACAGACATTGTATAAAAGCATCATACAGTAGAGTAATCTGATTACAATTTACAAATTTATTGAAGGATAAATACTTAGCTGAACTTTAGATGTGAAAACTCCTAAACGTATACCTCTCAGGTGAGATTCACACCTTTTCCTCTTTTAAACGGTTGATAACAGTGATGAAGTGAAGATGAAGGCAGTCTATCAATTCATGGGAAACTGACAAATTATCTATAAGTGTAAATAACCTTTAATGGTGCCACCCGTTGGTCTCTGTTGGTGCATCGAAGAACTAAAGTCAGGAGCATCTCTTCTGGCGAATATGGCTACATCAGGCGTTTTTTTTTCTCTCTTTAAAGAACACTGCAGCTGTCCTCCTGGATGCACGGAGGACTCATCAGTAGGGAGCAAACTTCTGTCTTTCTGGCTTTTTGATGCAGTTTGCTGAAGATATCTTGGCGGTGTAAGCGGCCAGGGTGGTGTGGGAGGGCGCAGCGGTGACGGCCACCGATGGAGCCGGGCTGGACAGAGTCAGGAAGGGGACGGACTTCATCCCCAGCAGCCCGGAGAGCGGCATGGCTCCGTAGGGAGCGCCGAGCATGTGAGTAGGGGTCAACGTGCCCATGGTGGCCAGGGTGGGTGCAGGAGAGGCAGCTGGGGAGGTGGGCTGGGTGAAGGCCATGTTGAGGTCGACTGGAGACGCCATGGTGGCTGCCTGGGCCGTGGATTTGGCTGTTTCTAAACTGTGAGGGCAGTGATGGAAGGAAAGAATGCAGAGACATGGAGACAGTTTTAAAATGATTAAGGAGGGATTTCACTGGTATCAAATTCTGTTTACAGGTTTTGGGAGTACAAGTGAGGAAAACGCTGTGAGGAGTCTGATAAAACCTTCAAGGAGATGCTGCTGGAGTAGCTGGAAGCCAGAAATCTTCAGCAAATAAATAAATGATTATGAGGATGAGTCTGGCAGGCCAGGCTAAGATTTCTGTATTCTGGGCTTGAAATATTAAAGAGCAAATGCAAAAACAAAAGAAAAAGAGAAGTAAATTATTTCAAATATAGAGCTATTGGTTATGCAAATTAATGCTGAAGTAAATTTAAATGTTTACAGACAACAAATAATGATCTTGATTGATCTGCCTATTCATTTGTTCATGTTTAGTGAATATTTTTGGATTTAAAACCTATTTCTCTAGCAGCTAGTCTGGAGCTTACATCACAGACACAAAGAGTGATGGACCCTAGCTGCTGTAAACAGCCACGAATGCTCGTCATCTAAATATTCAACTAAAACCACCTAAAACTGCACAGCTGTTATTTTACTTTTTCTTTGCGTAAATAATTTTTTCTCAATAGGATGTTTTATGAACAGATGCCAAAATGTTCTGCTCTACAACATAATGCTGCTCTTCTCCAAGGATGATTACGAGCTGCAGGCAACCAGACCTCATTATCACTGTAAGGTTGACCTTTGACCCTTTTAAGCAGATTCTCCAAGACGGGCTCACAGAGTGATTCATTAGATGGCTGTTGCTGTCACCGAGTCCTACCAGGAGGTAATGAGGTACTGGGCCAAGTTGATGCTGACTGGTGTTCCTGTGATAGTGACATGGCGGTCACTCGTCCCGTCCAGCTGGCTACCAATTTTGATCTGCGCTCCCGACACCTGCCGGATCTCGTTGATCTTCGTTCCCTGACGGCCGATGATTGAGCCAATCAGCTATGGAGGAACAGAGGTGAAAGGTCACTGAGTTTGATGAACAATAAAAAAGGCCGTTTCTCACAGAGAGAGCTTTTTAGTGCTGATGGAAAAGACTTACAAAAATAAAGGTGAAGAAGGCAAATCCTGCGCTGCTGTTTAGCTGACCTAATGCACACCACTTCAAATATTGCAATTACATAGCTTGTCTTCTGTAGTTTGGTCATCCATCATCTGTGTCAAGTGCATTTTTTTTACCCCCCAAGTTTCCTTCAATTGCTACTGTGTTGGTACCAGTAAAAGAGGGGAGAGAAGGCACATTTGGCTCTCATTAATCTGAGTAGCTAAAAGGTTATTGATTCCTTGGAGTGGTGACGGCCTTCCAAACAAATCACTTCCCAAACACACACCAGCTAGATGCATCTCTGCGCTAATGGAAAACATAATGGGAAAATAACTCAAATACATAATGTACGTTCCCATCGGCCTGAGTATGCTCTCTGCTGAGAGCAGATAAGACAATGGCAAGGTTTTTATTGCAACCCAAACTATATTATTACTATAGCTTTGATCTGCTTTGGTTACCCAGCTTGGACCCTTGCCTGCTAGTGACGATGGATATTTAGCAGAATCAGACCTCAGAGCCACATATCAACTCAAGTGCCCAGTGTCAGGGCTGGAGCGACAGGGTTGTGCTGTCAAATATATAGCGGGCACGCCAGGCAGTGATGAAGTGCTCGTAGTATGTGAGTGAGCAGAGAGTTTAACAGTGGCAGTCGTACGCTGACGTACAACCGGGGTCGTCTTCTCTGAAATGTATATTCTGATTTTGACAAGGGAGCAGTCCTGTTTCAGCGTCTGATTCGTCACAGTGAGCTGGTTGGTCGGCCCAGTTATTATTGACTGAGGAGTTTTTTAAAGAGCCACACACACACACACACACACACACACACACACACACACACACACACACACACACACACACACACACACACACACGCACACACAACTCCAGAGACAATGGCCACTACAAACCAGACAGAGACAGAGCCTCCTCCCAGCTGAGAGAAAAAAACTCCAGCAGCTATCAATAGGTATCAGTTGTCAGCAGCTCATCCACTTTACATGGCGCCAGATTAAAGTTGTAATTTCTGTAAAAAAAACCCTCATAAAATCCCAAAACTGCTGAATAAACAAACTACAAGTAAAAATACGAGAGATTTCACTGTTGTTTTCTGAATACTCAGAATGACCTGGTCCTCAGCTCCATGTGGCCTACTTATACACATTTATCTATATCTATACATATATCTATATTATACTGATGAGTTCCTGCTGAGGCAATGCTTTAAAAAGACACAGGAAGTGGGGTGAGACAGTAGCAAGTGCAGCCATTTTTCTTTCTGACGCAGCTTCCATCTTCTACAGAGATGCAGCACCCAGCTGACTAGAAGTAAGCAGTTTCTGAAAGCATCTGTGCATGCAAGCCTTCTTTAGAGCATGGTGTGTGAGGACAGAGTGGGGTTGTGTTGTTGGGTTTAAGGGGGAGTTTAAGGGGTGAGGGTGGACTGAGAGCAGAGGAGGCTCTGTCCCCTCTTCTGGAACAATGGCTGGAGCTCACAGCTGTCCCTGTCACGTACGGCTCTGGACACCTTCATTCCTATGATACATTGTGCTGCATGCCATGTGTGGGTTGTGCTATGGGGGTGGGGGGACCTTCAGGCTATTTAGAAATGACTGAGGCATCGGGAAATACACACACACACACACACACACACACACACACACACACACACACGCACGCACGCACGCGCGCACGCACGCACGCACACACACACACACACACACACACACACACACACACACATATGTAAACATACATACACTTTGAGGTTAAAACTTAAAAAATAGATCCAGCTAAGAAAATATGTTTCTTCTTTTTAAAAATTGTTCTGTAGCTAAATAAATCCCTTTGCTGTCCTCAGTAAAAACTGACAGTAAGGAAAAGAAAATGGATACAAATAGTTACAAAATGAAATCAAACTTTTGACATGATTTTTAAAAATCTAGACAGAAAATAATAGAGTGCATAAAAATAGTTTTGGTCAAGGTTTAAAGATCGTGTACGATCTCTTCCACAATCAGTTAACACCCAGAGAATGTGTGAATGACTCTCAGCTTCTATCACACCTTACTGTAGCTCAGTATCTGTTAAACTGACTGTTATAGCCGCTCTGTGTTGGCTAACGTCCAGCAGCGTGACTCCAAAAGTGAATCAGTTGTAGACGAGCATCCATTCATTTCTTTCTGGAAGTTTCTGTTCAGTGGATTATTATAGATGCCCAAACTCAGGCAAAAACATTATCGCCTTTCTGCACTTGGCTGCATACGCTACTCCAGATGAATAGTTTTTCTTTCTGGTGGCCCTAAAATGCTAATAAAACCAATTTATTAGCATCATCACCAAATGTAGATATTTTTATCTTGCCAACAGATAATTAATTAGGATAAGAAGATGAACATATTTTTGAGAAAGGGGTGTACCACCACAGATTGGAGCTGGGATTAAGTAAAAAAAAAAGACCTATCACTTGATATTTTTTGATGTCTTAATCTTGTGAACATTCTATTAAAAAGTTGACTCCTCTGGGTTTGTGCTTCACAATTCTCTGACCAAAGCAGTCAAACTGAACGCTTCTCTGGTTGTCTCATTGTGATTTCTGCTCTCAGACCACAGAGTCTGCTCATCAAACCCTGGCGGAGGCTAAAGGCTGACACTGCTCCAGCATGTCGGATCTGTTGGATTGCCATGAAGCGACGTCGTATGGGCGATCAAACACTGTTGGATCGTCGGTTGAAGTCGAGCTCTATTCTCTAAATATCCGACGGCCACATTGTATGCTGGACATCTGTTCTTGGTCAGCCAAACAACTCAACGTCATTTCTGGCACGACGTAGCTTCCCTTAAAAAATTTAAACAGCGCGAGTGTTGACAATGGATGGACACTCCACCGACGCCTCTTCCTTCGTCGTTCTCGCTGTGCTCTTTCTAATAACAGTTGTTGTTCCTCTAGCTCAAGCAGCTCCTGCTCAATAAAAGAATTCGCTCTGTGTCTGTGTCGTCCATCTTTTCACAAGTGTATGTGCGTTGCAGATAGTAAGTAGTAGTAGGGCAGACATGTCACTACAATTGTATGCACACCTGCATAGGAGCGTGCCCTCTGTTGTTTTGGCGGAGAATTTTTTTACAACAGCGTCGGGCCAGTATAAATACAGAGGAGACACGATGCTGCAGCAGCGGGGCGCAAATGTGCCTTTGCTTAAGCATGAATCAGGCTTTAGTGAAGGATCCTTCTCTGTTTTCTTATTGGCTGTTTTGACAGCAGACAGCGTCTAAGTAGGTCAGGAAACATGAGAGGATTTACTCATCACTCATGGGAGTCACTCTAAGGCACTGCAACTGCAGCCCACACAATATGTGAAAGGATCTGTATCAGCTCAAGATCCCTTTAACCTTGGTTTACTCTGAGGTTAGGACAATGAGGATGATTAGTCAGTTGCCGGCATAGGCTTTCATCTCTTTTAAAGGTGCACTGCAACGTCTTTGTTCACCTGCTGCAGTGAAAAAACGAGACAAAGAAATGGGGAAGGCTATGCAGATCTGTCTTACATCATTGGGAATAAGCAGCTCCTGAGATGTCTGAGAAGTTGAGTCCATCCCTGATGAGAAAATAACAAGCATCAAGTAAATAACAATTGACACATCAGACATTTTAAATATTAATTTGAGTCTTTTTAGTCAGACAAATTGCACAACCCGGCTGGAAACATCATTTCAGCTGAAAACTGCCAAATATAGTAAAACTGTTCATTTCCATTTTAATGGGCTGGTGTTTAACACAGGTCTCATTCTTTTCTGCCAGTTCTCTGACTCTGCAAAACACATCATTGCACATAATAGTTTCACTCTCAGACGGGCCATGAAACCTCGTCCCCTCCCCACTAACTGATAAAGACTTGTAATCAGCACAGATAATAACCTCTAACACCTGTAGGGAGGTTAAAAAGATCTGAATTGTTACAGACAGAGGGCAAAAAAAGAAAGGATGGAGCAATAATGGAGGAAAACACTGACTCGTGTTACTGGAGCACATACCGGGCATGATTGTCGAGGCAGGCTGGGCGATGGGACTCAGGCCTTGCTGCACTGACAGCTGGTGCAGCTTGGCCAGCTGTAAAACAAAAGAGGGAAAACTCGATTCAGCGAAACACTAAACCATAAACTTCTCCGGTCAAACTGAATTATGATACTTCCACAAAAAGCCGTATACCTCTGAGTGTGGAATGCCATATTGATTTTGCAAGGTGTAAGCCTGAAAGAGATCATCATGCATTAGGTAAATGAGAGCAATAAACACACACAGACACACACACACACACGTACACACACAGCTTCCAATGAAAGTGCTTCTCTGTCAGTACATGCTAGATTTCCTAAAAAACATCTAATTAAAATGACTGAAGCTAATTTTTTCTGTCTGGAAAATCAACAGAAGGTAAAAAAAAACTTGGTTGCTTCCAGTAACTGCAGCAGACACAAACGTTCAGGTTTGGTTTAACCTGAAGAACCGACATCAAATCCTGATATTTTTCAAATCTTTCACCCCAAAAGAGGCCAGTAATGTTTTGCTTGTGGGGCTCGCAGCATTAAAAATGGCTTATAAAACTTTCATCATGAGCCTCTTTGTCTGTTCCTCTGAGCTATTTCTGCTCCTCGGCATGGACAACTGGAGTGTATTAAACTAACTTTCAGCTGACAGAGCTGTCTGTGGTGAAAAATAAGACAAGACAAGCTTGTTTTAAAAGGGAACAAAAGAGTTTAAATCTGTCAGAGCGCCCAGGGCAGCTGTGGCTTCATTGTAGCTCATCATCACAGCATGTGCATGTGTGTGTGGATGGGTGGATGGCTGATTGTGCTGCGAAGTGCCTTGGGGGGTAATAGAGCCCTTGAAAGTGCTATACACAGGCCATTTTACAGACATGCACACAAATTCATTTATTATGGCTGCATGAACAAAAATGTAAAATATGCTGTAAATAAATTCTTGTCTAATATGTCACTCACTGAATTTTCACAGCCCATATTTAAAACAAATGACACAATAAAGACACTAAAGTAGACTGGTTACAATGGCCGGACAGCCTTTGTTATCTAAGCTGAGCTTGTCATGGTCTGCGTCTCCCCTCATGTGTCTCCCTGCGTTCTCCATCCCTCTCAAGCTCCCACAATGCAGGTGAAAAATTGAAGCAATCCCGGAAATACTAAAAATTGCAGTTCCACCCTCATCCACTGGGGGCTGGTGTCAGAAGCGAGCAAATCCTCATTGACTCCCATGTTAAAAATACCAATTTCACAACAGAAATAAACATGTTTACAGCCTGGTACCAAAACATGTTTTTGGTTTAAATTATCTAGTTTACACTCAAGACAACTCTGAGGGGGTGAATTTTTTTCCCACTCTTCTGTTTAAGTGTATTAAAAGCCTAAAATTCTGTATAATTAATGAGCATCAGAGCCACGTGACCACAGAACTAGCTCCGGGGAAAGGCCTCAATCTGAGCCTCGGTCTGGCCTGAAAACTGTTCGGTCATTTTCAGTCTCTCAACTTAGACCATTAGTTGTAGCGTGTGTGCGTTCTTTTTTGGATATTTTTTGTGCAATTGTTGGACAAAATGACTTGCTGTGGCATTAATTGCACTAACAGAGCATCCAAGAAGTCTCCACTTCATTTTTTTCAGTAAGTAAAATTATATTTATGTATTTTAGGTAACTGCCGAGCTGAGCTTAGATTTTAGCATGTACTGTTTAACCATGAAATTTAAATGTAATAGGGTAAAACCCAGTGCATTTAACATAATGCTGCACTTAAGAAAATGGGTTGAAATATAACATGTTGGTGGAGCTGGGTTCCGACTATCGGCTTGTGGAGCTCTCAGGAGACCTCTGTTTTCCACCGTTCTCGCCTCCCCGCAGCTCGGCGCATCCCTGTCTGATCGCGGCTTCTCTTTGCTGCGTGGGCTGCCGGCTTGTGGAGCTCTGATTGTCCCCAGATCTTCAGCCCTCTAGGTTGTCCTCCTCAGGTATCCCCCTCCCAGGTCCAGTGCTCCCGTGGTCCCCTTTAGTCACGCCCCTGTAGTTTTTCTTTCTGTAGTGTTTTCAGCTCCCCCCTTAGAATATTAGTTATGTTTGCTGCTCTTCTGATCTTTAGGTTTTACTCTTAGGTCATTGTCCTTTAGTTTCAGCTGTTTATGTTTTTAGTCTCTTTAGTGTATTTTTCCCACCGGTGTTTGTGGTTTTCCTCCCGCCTTTGAATATTAGTTATGTTTGCTGCACTCCTTGTCTTTAGGTTTTACTCTTAGGTCATGTTAGTTTCCTCCCTGATTAGTTAATTGAGTTCACATGGTCTCGCTCTCCCCACACACCTGCAGCTCATCTCCCTCTCATCCTCCCCAGTGTATAAAGCCCTGCCTGTGTCCCAGTATTTTGTCGGTCCACTGTTTGTTGTCAGTGTTGTCTCGGTCCCTCTCTTTTGATATCGCCAGGTCTGCTCTTTAAAGGAGCTCTTAGTCTGTAGGTCTCAAGGAATTTACTTATTAGGATTTTGGATTTTTGTTTTTTGGCTTCCTACCCTTTTGGATTTTGAGCTTTGGTCTCCAGGATCTCAGGACATTGGTTTTTGGTTTCCTGCCCCTTTGGATTATTTTGTTCCCATCAAAATAAAGGGATTTTACTTTAACTCGCTCCTGCCTCGTGTTGTCTGGGTTCTCTGCATTTTGGGTCCAAACCTCCTCCTAGCTCACATCGTGACAGAGCTTTTATATAAACAAAAGCTACAAATTGAACTTGTTAACTCTCCCAGACCTTAGACTGAGGTAACAAATACTTTTATCCAGCTGCCCTGTTTATGATTATTTAAAATTAATTATCAGCTGTTCACACACTTAGAAATTATCTAGGAAAATAAAATGATATTAATGATCAGGATAATTTTCAGAGCTTGAAGCAACACAAACATTCTTCTGAGTAGTTTTTAGCTACCTTAAAAAATGTAAAAGAACTCATAGAAAACTATTTTGTCTCAACTTATTGTCTTTTTACATTAATTTAAGGGGATTACAAGTTTGAAGTTATTTCAAGACATGCATCCTTTGAAAACAAAGGCAAATATTTGAGCATTAGTTGTGAAATAAAGTAGCCTCATCAAATACTATATAAACATTCAGAACGGTCACCTTGTATTTATAGGGGAACTAGGCAGTTTTGGCTTGCTTTTAGCACCCCTAGTGTCCATTTGTGAAACTAAAAGCAAAACCTATCTCCTTGCTGTACGTTCCTCGTTTTAACACTTTAACAGCTGAAACGTCTCCCCAGCCTTCATTAGTGTCTACAGGAGTGATTAATCACTAAATTAAACAAATCAGCTGTGTTCATGACCTAAAACATGCACGAAACGTGCTGGAAGCAGACTGCAGCGCCAGGTATGTCAGCCCCATTTTTTCTATGTCACATCAGAGCGGCCGCCAGTCTGAAGTTGCAAGTGGAATAATCTGGCCACAGGGGGCGCTAGGAGGGTCATTTTAGTTCATACTGACTCAATAAACAAATAATTTCTAATAATAAATAAGTGCTTATGCTGCACAGAGGCTGACTCGTTTTCTAAATAAAAGAAAACTGAAATGCTCATATTGTGAACATGAATAACATTTCTGAGAGCTGAAGGACCATCAAACACCCTTCTGATTCAGCACCAGTAGGTTCCAGTCATAAAACTGTTAGGAATGAAGTCTGGTGTAAAGTTGGACCTGGAGAAATCGGCTGTAATTTCTGTGTGGAGCTCAGTCAGTTCACTGGATCGAGAAAACCCCCATTTGTCAAGAGCAGGGAGGAGAGCAAGGTTAAAGAACGTCATAAAAAGACAAATGTTAGTAAAAATGCAGAGAGTAATGTTACAGTCTGTGTTCTACTGCAGAAAACAACTCCTGTGTGATGTACTGGAGAGGTCTATTTAAAGGCTTTTATTCTTGAAACAAAAAACCCTCCATATTAAAACATGACACGGGTTCGATCTGACTGTGTGGTTGTGACATTCTGAAAGCTATGGGACTCTGACAGGAAACAAGACTTAGAGAACAACGACCAGAACAGTGGCTAGAAAAAAAACAGAAGTTAAAATAAGAATTTAAGTGCAAGGGAATAGAGTGACACAAACTGTCAACAAAAAGGTTTAAAGTCAAGAAATGACACACTTTGGAAATTAATTTAATATTGTCTCCAGATTAAAGAATTATCTGATCATCCTGTGATAACACACATGATCAGTTGTTTTCTGATCTATCTATCTATCTATCTATCTATCTATCTATCTATCTATCTATCTATCTATCTATCTATCTATCTATCTATCTATCTATCTATCTATCTATCTATCTATCTATCTATCTATCTATCTATCTATCTATCTATCTATCTATCTATCTATCTATCTATCTATCTATCTATCTATCTATCTATCTATCTATCTATCTATCTATCTATCTATCTATCTGGCTATGACAGTGATTCATCTTCATTGCCCATCTCATTACACTGATGGCCCTACCAGACAGCACTTAGCTTAACTCGATTCTGCCTGATGCCAGCAGTCTGCCTGCTGGTACCAGTCTGTCCTGTAAAGCTCATAAACTGGAAAAGAGAGCCCACTCTCACACTGCATCAATACACAGGAGGAAGTTAGACACTAAAAATTCTAATCTATATCACGGGGCAAACTCCACCACGTAAAAATGAACCCAACTGAGAAGTGGCAAAATTGCATTTCCCTGTTCATCCACTAGGGGCTGGCTTCAGAAAGGAGCAAATCCGCATTGAATCCCTGGTTTAAAATGCCAACTCTACAGATGAGATAAACATGTTTACAGCCTGGTGCAAAAACATTTCTAGATCAAGTTAATGACAAAATGGCCTGTATTTGATATAGCACCTTCTAGAGTCCTGAAACCCCCCCAAGTCGCTTCACAACACAATCAGTCATTCACCCATTCACACACACATTCACACCTTGGTGGTGATGAGCTACACTATAGCGACAGCTGCCCTGGGGCACACTGACAGAGGCAAGTCTGCTGTACACAGGCACCACAAGTCCCTTGGAACACTTTGCCCAAGGACACAACGGCAGTGAAAGTCTGAGCAGGGCTCGAACTTGCAACCTTTCGATTATGAGGCGTGCACTGACAACTCTAAGCGGGGTGATTTTTTATATTTGTATTTTTTTGTTTTTGTTTTTATTGTATGTAATTAAAGCTTGAAATTATGAATAGGGCGTGTCCATTTCATTGACAGAAAGGAGATAAGCTGTCAGCACTAGCGGCTTGCGTCCGCTTTCTTCAGAGAAGGCCTCAGACTTAACCTCATGTTACAAAGGGAACTTGGCAGTTTTGGATTGCTTTTAGCTCCTCCTAGTGTCCATTTAGTAGAATTGAAAGCAAAACGTATTTCCTCGCCGTGCGTTCATCTTTTTGTCACCTTAATCTGATTCATCAGTGTTGAAGTTGAAAAGTATTCCTTTTAAAGTGGTATAGCCTAGAAAGCAGAAGGTAGCAGAGTCACTCAATCGTTATGTTCTGGCTAAAAGTGACTGCCAACCTCTGTCATCTTTGGTTAGCTCAGTTATCTCGTAGCTACATCGAATCAGTTTGTTGGGTGTTAATTAGGGATGTAAGAAAATATCGATAAGGCAATATATCGTGATGTTTCTTCCAGTGATATTGCATCGATATTCAAAAGCCGTGTATCTAATTTTTGGAAGAATTTACATGCAAACATTTGTGTTTTTTCTTTTCTTTTGGAGCACTTCAAATGCCGACCGCTAGTCGGCAGCAGTGTGTAATAGGTTTTGTTTCCACTATTGAAATGTAAATCTATCTATTATGGTTCAGATACCTCATGTTATACATTTTACGTATCCGTTTGGACTGTTTATGGAATATTCATACAATACATTCAGTAAATAAAAATCACTAATAACTGACTGAATGTATTGCAATATATCGTGATACATTGTATTGTCTCCCCTGTATCGTGATACTTATTGTATCGCCAGAATTTCACCAATACACATCCCTAGTGTCAATCATGTGCCCACACACTCGCAGCCCTGCTCTCAGCTCAATTTTTGTGTTTTCTGGGAGTGGCGAGATGTATGATGCGACCAAGATGGCGGTGGTGGGAACCGCCCACTGGGCTTCAATTCAGCTATTTCAGACACTTATGAGTGACAGCATGAAGGGTTTGTCCATTATTTATACAGTCATTGTGTATATCATAGCGTGAACCCCACTGAATCTAATGTGTGTGTGTGTGTGTGTGTGTGTGTGTGTGTGTGTGTGTGTGCGTGCGTGTGTGTGTGTGTGTGTGTGTGTGTGTGTGTGTGTGTGTGTGTGTGTGTGTGTGTGTGTGATCTACAGTTAATAGTTATTGTTCCATCCTGATTTAAAGACAGAAGTTGTTTCTTCTGTAACAGGAGACATTTCCCTAAAGTTGAATTGTTTGTGGTGCAGCGCGTGGCAGGACAAAAAAAGGAATGACAGATTGTCATGGTGGTGTGTGTGTGTGTGTGTGTGTGTGTGTGTGTGTGTGTGTGTGTGTGTGTGTGTGTGATGGCATCAGGTTTCATGACTGCTTATAGCTCTTATGAAAGGCTAGAACAATAGCTGCAGCTTACGCTCAGCTGTTGGTTTTAATGCCTCATACCGCATGTTGGACTGTGTTACTGTGCACATACCACACAACCCCTGCTCACACTCACCTCTCATTCTCTCAGAGGAGGTTAGACAACAGTCTCATACAGACATCAGAATAATCAGCAGAGTTAGAGCTGCTCATTTACCTGCTGGAGATCCAGGCCACCCTGGGTGATTGAGTACAGAGGGTGGGGTGCAAATTCTGACGCCTCAAAAATCTGAAAAGAAACACACAATAAAAATGTGTCACCAAACTGTTGCCACGCTTATGAGCTCAGCTGTTATTCTTCTACTGAGAAGGCAGATAAGTGGGAGTAAATTTGTGCCCACCAGCCAGAAACTTTCAGTTTTGACGTGAAAATAATAAACAGAAACTTCCAGTTTTTTGGTTCATGTCAGGCTGTTTCTGCAGACCAAATTTGGCCAGCGATAGCCTCTCGAGTCTGCAGTTCTGACACTTTTAGCACAGCTAACAGGCTTAAAGGCTCTGACTCATCCACTGACCCTTCCCCACCCCACTTCATTTCCCAGAGACTTATACATCCTTATCACCGCACAGCCTTCATTACAGTCTTCCAACTGTGATCAGCACTGTGCCCTGGGTTTAATTTCATTTCCTTTATGAGGAATATCAACAACACAAAGCCGTTCCATAAATTGACTCCAGTCTGAAGCAGCCCAAACAGTGTCAGAACTGCTGACAGCTATGTAGAATATGTGGCTGCTGCTGCAGCCGGAGGAGACGCCAGGTCTCCAGCCTCACTTGCTAATCTCGTGACTCGCTCCATGAGAGGGTGGATATCTGCCCCCTCAGCAGCATCTATGGCTCAAACCCACCCTTATGAGTTCAGAAAATCCCCTCCACCCCCCACTGACGGCTCTCGAGTGAGCTTTATCACAACACAGAAGGCAGAGAAGAACGTGAGGACGAATATTTAACCTGATGCAAACATTCCCCTCTACTCAGAGGTGATAGTGGTCTTCATGCAGAGTGGACCCCAGAGGCCAAAACTCAGCTCGTTTAATTTTATTATTACACCAAAGTTGAGAAGAGAAGAGAAGGCAGAAAAATATTCTGTTGATGGAGTTAACCGTTTTCAGCCCACCTCAGTACAATGATGCCAGTTACGCCAATATGACAGTAACGAGAAATCTAACACAGTAACATTTTCAAACCAGTAATCAGATTAAAACAAGACATCCAAATCACTGCTGTACCATTTTTGTCTTTTTCATTCTAAAGAAATATTTTCTTTGCTCACATCCACAACTGGTTAGCAACTGGAGTTTATCAAATTCAAGATGGCTGCCCGAACCAGCCGAGATTAGAACGCATAGAAATGTCTGGAACTCTGATCGTCTGTGCTCATGAACAAGTGACCACTTTGAGGATACAGCTAGTCTTTCCTCGATTTCTAAACCCACACTTCTAACTTTTAAATCCATCTCTTCAAATGATCAAAGGTCGTCTCTGTGATGAGGAAGGTGCAGCATGTCAGAGCAGAGCGGGATTTCGTACTTTTATCAATGCCCACTCAGCCAGCGGAGACGAGTCGTGTAGATTTTTGTCCCCGTTCTCGATACACAACAAAAGCAGCTCATCTCTGACAGCTCCAGCTGTTTCCTTCTGTTTGTGTGGGAGTGTTTTTCTGAACTTTAAATTTTTAAAACATGTCTGAGTTTCATCCTCATATCGAAGGTACCACACCGATTCTTCACTTTTTACTTTTTTACTCGGAGCCCTCAGCTCAGCCATGTTAAATAATGCAACCCAGAATTATGGTACTTCCACTGTTCAGACATCAAACAGATTTATTCAACTTCCCCTCATTCAGGACCCACATACAGTAACACACACACACACACACACACACACACATTCACCTTGAGTGCTACTGTGTGATTGAATAACTTCCCGTTGTGTGTGGTAAAATCTCATTTTCTCACCTGGTTCCCTGCTATGAGGAGAGCAGCTGGTGAGGGGCTCGGCCGGTAGGGGATGGTGGCACCTTTTGGTGGAGACTAAGGGAGTTAAAACACATCAGACATGGTCACATAAACATCTATCATTTATAGATTTCACCTGGTTACAGCTGCTTCTAGCAACATCTGCTCAACATTAACATTAAATGAGCAAAAAGCGGTGAATGTTGCATGATGAGGATAATATCTGAGCTTTATTTTGGCACAGTGCAGCTTGCCCCCTGCTTTAATCAGACATTTGTAGATTAAATTCTTCCAACACCAGTAAGAGATTATAGAGTGAGCATGGGACCGTATATCTTATCAAGTCACTGCAGTGTTGGTGATACTGTTTGCGGTTCAACATGTGGAGCAGTCACAGCAAATTCTCTGTATAACTTTGCATAATTTAAATCTCGGAGCTGAAAGCGAGATGCCGCTGGTACAGAATCCTAATGAAACTTGCAAGCCTTTGAAGAAAGCCTCTGGAAAACTGGATCAAACTAGCAATTAGTCAGGTCCAGCTGCAACGCTAAAACAAAAAGGCGCTTGTGCACTTCCACCAACGCACGCTTGGGGTTGTTTTTCTTCTCATCTCCTGCTTGATATGCTCAAGAGAGCCATTGTCTAGAGGTGGATAGATTTTGCTGCTGGCCACCTCTGTGAGCAGCTTCCTGTCTTTTAGAAAGCTTGACCTCTGAGTGGCACTAGAGTGAGGCCTCCCCTACCTCCGTGTAACGTCTGGCTTTCAACATGAAGGGACAAACGGCTGGCTCTTTTTATTTGCAATACCATATGGGTCACACACAAGGACTCACACTGAGTTTATGTAGAGAGCGTCTACGCAGCACTCTCATAGGAATCATTAAATGATACCAAAGACAACATGCAGCTTATGAGAAATGCACGAAGTCTGGCTGCAGTGGAAGGAACAGCTCCATGGTGAGATTAAAACTGCACGTCGACAGTAATTATTTCCTTCTCACTGATGCAGAGCAGCAAAGCTTTGACAAATGTCAGCAAGGTGTGGGAGCATGGCATAAAGAGAGGAACAGTGCTCTTCCTACCTCCAGGATTACTGTGCAGATGAGCTTGACACACTGGATTACAGAGTCCTGATTCCCAGATATCGTTACCCCTCGCTCAGTGGAGTTGGGTAGCAAATCCCCTGCCACCTGTATTTGAGCTCCCGTGCTCTGCAAACGACAGAGGTTTAGTAGAAGATTAGCTTGATTCTGTAGATAAGGCCTTTGTGATTACACAGACATGACTTCTTATGACCCAAATGGGTTTGCTGACCTCACAAGTTTCAGGTATTTAAAAAAAAAATCATGATGAAATTGATTGTCCACTACTGTTTTGTGTAAAATTATACTTTTTATTTTGTTGTGTTTCATACAGTAATTTTATTTTGGATTTATTGCAATGTAATGAGCTATTTTATGACGTATTTCCCTGACAGCCAGAGCAAATCCAGCGGAACACCAGTGCATCTGTCTCGATATACTGAAACAAAACATGTGCCTTTTGGAAAAAGCACAAAAAACAATCTACAACCAAAGCAACCGAGGGACTCAAACAAGACGAAAAAGTCACTTGAAGTGTTCTATTTTTGTAGTGAGCTCTTGTTTCTGTTACTCTGGTTTGTTTGGTTTTTATTTGTGTTGTTTGGTTTCATCCCTTCACTCACACCTCGTCTCACTAATTATCACCATGCCTGCTCTTGTTTGTCACTTGTTTTGTTTGTTTTGAGTAAGATGTTTTCAAGTTTTAGTCCAGACCTCCATTTTTGCCGGTACCAGATCGGCTTGGGCTCCTGCGGCTGCCGATGACGTCACATTGTGGAAAATTCACTCGGCTTTCACACATACGTTTTGAAAAGACATCAGCAGTTTTGTTAATAAATTCTTGTTTGTTATACCTAAATGTTTTCTTTATAATTGTAATTTGTTAATAAAACACCATATTGTCTTTGTTTTGAAACGAATGTGAAACTGCATAAAACCAACATCTGCCAAAAAAATAACATTTCTTATATGTGAAGCCATATATGTTTGTATTAATGTGGAATTTGTCTGTAAATTTCTTTAGTTGTTATGTAAATTCATTCATTCATTCATTCAAAATGTTGCTTGGTGTCTTTTCAATAAAGTTCTTATATTTTCTTTCATCCCATTTCATCAAAATCAAGAGCTTTTGAGGGTCACATTTCATCAGTTGATCTGCTTTTATTTTACATTTCCTTTGGAAATTCAAACATATTTTCTCCAAAAAGTGTTGATTTTTGGACTAAGGACGACAGCCACTGAAACTACAGCCGTAAATTCCTTCTGACCAATCAAAATCTTCATTGTCAACGTAACTTTTACGAACGTGGTATCGTAACTTCTGTAAGTCTTTCGTTCCGCCAATCATCTACTGTGATATATTTGGCAGATGCAGGACCTCGAGCTGATTTGGCTGCCCGAGCAGATCTGGTACCAACACTGGCTTTTGAGTCCTTTTCTTCCTGAATTCGGGAACTCTTACACCTCTTTAGTAAATGAATCACAGCAGATTTGTTTTCTGTCTGCTCACCTCTCTGATCTCCTTAATTTTGGCACCACCTTTCCCGATGAGCGAGCCACACTGGCTGGCAGGGATGACGAGCCGCAGAGTGACCGGAGGCTTGGAGCTGATGGTGCCGTTGGCCACCAGCGCTGTCAGATCCTGGAGGGAGATGAGGGCAAAAGAAGCTGTGAAGGACACCTACTGGGTTTTGAAATTCTCATTAGTGTGTAGACGATTTGTGTTTTGAAAAAGGGATTTAATGAAATAAAATAATAACAGACAATAAAACCTTCCAAAAAATAACAAGACTGCTTCATGAGCAGATGAAACAGTGACTGAACGTTTGACTGCAGAAGCATCAAGGTTTGACGCGGCAGATGCATTCAGCAGAGAAGTCAAGCTGAGTTTCATACTCCAACAAAGATAAAAGCTGCTGCTAAAGGAGTCAAGTATCACATTTGTGGAGAAGCTGAAAGAGCAGAGATCAACCCTGCACCTAATTAACTTCTGATTGTGCTTGTTGCTGAATTTCTGAGTGAAACGTCCACTCAAGGATGGACAGTAAAGTGGTCCATGTTCCTCGGTGCAGTGCGTGCCACTAAGTCTTAAAAGGCTGTTTAATCATTAAGAGGCTGTTGGATGCTCAGTGAAAACCCTGGATGTGTGGCAGATTGTTAGGAAAACTGTGTTTCAAGCGTTCACAGTTAGAGTTAGACGACTTTGTCCATATGTCTCCAACCTTTCATCATGCTGAACATGAACTCCCAGGGACGCCTTTTGAAAAGAGCTGAATAAATGAGTTTCTCATTAACATCGTTTTTTTTCAGGGTTCTCAAAGAAATTCAGAGTTTTTCCTTTAATTCCTGCTTTTCTAATCTAGTCTTTAATTTTTAAAGTTCAACATCCATGGGAATTTATTGTATCCAGATTAAAAGGTTCCAGTTAGAACCAGATGTTTCATTTTTAATTAAAACCTTTCTATAATAGAATCTGCTACATCTGCATCAAACACAATCAGGAATTAACTTTCAAACTAAGATTAATTTATGTTGAGAAATGGTGGAAGTAAAGCTGTTTTGGTCAAATCTCAGTTTGATATGCATGATCTCACACAGGGGTGCCTCCAGAAAATTTTGATGGGGTGGCCAGATGGGGCCAAAGAAATGTTTGGGGTGGCACACCCGATTGGTCCTTGTGGTAACTCTGGGAGAATTTCGCCTGTGGCAATGTATTGCATTGCTCATTCATTCGTTTAAAAAAAAAAAAAAATAATAATAATAATAATAATAATAATTATAATAATAATAATACTGTACGTATCCAAAACATTTAACTTAAATTTCCCAAACACAAACATTTTAGAAAAATGCATTTCAGTTATTTAAAATGTTAATCCAAATTTATATTAAAAATGTATTTTTTAGGTTAATTCACCTGTGTTGCTGTGTTAAAAAAACTATGGAGATAAAAACTTTTTTAAAACGGTGAGCAGCAGAAACATATGTTTTTTTATTTTGATTATTTCTTTACCCATTAATTATATTATTTTTATTTATTTTTACAATTATGTCTTGAATAAACAAGATCAATATATATTTTGACTGAACATTAATATGATTTATTAACGATGGCTTTTCCTGGGAGGAGGGGCAGCAATTTTTTTGCAGTGGCCAAGGCCACCCCTGGCCACCCCTTGGGGGCACCCTTGATCTCACACATCAGACTTATTGTGAAGCTAAGTTACTTCTACATAAAATCTTAGCTCAGTATCTGTCTGCACATACTGAGCTGGTTCAGACCAACTTGAAATGCGTCGACTCAAATGTGTAACTCTAATGATGATTGTTTGAGTGTCATTAATGTTTGAGATATTTTTCTAACCAGAGCTATTCAGAGCACAAATAAGTGACCCAAGTCAAACAACAATGCTTCAATCAGACTCAACACGTCTACCAAGGTTTTATCCCTCCATGTCCATGTTCTTGGAAATATGACAGAAGACATACGATCTACCTCCAGCTCTGTGAATACTCTCAGCTGGCCTTGGACGAAACCTCGGCTAACCTCAAAACAATAAGCAGAAAAAAAACAAGAATAAAGAAAATGTCCCTGCAAGTGATGGAGACAAAGAAACTCAGAATACCTTTATTTTTACAGAAAATCTTGAACTCTCAAAAAGGGTTCATTGCCACAGAACAAAACTTCAAACATTTTCTTTGAATTACTCACAAAACCCATGAAATCATGAAAAATCTCAGATAAACCACAAGAAAGGTTCATGAAGCTGTTAGATAAAGTCCTTGGACAAATAAAGAACTACTTGATGAACACTTTTATTATTACACCGTGTGGAGCCTTTAACTAATGAGTAGGATCTCTGTGAAGCTCTGAGATGTAAATACCTGTACGTGTCTCTGTTCCTCACACCAGCAGCAAAAATAGAAGACAGAATGCAAAACACTCTGCTTCTTTGTGACCATTTCACATGAAGGCCAGTTTGCAGTCAATTTACCAGAGTTTGGCTTATGAGGAGACGGCGTGAACAACGCGCCGCCTCGGGGGATTATACTGATGAAAGAAAATGCATAATGCCTCCAATAACTGTGAACTTTAAATTTAAAAGCATATTTGGACGAGCCTCTCCTGCTTCTCTGTCTATTTTTAGTGAGGCAGATCAGGCTGTTTTGACGTCTCGTCTCATTAAGAAGAGGAACACGCAGCTCAAACGTAGGATCTCAAGACACTGGGCATGGATCTCCCGATTTGATCTAAAAATATTAGCTAAAATCTCACAACTCTAAATATTCCGATGCCACAGCAAAAAAGTAGCTCTCAACATGAAAAGCCGGAAATAAGAAGGCGTTTCACGCAAGCAAGGCTCGCATCCTGTCAAGCATCAAACACTAAGCTGAGCCACACTGGCTTCATCCAGCTTTTATGAGCGCTTCATAGTGGCACAGGTATGGTGCTTCAGATTTTCACATAAACCTTTGCATAAATACGCTGGCAGCGACCCGTAGAACTACAGATCAGCAGCAAAATGGAAGAAACAAATGATCCCCTGCTGCTGCGTAATCCTAAACTGTGGAGAAAAAAACAAATGCAGGAACGAAGACTCAGCAGACCAAAATCTGATTATTCCCTTTGTTTGTAATTAAAGGTGTCAGACATTCAATAACACAACTATACATTGGAAACGACACACAGCAGGTCAGTGAGCATGTTGCCATGGAAACGCAGGAGTTTCAGGGTTGAGAAGAGGTGAATGTGAAAGATGTTTAATGAAAACTGCGCTGTGCTCCTGCAGCTTGTGTATTTTTTATTGAACGCTGTGAGCCAAGTCCCTGTTTCCTCATCAGAAATCTGCTGTGACATCCAAACTGGGAGAAACGTCCACCATGTTAATTAACGCCATGATGGACAGTCGCTGTTGCCAGCATGAGCAAACTTTCATCTAAAACTTAAGTAATTTGTGTGTAATTAACTCATATTAGAAGGCACTAATTAGTTACAGCTGCCCTTTTTTAGTGAATACTGAACATGTCTCAACCTTTAAATGGCAGGAAAACAACAGATATGATCTGTAATCACAGAAAAACAGCGTTTTCTGAAAAAGAAAATGCTTTTGCATCAGCAACACATCCTAAAATCAGCAGAGAAATCGGTCTGTAAGCACATTAAGTGCTTTGAAATACCAATGCTTTTTTTCCCATCACTGCAGAATGTAATCAATAGATTTAAAAGCACATTAGTGATAACTTTGAGATAAAGCTCAAGAGGTGATGTCTTGTAATAATGTGCTAAAAGCCTTCTTTTTCCAGAACTGATTATTTATTTTACTTCTATTATGGCTTGGACAACTTTTGAAGGTCTGTCTCCAAAAGTTGCTGCTCGTACCCCACAAATAACTTTGACCTGATGTTTATGTTTCCTGTAAAGAAACTGATTTACCTCCTCCAGTTTGAATGTGATCATGGTGAAAGCTCGGAAGACGCTCTCTGTGGAGCCCGTGATGGTGATGATCCTCTCTGGACACGAGCCCTCTGAGATGTTGACCCGTGCGCCGCTCTGTAAGAGCAGACATCAGAGGTCAAAAACAACACTTTTACTTTGTAATCTCGCTCAGAGATTGGTGAGACGCTGACAGAGAGGGGAAAGCTGCTTCAGGGGAATCTCTTTTTCTTTCCTTAGAAGAATCAGGTCCAATAAAATTTCTCCATTTCCAGTGTTGAAACTGAGCCCCGATTACAGTCTGCTGACTGTACCTTCCTGCTTATTTAACTTTTCCTCGGGCCTCAGAGCTTTTCTTTTAAGTTACGAAGCATTCAGGCTTCAGGGGTCATCTGAGACGTTTTCAGAACAGAGAAAGTAAAGATGCCTTTAGTTTTTGTGCTCACTCCCTTTGAATGAGACTCCTAAGAAGCTGACATCGACCGAACCATTCGCTTTTTATAAATGTAATGTTCAAACTGTGTATAATTTCCATTAAATTCGTCCTGAACTGAAACGTCATCAATTCAGATTAAAACATTAGTTTTAGACTTGCGTTTACTTAGTGCCTTCTTACAGATTTGGTTCAGTTTGACTTTGTTGTCATACTAAATGCTTCTGACAAACAAACAAACTTCATAACCTGAGTAAATACAAATCGTAGGGCTTGAATTACGATTTTATTAATTAAGAGAAAGATCTGTATGCAAACCAACCTGGCCCTATGTGAAAAGTTTGTTAAATCATGAGTTAACTGAGATTGACCTCATTATTTATAAAATAGAGTTTAGTTTCACTTGCCACACCCAAACTTGAGAACTACCAGACCTTTGGAACTAAGATAGCACCTCAACAGAAGCCATCTGACCACACTGAGTAAACTTAATGACCTCAAAAAGTGTCACATCATGCCCCAAAGACCCAAGAAAACCTCATTTGGTTATGTTTGAGTTCAAAGTTAAAAAATAAAATCGATGGTAGAGCACCAATAACATTGATGGTAGAGCACCAATAACATTGATGGTAGAGCACCAATAACATTGATGGTAGAGCACCAATAACATTGATGGTAGAGCACCAATAACATTGATGGTTCGAGCACCAATAACATCGATGGTAGAGCACCACGGCCAAATCCTCTGCTGACCAAAAATAACACATTTGCCCAAAACAACTTAACTTTCTGGACAAAGTGTGTTCCATTAAACATTTAAACATGGTGGTGGTAGTATGATGGTCTAGGGTTGCTGTGCTGCATCACCCAACCTAGATAGCTTGTAATAGATGGAACCATGAATTCTGCTCTTTAACCCTCCCACTGTCTTCATGGGTGGCCCCGCCAAGAAAGTTGACCATTGAGCAAGGTTGATGGTTTATCCCTTGAGGTCTACGTGGCAGGGGTGAGGTGGTGCTCACTCCTCACCCCTGCCACGTGGACCTGAAGGGATAAACCATTTAGGTATTTAGTAATAAATAAATAGATTTAGTAATAAATAATCAGAAAAATGCATTTTGTATTTACTCAGGTAATGTTTGAAAGTGAAATGTGTTTGAGCTCAAATATTTGATTGTGACAAAGAAGCAAAAACAGAAGAAATCTGTAGGTAAACAAACACTTTCCCTGTTACTGTATTTGTGCTTTAAAGTAAGTTTTACCTTGTTTGTTGCAGTAAAACACATCAGTAGTGTGAAAGCCTTCCACTTGATTCTTATACATCAACATTTAACTATAAGAACTGAAGGATTGGCTCATAAACTGACTAAATGTCTTAGAATAAAAGCTTTTATTTCATTGATTTTAATTTGCATTTTCGTGTTTTGTGCAGTTCTGTCTTGGGCATTTTCTCCTCCTTTGATCTTTTTCTTCTTCGTTTTAATGCATTATGTAAAGCACTGTGGATTCTCTTTGTGCTTGAACTGCAGAATGTAAATGAACGCACCTTGTCTCAGCCTTGAAAGAGGAATTCATTCTTAAAAACTTATCAAATCAGAAAATTTATGCCCTGTTCCCAAAAAAACTCAAACTGTTCCACCTTTATTATTCAAACTGATAAAGTTTTTAAAGAGGCTAAACACAGACTACACTTAAACATGAACACCGATGATAACTTCATTTATCACCAGCTGTCTGAGACAGGAAAATGCTCCTGATGCTGTTGATTTCTCCTGTCAGTCCAATGAGCCATTCTCCCTCCTGCAACTTTGGTGGAGGGGAGCATTTATAGTGAAGCACCAAAGGTCAAAACTTCCTGTGAATGGATGACTGGATGGGTGACTGCTCCATTCTGCAGCCTTGCATTGTCTCACAGCCTCACCATTCCTCTGTTTGTCCTCCGCCTCATAAAGTAAAACATTAAAACCTTTTCAGCGGTGAAAGAATCAAATGTGCCGCCACCAGTGTCAGACTAATTACTTTTTAATACCAAGAGTTAACCAAGCGGGATTAGTTGGGCTGCACTCTTGAGATTCATAAAGAGGGAACTGAGGGAACGGAAAAAGAAGGTTGTTTTAATTGGGAAAAAGATAGAGAAAGGAGATTTGGTGAGAGCCGCTTGAGGAGGTGGAATAGAGAACAGCGGAAGGGTTTCTAAATTAAAAAGCAACTTTTATTATTCACAAGGTAATTTTGACAATGGATTTGATTTTAAGGTGAAAGGCTTTCAAAGCCAGAGAGAAGACATTTGTTTTAGTAAAACACACACCTGCCAGAAACCCGGCTCAGCATGAGGACCCCATGAGATTAACTCTAGACTGCCACTGAATAAAGATGTAGAAAAGCCAGTTTCTGTAACAGTTAGTCATCTAAACACACATGCATCCTGCAAACCCAACATGGCAAAATCACTCAGACCTGCAGGTTGTGAACACATGCTGCAGACATGATGAAAAGCCTGAATTAAATCTCAGACACAGTACCTCTTCTCGTATTCGTTTCACAGTCTCCCCTTTCTGGAAAAGACAAGAAGAAGGTTACGTTTACACAGATCCTCGACCTCTAAGTGAGCTTGCCGTTTTAAACATTGAAACTCAGCAGAAAAGTAAAAAATAAATCATCTAGAGTTTCAGTCTGAAATGCATCCTGGTGGCGTCCTCTGAACTTATATATCTCAGAAATATAAGGAGGTTCATGTCTGACGTAAAAGTTGCACACTGCAGAAAGAGTGTGAACAATAATCGTTTGCCACACATCCTCCCGCAGCTTTCTGGTGACTTTCTCCATTTAATTTGGGCTGAAGTTCTTCTGAGCTCTTCACACTCTCATGAACACTCTGACACTTTCTTACAAGAGGGTGAATCATCATTTTACTGCTGATGCTTTGTTGTTTTGCTGGAAAATCCAATATTTTGGTCCATTATGGTTCTGGTGTTGATGGAGAGGAGGTTAGTGATTTACCCAACTAACAGGAAAGATGGAACAATAAGTTATTAACTGATGCAGGCACCTCTCTTTAACTCTTCATCTTTTTTTCCTTTCGTCCTACGCTGTATGAAATTCACTGGATTCTGCCGTGCACCGCACATCTTTCTTTCCAATGATGTGAAATCATTTATTTGTCTTTTCCCTCCCACCGAGGTCTTTTAGGTTTGATCGCTGAGGCTGCTGAAGCAACGGGCTACCTTTCCTAGCAGATACTAAAAGTGCCCACAAGGGGCTGACGGTAATATGTCTTTGGAGCTCGATTTCAACAAGAGGTTTGCAGTCAATGCACTAATGGTTTTGTTTGATGGATGACCGTGCTGCTTTATGGCAGGTGGGGGTGGTGCTGAGACCTCAAGAGGGTTGGTTTGGGGCAATTATATATTGGAGGGGGGTATTCAAAATAAGTGCGGTTTGTTTGATGTGATTGGGTTCTGATAAATACTGAAAATAAATTGAGACGGAGAGGAATATTTCCCTGCCATGATTTATGAATCCACACTGAACTGAAGCTGTGAGTAAAGTCAGCTTCTCACAGGATCATGATTGTTGGTGACTAGTGGGAGACACAAAATCTGCACATTTACAATCGGAATCACGCTGAATTGGAATTTATGACACACGGGACAGGTTTCATGTGTAGCTGGGCAACAGGGGGCAAGTAACAATAGAAAACCAAATGTGATTGTCCTGCAAATGATCCAATTTAGTCACAGCTTCTCAGTTGACCCCATCGATACATATACCCTCATTTGAGTCGCAATTTGGTCTCCAACCCTTCCCAAAGTTGTTTGATTTTGCAGCCTCATAAAATTGAAATCATGAACTGGTTTCCTGCTGCTCATTCGTAAGGAAATTGTTTTTTTTTATATAAAATTCTAACAGTAGGACGACAAGGCACGGCAGTGCATGAAAGAAAATTGAGAAGTCTTACAAATATTTTAAGACATTTTCAAAACTCATTTTCACTTCTGATTTGTCACAATTGTGGCCTTTTAATATGTGATTGTCATTAAATAAATATGTAGTAAAAAACTTTTTTTAAATATTAAACAGAACCATTCTCACCTTTCCTATGATGCTGCCAACTTCCTGTATGCAATGAGAAAAAGATGATTACTTTAATAAAACAGGAAAAGCAGTAAAACAACCCAATGCTGTGAATCCTGGAATCTTTTGCTTAAAAAATGCCCTGGGGCATGCATGCACATGTTTTCATAAACAACCTTTCCATGCATGAGCAGTCGCAGTGTGAGGGTCACTCCCAAGCCCCCGTCTCCAAAGTCCTGCTCACAGTTCATAGTGGTGTGGGAGTGGCACGCAGGGAGACGCATGAACAAGGCTCATTCGCTGGTCACGCTGGTGAGCCAAGGCCAGGACTCTTTCTTTGGCTCTCCAAGGTCCTTCAGTGCTGATCTGAAAGAGAGAAAAAGAAAAACATGGAACCAACAGGCTCTTGTGCTTAGTATGCTCACATATACACTCCAGAAATCAACCTTAGGATTCATAAATGTTTAGATTATCAATTCTTGAATAGAGGGCACACTGTTAAATCTAAAAGTTGCATGCCCATGTGCTGCATCTGTGGGTGAGCCATAATGTCAGGGGGATTAGAGGAGTTAAAGGGACATTTGGAGTTTGTTTCTGTGTAAACGTTATAAATAGTTATCTCACCTGTTGCATAGCTTCCTGAATGGCCTCTGTTCAGAGAAATGCAGTTTTTCAGAACAGATGAGCTGACAGTCTGAGTACAGCCCAGATCAAAGTGGATTGCTAACACCTCGAAAGAGCTTCAGCCTCCAGAAGAGTTACAGTGGTCGAAGCAGATGCTATTCTGTACTGTGGTCCCTCTCTATAACAAGGTTCACCTTTTGTAATCTTGCAGTTTAACAGATTTTGTGTGATGTTTTGTATACTTTTTTTTATAATTTTTTACAGCACTTTGTTCTTGTCCAAAGGTACAAAGGTTTGAACTTTGAGAGTGTTCAACAGAGGAAAATGTTAATGTCTGTCTGAGAAAGGAAAATAAAGTGTGGTGAGGGGTTTTACAGCCTTAAAACTTTGAGGCCGTGCACTGGGGTGAGCACGTCTGCGGAGGAGAGGAGAGTTTCTGTGTCAGCGGGAGCGCATTATTAATCAGCGCTTCCACGTCTTAAAATACAGGAGGAGACGTGAGTATCTACAACGTGATGACGAGACCTTTTACATCAAAACTGCTTGAGAAAGTCGTTTATCAGCAGCTGGTCTCACATTTAGCAGACTCTGATCTATTTGAGGTTTTTCAATCAGGGTTCAGGTCTGGCTATAGCACAGAGTCAGCTCTACTCAGGGTCCTAAATGACATCTATCTATCACTAGATCAGGGTACATCTGTGGTGCTTTTGTTGTTAGATCTGACGGCAGCCTTTGACACAGTCGACCACGCGATTCTACTCGATCGCTTGGAACGATGGGTTGGGATCAAAGGGTCTGCTCTGGATTGGTTTAGATCATATCTCCACAACAGGACATTCTGCGTTAAACTGGGTGATGTTTTCTCATCTTGGGAGGGGCTCCGCTGGGGGGTCCCGCAGGGATCGATCCTTGGTCCTCTTTTGTTTGCCATTTATCTGCTTCCTCTGGGGGTCAATCTTTTGTAAACATGGCCTATCATTCCACTGACTACATTTATATGCAGCCAATGTCCGGGTTATGATCGGGTTAAGGTCGGTATTCGGGTTTCTGAGTTGATCAGAATAACCTGTTTACAAGCATAAATAATAGAAAGATTTACCCCTAACTTGCATAACCCGATTTAAATGCGGACATTGGGGTAGCTTCAGGACGTATGGACTACGTCCAGATGCAATATGCATAATTTCCGGTTATTCTTGTTCCGTATCCGTGAAAACAACAACATGTTTCCCTGTTCAGAAGAGATAGCGACCGCGTTTGTTTGCGCTTTAGTTTCCTCGTCACTCCAAAAGTGTGGCGCTGTGCCGCGACTCACCATGTTGCTCCCAACTTGTTGTTTACTTCCGGTGTTCTGGCGCATACAAGACATCTTGCTACTCAAAAGACCAAGATTCCTTGCGAACAGAGCATGCGCAGAACACACGCTTTGATGGGGATATTCCGATATGCGTTTACACAATCAAACATTCGGGTTAGAAAAGGGTTACCCCAGGTGTAGTAACCGGGTTTTTAAAAACCCGGTTATGAGCATATCCGGGTTTTTGGCTGTGTTTACATGGCCGTGCGGAACCGGGTTATTACGAATATTCGGGTTTTAAAAGGGTTACTGGCTGCATGTAAACGCACTGTTTGCTGACGATTGCCAGATTTACTCTCCATTGTGTCAGGAGAAAGGTCACTCTATCCAGTCCTCTGTGTCCTGTCTTCACGAGGTGAAGTCTTGGCTAATGGCCAACAGTTCTACATCTGAATGAGGGAAAGACAGAGCTCATTGTTTTTCACCCCAACTGCAGGAATGTGGGTCGTTATGTTGATCTTGGCCCTCTTTCTCCCTACTCAAAACCAGTTGTTACCAGTTTGGGGGTGAAACTTGATGCTGGACTTAAATTTAATGCTCACATCAACTCTGTGATCCAGTCCAGTTTCTTTCACCTGAGACGCCTTGCAAAAATCAAGCATATGCTGTCGAGAGCCCACCTGGAGCGGGTACTGCATGCCTTTGTTATTTCTAGGCTTGATTACTGCAACTCTCTCTATGCAGGGTTGTGTCAGTCATCACTGCGTCGCCTACAGGTTGTGCAGAACAGCGCAGCCAGGTTCCTGACTGGGACCAGGAAACGGGACCACATCAGTCCGGTTCTGGCCTCGCTGCACTGGCTTCCGGTTTGCTATCGCTCACAATTCAAAATCCTCGTCTTTGTTTATCATTTCTTCCAGGGTGGTGGTCCCCCCCTATCTAGCCACACTCCTGAACAGACACTCCCCATCACGCGCTCTGCGCTCCTCTAACCAAGGCCTGCTCACTGTCCCTCGTTCTAGGTGTCGTACTCGCGGGGACCGGGCTTTCTCAGTCCTAGCACCGTTACTCTGGAACCAGTTGCCACCCTCAGTTAGGCTGTCCCCATCTCTGCCAGTCTTTAAGAGTCGCCTAAAAACACACCTCCTCCGCTTGGCGTTTCCTGAACATGTTTGATTTTGGCCCTCTTTTATGTTGAATTTATTTCACAGTTTTCATTGGTTCACTCTATCCATTGTTTTACACATTTGTCCTGTACCAGAATGTTTCACCTTTTTTGTAATTTGTATTTCGTAATTTGAATTGCTTTTATTTTTGATTTATTCATTATATTTACCTTCTACTGTACCATGTTCAGCGCCTTGGGCTTCCTGACAGGGTTGCAGAAGGCGCTTTATAAATAAAGCTTTGATTGATTGATTGATTGAGAGACTGAAACACCGGAGTGAGTCTGTGCAAATAAACTATTTACCCATGCACGCATAAAGGAAATAAAACTGTTGAGAAACAGTGGTGTGTTTACGTGTGTGTGTGCGACCCTAATGGCAGCTGCAAATGCTACAAGCATCTATAATAATTGTAAAAAAATGAAGCTGACCACTTCACAGACTTAGCCTATCATGGGTTCTACAACTCCCTAGATTAACGAGGGACCACTGTAAACCTTTACATGGCTGTCAAGTTTGCATCATGCGGTAATTTTAGAAGAAATTTTGTTTGTGTGATTGAGGATAAAACATGTTATAAGAAAATGGCTATGACACTTAGTGTAGGGAAAATGATTTTTTTGTTTTTATCTCCCTTGAAATTTGATTTGGGGGGGGGGGGGGGGGGGGTAATAAGCTACCAGACCTTCTTTCCCTTCCTATTGAACATGTTCTACGTATACATATATATGTGCATATACATATGTACGGGTTTCTTTTTGAATACTTTAATTTGTCTATTGATTTACATGTTCAATAAAGAAGGAAATGAAAAACATTAAAACGTTTCCCCAGACTTGACCCCTGACCGTCTAAAGGAGTTTGAATGAAGGCAACAAGACTTCCTTTGGATTTTTTGGAGACGTTTTACTTCTCATTCAACAACTTTTGTCAATTCAAACTGAAATATTCAAGCTTATATACTTTAACCAACTGTTGTTGCTTAACTAGATGAACAAAGCCACTCCTAAACCTAATTCCAAAACAGCTTCAGTCTAGGTCACATCCTCTTGCATGTAAACAACCAGTACAACACAATAGGGTCTAACAACATCAATGACTAGGGAGTAGGGAGGGGGGTATTCATATGTAGTTTCTGCTTGTTAAGCAACAACAGACAAAGTCCCATATTCAGTCAGAATTGACAAAGACCCTTGGATAAGATGCAAAATGTCTTCAAGAAACAAAAGAAGTCCAGTTGCCTTCATCCGAACTCCTTTGGATTACCACGCCCTGGATGACTGAGAATCTTCCCAGCATAGACCCCTGGATGCACCAGAAGTAGAAAATTTGCTGCTGCTTGTGACATTTACACCTTTAGGAGACCCCGTGAATAACCACATAATGTTAAACCGATGGTGTAAGAAAAGTTTAGAAAGCAAAGTTGCATGGGCTGCTATTCATTTGTTTTTTTTAGCTGTTTTAATCCTGGCTGCACTATGACTAGCCATTAGCTCATCCATTCTAAATAATGTAAATATTTGGATGTTGTCCATAATGTTGAGTACAGTTATCATTTATTAATTATAACTTTTACACAGAAACAACCCTCTAAGATTTACAGAGAGCAACTCAAAACTAAAAAAATGGTTTTCAGGCAGGAGTTTGGAGTATCTCTACGTGGAACTTATTCATTAGCTGAAGTCGATGTAATAATAATGGTGATATTCGCAGTCAAATCCTAATGAACAGTATTGCGTGTGAGGGATATTGACCAGAGGCACCAGCAGAGTCAGCAGTGTTGCATCTCATCAGAGCATTGGGATCCAAACCGGCTGTGGGCGGCTGTGATGACTAACATGCTTTCTGTGTCTTCATTACCTGCAGAGCAGTTTCTCTCAAAGTGGGAGTGGCGACTTTAGAAAATTGAATAGAACATTAAAAAAAATCTTGTTTCCCTCTAAGACAAAAGTGACATGAAAAGCATGCAAAGCTAATCGAATTCAATTTGTAACAGTTTCATTGGAGATATTGTGTTATCTGCTTCATCTAAGTCAGCCAGAGAGGGGGAAAAGACAAAATGATGAGACGATGGAGCTGACTGTATATGCAGGCACCAAATGAGAAGCATCTGTACTGATCCCAGAAAGACAATGTAGCAGCCGCTTCGTTCATGTCAGCCACGTGACACTCAGATGATTAATGTGAGAGTCACCTGGCTGCTCGCAGCCTCAGCGTGATGCGTATAATTAGTTCAAAGAATCACTCATGTTCCACTTGATTTATATTTGCTTACATTT